AATTTTAGACTGGGATATCATCATCATAACTATAATGAATTCAGTTAAAATGATTTTGCAAAAACAAGAAGTCAAAGTGAGAAACTCTTTGAAAAAAAAAAAGTAAAACCAAAGACTTTCTCTGGGCCAAAAAACGAATAGGCCTTAATGGCGCAATCCATGTCGTTTTACTTGCTTTTGACGATGATTTTGACGCGAAAATGACACGGTTCCTGACAGACTGCCGTCCATGTTCTGCCGAGGCCAAGAAATACAAAAAGTTTTTTTTTCTGCGGTCGACGAAAAGGCGTTAATGGCCAGGTTTGTATGGAAGGTTTTCCGGGGCAAGGTCGGCCTTTTTCTGTCTCGTTTTTTTTAATCAAGGATTCTTATACTGCATCTAATCCTAGTGCACGTTAAAATAAATGCAAAAAATCGCTTTGATAAAAGAAAGTCCAGAACTCAAATTTTATTTTCAAAGAACTTAATCATTTCTAGAGATGGTTACAGTCTTCAGATGGGTTTCCAGAAAGAAAATTAAATTGCACAGAAAAAAATTAGGTAAAATAATGCTTTTTTTATCGCGCCGCCTCGGGAAAGTTTAGCAAAGACTTCAAAAGTTTTCCACGGATAGCTTAAAAAAATATTATATAATCTTTCATTGATGAGATCCGAAACTTGTAGGTTGAATAAATTAGAGAAAGAACCATAGTGGAAAATTGTCAGACATTCAGAAACGAAAAGATTGAGCGGAAAAATAGGGGATTTGGCATTCGAAATGGAGAGGCAGATGTCGCAACAACAGTCTCTTTGAAAGGACAAATGAAAAACGTGAGGAAAAAAGGCGGCGCTTCGGCCGGCTGCCGCAAAACGGCGATGATAGCGAAGCGGCCGTTTTCTACAATTATAAAACTTCAAAAAACATGATCCTTAATTGCCAAAAAGTTTGAAAAGTGGCCATTAAAGCGGACTTTCAAGAATGCTTTCATCTTTTGAAATCTCTTCTCTCTTATTCCCTTAAAGCAGTGGAAAAAAAAATCAGAAACTGCACAAATTACTGAACATGTTTTTGCAAAGCATGCAAATAAACACCTTTTCTGTAATTTCGTTACGAAAAAAATGAACCGAGTTGAAAATTTTAAAAATGTGAAAAAAAAAGAAATTTCACAGAGAAAAAAAGATATGAAAGCATTCTATTTGTCCGATCAAAAGGTTTTTAGGCGATGCAAAAAAGACAACCTGCTACAAACCAACGCGACTTCTCCTTACATCGAAAATTGATTTGAAAAAATCAAGGAATCAAAAAGAAGGTATTGCCCATTATTGGGGCGGCTATTCCGGGAGGAAAAGCCGTCAAAAAGGACCGCTGTCAAGGGCTATTTGCTCGCCGTTTCTTTTCGAGAATCCGGCGGATCTCCGGCATTCCGAGCAAAGACTCTCTTTTACTGAAGCGACTTGTACAGGTTGGATCTCTCCAGTGGCAAAAAGGAACAATTAATCAAGAAAAGTCCAGATAACTAGTAAAATAGACAAATATTTGATAACGCCTAAAATCCTGCAAATGGCCGTTTTTGTTCTGAAACGGAACTTCGAATTCCCTACGTGAATTTTAGAAAACGCAACGAGAGGCCTTCAGAATTTCCAAAAAGAAGGAACAGAGCAATTTTCAAAAAAAAGCACCTAAAAAATTCAAGCAAGGATTCAGTCAAAATAAGTTTCCAGACCCAAAAAAAAGAATTTCTACCACGCGAATTTCCCTTACCTCCATGCACAATAATGGACCTCGGAGAAACTGTGGCAAGTGACCGGAAGGATCGACGGCCGGCCGGCCATTGTGAAGTCGGAAAAGGCGAAAAGACGCCTTTGTCTAATTAACGCTGAAGCCGTCGAAAAATCGCTGCCTTCGGCGTGGTTTTATTCGAACGTGTAGTAGCTTCTTCGGACTAGTTCCGGTTATAAAAAGTTGGAATGAAATTGAGGCTGTGAAAAAGGAGTTCGTAAGTTTTTTTTATAATTGCAGAAGCTTTTAAAGGCAACTTGGTAACTTATTGTGAAGTTTTTTAATGGCGTGTTCAAAGTGATTCTGCGAAACTCAGAATAGTCGTCACAGAAAAAAAAGATAACTCAGTTTTCGAGAGTCAGAGATAACTTGGCATTTTGCCGGAATTACTTTGAACATCGCATAAAAGTAGTTTTTCAATTTACCTATGAACTGCAATATAAAATCTTCAAAAGAAATAAAAGAAGCATACAAAAAAAAAATAAATGTTGATCAAATTACTGTTTTCAAATAAATTCCGCGAAATGGAAATTGGTCTTTGATGTCTCGAAATTTAATTAATTTTTCTTTCTCTGACGGCTATTTTTTTATTTCGCGGAATCACTTTGAACACGGAATAAACTTATAAACATGAATTATATATACGCGTAAAGTCGTTCAATTTTGGTTCCTACGGCCACAACGGTCAAGCTTACGCAACATTTTTTTATTTGTAGAATTAAAATTTTGAAAAATGCTTTTTTTAAAAGTCGATGCGTTCGAAGTCCAACGTTTTGGGCTCCGACTTCACTCTTACCGTCTCATCATGATCATGTAGCATTCGATGACTGAAATCCATGAAGGTTTGCGATCTTCTTATTATTTAAAAAAAAACCTCAAGAAAATCGCTATAGTGAGTTTGAAAGATTCCTAGTGAGAAGGGCTATAGAAACATGACTAATTAGAATATGAAAAAGCTTGTTTTATTGACTTTTATCAATTGTGCGTGAACATACTGAAAGCCAACAGACGATGAAAACAATTAGAAGGAACGGGTAAATGGACTGCTCCCACTACCTGGACGGTAATAATGACCCGTCACAAGTTGTTTCGCTTTTTTGCGACGTCCTCTTGAGTCGAAAACGAGTTGCCGAAGCTTCCGACGCTATACGAGGTGTGAAATGTTGCCCAGAATGTGTGAATCGTTGGTTTTTCAAAGAATTTTCTCAACTTTTTCTTTAGACCCTTAGTTGTATTTCAGAAAGTTTCCAGAAAACAGAAATAGAAATAGTATCAGTAAGACGAAAACTGTTGAAAAAGTACACAAGTAGGCCTTTAGATTTAAAAATACGGTTTCATAAATGAAGAAATATAACACAGAAGACCTTTTTGACTGAACTAAGGACATTCAGTCAAAATCAAAAAAAAATTTTATCCATCAATAGCTTTACTCAACAAAACAAAGCTGAAAAAACTGCAAATAATATCAAAGTATGCTCGTTTTCTGAGTAACTAAAAGGATGAGAACCAAAAAAAAAAAATGTAAAATACAAAAAATAAGGAGCAAAGAAAATATACACAATCGATGAGCAATAAAATAAGGAAAAACAAAAAAGGCGCATGGAAATCGAGACGTTTCAAGGGGATTTCTCAAGGTGAAGAAGTTCAGCGAGCAAACAATCGGGTGAGGCCCACGCAATGGTCTTCGAGGACTTCGACATTTGTTTTACACGATAACCCACTGATACGAAGCCGATGCGCAGCCAATAACCAATAAGTTGGCGATTTCATTCAAAATGCCGATTTCATTGATGGAAGGACCTTCGGAGAGAGCTTTTCGTTTTGAAAGTTCGAGCTAATAACAGAATATTTTTCCGTCCAAGTCTGGAAGAATGAAAGATCTATGTGTGAAAGTGTTTAGTGAAAAAACAGCGGCGATGGCAGGTTAAATCCCTCTATATTTTACGAGCCGAAAAACGTGCCGTCCGACCCGGCAATTAGCCTCAAAACCACACAAAAAAGATTTTTGCCTGATTTAGGTTGTCGAATCGAAAATATTTACTGCGAGAAGAAAACATGATATCATAGCAAAATTTTTTTAAGTCGTACTGAACCTGATTACTGATGTTTGGTAGAGTCATGAGCATTTAGAGTAATCGTGAGCCAGAAAACTAGGGCCTAGCGGACATTTTCTAGCTATTTTCAAAGCTCCGAAACAATATATTTTCACTAAAATTTCACACAACTCTGGGTTACTTCAAGAAAATGTTCAAAAGAAACTTTTAAATTGTTGGGTTTTTGATAAATTTTGCAGCAAGCTTCTCTCTGGCTCTCTCGAGAAGCCAAAAATCCTCAGAGAGAAAAATAAAACCAGTGAGAAGAGTAGACGTCAACACTCGAAGCCACCACAAAAAAAAACGGTTTGATAAAATGAGAAGTCGGCGATCGCGTCGGGACCCGCCAAAGCCGTCCGAAGACCGTTCAAAGCGCTCATAAAACGAATGGAATCTCTGGAAAAGAGGCAAAAAGTTGAAGGAACGCGGATTCGTTCGTCTCACGGCAAGAGATTTTTCTTGCCGACGGCCTCAACTGGTTGAAACTGACTTGTGATGTAACGTTGACGTCCGCAAAAAAAAAACGTTGCTTGGAGTTTAATTAACTGTACAGTATATACGGCAGTTATTCTTAAAACGGCTATCAAAACAAAATATTATCTTTTTCTGTATTTCGAAAGTTTTCATTATTATGACGTGAGAAGATAATTGGGAAAATGTTTCGACGCCTTTTTCCGGAAAAAGGCGTCGAAAAGTTTTTGAAATGGACATTGTAATGAAGTCGGAAGCTTTCATCTACTTAACCACGCTAAAAAAAAACGTGAAATCATTCGTGATTTCACAACATTTACGAAAAAATTTCTGAACAAATTCAACATTATCTCTCTTCTCTATGCTTAGGGACCGCAAGGCCACACCCCCTCGCTGACCAAAAAACGTCGTATATTTCGTTGCATTTTTGACATTTCATTGTCGTTTATGCAGTTTCCCTGAACCGTTTTGGGAAAAAAATTGATAGACTATGCTGCATAGCGATATAGCCTATGCGGAAAAATATTTCTTTTTTTTTAAATTCTTAATCGTCGGTGTTTTTTTTTTCTCAATCCCAGAGGATAACAATTGACATGAAAATGTTTCTATTCTTCTGCAACATGAGCCCCAATCAAAACATTTATGAAAAAAGCGGATCGCTCGATGGAGGGAGATATTCACAGATGACCATGAGGAGAAGCGTGATGACCGCCGAGGTGAGAGAATATCTGTTTGAAGGCTTCAAAGACTAGTGGGAGGCCGAGGCCAAGAACTAGGCCGGCATTTTTGCGCTCATTCAAATCGGTGGATTTCTCGATGAAGTGGAAGTTGTCGGGTCGAGCGAAGTAGTAGTCGCCGTAAGCTTCCTCCAGAAAATCATCATTGGAGACGGGATAGGCGAAGATTGTGGTGGCCAACAAGAGAAGAGTGAAGACACGGAGCATTCTGCAATTCTATATATCTCAAACTATTTTTATGAGAAGTCAGAAAAAAATGAAAGAGAGAAAGGAGACCCACCTTGACACCACCAAAGCCAACGTCGAATATGAATGTGGGCTGACTTTCCCGAACTGATTCAGATTTAATTCGATATTGCGAATGGTTTCGAGAGCCCTGGGAAACGCGAAGCGATCTATCTCATATCAATCAGAAATTCGAAAGAAGAAAAATAATTGTTCCCATTTATTTTTAGAACAAGAACAAATTTTTAGCAAAACCTTTGAAATGGGCTGCATCTTAAGATAAATTGATTTCGTTGAAAACAAACAGAAATAATATGTATTTCTCAAATAAAAATGACGAATAAATTTAATTCTGTCTCAAAACTTATTATGATAGCAGAAAAAAAATATGTGATTCCATATCATTCCAATTTTTCATATTTTGTTCAGAGGAAATGAGCACTTTGACAAAGTTCGTGATGAATTTATTTAATCTTCTTGATTAATTGAAGCTGTTCGAAAACTACTCGAAACAATAAATCTTGCCTCACTAGGGAACTACTCGGACTCGGGTACGCGTTTAGAGTTGTAACTTTGATGGCTTATAGACCCGGGCAAGAGTACTTGGAAACAAGAAAGATTATCTGCTAAATCCTATAGGCTTCTGAGAAAAAGCTTTTTGAAAATGAACAGTTTAGGCTTGAAAATTATAAAATTTTTGCTTTCCTCTTTCTTTTGGCTGGAAAAAAGTTTCTCAGAGCTTATCATCATCGATTGTATTAAAATATAAAATAAGGTAAAAAGAAGTATTCTGCAAAATGTCAGGCTTAATTTTCACATTTTCTTCTGATTTTTTCTCAGTTCTCTATCGGATTTGGCAGATATTCTCTCTTGTTTTCAAGTATTCTGACTTGGGGTCAAACCACTAAAGTTTCGACTCGAAACGCGTACTCGAGTCCGAGTAGTTCCCTAGTTAGAATTTTTTTACTTTTCAATCAATAGTAAATAAAATAACTGCATTACACATAAAAAGAAGTTTATTGACTGTAATATTATTTCTTCATTTTTTGAAATCTTGAACATCCGAAATCCGAGTAGTTTCCTAGTCAGTGAGTTTTTTTGGACGCATAAAATAATCGTGTTGTCTTTGCAGAACAGACTATTTTTTTTATCATTTGAAATCTCCGGTAGTAGTGTTCATTCTTTTTGACGACCTCTCCCCGAAAGACGAGATAGACTGACAATGCTGACTCGTAGCGCAAGCGAAGCTGATTTTTGAGGTTAAAAAAAAGGTATTTTTCATAATTTTTCAAAAGTTTCATTCATTCATTCAATTAATCCACAACTATAACTTTATAGTCTATAAAACTATTTTAAAAAAAGGTGAAAACTCGCTTTCGATATTGAGCTTCCCACCAAAAAGCCGCGTCGAGTACGCAACATGTTACTCTTGCCTATCTACACATCTCGCTTTTCAAGTCGGGATTTTCAAAATCGACTATATTTCTGATCTATTCAAAAAGAAAATATACAGAAGACAGTTGCAATTGCAGTTTCCCAGAACAGTTTTAGTACAGGATTACGAAAAAAGACATTCCCATGGCGGTCTTATTGTTGTTTGAAAATGGCTTCGCGTTTCCCAGGGCTCTCGAAACCATTCGCAATATCGAATTAAATCTGAATCAGTTCGGGAAAGTCAGCCCACATTCATATTCGACGTTGGCTTTGGTGGTGTCAAGGTGGGTCTCCTTTCTCTCTTTCATTTTTTTCTGACTTCTCATAAAAAAATAGTTTGAGATATATAGAATTGCAGAATGCTCCGTGTCTTCACTCTTCTCTTGTTGGCCACCACAATCTTCGCCTATCCCGTCTCCAATGATGATTTTCTGGAGGAAGCTTACGGCGACTACTACTTCGCTCGACCCGACAACTTCCACTTCATCGAGAAATCCACCGATTTGAATGAGCGCAAGCGTTTCGGAAAAGCTATCCTATTCGGATTTCCAATGATTTTCGAAGGCGTAAAATCAGTGTGGGATATGATCTTCAATCGCGGCGGATGAATCCTTTTCCAATCTTGACGATATGTCTTTATAAATATTTGCGTTAAATTTCTTGTTGACTCGATCCGAGAACAAAGATCACGACTATGCATTTTCTCAAAAGACAAACCAACTTTGCAGATGGAAACAAGGACAGTATCAATCCAATTGTTAAGAAGGATCAATGATTCATTCAAATATGTGAACGACGGGAGAAAAGTTAGAAAGAGAAAATGTGAAAATCGTAGATGAACCGCTCCTTTGCAAGTTCGTACTTTCTCTTGTCACACTGGATGAGCTGAAATTGAAATAATTAACTGAAATACTTTATTCTCTGAGAAAACTTAGAAAACCTTTTGTGTTGCACTTTTTCTCGTGCGATACACAATGTGCAACAAGAAGGTAATCATTATTTTATTGAAGACTGATCAAAACTCTGAAAATGAAAATTCCCACGAGTTCTTCTATGATGATGAGGTTGACCAGCCGTGCAAATGAGGGGTCTCGGCGGTTGTTCCCGTTTTCTACCCGTAGAAGGACAGCTGGTAGAACTGTTGGCCTTTTTATCCACAGTTGAGTCTCAGATTTGCGAAACTAACACAGCTGCGTAATCTTTTTCTTATTGAGCTTGTTGTTTCCCCGTTTTATAATCTGTCCGGATTTTGAATGCCAAGTACAATGAAGTCTTTCTAAAAAACACTTTGGATGGCTCGCTTTCTGGTTGGCTTATGGCGCGATTAGGGGCGGAGCTTGAGCGATGGCTTGACATTCGAGATCTGGACAGACGTACAGCTGAAACTCAAACTGCATCAAAAAACACCCAGGAGCCGTAAAAAAAAGGTCAAAAGTAGAATTTGCACAGTTAAAAGTCGAAAAATATTTTTAACACGATAAATAACTACCGAGCTAAACGCGATGGCGGTATAGTGTGTTCAGATTTTGAATTTCAGGAAGCTAGCTCCGCCCCCAAGGCTACAATATCTTTTGCGTCAATGTTTCATCGCGCGTGACGACGATCCTTCAATAGCGCTGCGAGTCTCTGGACGCGACCTCGCATAGAAATTTTCAAAAATTCCTTTCGAGTACGTGAGAAAACCAAAAAAAAAAAGGCGAGTCCCGCGCGAGGACAAAGACATGTTTGCGAGATCGTCCGGGTACCACCCTCGCCTTTTTTTTCGGAAGCAGTTATCTTCAGTGTACATTTCGGAAACATAACTAACATCTCACCTTTCGAGGTTAACTCTAGTTGGAATTCTGAACGAACCCTTTGACAAATCTCCATCTCGACGATGACGTATCGCGGCGAAGGGAAGCCGTAGTCTCGCGGCGTCTTCAGTTTCAGCTGCTCATTGTCGGTTCGGAACGGATACGCTTCCAGCCACTTGAACAGCTGCTTCTGCCGCCGCAGAGCTCCCATTCGGATCGTGTATCTAAATGATTCTAATCTAAAAACGAAAAGCCCTAAAAAGGAATCGAGCCCTAAACCATGCTGCCAATTGCAATCGATGGCAACTTGGCGCATAACATTAGCGTATCGCGTGCAGAGCCATTTCTTGCGCGGAAACTTTGACATTTCATAAATCCGCTAAAAGGCAGAAGACGTAAAAATGTTTTCTTGTTCTGGGATCAGCGGACCTGAAAGTACATCTCAGCAAAGTTTCATCAAACCCTCAAAATGTGCCTTCTTCTCTTGTGAGAATGCCCCATTTAATTAGAAAAAAATTATCAGCCCAATTAGAGAAAAGCCTTTCTGAAAACAAACTCGCTTGCAAAACTGATCCTTCAGATCTCGGTCGAAAACATCTTTTTCGATGGTACTTATGCTATGGCAGTAGCGCGAAATAGAATCTGGAAAAAGTTTTTGGTCATACTTTGAAGAAATATATCAATTGATATGTTTCAGAAGGGAGAGAAAAGAAATTCTCACTCATGTTGGTCTTTTTGAAGCCGCCGTCATTCATTATGTAGCCCGTCTCGCCCAAGAAATCCTCCTCAGAAATCTCAACAAAAAAGCTCCAAAACTGTTCTTCTTCTCGAGTTCAACCTTCAATGCTTCTCGTTGGCTATCTGTCAGTTTGAAAGCCCGGTCTTTGTGAAAATCCAAAGCTTCAGGAACTAATGTGAAGGAATCCAAGTCTTTGAAATCTTTCTGAACTCGGAGAATAGTTTTTATTTCTCTCCGATTTGCAAACAGTGACAAAAGCGTTCAGGATTTCGGAGAACAAGACGGGCATCGCGTTCAGAATCTCGTCACGCTCTTTTTCCAAGCCTACGAAACAGCTCAGCGAGTGCAGCTGAATACATACAGTACTTTTGGCAAATGGAAAACTCACGCGTGTCGTAGAACTGAGAAATCAAAAAGAAACTAACATAATACCACCGCAAATTCTTGGCGACGCTCTCTAAAAACCCGCTGTCCGATCTTCCAGCAACGACGTTTGAAAAGTCCGAATTGATGGACATCGACTGAAACAAATTCCGTGAAAATTTCAGAGTAGCTGAAAAGAAAATATTTCAGTTTTCAAACTCTGTTAAAACATGGTTGAAGAGAAGATTTAATGCAAAAATTGACATGCAAATTCAAGCTGTATATAGAAAAAAATCTTCATTTTTTTTTTTTGAGATGTAAGCTTTTGACGGAAACTATGAAAAAGTTGATCAAACTCTTAAGGTTAGACCTTGAAGTTGTTTTTGGACTGATCAGGTCCCGAAGAGACTGACATACCTCATTGATGTAAGAAACGACGTTGCGATCGCTTCTTGTTATAGAGAATGGCTGGTCGAGTTCGTTCCTCAAAACGGCCGGTTGGATAGGACATCTCTTCCTGGAACTTGTTCCTGAAAAGGCCTCAGAAGACCTGATTCTCACCAAACTTTAACGAGGTTCACAAGATTCATAAAGCGCTTCACGCTGGAAAAATCAGAGAAACTTCTCGATACTGAAAAACGCGTGAAAAAAAGACGACAAATAGAAACGACTACCCGGCTGAAATTGAGCAAAACGAGCATGTCTGACCAGTTGTGATGGACCTGCTAACGACATTTTGATTTATAATCTAAAAAATGGTTCAATGATTTTGAAAAGGTTTCCCAAAAGTCATGCAGAACGAATAGATTGGAATAAACAATAAAACAGGAAAAGTCAGAATTGTCAAAAAAAAAGTCTCCAAATGTTTTTTTAGAGCGACAGAGTTTCCTTTTTTGCTGTCTTCTTGCGGCATTTCATCGGCTCTTGTGCACCATTATTGCTGCCTCTCCCCTTTTCAAACAATTTCTTGAGCCTTAAAAATTCTGAAGAAAAAACTGGAAGACTCGATAAAGGGTCATCCACCACTCCTCCTCTGCCCGAGAACGATGAAAGGTGCATAAAAGCCCATAAAATGGCACAGAAAGGCAGCAAAAAAGGAGCCTTCGTCACCCTAAACGGAACATTTCCAAAGAGCGTTTTTTGACTTTTTCGACTCTGCATTTGCAAGAATATTAAAGTTTATAAAATAACGCATTCCCATCCCAAATAAGAACGCAATTTGAAATCAATTATTTTCTTGTGTTTGTAAGCAACACTTTACGATGAGCATTTCTGAAATAGCTATCCTGCAATTATTTGTATCCTCCTCCCGATTGACCCGATTCCTCTCAAGGAACTTCGCCTTTTCTACGCTCTTCACCGGACTCAAGCTTCAAAATGTTGGACTCCTTATTCTCAATACGAAAAGCTTTTCGGTTCGCCGGCTCCAGTTACACAACATTTAACATTCAACACTTGATACCGGCCGACGTATCTCCACACCAGCAAAAAGCAACGGCTAATTGGCAACTCAGGTAAACCAAGGAGCCCCGATGCCGACATCCGCATTCCTCCGGACAACTTCCCACGTCGACAACTACACATGGGTGAGTCCAACAGCAGAAAAAAACACTAAAAAAATTCTTCGAAATCTTTGAAAACGACAGATCTTCCAAAAAAATTAATATTTAAGACAAAAAAAGTAAGGAATGATTATATTACTATTTCTCGCGATTTCTGTCGCCAAAAAAATGATTTGACATTGGAAAACAATGAACAATATAAAAATGAAAAAGTACCAGAAAAGTTAATCTCCAAAATGAGAATAATTTGTCCTTTTTTTAAATTTATTTTTCGAGTTTTACGGGAAAGAGAGCTCAATAATGCGGAAAAAAAGGCGCAAAAAAATTGTTACTTCTGTGCTGAAACGTTCATTATTTGATTTATTTTGCAATTCCTCTTTCGAAATTCTCAGCTGTGAAGTATTAAAAAAACGCAGAAGTTTTCAATAAAGTGAAAAAATAACGACTCATCGATTTTTTCTACATGAAACTGCATCGTTGCAATGAGTAAGATTTTGGTACCTCTGGAAAATCACCGGAAAAAAACACAGAATGACAAGGCTTTCTCCTGTCCTAATCCTTGATAAACGACAGGAAGAAACTCGAGCACGACGGTTCCCTGCGAGATCTGCGGCGACCGCTCCTATGGACGACACTACGGCCTATGGACCTGCGACGGCTGCAGTTGCTTCTTCAAACGCAGCGTCCGCCGCAGCATCACCTACTCCTGCATTTGTGAGTGAAGGCTTCTCTTTCAGATTTCTGGATTCAGCCGGCAACAACAACTGCGTCGTCGACAGAACGAGACGAAACTGGTGTCCGGCCTGCAGACTCGCCAAGTGTTACAAGCTCAACATGAACGCCCAAGGTGAAATCGAGACGGATTCTCTAATCTCAGCGATTTAGCAGTTCAATCCGAACGAGGTCCCAGACAAACTGCGCGTTCAAGAAGGTCAAACAGGAAAGCCAGCCCGAAAACTGATGAAAGCAAAGTCGATATTGATCTGACGTCGCTCACAACCACTTGTGAGTCATTTGATTATCCCTTGAAGCGATCGATAATCAATTCTGACAGTTAGTTTCTTTCTGAAAACCTCTTTCACTCAAAAAATGGACCTATTGGGACGCTCAACCCCCTTTTTCGTTCTTAACAGTGGTTCACCATGTCTTTTAAATTGCCATGGATATTAGGTCGATGAAAATGGTTTTAATTACGGTGAAGCTTTGAGAGTTCGAATTTGCACAACTTTTTCGTTTTGAGAGCTTGTTCTTCGAGTATTCGAATATAACTCACAGTCGATATATTCAAGCCTTCCCGACTTGAGAGTCCTTGGTTATGCAGCACAACTCCAATTCAAGCGCCACCCACTATATAAAAAGCTCGGTCATCGCTTAATTTGTATCTTGATGCACAAATGAAAAGAGCGATGAACGAGCTCCCCAAATAGTCGCTGGCGGTTGAATTGAACTTGTGCCAAGACCGCCTCCCTCCCATTACAAGTTGGGAAAACTTGACTATATTTACGCAAATTTCAAGGTTTTGGTTTCAAAAGTGTGCATTAAACAAAGAAATTAGCCTAAAACCCATATTTAAAAACTAAAGTTATAAACAAAAACTGAGTTTTTGCGGAGGTAGCGACTATGATGAATCTTTATTTGGACCGGAGGATGTTTAAAAAAATACTTCGAGATTTCCAGACAACACTGAAATGAACGTTCTGAAGTAGAAATACCATTCAAATCCTGAAAAAAACGTGATAAACACCTTTCTGGGGTGCTCCAAACGAATCTCAAGCTCTGGGTCTCTGTTCGTTTCTAACCCCCTTGCGATGCAACGAAAGTAGTTCGATCAAAAAAGAAGAATCCGAAACCTCAATGCCGGAACGTTCAGACGACTCGCTCTTCGCAGGAACCTTGTCTCTCTCGTCGCAGTGCGTCCTGCTGTCCTTCATGCCCGTCGAGACACGCAACGAACTCGTTCTGACGCACCGCCACATCTTCTTCGCCTTCATGTTGGCCACCAACTTCGAGCCAACTGTTCGACAACTCACAGTCCGTCAACTTTTCCTTCTAGATCGATTGAAAACTTTCAGCCGAGCTTAGAGATGTCTAAATCCGTTCTGCTGAGCTCCGAGGAAGTCCGTCTTGGCATATGTCTTCTTTGGTGCAAAATCGGTACATATTCCACACGCTACGAGACGAAAAACATCTATTGACATCGAAAAATCTTGAAAGGACGCCATGATTTTCAGGCGCCTTGGCCCCAAACCGAGCTCTCAACTTCGCGGTGCCTTTGGCGGTCGTCTACGAGCTCTGGCTGAGACGACACTCGGCGTTGCACACTTCTCCGGAAGTGGCCGAAGGCGTGATCCGCCTGGCGGAGCAGGTCTGCGAGCGGCAGCCGTGGCAGCTAGATCATCTCCTCTCAAAAGCCTCAGAAGTCATCGCCGCCGAGTTCTTCGCCGCACTCAACGTCCTCACCGCTTCAGGACTTATGATTCAACCGTTTCGCATTGAACATTGAAAAAGAGAACTGAATTTTGTTCTATTCAGAACAAAAATAAACCTTTACAAATAAAAACAACTGTTGACATGAATCTTTTGAAAGATGGTTAAAAGCGAGACAACGCTGAAACTACTAGAAATGAGCGTGAATAAATAAATGAATAAGGTGATTCTGGGTTTTTGAACGGCTATATGAAGTAAAAGAACAGAAAGCTATGGAAAAAAAAGCAAAAATATTTTTCTCTACTGTGTAATTTTTTTGTTTTAACAAGTTTTTGGAACATAAATTTGAAATAGTCGTGGCTCGAAGACCTCACATACATAGTTCAAACTTCGCGAAGAAGTTTCCACACTTCAAAACAATTCCCACATAAATTATTTATTGAAAAAAAGATCTATAGTACCGACAAAAAATTAAAATTATAACGCAAGCTTCAAAAAAAAAAACACACATTTCTGAACGGAAAAAAGACGGTAAAACGAAATAAATATGAAACAAGATGACAACATAGATTTATTTGTGATTTAACACAGATATTAGGGATATTAAGAATAAAATGGAACTCTCTGAACGGAGGTTCTCGTCATGCTTTTAGATTTTCAGACGCTTAAATAAACAAGGGAAAAAAGTATTCGAAAAGCTATGGCATCGGTTGATTTGTGAAAAATATATTGATAAAGGTGTAACCAATTGAGAGGGGAGGAAGAAAAATGAAAATGATATGGGCGAATTGTGCGATGAACTGTACTCAAGCAGCCACTTTTCAGAATGCAGAAGACGGAAAAAGGAACGGGATGATGAAAATATTGGGCTAAAACTAATTGGAAAAACTTTAGCCGCGGTGCAAGTTCCAAACAAGCTCCATGAGGACAATTCAACCGATTTTGCGAGAAAAAAGTTTGATCTTGAAAAATAGATCGCATGAAAACAAGAAATGATATCAGAACCTTTGGATACCGGGAATTTCTAAGAATCGTTAACAAAGCTTCTTGGTCTTAAAGTGTCGAGAAAAAGAAACCGGCAAAAAGGAAAAAACCACAAAAAAAGTGGCACAAGCAAAAAAAAAGAAAATGAAATGAAAGCTAGCGAAAGCTTCGAGTGAAGAAAAATCAAAAATGATAAGGACTGATTCGATTCTAAAAAGAAACCTTAGCCCGTCATTCCTCGCACCTGAAATTATTCCTTAATAGGTAAAGAAATAAATTTTCAAACTCTTTTTAGAATCTAAACTGAGAAAAAGAAAATCTTTCTTCGAAAACTTTGACATAACCTTTTCTAAAATTATAAAAAATGATCTCTAGGTTCGGGATGCAATTATTTCGGAACTGTTTTTTTTTTCATACAAAAATGAGCTGGAGTCGTGTATTTAGACCATTGAAAGTGTTACACTTAAGCTTTTGCTTGAGATTATAATTCAAAAAAATTTTGAAAAACAATCAGATTGATAAAATTCACGATTTTTTTCATCAACGGGATGCCAAAAAAATATGGTAAAAAAATTAATTTTTTTGTGGCGAGTTCAACTTTTCTGTAAACAATTTTACTAAATTTGGAAAATAATCTTTCGAAATCGTATTTTTCAGAAAATTGTTTCCAATGGAAGGTCGTTCAAAATAATGAAAAGAATTCAAAGAGAAACCTGTCCGCTCTTGCGTTGCTCCTCGAGCTCCCGCTGAGCCTTGTCCTCGATGGCCCTGATGTCGGTCATCGTGAGCCCGTGCCACTGGTCGATCCAGCAGAAAACTTCTCGGTGGAACTTGGAGAACAGCCGCGGATATTGCTGAAATCGGCTTTTTCGTCGAAAAAATGAGAAAATTCTAGAGAAAAAACTAATCAATACCCGGTTAAAAAAACTTCTAACTGCTGATTTATGGCAAACGATCAAAAAAGATATTTCTTAAAAGTATATTTATTTTGCATTACAAGGCTTTTTGATGAAAATTAACATACATGTCAGAAAACGTCAACTTTCCTGTTTTTTTCGAGTTGTTTTGGAATTTCTTGAGAAGCAAAGCTTTGAGAAGTTAAAAAAAAGTTAAGAACTAAAATTTTTCCAGCAAAGACACAGTGAGAGATAAAAAGAAAAAAAGTAGAAAAAAGAAAGAAATTTACAGCATGAGCGTAGCCCTCGACGATTTTCTGGAAGCCGAACCACTTGAAATAGACGGTAACGAGTTTGTAGGCACACATGACGGGTTGCGCTGTTTCGCGCCAATTTCCTTTCAAAGGACCTCTGGAAAATCCGAGGTAAATCCAATCACAAACTGGAGATATTAAAACTGAAGAAAACATTTTTTGGATCAATTTTTCGGAAACTAATATCCAACTCCCGATTGCCGCTCACGTTTTCGCTTCGGCTAAACTAAAAAAAAATCAACGATACCTACTTTACAGCATTTCTTAATTTTACCTTTTGCTTTTGCTAACCCCGGTCGCGCTTTCTATTTTCCTTTTATTTGAAGTTTTCACTATTTTAATTATGTTCTAATTGTTTTTGTGCCAAAAAAGTGACTAGCATTGCTTGAGGATAGAGCTCTCCATCAGGAACACCTGAAAGTCGAGTACTTCGGTATAAAATATATTTTGAACTATGAAAACATCGTAACCGTGTACAGAAATAAGAATTTCATCGAATCTGAGCATCTTAAAGTTAGACCATCCTCTCAGAGGCAACAATTGAAGAATCATCGAAAATCTGATAACATTTTTTAATAAATTGAGCTTTTTATAACTATTGGGAAATAAGATCTTGCCTGCCAGTTTTGGAACTGATAAAAGTGCCAGGAGTTGTGCTTGGCTGGATGTCAGAGGAGTTGAGGAATTCGTTGTCGTTGGCTATGTTAATATTGATCACTTCGCGCTTCGCCAGTTCCTCGGCACCCAAACCGTGCGCCTAAAACATTAAGAGAGTGACAAAAAAAACAAGAAAGAAGAAAAATTAGGATACGAAAATGAATCCAGCTTTTAGCCACATAAGCGAATAGAGAAAAAAAAAAGAAAGCTTTGCCAATTCGAATGAAAAAAAAAAGTTTCGAAACTTGACAGATAAATAGCCCGAAAACTCTTTATTAAGTTATCGCTAGCTTTTATGGAAAACAAAAATTTTTTAGACATTCTACATCATAAACTTCAAAATCAGTCTATATACTTAAAGAAAACTAGCAGGAAACTGGTGAACTGTAAAAAACCAACATTTTCGGTGGTTCCTCGGTCGGGCAAATGAATCGTCTCGATTTTCACGAAAAAGTTCTCCTTCATGTAGTCAGGGTTCTGAAAATGTCACTACTTCTGAAACTTGAGATCCGATCATCGAAGAATTGAAAGACAGAAAATGAAACGAACTGTGACAACAGTCCTGCAGTAAGGGTACGCATTCCAAGCCTCTTCGTGGATCGCCAAAGAACCCTTTGGCGCGATTTTCCGCAAAATCGATGGCACTTTTCTATAAAAGTCATTTTCCAATCAAGAGAGATCAACGCACTGAAAAAATTAAAAAATTCCTATTTCTTCTTTGGCGAAATTTATTTTCGAAAGTGAGATTCAGTGATATTTTCGCAAGCAATTACTGGGGCAGTCCAACGCTGCAAAATATGAGAAATAAAAGAGAACATACGATTGCAAATGATAAATTTTGTGGGTATATTGCCCCTGACTGTACTGTCCGTTCAACAACGGCTTCCCATCAAACGGCTCGTTTTTCCGGACCTGAAAGTTTAGTTTTTTTCATTTGAAAATTGTCATACTGATCAAAAAATTTACAATCGAACTAAATTGAAACTTTTGACAGTTAGGAAGCGAAGAATATATCGCCACTTGCTACAGGCTGCTTCTAGTTGTCCCGTATTCGGAAAATAAATACATTTAACAAAACATTAATTTGACTACTAGCACTGAAATAACAGTTGATTATCAAGTATAAAAGCGAATAATGCCTTGTAATCATATAAACGTCGGCATCTTTAATATTTGAATGTCGTCCGAAAGAACCAAAAACGAAAAAAGCAGAAAACTACCTCGACGCCTTCTCCACCGCCCGTTTCCGCCTTGGAGGCTTCGGCGACGGACCAAAGTTGTCCAACTTGGTATTCCTCGACGGACATCGGCAGAACGACGCGACTTAACCAAAAATTCGTTATTTTATTCTTTCTCATGACTTACTATTCCTTTATAATCATTCTGAAGGCGCTTCAAGAACTGAAACTGACAAAATGAAACGCTCGCGCAGAGCCTGAAAGCTATCCTTTAAAAAAAAACCCGGAATCATCACAACGTGAATCGCTGAATACTATAAAATGGAAACTTTGACGGAACCTCCCAAATAACGCAAAAAAAAGGACACGTGAAACCATGGAAACCAGCAGATTGTGTCAAGTTAGGCTTGTGACGCAAATTGTTTTGTAGAAATGAGGAACTCATCAGTTCAAAAGATTAAATTTGGAATTCAAAGCTATTATTACTCGAAAACCTTTTTAAACAGCTGTAGTTTTTTTCAAAGGTTTATTCGATCAGATCGTCGATCTTCGTTAGGCAATTTAAAAAAATAACCAAGACAAAAAAATTTTTTTGAAACGAAACTTCAAAAAAACTAAAAAAATAAAAAGAAAATCTTATGTAGAAAAAGAAAGTTTTATTTTTGACATAAAAAGTTGAAAAAAATTTTCGAAAATGAATGATAGCTTTTTTTGAAAACTAAAACTAGTTTCCATTAAAGCTTAGACTATAACTTAAAATTATTTTTGTTGATAATTAAAATAAGTTGAGCAACTTAGAAAACTCAATGAACGTTTTTTGTACAATTATCACATTGTTAAATAATTTAATCACAAAACAATTGAGAAAAACGCAACTAAATGTGAAACCCCTAAATTATTATCATGAAATACAAAATACAAGAAGAAAAGTCCAGAAAAACGAGCTACTCAAGTGATTCCAGTGAAAAAGACCCGAAATCTGCAATTTGACGTCATTCCGTCCCACATGCCCCATGATTTTGAAGCATAATGTGTTTTGCTGGTAGCGAGAACGAAGCGTTTTTGCTTCAAAATAACCTGAGGGTGTTAGAAACATTTCCAGTTGGGCAATAACAAAAAAATTGAAAACAAAAAAAGAAGATAAATTTTTGCACTTAAATTATTTTTCAATGTTGTTAGGTTTCTTGAATGAATTCTCTAACTTGTTTCGCCGCGTATCTCAAGTTGTCTCTTGAGAAGAAAAATTAAATTTTTCTAAAGCTTTAGAAAGTTTTTAAAAGTAATTTTTTTATCGGAATTGCTTTTTATCTGAAAAAAACTGCTCATTTTTCAAAGCACAGTATCAGAGGCATGTCAAAATATCATAAAAAGAGAAAAAAAAAGAGTCAAGCAACCAAAAAACTTTTAAACGAAGAAATCAGTGGAGGAACGTCAAATAGTTGAACAAAGGAAGAGCTAGGTGAGTGGAAGAAAAGGCAAGTCGAGCATTATGCGGATCGATACCACAAAAAAGCCTTCCGACTTTTCTGCAGACTTCTGCGTGTTCTTCTCCTGCCAAGCCACCAATATTTTCCCCACTGCCGGGGGCCATCAGAAAAAATAGACATTTGTTTATTCCGCGGCATATGCAAAGGCAATCAAACCAGAGCAAATTATTAGGGAAAAAAATCCTTTTTTTGAATGAAAAAAATAGTTCTAAATTTATATAACTTATATATATAATATAAGTCCTCAGAAAAATAAACTTTTTTTAACAATTATATAATTATAATAATTTGAAAAGTCCGCTTTTTTTCTCTTTAGACTGTAGATAATTTAAATATAAACAACAAAAAGAGAAAAAGAGAAAAACAACAAAAAAATCGCAACAAGAAGGAAATATATGACATCAAGGGACGTAACGAACTTTCTCTCACCTACGGAGACACAAAGAAAAGAAGAAAATCAGCGACGTGACTCACTTTTTGTTGTCTGATGGCGCCAGAAACTTGACAATTCATGAAGTTTACATCATTTTTGACAGCGAAAACTATTAGTTGTCGTGTCGGAAAATGTCGGAATTTTATAATCAAAAAGTCTGGAAAAAAATGTTCATAAAAAAATTGTTCCATGAGCTGAAAATTACTATGTGAAATACTTTTTTTCATGATTTTTTTCACCCATGCTTCATTCAGTTGAAAAAAATACTTTTTGATCCAAAGTTGATAAATAAAAAGTTTCTTGCGAAAAACCTGTCACCAAAGTTGTGTTTGCCGTGTCTCATGAAAAATTCCGAAAAAAGGCTGTTGCCAAAATATGTCATGGAGTGACTGAAGCGTGGTCATCCAACTATTTTTGTTTTCTTCAAAATCGACAAAAAGGTTATTGACAAATTTTTTTTTTTTTGAAATTGCAACCAAAAGCTCGGAGTCTACTAGTTCGTGAATAAATTCGTAAATAGGTTAGAAACTCAAACTATTGTGAAACTTAGTAAGTCCCTAGTACAATATTGTGGAATAGTGAATCGAGAGTCGTGCAAAAAATTTCATCCAGTATCACACATTTTTTTTCAAATTATAGAAACCCATCATTGATGGAAACAGCAAGAGTCAAGTTTTACCAAGCAAATTAAAAATAATAATCTGTGAATGAAAAAAAAAACGTTGAGTCTTCTCGCATGCTGAGCAGGGTAACCCCGCCGTGCTAACACGGGGTCTCCGCGGGTGCCCCCGTATTAAACCCGTATAAGCCCAGCTGATAGAACTTTTGGCACTTTTTAGCCCAACTGAGACCCCGCTTTAGCCCAGCTGGGTTACCTATTTTTCTTACACCCGTTGTTCCCCCGTTTTAGCCCAACTGAGACTAAAATAACCTCAGAAACACGGGTTTAATACGGGTACACCCGTTGAGACACCTGCTCAGCATGCGAGTTTAACCGAGGGATCGGAAAAAAAATATTTGAATATTTGAAACTGGAAACTTTTTGGCATTAAACAGGAAGAAATGGCAGTTCTTCTTCCGATGCATAATTCTGAGCGGAGATGTTATCTGAGTCAAAATTAACGCGTGGGATGGCGCTCACAGCGAAATTTCTTCCACGTTCTTAGGCAAAATAACAAGATCTATTGAAATCGAAGGGTGGGAACCGCCGACTGTTATTGAAAACAAATAACCGAAAAATTCGCATCTCGTCAAAATGAAAGGTTCTAATAAATAAGACGTGTAAATATCCTGTTCTTGCGAGTACGCGATAAAAACTGAACACATAATTTAAAGCCTCGTGAGGAATAGGCTTCCATAGATTTTTTCGTATATATTTCACGCCATCTTGTCTCGTTTTTCTATTTCTGAAATGAAGACTATAAGAACTTGCTTTTTGCTGTCTTTTTTTTCAGTTTTGTAGAGCGAAAGTGCAAAACAAAGCTGTATTTACGGTAGCTTTTTTTCTACTGTATTTTCGAAACGCGACCGTCTCGAGCGGAATATACAATGAAATTTTTTTTGCAAAAGGGCAATACTTTAAAAGAACTTTTGACCTGCTCCGATGCGGTGGTTGTGCGTTTTTTGAATCGATAAGCTCCTATTTCTTCCGCTTTTTCTTTCCCTTTTCTCTCCGAGCAGAAATTTCATTGCATTGATTTAATGGAACACAAGAACTTCTTTCCCTAGATTAATCAAAGAAAAAAATCTGTAGGCTTTCGTACCGAAATTCTTCAGATAAAAGGTCTCACGATGGACACATTATGGGGTCTTCACGATCCATTTTGAGAGGTACCTTTGTAGACACATTATGGTACCCTCTCGATTCGCCTGTGGAAAACAATTACTAAAATACCCATCTTCGATACCTGGAAGGTTATGAAATCACAGTTTCAGCCTTGCGAGAAGCTACCACGTTTTTTCAACTTACAAGCGTCTGGTGAATGGAGTGGTGTGAAAGTTTCTTCATCAGAGACGAAAAAACAGCTTACTTGATTCAAGATGAAGTTACTTTTTGATGTTAATAAACAGTTAACCCACAACCAAAATACTTAAGAGTGCTCTAAGTCGCCACACGAAAAATCGGAAAGCAATGAAAAAAGATAAAACATTCATTACATTCCATATAGACCCGCAAGAGTCCCGTTTAAAAAAGCAAAGAACATATTGCGCATATAGTATGGCAGTCTGCGTGATAGATTCGATATTGTTGAAACATTAAATGAATTTGTACAGAATAACAAGAAAAGAAAGATGCAAATCGAAAGCGATGAACAGTTAAGACGAAAACAAAAATTGAGCATGAAACAAAAGAACGAGATTCAGAGCATAGATCCGTTGGAAATCATAATGAGGAATTTCAAATTGGCGAATTCTTCATTCGCCAGCGCTTCGACTTGGGGTCCATGCGGCAAATGCCAGTAAGAACTCGCCGGAAAGCTTCCTGTTCGTACTTGCCGACACACTGTAAACAGTCAGCTCACTTTTCAGTTTCTCTTTCAAAAAACTCACAAAATGTTCCACTATTTGGTTAGAAGTGGCCGATCTAGTCAACGTTGAATTCAAAAATTCTTCGATTTTCTGCTTCGTCGTCTCGTTGTATTGTGGTGTCTAGAAAGTTTAATTTTCAAACATCCAACTTTATCTTATCATTAGCGTTTTGAAATTATTTCCAAAGGTTCAAATTTTTCTCAAAAAGAAGACGAACCCCGGGGACATTTGCATAGTCCATTTTGCGTTTCTCCATGACCATCGTCTCCAGGCCACTGCGCTTCTTCCCGCGCGCCGGCGGTTTGGACGCAAAGCTGCTCTGCTGCTCGCGGAACGCCGAGACGACAGGTCTTAACCAGGGCATGTCTCCATAATTCAAAAAAGTCAAGAACTTTTGGGCGACGCTGTCGGCGGCCCTCTGCGCAATGAGTTTGGCGTTGCTCTGCATCAGCTCGAAGGAGAGCAGCGACTCGCCGACAAGATCGTCGTGTTTGATCACGCTCCGAACGTTGGCGCATTCCAAAACTTGCGACATTATGAAGTCCTCTTCTTTTGACTTTCTTAAACGGTTCAATTGGGGGACATTAAAAAATTTTAATAAAATCGCGTAGCTTTTTGAACTACTCGTATAGAGCGGAATAACGAAAGGATACATGCCTGAAGCCTTACGTTTTCGCAGCAGCTTCTGTAGTTTTTTTCTGTCGTTCCACAGTCTCCCCAGAGACCAAAGCGCCGGTTTCCGTTCCTGATATGCTCTGAAAAGTTCATGTACAACAAAACTTTGATTTTCTGATTGACAGCTGAATGAAGAGCGAAAAGCTCACGAAGCACGGCTCGAGACATAATTTGCGTTTGTCGCGCATCTTTCAGCACTCTTTTTGAGAGAAACTCCTTGTGGATCTGTCTGAAAAGAGTTGTCCTCTGAGATGCAGGTTTCATTACAGATTCATTAGAACATTAGACGGCAGTCCTCACTAAATAACTAAAAACACTCAGACTTGAAACAAGAGTTGTTCAACATTCAGAAGAGACAGAAACTGAAAAAGTATGACACTTTTCAAATGACAAAAAAGGAAGAAGCCGTTTTCCAATTAGCTCCAACTTGAAACATCGCGACGGTCGCACGTGAATTAGCTCAAAAATACTTTTCGGAACATATTCTTTAGGTAGACTGATATCAAGCAGCTTCCTTTAAAATGAATTTTGAGATCCACACGACTGCCAAATGTCTCGTTTCATTAATCTGAGAAAGACTCATCAACTGTACACTGATTTTTCTCTTCAAAAGCAGAAATGATTTCCAATATCGTCAAAAAAGGAGGATCTATGAACCTTTGATAGATCTTCTCTTCAATAGTGCCAGAGAGTAACAATCGATAGATTTCGACGGTCCTCGACTGTCCGATTCTCCAGGCGCGTTCTTTGGCTTGTGAATCTGTCGAAGGATTCCAATCCGGGTCGAAAATGACTACCTGAAATCCGAATTTATATTCTCTTCGAAACAATCTGCACCTTATTAGCAGCCGTAAGGTTCAAACCGACGCCACCAACCTTTGTCGTAAGCAAAAAAACACTGATTTTCGGGTCCTGGAAAAGTTGGTTACTGAAATAATTTTAACGTTCACATTCAAAAAAATTTAGCCACATATCGAAATTCAAAAAAATTCGCATTATAAATAAAAAAAGATTATAGATTTATAAAAAAATATAAAACCTCATTGAACTGGTTAATCTTGGCCTGTCGATTGTTCACTGTTGTGGTTCCATCCATTGTCAAATAGACAAACTTTTTTCTTTCTAAAAGTTTTCCCAGAATCTTCAGAACCTCCCGACTTTGACTGAATACGAGCACTTTCATCAGTTTTTGCTGAAAGAAATGGTTAAAAACTTAGTATCATAGAAATCCTAAAATTATTATCATTTATTTATCGGGTACGACTGAAAAAGCTTATTATAATGCGATTTTCTTCAAAGACACATCTTCGATGAAATTGAACCTTTTTCCACTTTTTCAGCAACTGATACAGCACAATCATTTTTCCCGACTTTTCAACTTCCCCGTAATCTTGTGTCGCTTCTTCTCCGTCGCCTAAAAGTATTAGAAATTCAAGAAAGATCCATGAGTGAATGCAATTCGAAAATTGCGCAAAAAAATCAAAACGGACCTTTATAAATATCGGGATGATTGCAAAGTTTCCTCAAAGCGGTGATTCCGATGAACGGATCGATTTGTCGCGACATGATCTTCAAGCACTCGTCAGACAATAAATACTGAAAATCCCGAGTTTACTAACTGGTTCTATTTGAGGCATTACCTGATTGTAAAGATAGGTTTGGAGTTCGGTAAGCTCGCAAAAAACGACCTGAAAACGTTTTTTCTAGGAGGAAATGGTTTTGTAAAAAAGAAAGAGAGCAAAAACCAAATTTTTTTCAGGCAGAATCTTCATTTTTTCAAACCTGCTCCATTTTGGTTGGAAGCTGAAGAGAAGATTGAACGTCAGTTTTCATTCTTCTCAAAATATATTCTTCAACGGCGACTCTAAATTTTTTTCTTTTTTTTTAAAAGTATATATTTTATTAAACAAATAAATTCAGTCTTCAGTTCACTGAAATGAACACCAACTATTTTTTCTCTTCAACTAAATGAAATACTATCCTATTTATGGCTCCCTTGGAAAAAAAGAAAATGCTTTTCAAACTATATGATAGATTTTTTTCGAGTTCCAGCTCAAAACCAACTTCAAAACTTTGGCGCACTCGTATGCGATCGTCTTTTGAGTTTTGGTGGAGGTCGTGTATCCGCCTTGGGAAATCGGAATGATAAACTTTTCTGTGAACGACTGGAGAGTTCCAAGTCGACCAGGGAAAATCATATCGATGAGTGACCTCAAACCATCAATATTATAGGACTTTTCAACAATTTTTTATTCACCAAAGTTCTTCGAGTTTGTTCTGAACCGGGGATCCAGTGAGCAAAAATTTGCAAGGCGTTTCTATCCGTTTTATATTCATTGTGATCTGAACCCCTTTTTCCATTTCTGAACCAATTTTCCGGATGACCTGCGCATTAGGATTCTTCACCAAGTGTCCTTCATCCAAAATAGCGCAGTTCCATTCGACGTCAGACATCAAACCGCTGTTCTTCAGAAAAGTTGAGTACGTCGTAATAACAACCCGTGTCTTACTGAATTCAAAATTGAGAAAATAAACAGTTGAACTTCATGCAAATAAAATTAAAAGCTCGGTTTAAGATTTTCTTATAGTGTGTTCAAAATTTGTCGTTGTTTTAAAATAACATGAAAATTTCGTGAATGAGACATTTTTCAAAGCATATAAGTTTTCCACGCCTTTATCATCAAATGTTTCATGCCAACCTCAGTGGATCTGAAGTGATCTTCTTCAAGAAGCTTGACGCGGTTTTATATTTTTCCTTGTACGAACCACTCCCATGCAGAACGAACACCTGAAAAATAAGGCCGCTCTAGTGTTACACATCTTAACAAACTCTAAATTCTGGAGCCCATTTATGGAACTGAGCGACCCATTGTGCAATTAACGTAGCCGGACTGACGATCACAAAGTTTCGCCTGATTTTATGAAAACAATCGGTAAAACAATAAACACTAGCGCGTTGAAAGAATGAGGTTTAAAATCCGAAACTTACGTTTCTTCATCTCTTTTCGAATCGTGAATCATTCTTAAAAAAACACGATCGTCTGAAAAAAATTATAAATAAATAAAAAAATATCGTCCAACCGAACCTGAATAGTTTTGCCGAGGCCCATTTCATCGGCGAGAATTCCGCCCACTTTCTTCGAATAAAGCCGAGCAAGCCACCTCACTCCTTTTTTCTGGTACCTTAAGGAAAAAACGGTATTCGCTCCCTTTTTTTTATAACAATAAACCCATAAAGCCGATCCCAACTGTCCTTGTTCACTTTTAGTTCGTCGTACACTTTTTTGCACTCTTTATCTGAAGAGTTGATTTCAGGAATCGCACTGAAAAGTTGCAAATATTTCTTGGATAGGGACAAAAAAAACCATATCCTTTCCTGAAAATGAGCATCGGTTGTGTCGTCTCGTACGAGAGCTCTTCTTTTTCTTTCCCTTGTTTGTTTTCTAGAAATTAATTTAATTTATTGCGTATCGTTAATGCGTGCGTATTTTTGCTTAAGCCACAACTCCTACCGCCGTTCAAACACAGTTAACTCAATGAAAGTCGATTGCACATGTATTCTTACATTGAAGATGCAATAAACAGTTTTTAAAAACAGTGTCATTAAAAATCCTACTTTCTCTTCACCGCCGGTGCCTTAACTCTGACGTCATCTTGTTCCTCTCGACCAAGCTCCGCGAAAAGTTCTTCATCAGATTCGCAACACTCTTCTCCACTTTCCGGACAATACTCTTCGCTGTCTTGAATTGACAATTAAGCTTTGAATTTCCATTTACAGTAGTAAAACCATCGTCATCGCTGATCTCTTCATCACTTTGTTCTTCGAGAAGAATTTCATCAAGCTCGTCCGGAGCTTCCAACTTCACATTGAACTCTTCTTCGACAATCTCCCCTTCTTCTTTTTCATCAGTCTCCGGCTCGGCTTTCACTACAAGTGCGGTGTTCATTCTAAAAAATGTGAAAACATTTCAAAGGATTCCTGCTGTTATAGATATCCCTAAGTAAAAAGAACGGAAGAAATAAGAGTGCTAACTAAGAAAGGCCAACAGAAAAAAAAAACGTTTTAAGAGTAAGAAAAACAAATTTGGTCAAGTTTATGAATCATTTTGATTAAAAATTGTCTTTATACACGTCATTGTCATTCGAGAATGGGTTAAAAGAATTTTTGAAAAAAACTTTAAAAAAATCCGTTATATTTATGAGCTCATATGGAGTAGACTATTAAACAGAAAGCCAAGAATTTCCCAACACAGAAATTCAATTATTCTAAAAGCAATTTAAGAATAGAAATTGGAAAAACAAATTTAAAAAAAAATTACTCCGTATTTCGCAATCAATTTTCAGCTCCTGTCCATAGGGCGCACTTTCATTAAAACCGAAAATTTTTTTTTGAAGTTGAAAGTTTAGTATAAAATATATTTCAAATTCATTTGCAATGATTAGAAAAATAATATCTATTTGAAGAGTTAGAAGATGTGTTCGAAAAAAATCACAATGCATAAAAACCCGATACAAACAAGAGAGAAAAATCACAGCGGCGGAACTATTATAGCAAACTTTTTTACAACGGTCTTCAAAACTTATTGAAATAGCTCAGTTACCGAATGTATAAGTACACAGAAAAAAAAATTTAAGTGATAAGAAACATCAACACATTAATCGAATAGCGCCTTGGCTTGAACCCAATAAGAAGGTGGAATTTAGGGGAAGCGGCAAAATAGCCGTCGGAGTTCCTGGAAGTTCGTCGGAGCGGATCTTCGTCTCAATGTTCAAATCAGATCCATTGTATATTCTGAAAAATAATGATTTTGAAGTGGAGAAAGGGAGGAGAAAACCTCAGCATGGAGTTGGATTGCAGCGTAGCCAACATGGTTCCTTGGACACCGGCGGCGGTGACGGCATCGACAAGTTTTCTGGAAAGTTGAAGGCGCGGCTTGACGTTCATCACGATTGCTGGGTCATCGGCGTCGCAAACCAAAAGGTCGTTGGAATCGAGCCAATGCATCTGAAACTATCAGAGACATGATTTTCTTCGTGGAAAACCCACCCCGTTGATGTGAGAGGTGTGGCCATGGGCAAGATATGCGATTTTTCCAGTCCTACCGTCGAGAACGACCACGGTGCCATTAGACAGTCCCACAGTCATCTGTCGACCTCAAAACCGAAGAATTGTAGAACAGCGGTTATGAGTTGGAATGAATACAATCACTTTCCGAAGAGAAGAGGTAAAAACGTCCATTGCCTTGTTGCATACTTTTGTTCTTTCCAAGTTTGAATTTTTCTGGGAGAAAATCCTTCACAAGAGGAGAGAAATAATTAATTATGTCCTTACTAAAAAAAAAAACTCAGAATTGAAAAGAATTTTCCGTTTTGAGCAAAGATAAATACTGCTTGAAATTTTCAAAAAATTTCGATTTCCTGTTTTCTTCATTCCAATTTTAATTTAGAAATGAAAAAAACTAGTTTGAAAAATAAACGTTCGAAATACCAGACTGCCTAGAGGCGATTGCTCGAGCGACTCCCGAGACTGGCGAGACCTTGAGTTCACTTGTCCATCTGCCGACTCTCGTGTCAAACAACCTGAGTTTTCTACTCAACTCTGCAAATTTATCGGGAACCTACTTGACTGAAGGATGTAAGCTAGAAATTGCGGCAAGAGTATGTCTGTCGATAGATTCGAGGGCAATAATATTCCCATCAGAGTCCCAATCCAGTTGGGCAACAATCGACGACCGGAACGGATCCCAAACCTGACAATCCCAGAGTTGTGAAATATCGAACTTCGAATTGTAAACATGAAGAGTGCCGTCAGCAGAAGCGATCGCGTTGTCAGAGAGAATGACGACGTCGTTGAGAGACTTGCTGTGATTCCGATACGTCGACTGGCACTCCACACTGTCTTGTTCCGGTTTCACGGACCAAAGTCTGAAATGTGCATTTGAAAATAATACAATTCTTCTCAGTTTTTTTCAATTGAACAGAGAGAAGTTCATTAAATTTAAGTTTGAATTTAAAAACTCTCATCAAAGTTTTCGAAACTTAATTTCGGCCGTCCTCACTTGACAGTTTTATCCGCTGAAGCAGAAACGAATGAGTTCTCGTTTGAAATGGCGACGATTCTGCGCACAGCGCCGGAATGGCCGGTGAAGGAACACAGGGATAAGTGATCGAAGCGGAGAGCTGTTCTTAAAGAAAATTGTCTTCTCCCAGGCTCAAAGGACCGGAATCACCTCATTCCGCAAACTGCAGCAGATACCCTTGCGCACCAAACCGCACTCAACGCTCCCGATTCGAAAGAGCTGGAAAAGCTCTTTTTGCTCAGAACTTTTTTAAAGATAAACCTGACACCACCATAAGACGAAACAGGACTCGAAGAAGATGAAGAGAAGATTCGGTTCCCCGATGACATACTGTTGAGAGCGTACGTCTTCAGTGTGGTCGTGGAAGTGGAAAGAGCGCCGAGAGGAGAATGGGAAGCGTCTGAAGACTTAAGAATCGGATAAAAAGAAACAAAAAGAAACAACTGTTGGAAACGAATGGAACGAGGAAAGCCGGTTCCGAGCAGAAAGATGAGAGGAAAGGAACGCCCCATTCAGAGGCAAACCTTTCGATTACTTCTTGGACAATCCACAACGGTACATGATAAATTGTCTAAAATATAACAACTGAGATATGAAAGCTTACGATATTTCAATACAATCGAAAAAATTCCGATTGATAAAAATTCAATCTTTTAAACACTATATGAACTTCTGGGAAACTATCCAAACTGACGTCATTCTCGTTTCTTTTCTTTCCCGTTATCTGTAGATCATCAGCCGCAGTATAAAGTTCAGAGAAAGTCGTGAAAAGTAACTCGAAAGGCAGCTTCGCATAAAGCCTTGCGTTCTCTGCTCCAATCCTTTGCGAGGTGAATTGTAACAAAGATATTGCCTGAAATCTATTTTTTTCAATATTTTAATCTGGATAAACCTTGCAGATAATAATATTACGAACGCGCACACTAGAAAATTGAATTTTGTTATTAAGAACGATCATTAGAGCACGATGAATGATCTTGTTCATTATGAAGTCCTGTAAACCAATAATATGTCTAATCCTCCGCCAATTCGAACCTCTAGGAAGTTCATTAGTTGATGGTCAGTCATAGTCTTTATAGAAAGCCTTGTGATTCGGAAAACGGAAACAAGACCGGCCTCCAATAGGGCCGTCGTCCTTCGACTATACTGGTCTATCAAATCAACGCAAAATGGCAGATATTGGACCTTCAAGAACATTTTCAAGATGCCAAACAACCATCAAGGTTTGAACCGTGACGAAAGTAACGCTATACGTTATGACTATTTCGGAGAGAGCGGCTTCCACTCGAGACCCGTACTCTTCCCCGCAAAGCGTCAATCGGAAGACAGACTGAATGATTCTTTCATCGTGACTCCAAAGAAAAAAACTAACGTCGGGCTCCTGAGATTGACCAAAAAGCTCAAGGCCTTCATAACACGACGCCAAAATTCGGAGCAAATTCGCGGAAATGAATCTGGCACAGACAACGGGTCCGTAACGCTTTGAAAGCCTGAAGTTTTCAGATTGGAGAGAAAGAAAAATGAGCTGGACCATGTGATGCTCTCTTTGGCCACAATGGATCTGTCTTGCTGTCGCGAAGCCAAAGCTTCCACAATCGGCGGAAGGAAAAGTTCCAAGAACGTTTGGGCGCCGTAAGAGATGGAAATGGAGAGAAGAAACCGGCGGTCGAGAAGCTAATGAGCAGAAGAGAAGTTGAAAAAATGTTTTAATCAAATTTCGGAAGAGACAGTGTTTTCTCGAAGCTCTACGCTAGCATATATGATGAAATAATCTCATGAACCTTGACAGAAGTTTCGCATTGAAGGAGGTCAACTAATGGATTGATCAGCTCCTTGAGTGACTCATCGCTTAGACTTCTGGAGACAACAGACATCAGTCGATGGACCTCAAAACCAAAACATGAAGATGCCTGGATAACCTCCGAGAACCGCTTGGATGCTAGATTCGCAGTCTTCGAGAAGCTTCTGGAAAGCGGCAACGACGCATCTCTCCAGATGGCCGCACTTCTTGATCGACGTCTTCAGCGCGTCGACCTCCTTTAATAGCAACCCTTGCGCTCTTTTCGCTGCAAATTGAACCAATGAGACTTTGATTCCAGCTTTTTTGAAAACAATTTTTAGGTACAGCTGCAGAGTTACGGAGAAGGTGGTAGGAAGCAAATGCGGCGAACTCGTCATGAAACATCAAAACCTAGAAAATTCCCTCGAAACAGTAGAATATTGGATTGGCGAACTTCCGAGGGAATGTTTAACCAGGTGTTGACGAAAAAGGCAAACTCGTTTGGTTCAGGAAAGTCCTTGGAAGGGTCGAGGATCAGGTCAAAGAGCGACCGATAGTTTATCGGCACGTTGTACAGATAGAGTTTGATGCAGCGTTTGATGTGAGTTTTGTCGTCGAATTGGCCCCGCAAATGTTCCGCGACGGCGATTTGGGCAATCATTCGAAGTAGCGAAGTCATACTGTTGAACAGATCAAGGTTTCTGGTTCTCTGAAAAGAAATATATCAAGATTACCACTAAAAAAAAAAAATTCAAGCGGAACTTTTCCGTACGTAAGGAAGCGCTATAATCAAAATCTACAAAACTACATACTTTGAGCATGAAGAATGAGGATAAAATGAATATTCATTCTTTCACCCTTTTTCCACCCTTTTTACTGCCTCTGCCTTTTTACACCCTTTCCCTAGCCTTTCGGAGTAATAAGACCGAAAAAAAATATCATCAAAACCTACATGCCTTCGTTGCAATCGTTGGTACATCTGGAGCAAGGACTCTTCTTGATCTTCAGTCCCACTAAAAAGCTTCGATTCTGTCTCAGGATCATTTCGGAGAGAGACAGTGCTTCCCAAAGTGTTCAGAAGTTCTGCGTAGATGTTCCGCTCCGCGTCCTGAACTTTTCAAACAAATTAACAAAAAAAATTATGCGAAAGCATCCCGCGCATCGGAGTGGGAGCTTTGACCCCTTTTGAAAAACTTTTAAAAGAACATTTGTGTAATTTTTCGGTTTTGTTAAATGCTCAACTTGTTGTTTGCGTCACCGAGTGAAACAAAATAAATATAAATGGTAATTTAATCATTATTATTAAGATTTCATAAACTCAATCCCACTTTGAAGAACACCGAGAAATAAAAAGAACTTATTTTCGAAAATTGAAAATGAACGTAAAACGAGAAGATAAGATATGAGATAAGAGATAAGAGGTTGGTATAAAAGGAGATAGAAATCCGCCAGGATCACATAGCGGATCGACATGGCCCAATCGGTACCCCCAGGAGACATCCAGACGCAACCCAACACCAAGATCGTCTTCAATGCGCCGTACGACGACAAGCACACCTACCACATCAAGGTACCGTTCTTCCCATCCGAAGAACTGCTCAAGGGACCCTTTTCAGGTGATCAACTCGTCGGCTCGCCGCATCGGCTACGGCATCAAGACGACGAACATGAAGCGTCTTGGAGTGGACCCTCCGTGCGGAGTTCTTGACCCCAAGGAAGCCGTTCTCCTCGCTGTCTCCTGCGACGCCTTCGCCTACGGACAGGAGGTATGCTGTAGCTGAACGGCCTCGTTCAATTCATTCTTTGCAGGACACCAACAACGACCGCATCACCGTCGAATGGACCAACACCCCTGACGGCGCCGCCAAGCAGTTCCGCCGCGAGTGGTTCCAAGGCGACGGCATGGTCCGCAGGAAGAACCTCCCCATCGAGTACAACCCTTGAGAACTTTCTCCGCTCTACCCGTTTTATAAATTTTATAATTGAATGGAAAGTTGATACATACATAATTAACGGAGCGGCGCACAGGATGCGGTCTCGCGAAGAGTTTGACCATTCCGTTGGTCCGAAGCTTTCTGCGGCTGCGGTCCACGAAGCAAAGATGAACGTTGAGGGCTTTGACGGCATCTTCCCCGGACAACTGAAAAAAAAACTCTACTCTTGGAAGTTCCAGTCAAACTCTACCTGGTATCCGAAAACTATGTCTATCCACCTGTGCAGTTGGCTCGAGACTTCCTCGTTTTCCAATGCGTTCCGGTGCCATGTTATGAACTCTTCAGGGGAATCAACGAATGGTGGAAGTTGTAGATCCGGCATGTCATGATGCTTTGACACTGCAACTTTTCTGCTTGTCTTGAAAATTTTTCTTCAGGGAACTTCAAAAATAGAAAGTTGACATTTAAGCAGTCTTCAGAGTAATATTGCATCAGTCTAATAATGGAAATTTGAAGAGGTGTGGTGTCCAACCTACTTGAAAAATTAAATTGATACCAATTATTTTCGGGTCTTCATATAGCTCAGGAATGCATTCGTCAGGCGTCCAAGCGTACATTCTCGTCAGGCTGGCCGGATATTCCTCGGGGACCCACTAAAATGTTGGAACGTCGAAAGGCGATTTTCGTCAATAACCTTGCTTCGCACGTGTTTGCACAGGTTTTCTTTGGATTCGATCCGAGCTCTGTAGACCATGTAGCCGATATCGGAAAGGAGTTCAGAAACGTGGTGAGACGGCTGTCTTGTGAACATTTCTCTGAGATTGTGTAAGTATCTACGAGAGAAATGAGCAGTAAAAAGAGCTGAACCGATATCGGATTTTTATTTTATTTTCAGAATTTACCATTGAGAAAAAAATTTTTATCTTCTAACTATTCAGAAAGCGTTTTTTATATCCTTTATTCATCTCCTTGCTTTGACTGGAACTGACCGTTAAAAAAAACAAGCCACCTATGTTTCATATAAAGTTCAGATATTTCTAGGCGGGTTCCACTTGTTTTTCTTCCAGGGTGAATGCATTTTGCCCTGAAACTCTGCGAACTGCAGGATACTCACCTCAACTGATCGTCGCCTTTGACCAGTCGAAATTTCGTACGGTTCAGAGGTCTCCAGCCGCCATTTTTCGATGTAAAGTCGCAAACCCAAGGGAATATAGGGTGATTATGAACTAAACACAGCTATAGTTTATAAGTTTGCCCTGCAAAACCTTCTCCTCTGACACGACCCGCAAGCTTATTGAGATAAATTAAGTATTCATAGTTAGACCATTCCCTCGAAACCCATTTTTTCGTCGCCTCCTCCAAAGGAATTTCTTGTGGGTGATTTCGACTGAAATTTAAAAACTCCTGAGCAAAATTTTCAAAATTATGATTCACTCAAAACTAAAAAACTGACAGAATTCGAAACAATGGATTGAAAACGTCGTAGGTTATCCACAGCGACGAGTCGAAGTAAAAGTCATCGGTGCAGAACTCAGGAGATAATCCCCTACTATAAAATTGTGAAAATAACTCCGTCAAGCTTTTTGAAAGGAAATGCAAAGTCTGAAAAACGCTTTATTCAAAAATCATTGTATTCTGAGACCTGGTAATCGCCAGACTGTACGTTGCTGTAATAGTGTCGAAGGACAGTCTGCATGGAGATGCTTTCGTCCGCCCAGTTGGAATTCACAACGAAAATCTCATCTTCTCCACGAACAGCAACCGTCAAAATGGGGGTAACATGAGGAATTAAGTAAATTGGCCGATAAAAAGAAGAACTCTAAAAGCTTGAGCTCCACTATTTTTCGATTTTTTTGTGACCGACCGTGTCTAAATCAATAAAACTCGTACACAATCTTGCAGAGAAATCTTTCCAATATTCTTTCCAACTCGTGGAACTTTTGACATTATGCGGAGTTCTGTTTTCGTCGCTTTCGAAAATGAAGGAAGTATCGTACGGTTTTTTTGACCTGGAGCAAGTTGAATAAGACTGTTTAGCTATCAAAAAACTCACACAGAGCTCATCCATTTCCAAACTTTTTCGCTATTTTTAGGCAGACGAGCATGTCTTATGGGTAGAGAGACATCTCCAACTATCAAAGGTGCCACGCTCGTCGATTCAAGTTTAACCAACTTTCTCAGTTGTTCAGTCACTTTTTTCAAACCCTCGCTGTTCCATTCAAAATCATTTATTTGCATCACCCTGCAACATATATGAAATGCTTTCTGATGAAAATTTGGATAAATGGAGCGAAAGTGCGATAGAAACTATGTTTCTGAAATTTCGCAAAGGACGAATAAGTATGATATAAGAGAACTATCGAAGATAAATTTCGATTTCGCGGAAGTCAAAATTTGAACGTTTCTTAACGAAAATACTCTTTAAATATAACTCGAACACGCAACAAAAAAAATAAAAAGAAACAGGCCAAGTGCCCGTACGGAAAAAAGAAAACCCATCGCAGGGTGGTGCAAATGCGCTCGCTGGGTAAAATTTCAAAAAATTTGAACTGAAAATTTTTCCTGACAATCATGATGTAGTTGTAAGCTTTCTGTTTAATTTTTTTATTGTTCTCATATCGAAAAAAAGAAATATATATATATATATTTAGGAAAAAAACGCTTGATTGGGATAGAGGCATGAAACTCGTTTGATTACTCCCAGCTGTCCATGAATCCTTGGTGAGTGCGTTTTTTTTTTCTCAAATCGTTCAATGAGATCATTTTTTTTTTTCAATGTTTCACTTTTAAATTTGCGCTTTTTAAAACAAGACTCATTCGATATTTACCGGTTAAAAAAAGAGATGCGAAGTTGGTACACGAGTACAAGAATTAAACAATCCATACCGAGTAAGTTGAAAGTAATCAACAGAAAGCTAATTAGAATTTTATTGCGTTTGATGGCTTGCTAAATATTTTTCAATAAAAAAAGAAATATTTAAGCTTGCTCTCCAGAAGTCGAAGCATTTTAAATCATGAAACCTCCTATAAGATTTTTCCACACAGGTTTAATTTTTCAAACTGATTTTCGTTGTCAGGCAATATAAAATTTTCTTCCACACGACCCAGGTTTTGCCTTCTTGTTAAATTAAGAAAGTATATTTTAAATTTTCTTCCTCAGCGATCCGCGCGAAATGCGTAAAGCAGTAGTGTCTCGAAATGTTTCATTGGATTACTACCAGCCATGTTATTGTCCGTCGAGTTGACCCAGGTAAACGTCTCGACAGCGAGATTGCCATAATGAGTGGAGAGTGCAGGTGCGCAAAGTGCTAAGATATAACAACTGGCACTATTCAAGGTCACTGTAAAGAATGTTCCCGTTTTAACCTCATATTTCTTGCCAGGGTAGACTCTTGACTGAAACTAAGTTTAAAATGTCCAAGTTTATGGTGAAAAAACAAAAAATTATCAGATGTGCAGTGAAAACTACAGAAAGCTTTTTTAGCTTTCACTTTGCGAACTCTGAATAACCACATGAAATCGTTGGTTAGAAATAAGAAAATTGTTTCTTAACTATTTATCTAGAGACTTTTTTTCTTACAACTCATTGACGGCCCTGGGGCTGCGTCGAGGCTTGCGAAGCGAAAAAGTTTTGTCACCTTTCGAATTTTTTTCTGTCTCAAAATGCTATTCGACGGTTTTTTAATTGCAGATAAATAATAACAAAAAAAGTTGTATCACCAAAAATTTTGGCTGTTATAACTTTGGATCAAAAGCAAAAACTCAAAATTGTAACTGGATACAGAAGAAAAAATCTCTGAAAAGACCTATTTTCTACAGTTTCATTACGATATTTACACAAGTTTCACGCAAGCAATGCTTATATTTTGCTAATTTCTGGGTCATTCGGGTCCAAAAACTTCAAAAAAAGTTATGGGAAGTTGTTGTAGATAACAAAATTCATATTGGCTTCCGTTTAAAGGGAAATGTAAATGAAGCGTGAAAGTATCGAGAGCGTCTGAATACCATGGACCAATAAGAAAAAAACTGAATTTAGTTTGATTTTTCTGCGAATGGCTTTCACACAACTAATTTGTTGCAAAGCTTGCTCGGTGACGTTTGAAAGTCTTGATAAGAGGATAGTTGAATTACGAGAGGTGCAACTACAACGACGGAGGATTCCGGAGACCTCGTGTGTATTGGTGGTAGAAGTCAGGCGGCGAGGCCCACAAACGCGCGGTCAGACACGCAGTGAAGCCTAGCGCCCCTGAGGACGCCGCAAGCCAAGAGCATATAGACAAGCATCCGTCTATGGCGTTTGTTCCCTTAATTTGGCTTGACTCCACCCTCCACCAATTACTTCTTTTTCGTTTGTTCATTTCCATGTGAATTTTTCTCAAAAAAATTTCTGCTCCTTGGTAGAGTAACGAGTCATTCAACATCTCTTTCGAAAAATCGAGTCTTTCGAAAATTTGAATTTGCCGCTGCGCCCGCTTAATCGGGTCGCCGTTTGGTCTTTTCCTTCATTCCATATAGTCGATCAGATTAGTTTCTTCATTTTCTTATAGCTACGGTAAATATTTCGAGGTTAGTTTAGAAAATGTAGAAAAAAAAAACGTTTTTGTGTTGTAAAGCTGTTTTTATACTTACTTTCATGCTATGGTTTTTTAATTATTATTTTTTTCGAATTTGTCTTTAAAACATTTGCAGCCGTCTGAAAATTTTTATCGCAACTCGGTTTTTTTCAATTGTAATCAACCGCGCGTCCTTCTTATCTACTGTATCTGTTGTGTATGGCGCGTGTGTTACAATTTTTAAACTTGGAAGTTCGCCAAAATTTTCCTTCGCGTCGTTGTTTTTTTCCTTGATAAATTTCGGTGGCGTTTCAGTTATTCTTATTTTACAGTTTCCAATTTGGAAGAAAATTTACCAGTATCTGACTTTTCATGAAGATGATGCTAGAAGATGATACAAGATCTTCCAAGTGGGAAAGTTCCTTTATATTTCAATAATCTGATATCCTAATCATCAAAAAAATGATCCAAACGCGAATTTGAAAAAGCTCGTGAATTTTTCAGTCAATTAAGGAGCATTCGGCCTTCAATGTCACTGATAACATCAATCCAACCGTATTCAAATCGTGCGCTCGTCTATCATTTATCGCTTCTTCTACCTTCATCTTCTCTTTTTCTTGAAAAATATTTCGTTTCCTAATAAAAGTATTCATTTTGACATCCCTTTTGGATATTGAAGAGATAAGAAAAGACAAGTTCGAGGTTTCTATATCTCAGAGTGCTGTTTAGAATTTTTTTCAAAAAATAAATAAAAATTCTCCGTTTAGTGGATCAGATAAATGACATTTATAAATTAAAAAAAAATTATATGTTTCGACAGAATTTTCTGTTCGAAAGGGCTGACTCAAATTTTAAAAAAAGTCACTCAAATTTCTCCTCTTGATCTGTTTGAAACGTCGTAGTGGAACACCATGCATTCGAACCATTGTAAAACGATCTTTTTTTTGAAAGAAGTCGCGAAATCTCTGATTACTATTCATTTGTGATCCCTTCTTTTTACAGACGCAGCCACGTTGCTAACGACGGCACATCGTCCTTATTGTTTTTCGGCTGTGTTTGGAACGTTTTGCGAGGCATCGACACAAACAAAAAAAGGTCAAAAATTGAAGTTTGCCGCTTTGCTCGAATCCGCTGGGATTCTCAAGTCCATGTCAACCGCGCCATTCGAGGGTCCATCGTCAGGTTTGAGTTCTTTTCTGCTTTTTTTCAGTTGTTCCAATTGTTGCTCAACTTTAGGTCCAGACCCTGGTTTTGAGGCAGAAGGCGGCCAGGGGGTCGAAGGGGAAGACTTCGTACCGCCACGAGTGCCTGAAGGCACGTCCACCGCTGAAGTCGTCGACGACGAAGATCCAAATCGAGGCTCTGACGATGATGACGACGACAGCGATGATGATGATGACGTCGATAGCTCTGACGGCTCCTCAGAAGAGTCTGACGTCACGGAAGAATCCGAGGACGACTTTGAGAACACCTCTGAAGACTCCGATTCGTCGACCATTTCTGGAATTTCCAACCTTTCTTCCATTTCGAGCCTTTCTGGTTTTTCAGAACTGTGGAGACGCTACGGGCCAGGGTTTGTTCTTTTGTGGAATTATTTTCTTTTTAATTTTTCCTTTCTAGAAGGGTCGGTCGAGAAGTTGAAGAGATGGAGGTGGAGGTGGAAGAAGAGGTCGCGGAGCCGGAAAACGAAAATGAATGGATTTATCAAATCGTTGCGGAAAATGGCCATATCGACTATGAACATTTGATGTATTTGAGTCAACGGAGAGCCTTGCCGTTCGCTCGAATTTCTGTGCCACCGACGCCCGAAGGAAGTTATGTAGAGGACGAAGAGTATGAGAGGGACCAACATTTGCCGTTCTACGTCGACGCCTTCAGACGAAACGTTGAGGTAGATATTTCGGACGGAGATGAGAATGAAGGCGACGACGAAATGGACTTCGATGAAGAAGAAGAGGACGAACAGGAGCAGAAGGAGGAACATGAGGAGCAGGATGATGATGTTCATGTAAAACAAGAAGACGAGGAAGTGGAAGAAGAACAAGAAGAAGAGCAGGAAGAGAAAGTAGACGATGAAAGTGAAGAAGAAGCTGTGGAAGATGAAGACGAAGCTGGTGGAGATGAAGAAGAAGCCTTGGAAGAAGCAGAGTTCGACGAAGAACAAGAGGAATTAGTCGAAGAAGAAAAAGAATTCGAAATGGAAGGGGAAGAAGAAATCGAAGATGAAGAACTTGAAATGGAAGTAGAAGAAGAAGAAGAAGAAGAAGTTGTAATGGAAGACGAAGAAGAAGAAGAGGGCGAAGAAGTAATAGAAGAAGAGAAAGATCGCATAGAAGTTAAAATAGAGGACGTCTCCGAACAGCCAGAAGAAGCTGAATATGAAGGTTATTTTTTTGATTGTTTATTTAGAGCACCCAATTTTGTGGACTATATCGCAGCGAGAGTAACGCTATACCGCGGGGGAGCCGCGAGCGATCTCGCTCGCCTCCTGCTGCGACCTCGCAAACGTCTTGCGCTATATCGCTCTCAGAAAAATGTTTCTTCAAAAATTTTTTTTTCTTGAATTTGATTGATTTCATCATAAAAGTCAAAAATAAAGCAAAAAAAAAGGTTTACGAATTTCAAATTTTTTTGAGAGGGAGCGATATTGCAGCGAGACTTTGACGAGGTCGCAGCGAGAAGCCTTGGCTATATCGCGTGCGGCCCGCTGCGATATCGGCAATTATGTTGGGTGAGGGGAAAGAAATCTTCGCGAGTGTTTTACGTGTGATAGGTTGGCGAATTCATTTCTCCCTGAGAAAACAAACTTCAAAACAGCCCATAAGGAAAAAAGACGCTTGAAAAGCCTGTTTTATCTGTTTTTTACCGTAGGAAACTATTGGAAAGTTTTGTCAAGTATTTTTGGGGAGAAAAAACATTAAAATCTGTTCGTTATCTGATAGTAAAACAATAATATTTCCCACATACTTTCAATGTCTCCAAAAAGTTTTTGAGTATTAAACACAGACGAATGGACAAAGAAAGTTGCAGAAATGGCGGAAGAGGACGCCGGATCTTCTTCGACTGGATTCGAAGAACTTCACGAGGAACGTCCCTTTGACAGTGCGACAAGCTCTTCCGACGACGAAAACGTCGGTCAGCCTCAACATCGGATACGAACCTTCCTTCCCTTCTTTCGACGGCATTTCCTCGGGTATCCTTCGTTCGAATCGTCATTTTATGCGAAGTATTTCAGAAGAAACGGTGAACAGATGAATATAATAAACTCTGTGCAAGAAGATATTGGAAATCGGATACTTCATATGACCACAGCTTCGTTGGTTTTTTTTAAAATTTTCTTTTTGTTTCGAATCTAATTTGAAAAAAGAACTTTTGGGTTTATATTCTGCCGTGGTTTAAAACGCTTCCTTCGTCGCTAGCTTGTAAACATTGCACAGAAAAACTTATTTTTTTGCGCTTTTTTTTTGGTGTTAATTGTTTCTAACACCCTTGGATGTCTTGAGCCAGTCGTAGACAATTTAGGGGAACGCGTTCTTCAAATTTCAATTTCTATGAGGTTTGAAACATTTTCGATGGTCATTTTGTTTAACTTACTCCTTTTCTAATTATTTTTGTATCGTACTCGCTGATATTCACTATAATATGTTTTTCGATTTCTCCTTTTTCAATCGTTTTTTTAGAATTACTTTTTAGTTTCAACTAAAAAAGAAAAAAAAATGTTAAAACGTCGACTTGGCATTGTTTTCTTTTTTTCTTTTTTCTTTCTTTTCAGCATAATATACTTAGTTGAAAAAAATGCAAAATTTACTTAAAACAAATATCATTCTGGAAGAAGTTTGTGTTATGGAAAAATATATTTTTCCCGATTTTCGCACATTAAACTGAATTTTTTCTTTTGAAAGGATTTTTTCAGGGGTTCTGAACTTCGGATAGCACCTAATGAGGAGTCCGCCTCGACATCGGATCAAGGGGCTGACGCAGACGCAGAGACGCTTGAAGGAGAAGAAGAAGTTCATCCGCTGGTCTCCTACTGCTTCCGACAGGCGATGAGGGCCAGGGGAATTCCATTGGATCGCAAACGAAAAGTGGTCGAACCGGAAATCGTGGTGAAGAGCGAGCCGATGGACGATTACGAGGATGATGGACCGTGCTCTTCTCGGCAGAATCCGAGATCTTCCCATCAAAAGCCGTCCACCTCTCGACCATTTTTCAACAACTACGTCAACGGCCGAAGAGACACGGCTTCTTCATCAAAACCTTCCGCCGCCAAGGAAATTGCCAATAAACGCAGAGCAACCGTTGTCGATGCCGTTAAGAAGTTCTGCGGCCAGGTACCTTAACTTTTAAATAGTCATAAGTGATGGAAGAAAATAATTTTATTCACTTGAGTGCTCCAATTTAATCATCTTTCATTTTTATTTTTTTCTAAATTGAAGAAAATTAACAATATATTGTCTTTTCAAAATTTCTATTACGTTAGCATATTTTGGTTCTCCGTTTATGAGAAGGGGAAAGTTTTCAGATCTCTCATCATCTTAACACTCTGGAAGCGACTTCGAGTGTCCAGTTCTTTGAAGCGAATCTCATGACCGATGAGTGCGACTTGGAGATCACCTTGGCTTCGGGACTTCCGCTTTTCGAAGATCCGGTCCCCGAACCAGTACAAGTTGCCGCGCCAGCTCCGCCTCCGCGTACTGTTTTTTTACGAAATTTATTTCTTTTTCGAAATCTAAATCGCAAAAAAATCGGCTCTGTCAGTAGTAAATTATTACATTAAACCCTCTAGAAAGTTGAAATTGCAAGTATAAAACCTCAAATTTTTTTTGTTCAAAATGGAGTTCATTTCAAATATATTCCGGTAATTTTGAGCTAGAGTCGATCGGAAAACCAATAAATCATTTATTGTAATGAAATTCGTCCAGTGAACCTAGTACCACTGTGAACTCACTTCATTATAAATTAATGAAAAAAAATAAATTTTTGAATAGAAGTGCAACTATTTTTTTGATTTGTTTTTTTGTTGTGTTATATTCTATTTTTCTGTATTGTTTATATCTTTAAAAGTCATCAGAGAATCTGATTTGCAGCCGAAAAACCGAAAAGGAGGAGCGGTCGATTGGCTGCGAACGCTGCTGGATCCTCACGACAAGAACCTCGCAAGCCCGTCAGAGCGGATTCTGAAGATGACGACGACGACGTCGCGGGTCCTTCTGTCAAGTCGCCGTCTCCTGTCGTTCCACCCCTCAAACCTGAAGTGAAGGTCAACGGCGTTCTCGAGAGTCGGAAGGACGAAGCAGGGCCTGCTAAATTCACCAAGCCAGCCACTCCCGCTGTGAGGAACTCACCGGCGCCTGTAGGGCGACAAACGCCGAATGGATCGACTCCCAACACGTCTGCTTCGCCCATGACAGTGACTGTGATGACGAGGTCGGCACGCGATAGAAGTGACCTCAACCAACAGCCGTCGACGTCTTCTTCGACTCCTGCAGTTCCGACGAGGTCGTTGAAGAGGGACGTTCGGGAGAAAGAGAAGGAAAAGGAGAAAAAACACGAGGAGGACGCTGAGGATTCGGTTCGTTTCCAAGTACGGATGTCGATGAACGAGGGTTTCAGAACGGAGAGGAGCCGCCGGTCAAACGTCAAAGGCGGAGTGTCAATCAAACTCCTGTCGTGGAAAAGGCCAAGCCGAAAAAAGTGAGAGTTTTCTTGTTCTTTTTTTTTTTGATAAATACGTTTTTTCAGGAAGTCTCGGTGAAAAAGAGGCAGAGTGCTCGTGTGGCCAAGAACGTCAAGGCCAAGGCGGAGGATGAGCCAACCTACTGCTTCTGCAACCGGGTCAGTTGGAAATTCATGGAAAGAACCGAAGATTCAAGCTACTGTAGGCATTTATGCGATAACTGTCAAAAATGCTTTTTTCTTCATTTTTTTTAACTTGTCAAACTTTACAGTCATTTTTACCGTTCACAATGAAATTTTCCATAAGTTTCATTTAAAAAAACTCTTTTATAGACCGGGAATCGATCCCGCATAGTCGCTATCTGCCCGAACTTTACGTTTTGGAGATATGAATTTTTGAAGTTTTTATCGGTTAAAATGTGATCTTGTGGTGAAATGATGTTACCGCACCGACAGCCACCGAATGGCAACTGGGAGCATGCAGAATCGACTCCTACTCCTTCAAAGAGTGTTTGATCAAAATCAAAATTACAGAAAACTACAGTAGGATCGGTAAAATAACTTGCCATGTTAGTATATCAGCAAGCAGAGAAATCACATGCGAGAGACTTTTCAAATTTTTCTGCGTTACAAAAGAGATGAGATGAAATGAAGCATTCATTTTTTTGTTCTATCAATTGAAAACAATTTGTTTCACCTGCATTATCCGGTTTATCTCAATGGCGGGTTGCAGATATCCTTCGGCGAGATGGTCGGATGCGATAACGAAAAGTGCGAGTTCGAGTGGTTCCACTTCGAATGCATCGGACTGACTTCGAAGCCAAAGGGCAAGTGGTTCTGTCCGGACTGCCGTCACCCGGACAATCCCAAGCTGCCCAAGCCTCTCGTCGCCGGAAACGGCCTTTCCAACGGAGGCCGCAGTCACAAGAACGACGACAAAGACAGCGATTCGTAGCGTCTTCTTTCTGCTTTTCATACCTTTTTTGCTTGTTAACTTTCCGTGGTCCTGTTTTGAATGTAACACTTCGAAAATTCACTTTTAATTCTTTCTTTGTAGATTCAGTAACAGGTTTGATGTTTGGTGAAGGTCGAAGGAGACATTTCCTCCTCTTCTAAACTCAGATAGGACTTATAGTATTCAAATTGCGAGCACTTCAAACAAATTTCCTTGTTTATTACAGTGATTCTCAGTTCCTCGTTCATGAAAGAATCTAGCTCATCTTAATTTCATTAGTTCGTGTATATGTTCAAGTGGCAATCGATGATTTTTAGAAGAATAACTTTCTAAAAAATAAACTATTAAAGGAATATTGTCTTCAAGAATCATCGATTTTCACTTCTAGGCATTCTTGTTATTATTGTTAATTTTTTTTTTCGTAAAATTCCGTTGGGAGATTGAACTCAAAAGATTCGCTGAGGCCTATTTTTGTGCATTGTTTTCTTTCTTTTCTTTTTTTCATTGATTTCGCATTTAAAATAGCTAAGCTCAACATTTTTAGTGCTTCTTAGTTTGTGCATGTTCATAATGTGGCATTTATTGGTGTCTTTCAGGTGATTTCTCCTCGATTAAATTCACAAAGAATGCCTTTTATGTTTGTTTTTCCCCTAATCTCTTTTTGCTTTTCCACGACGTGTACATCTTCCGAATTGCGTTTGTTTTTTTTTTTTTCGGAATCACCCAATGACCTCAGTTATTGAACCTCAGTCAAAAGTCCCAAACATTCTCGAATTATTCTACTCAATTGTATTGAAATAATAACCGGTGTCTTTTTATTTTCATGTCAGTTAATTTTTTCGTGTATTTTTTGTTGATCGCTCACTTTTTAATATCAAATCTCTAATCGATGCACATTGTGTGCCTAATAACTTATTCCAATTCGTCTATGATTCAATTTTTGCATTTATATTTCTAAATGGCAAACATGATAACATCTAATATTCACAACAAGACTTGAAAATCAGAATGATAACAAAAATAAAGGTTTTTGTACGTTCGGAAGATTTTTTTTTTTTGAATAATTCCATTGGTTATGGCTAAGGGAAGATACTTGGTGAAAGTTTGCCGTCGAAGGAAATAGTCGGTATTATTTTAAAGACTGAGATACCTAGAGTAAGTATAACTATAATCGACCAAAAATAAATTCCAGGTAACTTTTTTAGATGTCGAATAAATCAAATGAACCGGACCGAAACGAAGGAGGTGACTATCGCGTAAAGACCCAAGATGGTACCTTTTATAACCTTATTTTCGCTTTATTTCAGATGATTTAGTTTCATTTCATCCGTCAAAAGTTTTTACAATTTTTTTCTGCAGAAAAAAAATTGAGAATTCTTAAAGATTTTGCGAGAACTTCTTGATTGCTTTGAACATATTAGAGGACTTTATTGATTTTATGCCGTGTTCAAAGCGATTCAAAACAGCCGTCCAAAGGTGAAAAAATAACTTTATTTTAGAGAGTCAGATAGTTTTGTATTCCGTGGAAATTACTCTGAACAAAGCGTGAAATCTAAAAATTTTCTTATTGATGCAGGAAATACTTTCATAACGGCCACACAAAGACCAGACGGTACATGGAGGAAAGCGAGACGCGTCAAGGAAGGGTACTGTGTCTTCTGTTTGTCTGTGATTGGAATGGATGAAGTTGAGATTCATACCGCAAGAAGAGCAGCCCAAGTACCAGAACAGGATGCAGGCGGCGGCGTCGGCCTCCAAAAGCGCCGTCGTCGGGATCAAGCCGAGAGATGCGCTAGCGGGACCACGCAAAGCCGTCGCAGGTCGGGACAGATCTTTATAGTTTGAAACGAAAAAGTGTTCAGAATTCTCGTTCAGAACAGTTTATCAAGGTCAAAGATTTTCGAAAAGTTGGCTCGAAGCTATTGCAGTGTTTTCAAATAAGATCATCAAATCTTTATTCGATGAGCTTCGAGGCTTTGGAAAGCGTTGAGCCTTTCGAGCTTTTGAGAAAAGAGAAAACAATCATCAAACGAACGAATTTCTTTTCAACTCGTTTAGATATATTCTTTTTCCTCCTATCAATTTTCCAAATTCATTACCTTTTCTTGAGTGAAGGTCGTCCCAGTAGATATTTTGAACAGTTAAAACAATTTGAGCGATATCTAAACAATATATTAATTTTCTGTTCTTAATCTCATTTTTTTTTCAGCCGTTGAGAAGGCCAACGTGTGTATAACAGCGAAAGATCACCTTCAAAAGAAGTTCGATCAGGTCAAGGCGAAGGTCGACGACATCGAATCTATGGAGGTCGATTCTTCTTCTTGTGAAGCAAGAGAGCTTTTTTCAGAAAAAAGTGGAAAGCGGTGAACTGCAGCCGATGCCAAACCAAGTCAAGAAAATGGCCCGAAAACAGGAATACCTTGACAGTTTAGAGAAATTAACCGTCGAAATGGAAAAATTATGACTTTTGATTGATTCTTGTTAAATTGTTTTTTGAATATCTAATGGTTCTCAATTAACACCTTCCTGTAACATAAATTAAGCAATTTATACATATTACTACAATAAAAAGCGTTTTTACCCGTCTGTGATTTTTGGAGTACACAAAAAATACTTTTTGATTAAATGTCAACGAGAGCCTGAAGCCTCGCCTTGTGGTGTTGTCGTGGGAAGCGGCGGTTGAGATTCTGGAATTTGTGACCATTTCTACAATACGTTTTAGTTTCTCAAAGTCTTATGTTACCTGTGTAAGCTCGATGTAAAGTTTCTGTGATGAAGTTCATGTCGCTTTCAATTGCTTTCGACCAATTTTCCACGTCGCCAATTTCCTGAAATCGTTACTGTCAAGTGCAATTGATTGTTTGAACATATTTGATAATTTAGTTTGAAAAATTCAAAAACCTTCAGTGCATGATTCAATCCTTCAGTAACAGAAAGCCAACTTTCTGTTTGCTTTGCCAGGGCTGCAGCGTTATTCTCGAACCGCTTAGCTTCAACATCTAGTCTTTTTTGATTCCCGTACGCCTGAGATACTCTTGAACAATAACAGTATTTTTCGATAATTTCAAAAAGTTCAACTTAGCGTTCAGGTGATCAACTACAGCCGTTGACAAAGTTTGTGCCGCTACCACCGCTTCGTTTTTCAATTTTTCTGAAGTCGAAACTAAAAAATGTATTTCTTTTTTTCAAACCTTGCATTTCTTTTCGTAAATGTTGTTTCTGATTGTGTTCTTTAAGCATTGCCGACAGCGGTTGAGCCATGGTTCAGAGCTGCAAATCGTCATTCGTAAAATATATGTGAATTCTTAATAAGGCTGCAAAAGTCGACCCAAACATATTGAAAGAGTAATATGAATAAAAGTTTAGAACAACCGAAAAATTGACTTGGTACATTTGATATGCCTCTCTTGTACCTGATGTTCTACGAGCAAAATTCACAACTTCCCTGCCTAAGCCAGAGCTCCTGCCGCCGTTTAAACAAAGTTAAATCAATGAAAGTCGATTGTACATGTATTCTTACATTGAAGATTCGAAAAACAAACAAAAAAGACACATTTGATATGCGTCAAAGCCTCAATGATTGGCGCAAAAGACGCTCTTTGAGTCTACTCTTCTGACGCATATCGGGTGCTTTCCTTTCCGGCGATTGTCTCGTCAACTTTTCTGCGCCCTCTTCTGAATCAAACGCAGAAGCCTCGGCGCTCGCGTCTTTTCAAAACCAATGCTACCCTCCCCGCAAGGAATAGACGACTCGCCAATTCTCATAGATTTTTCTCATCTTTGGTCTGCCTTTATTTCCGCTTCCTTTACACGTTGACTTTTAAAATTACTCATTTTTACTTTTTTCTTGGTGTAGTTTATCATTTAAACTGTTATAAAATTACTTTCGTCTAATTTATTCGCGATGATGATTTCAAACGTTTTTGGCAAGTTTTAAGTTTATTTTGGTATTTGGCTAGCGTTTTTGACACGCTTCTTCCTCATTTTAATTGAGTCGATTTTCCTGAACATTATGTTTCACACCTTCTTAAAGATTTATTCTATTGATTTCAGAGCGCTCCGTCTCGTGTAATATAACACCTCGGGCCATGACGGACTCAAAATATTTCACCACCACAAAGAAAGGTATTGATGAACTCTAATTGGTTTTTAGAAATGTGTGAAATCTTTAGGTGAAATATTTGAGTTGAAAAATGAACTCAACTCGGATAAAAAAGAGAAAAAACGGGAGGCTGTTAAGAAAGTCATCGCGAGTATGACCGTTGGCAAGGATGTCAGGTAGAAAATGTAATTGATATATAAAATTATACAATTTTTCATTTTCAGTGCTTTGTTTCCTGATGTCGTCAATTGCATGCAAACAGATAATGTCGAACTGAAAAAGCTCGTTTATTTGTACCTCATGAACTATGCAAAAAGCCAGCCGGACCTTGCAATTATGGCCGTCAACACTTTCGTCAAGGTTTTTTCTTCCAGTATCAATTTTTTGGTTCGAAGTTGGTTTTTCAGGATTGCGAAGACCCAAATCCGCTAATTCGGGCCTTGGCGGTTAGAACGATGGGTTGTATCCGAGTTGAAAAAATTACTGAATATCTCTGTGAGCCGCTCAGGAAATGTATGAAGGTTCGTTTTTTTTTAACGTTAATTTTTCAAGATTTTGTTTGGTTTATTGAAGGTTTCAAGTTAAATGTCTTTCACTATGTAGATTTTCAAGCTGAAAAACTTTCGAGATATTTTTTTTTCTTATTAGTCTGAAGACAATCAAAATCAAGTTTTTTTTTCTTATTTTTTTTTAGACCTGAGAAATAAGAAGGATACAGTAGAAGAGCATAAATAAAGCCATTAAAAATTTTTTAAGGCGCCTCTTGGTAAGCTCATTGCTAAAAGAGCTAGAATAGAAAAACTAATCAAATTTCTTCTTAGGACGAAGATCCGTATGTGAGAAAAACTGCCGCCGTTTGCGTGGCCAAACTGCACGACATGAACCCGACGCTTGTTGAGGAACAAGGTTGAATCTTTGAATGTTCATTTCAGCCTCAAGTACACGCGACAGTTTTTCCTATTTTCTGAAAATTCATCTTCTTTCATAGTGTTTCCTAAATTTATTTTTTTTTTCCAAGCAAATTTCTTATTTGCAGGCTTTGTGGAACTCTTGAACGATTTATTGTCCGACGCGAATCCAATGGTTGTGGCAAATGCCGTCGCCGCCCTCACGGAAATTAACGAATCAAGGCCGCTTATCGAGGTTTTTTTTTTTGAAATAAATCCTGTTCCTTTCAAAACTAATCGTTTACGTTCGAAAGTTTATCAAAAAAATTTCATCTAACCTGTTAATTTTTTTTTTTGACGTTTACAATATAATAACTGCTGCTATTCTCTCAAAACTTTTTTTCGTTTTTTTTCGTGGTTTTTTTTGGATCTCACGAAATCATTAAACTTCATTTCATTTCGAATGTTTATTCGCCATTCCTAAATCTCCACGACAAATTCAAAACATCAAAACAATCAAATAAATCTAACAGCTGATCTGTAGAAACGGCTTGAGGAAAAGAAAGGATAGTTTTGAAAACAGAAAAGTTGAATAACTTTGTGAGAATTCTATTCTACACATCATGAATAAAACAAAAAAATTTTCCACTCAGTTCTTTTTCGTTATAACTATGTGATGGTTTTATTCAAAGTGTTCGAAAAAAGTGTGTTTTGAAAAGGCTACAGAGTTAGCTTATTCTGAAAACTTTGAAGAAAAATTCGAATTGCCGTCTGAATCATGTAAGTTCGCTGTCATTTGTGAAGTAAGGAAAAAGTTCTAAAAAAGGGGATAGCAGTTTTCGAGATTTCACTTTTTTCTGTTCAAACTTTCGTTTTATTCAAATTAATCCCGTTCTATTTCGCTTTGCTGAGTTTCTGTCCCTAAGTTGATAATTTAGGTGAACAGCCAAATGGTGAACAAGCTGTTGACGGCGTTGAACGAATGCACAGAGTGGGGTCAAGTTTTCATCTTGGACGCCTTGGCCGGCTACAAACCGCGCGACGAACGCGAGGCCCAGAATATTTGCGAAAGAATTTCGCCGCGATTGGCCCACGCCAACGCCGCCGTCGTTCTTTCTACGGTTAAGGTGTGAATTCCTTTCCCCCCACAACTTTTTGAAAAGCGCAAAAGAAAAAAAACTTTTTCGCCTAGAAACATATCATAAGCATTTCACACAGTTTCGAGAATGTACAAGCCTCGAAAAACTGAAACTTTTTGTACCAATAAAATATTCGAACTGAAAAATTTGAAGAATATCACTAACTGGTAATGATTTTTCAAGGTGCTAATGAAGCTTGTCGAAATGCTTCCGAACGACTCGGATTTCATCACACAACTCACCAAAAAGTTGGCTCCTCCCATGGTTCGTTTTTGGTGCACATTCGAAAACATTTTCAGTTTTCTCAGGTGACGCTTCTTTCTGCTGAGCCCGAAATCCAGTACGTCGCGTTGAGAAATATCAACTTGATTGTTCAGAAACGCCCAGACATTCTCAAACAAGAGATGAAGGTTCAAAAACATATATATTCATGGTAAATGCGAAAGTTTTCAGGTCTTCTTCGTCAAATACAACGACCCGATATATGTTAAAATGGAAAAATTGGATATTATGATCCGGTTGGCCCAACAGAACAATATTGCTCAGGTTTTGAGCGAATTGAAAGAGTGAGTGGAAAATTTAATTTAAGAATGAGTATTCTCGACTTTTGTTGATTTATCATGTAACTTCTGGTTTTTGTTTTATTTTCCAAAGTGTTCTCAAACTTCAAAGTAATTTTATATCTGCAAACTTTTCTCAGAAAAGTTGAATTTTTTCGACTCACTAGGGAACTACTCAGACTCGGGTACGCGTTTCGAGTTGAAACTTTGATGGCTTATAGACCCGGGTAATAGTACTTGAAAACAAGAGAGATTATCTGCTAAACCCCATAGGCTTTTGAGAAAAAGCTTTTTGAAAATGAACAATTTAGGCTTGAAAATTATCAAATATTTGCTTTCCTCCTTTTGGCTGGAAAAAAGTTTTTTAGACTTTATCATAGCCGAATCACTCAAGGCGATTGTGTTAAAATACAAAATAAGGTAAAAAGCAGTATTCTGAAAATTTTCAAGCCTAATTTTCACATTTTCTACTAATTTTTTCTCGGCTCTCTATTGGGTTTAGCAGATATTCTTACTAGTTTTCAAGTATTCTTACTTAGGTCTATAAACCACTAAAGTTTGAACTCGAAACGCGTACCCGAGTCCGAGTAGTTCTCTAGTCAGAGGTATCTAGACTGGGGCTTTCCATGTTCTACTGCGTACTCATCACTTTATTAAATCAGAACAAAACCGAAAAACCTCAAAATGAATCGATTTTCTAGTGTCCGTGTGACAATTTCTCACCTCGGCTATGTTTTGAGGTACGCGACGGAGGTCGACGTGGACTTTGTTAGGAAGTCGGTTCGGGCCATCGGTCGGTGCGCCATCAAGGTCGAGCAGAGCAGCGAACGGTGTGTCGCCACGCTGCTCGAGCTCATCCAGACCAAGGTCAACTACGTCGTCCAGGAGGCCGTCGTCGTCATCAAGGCTCGTCGCTTTCTTCGTTCCCCTTATCTCTCCTCTCTTACAGGACATCTTCCGCAAGTACCCCAACCGCTACGAGAGCATCATTTCTGCCTTGTGCGAGGTTTTTTTTAAATTTAGAATTAATTTTATTGATAAGAAAAGAAGAAATAAATTTTCAACATAAAAAAGCGATTGCTAAAATAGCGATTGAAATGAAATATAATTGTGAAATATATATTCTATTTTTTTTTCTCCAAGTAAACAGGAAACCAAATATAGAAATTTTCTCATGAAAACAAAACTTCTTCCGCTCAAAAAAATATCAGGTGCTCGCGAATGATCCTTTTTTTATATTAGTATCATATCGAAAAATATGAAATGAGACAAAAAATGAAATCAAAAGGAAAAAATAAAGAAATCAAATTTTTCAGAACTTGGACACTTTGGACGAGCCCGAAGCTCGGGCTTCGATGATTTGGATCATCGGAGAGTACGCCGAACGGATTGACAACGCAGACGAATTGTTGGAGAGCTTCGTTGAAGGATTCCACGACGAAAATACCCAGGTATCTTTTCGGCTGAAATCCTTGTCTTTTTTTTGTTTCATTTTTTCACATCGTATATTTTGCTTCTATTTTAAATTCTTAGTTTTCAAATTAATCTTACCTATTCTGTTGTTTATCTTCAGTTTTAGGTTGAATTGTTTTTTTGTTATTTATTAAATTATCTATTTTCTCATTTAGGCCTTTGGTTGGACAATTCGATCGAGAAAAAGAGTTTCCCATGTTTAAGGTGCAACTACAACTTCTGACGGCCGTCGTCAAGTTGTTCCTGAAGAGACCGACAGACACACAGCAACTGGTCCAACGAGTACTTTCTCTCGCCACGCAGGACAGCGACAATCCGGATCTCCGAGACCGAGGGCAAGCTTTTGAAATGCGCACAGAATTTCCTTTTCTGCGCAATTGGCCCGCAGGGAAAAGTTCAACTTTTTTTGTTGCAAGACCACTTGTAACGAGCATTGAGGAATCGAGCAAGTGTGATTATTTTCCATGCATCAAATTCATATGGACAAGGGAATGCTTTTTTTCAGGTACATATACTGGCGACTTTTGTCCGCTGACCCTGCCGCCGCCAAACAGGTCGTCCTTGCCGAGAAGCCCCTAATTTCGGAGGAAACTGATCTTCTCGAGGTGTTTTTCGTCGTTTTCCCAGTGAACCAACTGATTTTCAGCCGTCGCTGCTCGATCAACTCGTCTGTCACATTGGAAGTCTGGCCTCCGTCTATCACAAGCCTCCGTCAGCCTTCATCGACGCTGCTCGAGCTCCTCTCCGGACCGGAGTTGCTCCAGGAACTAAGTCTGTTTTGTCTTGCCTCACAAATGTAGTTTTGGACTTGTTCAGCGGAGTTTCTCAAGTGGAAAACCAAGCGACGGCGGCGACCAACGGCCGCAGTGCTGCTCAGTCGACCGTAATCCCGTCGCAGGACCAAATGATCGCTGAGCTGCTTTCTCTGGATTTAAACGCTCCTGCTGTCGGAGCCCCGTCCGTAGCACCTAGTCAGTTTGATGAACGAAAGTTATCATTATTCATCATTTTATAAAATCGGCTGTCTCGTGCTTAAGGGCCACAGACTCTAACGAATCCATAACTTTTTTTTACGAATAATTTCCTTACTCAGCATATAACTCGGCGGTGCCTGGTCTGGACGATCTGCTCGGCCTCGGCGACACCTCGACGACTACCGCCGCAGCTTCTCAGCCTTCTTTCGACCCACTGGCCAGCCTCGGTCTCGGAGCTCCTGCTGCTGCTCCTCCTGCAGCTGTCGGTCCGTTTTTTTTTTCGAGTTTTTTATGGCCACGTTTAACTAGTACTACACTTCAATGGTGTATTAAAACTCGATATCTTCTCTTTTACATTTGATTACACATCTCTTTATTTTTAGGTGGTTTGGCCGATATTTTCGGCAGTTCTGGCCTTGGATCAGTGGTCGGATCGTCTGGGTATGTGCCACCGAAGCAAATTTGGCTGGATGCTTCCAGAGCCAAGGTTCAAAAAAATAAGTTCGGGGCACAATAGCCTTTTACAGGGAATGCAAGTGGAAGGAACGTTTTCCCGCCGTGCAAACAAGATTTATATGGATTTGACGATAACAAACAAGGTGGGAAAATGTTTAATGGCTTTTTTCCTCACAAAGATTCTAAACTTTGATGAGAAAAAAAAGTAAAGGATTCTTCTCAGCCTTTTTTTTGACTCACATCAAGCTGAGAAGTATTTTTTGAGTTTTATTTCTCAATAAGTAGATGATTTGAGGCGATGCAAGCGATGTCCGGATTTGCGGTGCAGTTCAACAAGAACTCATTTGGACTCGTGCCAGCCGAGCCGATCAACGCCCCCACGCCTTTATTGCCAGGCCAAACCGCCAATGTCCGTCTTTCCCAAATGCTTTTTTTTCTTCATTTTGGAAAATTCTTCAATAATTTGTTTTTCCAGTACTCTTTGGCTTGCGACGCTACGGGACCTGTGCAGAAAATGGAGCCACTCACCAACTTGCAGGTACTACTTCGTTTTTGTTATTTCAGCTGTATGATTAGCCTATCAGGAAAAATTATTAAAAGTTTCTTCCGTGATTGTTATGGTCTATTCAGAAATTATTGAAAACAAGTTCATCTAGTGATACAATTTTTATAACTGATATCTTCGAAATGATGCGCAACCAAAATGTTGCAATTGTTTTTGCTTTTGTTTGAGTCAAAATCTTTTTTAGTACTTTTCAGATAAGGAGAATAGTTTTCTGAACAAACTTTTCATAAAAATTTGTTTTTGAAACTAAAGCAATATCACATTAATTGATGCACTTTCGTTTCAAGGTGCAGAGTACATAGAGCCGCTGATAAGCCGTTTATTGACTTAAATACTCGGTAAAAACGCAATCAAGGGACTGAGAGAGAAAATATATTTACACGTATTATAACAGAGAAAAAAAAATAAATTAAGATTTTGATTGGGTTTTTTTCAGTGGAGAAAGTTTCCACGGCTGAAAATCGTTGAGATAATTTCTTGTTCAACCGCGTAGAATATTGAAGACATCAGTTGAGCGTCTGTTGCTTGAGTGTACCTTAAGTTTGAAATGAGCTTAGAATAGAAAACGACACGATTGGAACTATCCGAAAATTATCATTAGCTAATTTCCCAAAGAAAACAAGATATAAAGATAAAAATGTTGAAGAGAGAAAAATAGAAATCTCTTGAAGAGGAACTCACTTGATGTAGTATCCCTTGGAACTGTTGCCTTTTCTCCGCGGCTTTATCACTTCTTTGAACCTCGTCGCCACCGCATCTTTCAGATGCTCGAAATTCTCGCTTTTTTGTTTCTTTCCTACAGCTCTTTCTTTCAATTCACACGTATCTATTTTTCAAAATAACCTTCTCTAACATATTTGCCCAAAAGTCGGTTGATTTCTTCTTGTCCTTCGACCGTTCGAGATTTCTCCCTCACGATTTCCTCGAAGCGGTCTTGTTTGTTGATGAACAACATCAAGCTGCATTCGTCGACACCGTCCAGCGTTAAAACTATCTGGAATCAGAAGTTTTGTACAAAAAGGCAGTAGTTTCCGCACGTCCATGATCTTCAAGCTTTTATCAAGGACAGTCTTGTCTCGATTTTCTTTGTCAGGCTCATGGAATCCGGCCATCGATGAGACATATAGCAGAAAGCAATGGCCGTCGCTGGTGAGAAATTGCTTCATGAACTCGGGCACTTTCACCTTGAAAAGTAGTTCCATACCTGACAGAGCTATAGAAAAAACTGACCAGCTCGGTTTTCTGGCCACCCATGTCGTGAATCTCAACGCGCAGCTGTTTGATTCGAAATCGGTAACTTTTGAACGTGACTGTCGGTTTTCGAACGTGCACGATGTCGTCTGGCGACAGCTGGTAGGCGTCGTTGAAAATGTTGAGGATCTTGCTCGACTCTTTTATAAAGTATAGCGTTCCGTCCTCCACTTTCAGTCCCACCGTGCTGTTCATGTGCTCCAGAGTCTTGGCTATCTCAATTTTCTCTTCGTGCTTATAATTTATCAGCTATTCATTTTTTAAAAGTTTCTAACAGCTCTTTAAGATTCTTTACATTGGTTGAGCTCACCTCCGGGTCGGCCAGCAGCTCTACGATATGATCACCGAAGACGGTCTCGATTCGGTTGTGAAAGTCGTAGATGTCTTTGCCTGAGTGGTGAATCTCCTCGGATTTCGACATGATTTTCTCCATCGCGGCTTTGTTTTGAATGATGGCGCCACGTACCATAGTTCTCTAAAATTTTCTGTTGTAATGGAGATTAATGGCGGAGGACCTCGGCCAGTGAGGCAAGAGCAATGATAAGGTTGATACGAACGACCTTTTTGAGATCGTCCAGCTCACTGCTGGCAAACACTTTCTCTGTGGGAACCAACTTCCAGTTTTCGTCGTACATCTGAAGAATCTTAGAATCAGTTAATGATTTCTTTCCCCACCTGGTAATTGTTCGGTTTTTGTGTGCACAAACACTTTAATTGACGGATGATTGTCGTTTTGCCGGCTCCTTCGATTCCCAGCATGAAGAAGTGGATGATATCGGACTTCTGGAAAGATATTTACTTCGTGATTCGCTTTTTCTAGTTTGTATTAAGAATACGTCTCAGCGAACTCTAATAAAAGTGACTTAAAAAACAGTAAAAACGACTTGCTTTTCTTTTTTGTTAAAAAAAATTTTTTTTTTCACGGACTTCAACGATTTCATGAAGCGCAATTCTCTACAACTTGAAAAAAATTTGCGCTGATAAGATTGAATCAACTGAAAACTTTAAAGTGATTGACTTACCTTAGACGAATCTTTGCCAACGACTACAGAGTCGTCAGAATCCTGCTCACAGGAGCACGCCGCGCCCATTTTCTCGATTTATCGTGATTTCTGAGAGGGTATTTTCTCACTGTCAGTTCGGGTCACCAGTATGATCCTCCAATGTGTGTCGCTCTTCCAATTAACAAATGAATAAGGTAGAAAACATGGAGAAAGAACTAGGCAAGAGGCGTCGCAGTGCGATTGAGTGGGAACTCGATAGGCCAAAGATAACATTGCTCCCCTGATAAGCGTCGTTTTTAAGCTTTTACCGCGTCGTTTAACAGCGACTTTTTCGAACGATAAAGCATGTGGTAAAGTTTATCAATTCAAACTTGTTAATCGCGGGTCATTTTTCTTAATTTTGTTGAATTTCTTGCTTTATTTAAATCTTCATCTAGTGGATCAACAAATAAGATTAAACCTCAACCCTTCTGTGATGTTGTTTTTTCAAGAAATGAACAACTATAATTATGTGAAAAAAGTTGATAAATGATGGGTACATTTATTTTTCTAGTATCTCTATTTTACATGAAATTTTTTTCCAATATTCAATTTTTTTGAAGGTTGCCATCAAAAACGACGTCGATGTTTTTTACTTCGCCACAGTTGTCCCATTGCTCGTCTACTTCCACGAGAGCGGACAGGTTTTTCATCGAATATCCATGGAAATTCCAATTTGAACTAGATGGAAAAACGCGTGTTCCTCCAGTTGTGGAAGGAGATCCCGGAACAGAACGAACAGCAGTTCACCCTGCAGAATCCTCATGGACTTGATGCCGGTAAGCTCCCAGATATTGGTAGAAGTAAAACTTCAGTAAATAAATTAGTATAAGTTTTTTTTGTTATATGCTCTCAACTTATCTTTTTAAACATTTTTTTACTTTTTTTGAAATACTTTTTTTCTATTGTTGAGTTTCTCTAGAGTTATCTGTTTTTTAGTCTGATGAAGATAAGAGGCCAAAAAAAAGCATCGCTCGATTCTCACATCTGAAGTTTTACAGACGCGATCTGCACCAAGCTGCAGCAGAACAACGTGTTCACGGTGGCTCGACGAAATGTTGATGATCAACAACTCCTGTACCACAGCGTCAAGTACACCAACAACATCTACGTTCTCTCCGAGTTGAAAGTCAACCTCAATTCGCAATCTGTCACGGTAAGCGTCACAAACGCCTTTCGTGAACTAATTTTTCGAATATTTTTTCCAACCAATCCACGATTTCGCATATAATCTACCGTATCAGAAAGTTCATAGAAAATTCTCATTCCGCCACACGAATCAGAGCGGTGCTATGGGCCAGCCGGGCTGGCCGTAGTGTTACAACGCGGCCTCAAAGCGGTCCAAAATTGGCCACTTTTCATAAATATTTATTGGTTGTTTTAGTTAGATGGAATTGACTAGGTGGTGAAAAAATTGCTCTTTTGAGGGGTACTAACACCGCCTTTGGCGAAAAAAAAAAGCCAAAACGTGTAGTTGATTGAATTGAAAGCATGGTCTTACGGTCCTTCGCCTGGTTCTTCCACAAGTAGATCCCTCAGTTCCGCGGGTACGGGCACGGACGCCGTGTACACTCTAGGGCAGTCTCGGCCGATTGAGAGAGCTGTCGAGTGAAGAAAATAGACGAAATTTTCGAACATTTTGTCCCGAAATTTTCAGAGAGTGTGTAAATAGGGGAGTGAGTGATTGAAAATGTGTTACTCAGGAAAATAAGGTAATGTAAATTGTGAAGTGAGATAGAAAAAGTTCGCGATTGCGACGACTGTGGGCCGATTTTCGGCCATCAACCTCGGCCCAACGCACAGCTCTGACACGAATGAACGTGGTCTTTTTTTCATAGACAGTTTATCAGAAATAAATTTTAAAAAACCTGTGGAGGAGAGACATGTTCTGGAATTTTAAGGGAACTGGACTAGTGATAAACAAAAAAAACTACATTTTTTTCATTGATCATCAGTAGAGGAAAAAGGCTTCCCTGAATGAAAGTTTTCAGTTGAATATTTTTTTTGTCGTTGAGAAACGAGTCCAGTTTAATCAAAAACTGATAAACTGCAGCTCTCACTGAAATCGAGCCACGTGACGGCGATCGCCAACATGAACGAGATGTTCCAACTCATCATCAGCAACTGAGATCCGAAGTCTTCTTCCGCTCTTTCTGACATTCCACCTCGTCAAAGCCTGCATAAATCCGAGTTTCAGGTCCTCCGAATGCTCCTGTTTATCCGATTGTTTTCTCCTTCACTTTTGTCTTATCTCACAGTTATTTTTCGCCATCTTCGTGATACCCTCTCGTTTTCTTTATTATTTTGTAATATAGTTCAACAATTTTTTTTCATCTAATAATGTTAATAAGGGCCCATTCTTTATGCACTTATAATGCTCTATTTGTTTATATAGAATTTATGATATTTGCTTAGGTTGTACTCACCGCCGATATTGGTTAGGAAACCAAAGTTTTTGTCGCCTCCCAAGGTTATGTTTTTAATTATTAATCTTTTAAAACTAAAAAAAAACTAATTTTAATTTATTCATATTTATTCTCCCTGTACACCTAATTTTGCTTGTCTTCATTTGGTTGTGGTTGATTATTGAATTTTCCGAAGAGTTTTATTTCTTGTCTATTGGTAATTTATTGCGAATCGTTTAAGCTTGTGAACTTATGGTGTCGTCAAGAATAAATTAGCTTGAAATACAATTCTTCCATTGAAATGGAGAAAAAGGTTAAAACGGCACCATCATTAGGCTACTGCAACGGATCGTCTCACTTAATTTTCCGAACTTTGTGTGCTTTTAAAGGATCATGACCTTAATCTTCAAATATTTTCTGAACGCGCGATTTTTATTACTATGGTCTCCCATGAACATCAAGTTGAGAAATGAGATTATGTGAGTTTGATAGGGCTGAGTAAGAGTTCTCGGAATCAAAAATTAAATTCTGCTAAACCCCTAAGGCAACCGAGAAAAAGCTCGTCGAAATTTTCACAGCGCGTATATGGCCACGCTCGGAACCCTGCGCTAGCAACTGGCGGCGTGGTGTTGGGGTAGTGGTCTTTCGAACCCTGTCAATATTGTGACCAGGGTTCGAATCCTTTTGACGGATAATCATTTATGCTGTATTCAGTGAACACGTTCACTTTGGTTGACGAAGACGTCGCCATGGGGAGCAGTGTAAAGGAAGGCGTCTATGGACCATAGACTATGGTGCAATGGTTCCGGGATGTACGTCGCCGAATGTTACGATTCCTTTCTTAAACTTATCCAAAACCGTTCCCCCAGAACTCCAATGCCGATCTTCCCAATCTCTCACAATCCATCACTAATTTCTTTTCTTTTTTTATAAACTTTGCTATATAGTCTGTTCAGATTTTGAATGTCAACCAGCTAACTCCGCCCCTGCTGAGACGGTACCTTTTCGCGTCGATGTTTTATCGCGCGGGACTAATTTTGATCTTTTTTGATCTAAAAGATAGAAAAAGAAGTCAAAAATGCAGCATTATTAAAGGTTCATCGTCATCTGGATATAAAACATTGACGCGAAGGATATTGTAGCCTTGGGGGTGGAGTTAGCTGCTTGACATTCAAAATCTGAACAGACTATAGCATGTGTACCACGAATTTCACCAGTCGACATTCCGCTGTGCAGCTGCGCGCCTTTGCGAATCTTGGTCGGGCTTTTAATTTTTTTTTTTCTTTTTTTGTTAAGGTACTCCACTTCCGTGTGCTCCCACAGCAATAACAATCAATTGAAAGCTTTGCCTAGATTCGAAAGACGCTTCGCGAACGCACGCAGCGGAACAGCGGAATGTCGTTCGGTGAGATTTTAAGTTGTGCCACACAGACTAAACTGCTTCACCATGACCCGCGCCGACGACTAATTCTTCGATTATATACCATGACTCAGCAGATATTTCCTTAATCTTAGACTGAACTCTGGATAAATTGAAATTGAAATTGAACTGCTCCCTCTAAATTATCAAAGGAAATTGGGCAATTGGAAGACAGCAAAGGGGATTTGAATGCCGTCCATTCTCTTATCGAACTTTTCTCGACCATTTCGACCATCCATTTCGACCACATTTTTAATGTAGCGCACTTCGACATTTTGACCATTTTTGAAAATTGTTGAAAATGGCCCATTTTCGAAGAGTTGAGACACGAAACCAATGAAATAAAGTCTTAAAAAGGCTTGAAATTGCGAAAATCGATGATGGTCGAAAAGGTGCACCAGAACGGCAAAATATCTATTATTTTGTCTGACTTTTTTTTCAATGAGTATCTTCAAAGTTTTCGACTGTCCGAATCAATTTCAAATAAATTACTGATAACTCGGCAAAAAAGGACCGTGGCTTGGCTTGCTGTTGAAAAAAAACTCTAGCTGTGGAACTTTTTCGGCTGGTTAGTTGATAAAGGCACTGTGATGCTTGAGGAGATGATTTTCAATCCATCAGATATCTTGAACGAGACAGCTATTTTTCAGGGAGCGTGCGCTTGAAGGATAATAATTAGAACACTTTTTTGAATATCCGTTAGACCTGCGCTTTGATGGGCCAATATAAATCATCAAAAGCGTTGATCTCATTCATTTATTCTACTCATTGATCCCATTCTTGCATCTTTTTAAGAAACATTCCTTTGAAAATAACTTCCATTTGAAAATTTTAGGAAAAAAAGTTCAAAAAAACGTCTGTGCGAAATTGCCTCACACTCATACTTTCCATTTTCAACTTTCGAACTTCATAAGTCTTATAAATTTTTTTAAAGAAAAAAAAAATGAAGAAAAAGTATTCGTGCCGCCCCAGATTGAAGAAAAGGTCTGATTTTTTGCGTCCTCTATCTCTCATCAGTTAGTTATAGGAAAATGAAAAAGGAGATAAGAGAATAAAGAGCGCAGAGAAATCAGATATTTTTAATTTGTGGCAAATTAGGTGTAAGTTAAGGCTTGTCCTTGATTTTTCATAATGATTGAAAGAAAGTAACAATATTTTCGCTTATATCTCCGAGGAGCCGATTCGAAACAAAGAAAACTAGAAAAAGCGAACATTTTCACCGGAAAGCGATGTTTTTGTTTTTGGCGATCGTTTCTGAAGCTGGATACTCTGAGGAACAAAAGAAAAACAGGAAAATCGTTGCCACAGAAAATGTTGCAAGCAAGAAAAAGAAGCTGGAATCCAAAACTATCCCTCGCTCCAAAATGGACGCTCTGGCACCCAATGAAATGAAGCTTCCGAAAAAGAGTATCCGATGCAAATCAAATGGATTTTTTGTCAAACGACGCCACGGCTTCTTTCCGACTCGGAAAAAAGGAACGGCGATGGGAAAAGTCGTGATTTCTCCCATTGCGCAACGGAAACATTAAAATCTCACTCGTTTAGGCGTTGGCAAAAAGAAAGATGACGCGATGGAGGCGTCAGGCTGCCTTGCGTAACACTTCCTGAACGCTTTGAAGACAGTTCGATCTATTGAGTGGGAGAAAACGTTCTTGAGTGGCTAATCAGGACTCGCAACCATTCGGTTGATTCCTCCACACCAAGGATAATTTCCCATCAAGTTCTCATTTGAGAATCTTTTCAATAATAAAAATATTGAAAGCTCAGCCTGTACTGAAAAAATTCTACGTTTTGGTTGACCTAAATTCATTAAAAGGGCAACAATGGAGACTCAGAAACCTCGCTCGTTCAGAAACTATTTAAAGATTAAGGTCATGATCCTTTAAAAGCACACAAAGTTCGGAAAATTAAGTGAGACGATCCGTTGCAGTAGCCTAATGATGGTGCCGTTTTAACCTTTTTCTCCATTTCAATGGAAGAATTGTATTTCAAGCTAATTTATTCTTGACGACACCATAAGTTCACAAGCTTAAACGATTCGCAATAAATTACCAATAGACAAGAAATAAAACTCTTCGGAAAATTCAATAATCAACCACAACCAAATGAAGACAAGCAAAATTAGGTGGTCCTATAAACTTCTCATTTTCAAATTATTTTAGTATTCTTGTATGGTTTGACTGCACTTTGGCTCATGCAATGGGTGATTGAAATTTCGGTTATTTTTCATGGAAACTGCAAAGTTAAAAGTTTCGAAGGGAACTAGTTGTTGAAAGTTTTCTGGAGGCTAAAAAATTGCACTGGCCCGTCAAAACGGAAAAGAAGGCTTAGGCTCCCAGTTTCCCGTTGGGAAAGATAACTGTGATCTCCTGGAAGAGTCGAAACTGGATCGTTCCTCGGCAGTTCGAGGGAGTTGCCATCAGAATTTGGATAAACGGAGATAGCCGACGCCGCAATTGATGCGCTGGGGGGCGGGCCGACCGCAGCCATTTCGACTTTATGAAAGGCTCTAAGCCGGTCCGCCGCTGCCATTCTTTCCTTCTTTCGGTTCAGTTCACTTCTACCTTCTTTCAACTGTTGTAAGGATCCAATTTCCTGCCAATATCCCCCTTTTGTCCATCAACGTGTACCTTCTGTCTTCACAAGCTGTGTAATTTCGCAGATTGAAAAAAAGAACAGCTTTAAATTTAATGTTCGAAGCTTTTGGAATGACTATGCAGGAGAAACTCGAAACTGATTGATAATGAGCTATCTGATCATCAAGATTTGTTAAACCGTTTCTATAACCTTTAACGTTGTAAGCATATGTACGTTGCCGGAAAAAAGGACTTTTGATGAATGTCTCAAACCAGCATTGTGAGAATTTATTACGTTTCAAACTTCTATTTGGAGAAACCATTAGAAGAAACTTGTCTATTTCGACTTCGCAATACTCATAAATAACCGAGGAAGGGTTTCTGGTCGTGGATAATCGCATCACGCGCGAAATTTGCCCATGGAACAGCCGCGTACAATTCACACATTTCAGGTGAATCATGAGAGCTTTTTTGTCGAACGAAATTTTTGACATAAAAAAAGTTTCGCAGCGCAGAAAAAAGTTTATCCTAGCCTTATCATAAATGCTGAAAAAATGCACAAATTACTCACAGATGACATTCCCTGATTGTGTGAGTTTTTGGAAATTTTCAGCGAAAAAGTCTTTTCGTGGATAGCTACAGAAATTTCTATTTTATGCCGTGTTCAAAGTAATTTACGCGAAATGCAAAATGATCTCTGACTCTCCAAAATTTAGTGATCTTTCCCGTTCTCTAACTGGTATTTTGCATTTCGCGGAATCAAATTGAACACGGCATTATGCCTAAAAAACTTAACAGTGTACTAAATTGAGATTTTCAGTGTTTCCTGCTGCACGAATTTCTAGTTTTTGAGAATCCACACTTCAAAGTCGAAAAAAAATTCCCGATTTTGCAAAAAAGGGGGGTTTTTTTTTAAAGGTATGAATTTGTGCTGGTAGGGACTTAGTTTTTTGAGGTAATTCTGAAGTTATGATAAAACTTGCATCTCTTGGCAGTCTCATGAGGTTGCTATATCGTTCCATTGATCAAAACAAAATCATTCAAAAACGAAACGTAAATGAGATCATTTGCGATATCAGCGCGGTATAATTGGAAGAAAATGTTCGGCTTTCCGCCCCCTAGACACCGTCACCTGCGCCGAACGATTGCCCTTTGATTCTTCATCTAGTTCCTTCCCGTCTTATCTTTGGGAAGAGTTCAATTGAATCTCTTATTTTCACCCTTTCTATTGTTTTTTTTTTGATTCCTAATTTCCATTTCATCGGAATTGCCACGTTCTTCCTTCAAACATGCCGTTTATCTTCTCGTCTATCTCGTTCTGATCTTTGTCTTTCCTTTTCTTTTCACAGATTTTTATGTATTTATTACTTTGTCCGATATTTATCGCTTATTTTGAGATTTTTCAACAGAGGAATTGTTAAAACACTCTTCTCATGGTTCTCACAGGGATAAAAAACTAATGGAAAACTAGAAAATTTGTTTGACTTTATTGTTTCGATGTAACCAACCTGTGTACATAAAAATAGTTTAAAAAAAAAGAAAAAAAAAACCGAGATTTCATCAAACTTGAAAAAAAAAAATTTTAAATAACATTTTTCTTGACGCTCTTGAATCTTTTGTTTTCTTGCCTTTCGAGTCCATTTTTCTGTATTCTCGAACAATAAACCACATTTCCTACCAGCCGGTCCACTATGCTTGTTTTGAAGTGACACTTTACGATAGGCCAATTGAGACACTTTTTCAATTTCTTTTCTTTTTCAAGCAGATGGACATGCGCGCCGCTTTGCATACTACACTTTTGGCCACCGATTCAAGTCTTCGACTTTAAACTTTCCACGTTTACTGACGTGTCGTGTGGCCTTTACTTCACAACAAAGCTCCCAAAATAAAATAAAATCTCCACGCAAACTAAGTCGAGAGCGTTTTTCCGCTGCAAAAACGGGTTTAGCTTCGATTTTCCGCTTTTTGTGAGCTTTCGTTCAAACATTTAAAAAGAATTAACACATTTCGAGCGATATTTCGTTTTTTTGCTTTCTCTAATTGTTCAACCTTGGTCTCGGAGACACTCTGTCTTTTTTTTTGCGAATGGAGGTATTCACCGAAGTTAATTTTTCGAAGTTTTAATATGAAACCGAAAATTTTTTTCATGAACATTTAAATCAGTCGATTTAATCTAAAACTAAATAATAAAAAAGAATGTTTGATTAAACAAACATATAGATTTTTTTGATAAACAGTCCCCCTCCTCAGTTTAAAAGCTATCCTTCTCGAGCATAGTTTTTGTGCATAGAAGGTCATTTTACGTTGCACCTTAGAATTTTCACAACTTTTCTCAAATAGTCTTTGACATACTGGGTTGAGTTCTTCGCAGTCCGAACCTTTCGAAATTTTCAATTTTCAAAGATTAACTCTTTGAAAATAACCACATGAAAAAAATTCAATGAGCTATTTCGAAACTTTGAAGCCTCAATGTTTCTAAAATAAAGAAGTTGAGCAGGTTCTGATTTTAAAAATACTCGTCCAATACTTCAAAGACGATTCGAGCAAATATCTGAAAATTCAAGAATATCATGTGAATTATGACTGTGAAGAAGTATGAACCTTGTGATATTTTCAGAAAACGAAGGGTTTGAGTCGACGAATCCGTCGAATGGGTCTGGCGCACTCTGCGACGTCGCAGAGGCGATGTCGTGGCGAGCTGCGAGACCCAGAAGACGAGTGTCGTCTCGCCCATTACCGCGTCACCCTCGACGTCGTCGTCCGATTCTTCGGCTCCATCGCCGTCGTTGGCGTTTTGGCCGGAATTTATTTTTCTGGAAGACCCAGTCACATCATTCCGGAGGAACATATGGATTTTGTTCTCGAGGCTCGGAAGACCTTTCGGGTAGGTTCTACAGATTACTTTGAAGTTTCATTCTGCCCGAAAGCTTCAATTTTTTGGAGCTTCTTTGACATTCTTTCATTGAAAATCCACTAATTTTAAATTCAATATGGCTCGTGACAACGGTGAATCACCGGGTAAAAAACTGAAATTCTCAATAATTCTTTATTCAATCAGAAATTTAAGAGAGCAACCTTCCACGTTCCATCTCGAACTCACTGGAAACATTTTTTTCGCGTTTTTTTTTTTTTAATTTTGATGTTAAATTTTTTTGTGTTGCAAACTACTCGTTTTCCCGAAGCTCGTTTTGGAATTGGAAAAATCTTATTTGTCGCTTGTTTAATTACCGATAAACGAGCATTTTCCGAAAAAGGGAGCAGACTATGCTTTCCAGTCTTTTTCAGAACAAAAAAGGTAAATAGGCGACAAGTATGACGTTTCGAGGCAAAAAGTGGCTTGAGGTGTCAAAAAGGCAATGTTCTCGTCCTCCGCCGTTTTCTCTGGAAAACTTGTCGTCAACTGCTTTTTAGGGCCTGTCCGATTGGGCAACAAGCATCTCAAAACACGACATGCAGAAGCAAATCAATTCATTTTTATAGAACAAATGAAAAAGCTCTGTTTTTTCTCTGATAACATTATTTTCACAGCATCCCAAATCTCAAAAGTGCTAATTCTCAGAATGCTACTCGCGCCGAATGAAACAAAGCATTGAAATTCAATTTTTGAATTATTTTGTAGTTCCTTCAAAGCTGCCTTGGAGCGATATATTCATATATGAAAGATAGATATAAAAGCCATGATACGTTGTTAGAGAAATACTCTCGGAAAAAGAGAGGTTGCGACGTCTCTGTATTTTTTTTTTGTTAATCTGAGGGTAAATTGAGTAAACCGTATATTTGATAAAGACTTGATTCATTATTATTTTTGGGGAGTTGAATATCCTGTGATTTTTAGAGAAAAAAGTCCATTGAAAGGTGTTTTTAGAATTTAAAAAAAAATTTTTCCAAAAAAAAAACCAGTTACACCAACCAAACTACTTTTTCGATGTACAAATACAGAAATAAGCAGCTAAAACGTCGTTGAACTCAGTCAATGAAACCGGTTCGAGAGATAAAGTGAAAGTCAAAGAGGAGAAATCGGAGAAATCGACGTCCGAAAAGTTGCAAATTCCAAGACGCAAACTTGCAAACAAAACAAGATGCATCCATAAATTCAGTTGGAAACTATTTCGATTTTTTAAAATTTGGCTTTTGTATTTGTTTTAAAAACAGCGGAATGTCAAAAATTGACCGAATACTCAGTGCAAAGTTTGCATTTTTCTGTAACAAAAACACTGCAAAAACCACAAGACTGTATAAAAACGAAAACCTACTGACTCTAAACCGATTTGATTTCCCTTCTTGACTTCAATAGTTACCAAAAATGGTCAAAAACGAGGCGAGACCAAAATTATGCTTTTAGTTTTACTTTTCTACTTATTTACAATGTCCAGCTTCTCATTCCCAGAAGTATTTTTTAAAAGTAATTCTCTGCATATAACTTATGTAGGGTTGTTTCGAGTTAGCACGAAATATAAAAACCTGTGTTTCTGCAGTTTTTCGCCAACGGAAACGGGTCGATCTACACGCCGACGGCGAATGGACCAGTGATGGTAGATCCTTGGCTCGAGAATATGGTCATCGACACGGTCGAGCGCTACGCCTTCGGCACGACCCAAACCAACTATTGCCATGTTTGCAAACTTTTTTCTGTACCTTTTGGGAAGGATGATTTCAGTTGAGAAACGCCTCTGTGCAGGAATGGGGCACTTCCTTGTTTCGTGCCAGCCAGCTCTTCGTTTCGGTTCAGGTTCTATTAAAACAAAGCATAAGCTAAAGTCTTATATCGAAAAAATAGGTGCCATTCCGAATGGCGATCCTTGTTCTATGCCACATTCAAATTCTGCAAATGTTGATTTTCGCCAAGGCGTTCTACAACGAGAATCAAAGCGTCGCTTCTTTGAGCCTCGGTTGGTCCTCCGGTTCTTTCTCTCCCCGATTAAGATATACTGATCAATCTCCGTCCACATTTCCTCACCGCAAACATTCAAAGAACACGTAAACAAGATAGTTGCCAAGGAAAGAAAGCGCAGAGGAGTTCGATCCCCGCCCCGGCCCAACCAAGGGGTTTAAGAAATGTTGGTAGTGGGAAACCACGGCTTCATAATCCCCAGCCGTCACACACAAGGACGGATATGTCACTGGAGCCAGTCCACTGATTATCACTGATCAGGATAGGACCTCGGCTAATCGACTTGGGGCGCCGACGCCGCTCAAGCGGTACAGCGGCGTAAGAAGAAGAAGAAGAAGAAGAAGAAGAAAGAAAGCGCAGAGGAATCTGATGATTTCGAAATTGACGAAAAAAAGAGAATAATAAAGAGTAAGTGAAAGAGAAGTCTCTCGAACCTCGGTAACAAAAATCGACGTTTCTGAGCGATTCCAGGAACCTTTCGAGCATGCTGACGCTTCTAAAGTGGTCACTAGTAATGCCCCGACACGTTCGATTCGCTAGTTGCTTAAGAAATGAGTTGGGTCAAAATAGTCGAATTTGTCTTTTTAAAAAGATTCAAACTCACTAAGGAATGGTCTCTATTCGCAGTGGGACTTCTGAATGAGACTAGGTTCACTAAACGCTGATTCCGAATCTGGTCTCAAAGACTGCCCTCGAGGCCTGTGAAAAAAGTTAGGGACCTTCAAAGTCGAAAAATGTCAGTCTTGCGAATATTTTGTTTAAATGAGCCTAACGAGGGTTTAAAATGTTTCAGTTACACTAGAGGAAACCAAAGAATTTTCGAGTCTCAAGTTGAATGAATCGGCAGACGTCGTATCGATAAGTCAATGATGGAAATTTTGAGAACTTCTTTCAACATTAGTAAAAATCTGCGACCTGGTGCTCATTTTTTCCAGGAGCTTTGATGGTTCTAAACGAGGTACTGCTGACTCTCTCGGCTTTTATCTTCTGTGAAATTCATTTTTGGCAGGACAGAAAAGGTTGCGTTTTTTTTCTTTATTTTTCAATATCTGCTGAGTTGACGTTCTGTTGAAAACCTATTTGGCTGCTTGTTTACGCATCCCTACAAAATTGAGATTTCTTTTTCATGAAAAAAAAAGTTGGTGAAGATTCCAAAGGGAGGTCGAACCACCCTCAAGGTTCTGAAATCTAGCGCGGTCTACATTTTACAATTCTACTGGAAATGAGTGCTTTGGGAAAATTTTAGAATATTCAAAACTATGAGTGAAATTAGCTGTAAGACACCTTCGACCTGGACAATCCATTAATTTCAGCTTTTGTTCTATCGTCCAATTTTCTATCTCTCTACGTCGTCTTCGCCATCTCAAAGTTGCTGATGCGCAGTTGTATGGAGGTGTAGATCTCCAATTTGAAGTGGTATTTCTAAATTATGCAGGGAGTTTGCTACGCGTCACTGGGGAGAATATTCGGAGCAATCGTGGTTTTTGTGAGTTATCCCGTGATGGCCAACGATGTAGACTCATATGTTAGAGAAATCTACTGCGACACTTTTGGTTCGTTTTCTATTAAAACTTTTAAATTGAAAGTTGTTTAGTTAACTGAAATTTTCAGGGCATGAGCGAGCTTTCTATTCTCACGTTTTTTTTTTGTTTTCCAAATAGCTTTTCTGCTTTCTAATTGAATTTTTTTCAATTAAAGTAGAATGGATAATTGATGCCGCCTTCCGTTAAAACTCATTTCGATGAAATTCAAAATCAAAATGAAAAAAAGCGGTACTGGAAAACGTAAAAAATTCGTAAAATATAGATAGCCCATTCTATTATTTTCTTCGGTTTTGTAACAGTGCTTCCGAAAAAAAAACCAGCTCTTTTCCTGCAGTACTGCCGAATGTTCCGCTGGCGCAGATGTCGACGCTCGGAGTGATGGCGGCCAACTTCGCATGGGACCTTCATTGCTCTAGACGGCTCCACTTCGTCTTCACAAGCACTGCCGACGAGGAGCCTATTCATTGGACTGGAGCCAAGGATCCGCCCATCCGAAGCGCGCTCAACATCCATATCGCCGCCGTCGAAGACGTCCTTAAAATACCGCCTATCTTATTCTCCAGCGTTTCCGATGAGTTTTGACGATCTGAGCTGAAACAAATTACTACGGGTCAAAGACTTATTAGTCAAAATGGATAAAAGCAACAATTTTTTGGAAAAGGCATCAAGGTTCAATTTGATTATAAGCCACAAAAAAAATCTGAGCAGGAAAGACAAAACTTTAATGAGTATTCTACTTCGTTGAGCCGAGCCTTCTGAGGTCGAAAATTTGTTGTAGAATGAATTTAAGAATAACCTGAATTTTTCAAATGCTTTTCAGCCCGATTAAGCCTAGGATCTTGAAGTCTCAAACGAAAAAAATTGAACTTTTTCGCAGTAACTTACAAAATCAATTAACTTTCGAAACAACTTTCTTTATGATTATTCTTCTTTTTCAATTAAGCGTTCACAACGTGTAAATTATTTATTTCTTTACTTATTAACGTTTTTCTCACTACTTCGCACTCATGACATATGTTTATTAAATTGAATTTTTCAGTTATTCTTGTTTTTCTATAAAACTATCCAGTTAGAATTTGATATTCATTTTTATCCAATTTAATCATCGTTTGATTTTTCCACCGATTCCTCTAGTCTGTTTTTGTCTTTCTATTTCAAAAAGAAATCGACTATCTATAAAATGCTCCATGAAACCATACGGGTTCTTTTTTTAAATTGATTATTATATATATATATATATATATATATATAAATGTATTAATCGAACGTTATCACGTTCAGAAATGTGTTACAGAAATAATAACTCTCGTCACTGGGCAGGTTTTGCCATACTCGGTTGGAAACCAAAGACAATCAAATATCAAATCTCTTCAGATTGGAAAGATTTCAAATGAATAAATTTATTTTGGTGATGGAAAAAGAACAGATGGGCTCTTTTTGTCCTTGTTCTTGCTTTTCAACGGATTTTATTTTTTGGGCTGGACTTCTTTTTCCGGGGCCTTGTGAGTGTTCGATCCGTGATTCGGAACTTTCCCTTCTTTCTTCTTTTTTCCCACCTCCTTGGAAACACCTGTATGTTTCATTCCCTCCTTGTGTTTCGACTTTTCTAAATTCAGTTTACGTTTTAAAATTTCAAAAAATCCTTTTATTAGCTGATATGACTTAAACGAAAAGAAAGAAGGTCAATAAACGAACTTTTGCCATCGTTCTGAACTTCGTGCAGTCCTTTCTTTTCTTCATACCTTGTTAAGCTCGAAATCGCGGGTTTCACCTTCTCTTGAGCCTTTAATTATTTTCATAATTTCAATGAAAATGAGGGAAAAACCTTGGGAATTCCATTTGGCCTGCTTTTCGATAAACGGTTCTGAATGTTCGTTGTCTTAATGTCAGTTAACATTTTTTTTACAGCCGATTCACGGCTAGCTTGAGACGTAAAGAGGCGTGGCTGCCGTCTGCGCTCTCCAACAAGCAGATACTGTCTCTTTTCTAATCGTGTCAGGACCCTTTTTCGATGGCTCAAGCCAGCCGTGCGTCAGCCATAGCTGATTATAGGTGATTCACGGCCAGCTTGGGACGCTCCGAGGGCGTGTCCTTTTTGCGCTCTCCACGAGGCAGGCACTGTCTTGTGCATTATCGTCTCAGGACCCTTTTTCCCATGACTCAAGCCAGCCGTGAATCAGCTATACAAAACTACTCACTTTGACCGTGTCCTTGCTCGTTTTCGTCTTTTTCTTTTTTGCTTCCTTAAGGAACTTCGAAATTTTCAATTTTTTTATTGAAAAAAGTTGGAAAGAAAAACTCACCTGCATTTCTTTCTTCTGCCCTGCTCCTGGGGAGGGCACCTTAAATTTTGAATTAAAAAAAAAATTCAAACAACTCTTTTTTAATTTTTTTGCTTGGAAGTTTGCAAAAAAATTGAAATGGACAATGAATAAAGTTTAAAAGCATCCGGATAGTTTTCGTTAAAAAAGAAGATATATCACAAAATTCAAAGTACAAAACCTGACTGCGCGTCGAGTTCCGAGCCTGAAAATAAAAAATATTATTTATGAATTTTCCACAGATCAGCTGTTAGATTTATTTGATTGTTTTGATGTTTTATTTTTTTGTATTTGTCGTGCTGATTGCGGAATTGCGAATAAACACTTGAAATGAATGAAAATGAAAATATCAATAAATTCTGTTTAATTGAACTTTTGAAAGGCTCCATTTTTTTTTTTCCTCATTTGTTTGAAAACAAAAAAAAAAGAACCTGGCTGAAGCAAGACTTCTGGCACGACTCCTTCAGCTGAAAAGTATGTATTTAGAAGTTTAACCGTTTATTGGAAATAGAAAACCTTGCATTTCATTAGACTTTTTCGAGATTTCTTTTGTCTGTAAATTGATTAATTAGCAGATTCATACTTAAATATGAAATTAAATTATTTTATTGAACGGTTCAAAACGAGATATTTAAACTTTTTTTCCTCGAGGCAAAAAATAATTGAAACTTTTTGCGAGGTTCAAAAAGCAGAACTGTTATTACGTCTAAATTTGAAAAAAAGAACCTGGATTTTTCTATTGAATTTTTTTCTTTTTAATCTTGACTCTGAAAAAAATTATCAATTTAAATCTCAAAAAAATTTCGTGACAATAGAAAAAAATTCTCAATTTTATTTTTTTATAATTCTAAATTTGTCAATATTTAATAACTTTCAAATCAAAAAGATAACTCACCGGCGTCATTCCTCTTTTTTCTTCACTATCCTGCAGCTGGAAAAAAGCAATCATTAAAAATTTTTTTTTGAAAACAAATTTAATTTTTAATAGAAAACTTTATTCGGTCGAATCGTCAAATTATGAATTCTATTGATAAAAATTACCTCTCCTGTGACCCAACGTAACTCCGCTCCGCTTAACTGAAAGAAAATAGAGATGTCGAGAAGAAAAATCGAAACTTACTTCATTTTTCGGTTGATGCGAATCAGCGGCCTGAAATAATCGAATTTCAGGATAACGTGTAACAATTTGATAAATTATTTTTTTGATTGAATTAGAGAAAAAACTTGATATGATTGTCAAGTTCAAACAAGACTTCCTCCATTTTTTTCGGCAATTGTCGCCGGTTTAGTGATACATTACAAACCTTCATTCGACTTAAAGTTCATAAAATTCAAATGAACTAAAAAGAAAAGTTTCTCAGAACTCAACTTCTTGAGAAAGCTCTGAAATCTGAGGCCGTAGGCCATAAATAGGAAAATGGGTTTCCGCGATTATCCTGATACTTGAAAATGATTTCAATTACCCTTTTTTTTTCAAACTGTAATATTCCTTCCCCAGCTAAATCTTTTTATGGAACCCTATCACATCTGAAAAAGTCGAAAATAATGAATTATAGTGCGTTTTAGGCCTTCTTCAATTTTAGGAAAACGGCGAAAAATCGTTTTCCACTTTATTGCATATGGCCTCAGGTTTAGAAAGCGCCGCGAGTTATTTTAAACCTCAAAAGGGCGCTCTAGCGAAAAATTTATCCAATCAGGTTCTTTATAAACACTAACTATGACATGAGGCACCTAAAGATCGCCACAGCTATTTCTCTGACACACATAATTTTGTCGTTATCTAGCTGCAAGAAGAAGACGAAATATTGTAGGTCAGAGAAATAGTTATGACGACCTTTAGGCGTCGCATGTCAGAACAGTCGAAGGTTTACTTCTTTTAAATGCTCTTCAAAAAGTTGAAGTACGCTATTCTCTGATAAAGCAGATACAACAGTGTCTCAAAAATAAACGGTTAGGAAACACAAGTTCCAATAAGATTTTGAAGCGGAGCCAACAACTGAAAGTTCACCCGTTGAGAATTGATTAATTACCAAGGAAAAAGTCGGCTTCGAATTCTTGTCACTCTCGGCGGCCACTTCGACTTCTTTGCTGTTCTTTGCATCAACCTAAACCGCGACGCGTGGACCGGACGCGCTGCGGTCTCACCTTTTTGCCAGCTTTCTGTTTGTCTTCTTTTGGGAGTACATCGGGTTGAGGCTGAAATTAATGAGTCTCGCAACAGCTTTCAGAAATAAAGAGACCTTATTCACCGCAGCACTTCTCAATTTCTGAAATAACAATTTTCATGAAAATTTTTTCGCAGGAAACTTTTAAAGTTAATATTCCAAACACCCGCTTTTAGAGACTAGGAACTCCCTCCAGATACAATTTTCTACGTTTCCGTATTGGACCTTCCTGTGTGGGTGTGTCAGTTGCATGACAACAGGGAAATAAAAGGCACGCAGGAGTTCAGGAGAGAGAAAGAGGGGATGCGCGGGACCAGCTCAAGCCATAAACTGATGAACCTTCGCCCACGCGGAGGCATGATCGAAGGTTCTCCTTTTGCCGGGCTGGTACATCAAAGTAAGTGCAAAATTCAAGTTTTCGAACTATCGAAAAAAAAAAATTTATGTTACCAGATCCTCCTTTATTATTTTCTCAGCTCTGTCGGGGTCGTTCTGAAAATTCCCGGTTCCTTTTTTTCTGATAAAAAAGATTACGCTAGGGGTTGAACCTTCCAGAACAGTTGATAAATCCGAAGGATAAGCGTCGCTCTGAAAGGAGAGCTGTGAAACTTTGATATTTTTGATAATGATTTTTTGAACGTGCAATTTGAGTCAATAAACCGCGATAGGTGAATTTTCTTTTTTGATGGAAAAATGATTGAATCAAACTGTCATTTGAATAAGAGCTGTTTACAAATGACTTCGAAGCAAAAATAACTGACTCGGAAAAAATCTGCAGGCTCTTCCCATGGATATCGCGTTGCCGCGGACGCTCTGGCCGTTTTCTGTAAGTCCAAGGATTCGCTGAGCATCAACTTGAACCTACCCAGCGGATGTAGCTCTCGAGATTGGCCGTCTCCCAGTCATAAGGGTCTTCCAAATTCACGTTGTGCACCCTGTAGATGTTGGAAAATACATCGTAGATCATTCTTAAAATGGTTATTTGGAACGATTCGATTATATCATCAGTCCGAACTCACGAATAATTGGGGCGTGAGTAGTAATTGGAACTCCGCAAATGGTTGAATATCGGCAAAAAATGCTCGGCTAGAAAGTAATGAAACGGTGAATCGCAAAAAAAAGCGGTACCTCCTCCTTCCAAAAGCCAACTGTCAGGCATTGTTTTCATTTGTTGCACCTGTTAGTTCACAGTGTATTTCTAACAGAAGGATATACTAACCACACACGGCTCCATCGCCTTTTCCCAAGGAAGATGCTTGAGCATTTCCACCATCATATACATTAGACTCCAAATATCGTCGACCCGACCCTATGAAGCATGAATTTCAGATCAAACCACTGGAAAAAGCTAGAGAAGAAGCTCAACCGCTATATCTGACATTCTGACCCTTCATAAAATTGTCTTCGGTATCGATCATTTTCCCCACTTTGAACTTTTTGCCCTCAGGTCCAATTTAAGGCGAAATCCACTTCGACTGCGTTCTCAAGGTCAGTTTTCTAATGATTTTTTCTTTAAAACATTTCCTACTTGGAACAAACTCACTTCCAAATTTCAATTCAGCCACCACTCCAAGTCTTTAAAAAATTTACTGGTCAATCTACCATTGCACGAGATCTTCTTGTCTATTCCTCCACGACTCAATGATGTATAACTGTATAATGTATCTTCACAAATTCTAGATCCAAGTGAACTCGTTAGGGTTCACGCTGATCTGTTAATAAATTATTATTAACCAGTCATTTATAGTCAAACTTCCAGAAATTAAATTTTAAATATAAACTGTATACTGATACAAGATCCATTTCCCGTTCACTATTGAAACTCACGAGTTCCTTTTGTTCGTGAGCATTGGGTGAACAGTAACGCATTGTTCCCCGGAATTCCACAGTCGGTCGGGCCAAGCGAATTTTAAAGAGTCCAAGAGTGTCCTAGAAATTCAGTGAAGACTTTCAAGGCTAGTTTTTTTCATATAAGTAACGGCAGCCGTGAAAAGAGGAAATCGATTCGATCGAGAACCATCTTCTGGGAAAATATATCTCTTCTTCCACGAAAAAGGACAGAAATTTTCAATTACAGTATTAGTAAATAACCTTGGTGGCGTATGTTCTGGACAGTCCAAAATCAAGCAAAAAGATGACGTGAGAGCGCAGTGGATCCTTTGGGGAAGAGCAGCCAACCACAAAGTTTCCAGGCTTCAGAATTTCATTAGGATTTTAATTTTCCATTCTAACCTTGATATCGCGGTGAACGAAGCCGATCTCGTGAAGCTGTTTTATCCTGAAAGTGACCCCATTTCGTCCGAAGAGACCCAAAAAACTCACGCGAACAAACACTGGACGCCAATTCGACTGTAAGTGGACGGACTGGAGATTTCTTCTGGTGATTGCAACCGTAAATTCTAAGAGAAATTCTACTGTTCTTTTCCAAAAGAGGAAAACAACCTTCAGATTGTGCCCTAAAAGCTCCATGATGATGTAGCTATAATGTTTCTTCCTTCCGGCGTGATATTTCACAGGAAAGTGGTACGAATTCAAAGCGTTTAACAGAGTCATCACTTCGTTCTGCCGCAAATGGAAAAACAAATATCAAGAACTTCTTTGAAAACCTCGAGTTTAATGGCGGACCCCCCTTCAATTTGATTTGACTCTACTTTCATTGCCATTGAACCCAGCTGAGGCTCTCTCAAAGACACGACCTGTTAACGGTAATTGATGCTTAGATTAGGTGTCCTTACCTTGAAAACTTGTCCGAAACCACCTTCGTCCAATTTTTCTGTTATTTTGTATTCATGAACTCTGGAAAAGGTTGCTATGCTTCGCACTTTCTACGGAAAGCCATACACATCGCCGATTTCGACTAGAGTCATTGGGATACTTTCCTGAAGCGACATCTCCTTTGTCCCTCGCCACCTACCAGACAGACAGACCTTGAAATAACTTCGATAGCCACTTTCTTATCAGCAAAATCTGTCACGTTTTGAACTTTACCGGAGGACAAAATTATGAAATTAGTTTCTCACATTTGAAGAGAGTTCTTTTTATTCCATTTCATAACTCTCCAAAGTAAAAAAATTTTTAAAACAGTACTAACTAGGGAACTACTCGGACTCGGGTACGCGTTTCGAGTTGAAACTTTGGTGGCTTATAGACCCGGGTAAGAGTACTTGGAAACAAGAGAGGTTATCTGCTAAACCCCATAGGCTTCTGAGAAAAAGCTTTTTGAAAATAAACAGTTTAGGCTTGAAAATTATCAATTTTTGCTTTTTCCTTCTTTTGGCTGGAAAAAAGTTGTTAAGTTTTTATTATAGCCGGATCAAGACGAATGGATTAAAATATAAAATAAGGTAAAAAGCAGTATTCTGAAAACTTTCCGACCTAATCTGCACATTTTCTACAAAATTTTTCTCAGTTCTCTATCGGGTTCAGCAGATATTCTCTCTTGTTTTCAAGTTTTCTGACTTGGGTCTATAAACCACCAAACTTTGAACTCGATCCGCGATTACGAGTTCGCGTAGTTTCCTAGTAAGACTAACGTTCAATACGGGCCCAGTCAATTCAGCAATTCTTTTTCCCTTTTCTACAAAATCTCTAGAACCCATCTTTTGAGGTAACAAGATCAAGTTCAAAAAATTACACGAGTCTCTATTTTAAAACCGAGAAACCTTTCTAAACTGCCGTAGCACGACGACCGCGTTGATTTATACGGAAGTCTTTTATAGATTCAGTAAATTCAAATCAGCGAAAATAGATGAATGTTTATTTCGGGGGAACGTGAAGAGAGGCGTCAGTTTTCTTTGGCACCACACGATAAGTCCTTTTGTGACAATCCGATGGCTTTTTTCCTTCTGAATTCGCTTCAATTTTCTAATTCTATAAAAAATGTCTGTTTTTATGTGCTCTTTTTTTCTACAAACCGTTCTGAAGTTTAGAAAAGAGAACGCAAACAAACCCGATTTTTTTTTTTCATTTTTTTGGCAAATATGATTCACATCAAAAGTTGGATTTTCACGTCAATTCAGACATTCCCCTCAGATTTTAATTATGATATGCTTATTTACTTTTTTTTTTTTCATAAAACAAACTTTTTGTGTTTGTTTCGAGGCTTGGGGGAGTCGCGAAATTTTTCTTCGATTGGGTAATTTGAGATTTCATAGCTGGCAACTGAGAAGGCGGAAGAGCAAGAACCTGAAAGAATGGATGTTCAACCTGGAAACGCCAACTATGGAAAATTTGAAAGTTTTTTAAAACGGAAAAAATTGTTCAAATTTTCCCCTTTTTTTGTAATGTCGAGTGAATCGTTATTTTAAATAGTGTTTTCTCTATCAATTTTGTCAAGATTTTCAATAAAAACCTTTTGAAGATGAAAAAGAGAGGGTGCAGTTAGAAACAAAATCAAAAACGTTTTCTCTTAATTTCAAAAACACGACGGACCGTAGCGGACGCTTTGGGTTTGATTTCGCCCTTGTTAGGAACCTCGTTCCGCTTCGACTTCATCTCCGCCTTGTTTGGAGTTCCGGCGCGCTTATTTTCCTTCGACACTCGGCTATTTTTCTCCTTCACCTGAAGTTTAGTTGTCAGACCAAAAAGCATGAAAAGGTGTGACCTTATCTGATTTTTGCACGAAGGAAGACTTCTTGTCACCAAAGTCTTCTATCTCCTTGGAACCGGGAGCTTCTGTCTGCTACAACTTTGATGCTGTATTCAAAGAAACTTCCACGGAATGCAAAATTATCTCTGACTCTCCAAAACTCATTTATCTTATTTCTTTCTCTGACGGCTATTTTGCATTTCGCGGAATCATTTTGAACACGGAAGGAGTTCAGATTTGAGATTTTAATATTTTTCACGCCGATAGATATATGGATGATTTCTCCTGTATACACTAAGAATAACTGCCGAGATAAACGCGAGACGCTGGCGGTACATTGACGAGCTCGCACACATCTCGCTTTTTTTTCTCACGCCTGTCTCGCATTTTTCTGGGCGCGAGCTATTTCTTGAGTAAGAGGGAAACTTGTGACGATAGTCCGTCTAATTTTTATAGCCGAAACGTAGATTTATTGAACTCCCATCTTCATTCAATTTTATTCATATGGAGTTGTAAAACTCTGAAAATTTTCGGACGGATGATCAGAAAGTCAACATTTTTCCGATCAAAACTCCACTCAGACTCACTCCGTCGGTCTTTTGAGTCTTGCAGTCGGCGTTGACCGAAGGTTTCGATGCCCTTTTCGTGTTTTTGCCTTTGAATCTTTTCGAGTCTCTTTCATCGTTGAGCGAGAATTGGAGAGGCTTAACTGAAGAGATGATGAAATTAAGAGAAAAACTCACCATTTCGCCCTGCTTTTCCAGTGCGTTTTTATCTTTCGAAGTTCTCTCTGGATAAGCATCACTCTGTAGAAAGCAAGTTTTCGACTAAGCTCCTTCTCAGATTTTTTCTTTTTTTGAGTTAGCTCTGAAAACGATAAAACTCACGCAAAAGAACGTCGCCGGATCTTCCCAAGGATATTTTGGAGAAGATTCTTTAACAGCCTTCTGTAAGTTCAAGGATTCGCTGAGCATCGACTTGAACCTACCCAGCGGATGTAGCTCTCGAGATTTGCCGTCTCCCAGTCATAAGGATCGTCCATTTTTACGCTGTGCAGCCGGTATATGTTGGCGAACACATCGTAAATCATCCTTTGAAAAAAAACTTTCGAAGTTTCCATCTGGATGAGATAAAAGTTACGAGTAATTGGGACGTGAGTAATAGTTCGACTTTCTCAAATGCTCAAAAATCGGCAAAAAATGCTCGGCTGAAATAATTAGAACGTTTCTTGGAACTGATTACAAGTTCATTTCATTAAAAAAAAAGTAAACAATAACCCCCTCCTGAGACAAGTTGAAGATCAAGCATGTGTGTTTTGATGGCTTGGATCTGCAATTGCTATTTTTAAACCAGAAACCGAACATTCGAAAGGTTAGCGAACCTCAATAGGTTCAATTATCGAAGTCCAGGGTAATGGCTTGAGCATCTCCAGCATCATGTACATCATGCCCCAGACGTCATCGATTCGACCCTATATTGGGGATTGAGAATCTCATTTAATCGTAAAGAATCTTTCTCTTAGACCCTCTATACTCACAAGATCTTTGTGCTCATGAGCATTGGGAGAGCAGTAACGCATCGTCCCCCGAAACTCGGCGTTCGGCCGTGGCTTGCGGATTCTCAAAACACCCGAAGCGTCCTCAAAGCATTTTTCACCCAAGTCAATCTGGATATAAAGAAACCTTTACTGCATAAGGACGTGCGATTCCGAAATCAAGTAAGAAAACAACATGAGAGCGAAGAGGATCTTTAGAAGACTGAGCGCCGATCACAAAATTCCCTGGCTAAAAAAAAAAAGAATTTTCCTTGTCGAGTCCGTTACCTTCACGTCGCGATGAATGAATCCGAGCTCGTGAAGCTGCTTTATTCTAAAATTTCTACGATTTTGTCTCCTTCAGTCGTTTAGTGATGGACTCACGCATACAAACACTGAACTCCAATCCGACTATAGGTAGATGGACTTGCAAAAACGCCAGGCGACTGCAAACGTAGATTCTGAAATTGCGTCTTTTTTTCAGAACTTTTTCTCGAAAATAAACTTTCAAGTTGTGTCCCAACAACTCCATGATGATATAGCAGAACTTTTTCTTGCGTGCGGCGTGATATTTGATGGGGAAATGATAGGACTTGAGTTGGTTCAGCAAGGACATCACTTCGTTCTGAAAACAGTAGTGGAATCTGAAATTTCGGCCCTTTTCACCTCCAATTTGATCGCCGATCCGCCTTCCTGCTCAGTTGATTCTATTTTCATAGCCAAGGATCCCAACTGGGGCTCTTTTAACGAGACTACCTGCAAAGAAAAAAAAATGGACGGCGTAAGAGATTTCTCACTTTGAAGACTTGGCCGAAGCCGCCCTCGTCCAGTTTTTCTGTTATCTTGTAATCGGTGACTCTGCAAAAAAAGGTGTTTTGAAACATAATTTAATTTGAAAACTGTAGAAACCATAACACAACATGCATAAAAATTCTTCATTTCTGTAAAGATGAAATTATTCAACTGGAACATTGTAAAGGACTCAGCTTGGTCACAAAGTCGATCAACTTTTCTAGCTCTTCTCAGTTTAAAAAAAAACTTATACATATCTATACCGTTATAATTGTTTCTGGATAATAATTTTATAGAACGAGCCTTCCATACACATATGGTTAACATGAAAAACTTTCCCTTCCACTTTGATAAACATTATTTCAGTAATTTTACTTGCTATGAAAACTCTACACCGTTTTTGAAATGAAAAATAGAGCTGTTACTAACATATTAGGGAAACTCACACATCTCCAATCTCTAATCGCGGCGTACAGTCTTCCATGACAGTGTTGATCGTTTTCGACCTTGTTCTGTCGCTCGTTCTACGAAAATAACGTCTCAGAGCAGCTCATATAATCTATACACAGAATCAAAACGACCACGCGTCTGTCAAGTGCTTCGCTTCGTCATTTCTGAAAAATAATGGGTGGGTCGACGTCGAAGCCGAAGACGCCGTCGAATACGTCGCTGTCACCGTCGCCTCCGCAGATGCCGTTACGCGCGGCCACGGACACCACACCCGACGTCAGCTGCACACTTCGGCGAGCGAAGAGCGATAAGAACGTCAGGAAGCCCAGTCTTACCGTTTCAAAAAGTGTAGGTTTTATTAATTTTCTTTCTTACTAAGAATTCTAACGAATTTATTATTATTGAGACGGGCAGATATTTGGTAAAAATCTGGTAAAATGAGCGAACCAAGATTTGACGAAAACAATTCCTCATGTAAAATATTATGAGAATTTATGTGAAGAGCTAAAAAAAACAGCTGAATTTTTTTTTTCGGCTATTCTGAAGTTTGAAGATTTCAGTCTACAAGACTCCCCGTGCGAGAGGATTCAGCAGATAATGTGAGACTTTTAAATTTCCTCTTATTTCAAGTTTATTTTTCCAGCTTCAAGTAAGCATTGAAAAGTCGGATACAAAAGTAATGAGCGAGTATATGGTGGTAGAAAAAACCTTCAACGAGGACCAAAAAGAAGGTAAGAACGACTCACCTATCTTTTTGAAACGATGTTAGGAGAGATTTAGAACACACCCCCATCTCGCGGTCACAGCCAAACAATTCTATAATCACAAAGTCTACATCAAACACGTCCCTCTTCTCCAAACTAGGCAGGCTAACCCAAAATGAGTAATCGTACTTAAAACCTCACAGAAAACGAAATGAAATACACACATATTAGTGACTGGTTGCACCTGTCAGAAGATGACCGACAGGTACTTATATTTGAAAAAAAAAGTCGAAGAAAAACGAAGTAAAGGAAAGATGCGAGCTGACAATCCAAGATGCAATCAGGTGTCCACATCCTTCGTACAACTGTCTGTCTCCTCTACCCATCAGAACAACCGAAACAGTTGAAAATCCAAGTTTTTTTTTTATTGAAGTTGATAAAATTAGGCGACACCACTCAACTCCGAATTCTTCGCTAACCAGCCAGGCATAGAAATGTCGGATAAGCACGTCGTCTACGACATTCCATCTCAGCTTCTTCGCTTAAGGTTGCCGAGGACCAAAACTATGAGCAGAACACAAAAAAATCCGTCAAACAGCATTTTCCTTTTTCCACTTAAGAAAGATTCAACAGATTCATAGAAGATGCAAATTTTCTGGAATGAACTATCTTCAAAATGGAGAAGTAGCTTATACTACTCGCAATTCAAAACTTCAGAAACAATAAAAAACGAGCGAATAGATCGAAAGCCGACCCTTGGAGACGCTTCGGAGCGTATAATTTGCTGTGTGAGGTTGGTTGTTCGCCGCTGGCTCGAGTTTAATTAATCTCTCGACTCCGAAAAAAATTCAAATTGACAAAGTTTTTTCAAATTTCTCGAAAAAGCTTGATTTATAGTTAATCCTTACCGACTTGAAAGGCGAGAGAAGCGAAGAAGATGGCGGGACGCGGTTTTTGGCACGAGTAAAATTCAAGCGCCACCGATTAAATCATTGAAGAATTAGAAATAATTCAAAAGATCGATAAACGAGCCTTCCAAATGATCGCTGGCGGTTTAATTAAACTCAAGAACCGCGTACGAGTTTCGCCTTTCAAGTCGGCAAAAAATTACCATTTTTTGAAGATCAAAGACAATACTCCCAGTGCTATGAAAAAAAATGATGCCGCGATGAAAGTGACTTTCGAAAAATGGAAATGGTTGTTTCTTTTTTCATTTTTGGCTATCATTTTTAACTCTCGGACGGTCTTTTTTTGCTATTTCGCTGAGCTCCCTTTGAACCTTTGAACGCAGCAAAGGCAATTCAAGTGGTTTTCTAGAATTACAATAGCCCAGCTTGGGAAAGAAAGCTTTTGGATTTTTAGATCGGCGGAACGATGATAGACTCGGCGGCAGGGAATAAAAACAAGACGAACAAATCGTACGTGAACATCAAACCAGGCACAGTTCCTCCCCCTGCTCCACGTAAATATCAATTAGTTCCGAAACCACGTCGAGAATAACAAAATGCAGAAGTGAAGCCGCTGTTGACCGTGGAGGACTATATGACTTTCAAGTTGGAAGGCAACCAAGCGCGAAAGAGTGACTCATTCAATGACTGCTGAGCATCGTCTTCTTTTTCATAATGCAATTAAGATATTAACTGGAAATTGCAAGAATAAAAGCAGTAAACGTGTGAAAAATTGACCTTTTTTAAGCCAAAGAAAAAACCGAAATCCCAGTAAGTACAGGTACTTTAAACCAAAAACTGTTTTAATAAACCGGATAACTTTTTGAGCTACAATGTGGAGAATTTAGAAATGAAACTTTCCCGTGAGATTTTCAAAGTATTCAGATAAATGATCATTGGTCATGGCCTAATTCTCACTTTTACAAATACAATTACCCCCAATATTCTAATCTAACTAGGGCACGGTCTCCGCTCGACAACGAGTTGAGAATTGAGGCTTTGTGGGTGGATAGACCTAGGTGAGAGTACTCGGAATCAAAAATAAAACTCTGCTAAACCCCTCAGGCAACCGAGGAAAAGCTCGTCGAAAGTTTTTCAGCGCGTATAACCCCGCGCTCGGAGCCTTCGGCTTGCAGCTGGCGGCGTGGTGTAGTGGGTAGTGGCCTTGTTCACCGTCAGTATTGAGACCATGGTTCGAACCCTTTTGGCGGAAAGCGTTTTTGCCGGCTCATAACTTTATTCCTTCCTCATTTTTTTGGGATATTTTTTTCAAAAAAATCTACAATAAAAAAATTCACAAAAAAATCACAATAAAAAAACAAAAATACTGATTTGAAATTTTTGTTTTTTTCTCTACTTTATGGGCAAACGATGAAGAAAACGATCTGTTTGTGAAAATTCACGTCGAGTAGATATGTTATAAAACTTTGAGCTTTTTTAAAAAGCGATTATCTGTCTTTTGGATACGTGTGTATCAAACGGAAGCATAGTAACACGATAAAACAACTAAAATGAAACTTTTCCGTTCGTTTTCGCGTTCCAAGTGTCAGAAGGTATGGCGATTTTCGAAGATTCCAACAGAAATTTGCGCGAAAGGAGCTTAACTTTAATAACTATGCTGCCGATTGCCTGTCTTCCAACAAAAATATTTAAGAATAACCTCCTCAACAGTTCTTCAACACGAGAAGAAAAACTTGGCATGAGAAAAAGAGTAGAAATAATAATTTTCTACAAGTTTTGATGTTAATTTTTGAAAAAAAATATCCCAAAAATGAGGAAGGAATAAAGTTATGAGCCGGCAAAAACGATTTCCGCCAAAAGGATCCGAACCATGGTCCCAATATTGACAGTGCACAAGACCACAACCCACTACACCACGCCGCCAGTTGCTAGCCGAAGACTCCGAGCGCGGCCATATGCGCGCTGGAAAAATTTCGACGAGCTTTTCCTCGGCCGCCTGTGGGGTTTAGCAGAATTTTATTTTTGATTCCGAGTACTCTCACCTAGGCCTATCCACCCACAAAGCCTCAATTCTCAACTCGTTGTCGAGCGGAGACCATGCCCTAGTAAAACTAGTCTTTTTTGTAAGAGTCAGTTTCTTTCTTGAAAAATTTCGTCTTTTTCGATGGAGCTTTTCGTTTCACCATATTTGAGTTTACAAACTTTCTAGAAAAAAAAAATCTTCCATGCATTTTTTTTTAGCAACGATCAAACAAAAATCCTACAAAACTGACGAAAACCCTGATTCCTGCGCAAAGACTCTTCATAGTGTCGCAATTGCAAACAGTTTTGTGAATTCGATGGATCATCATGAAGGTCTTCCGGCTCCTGAAATAAATCAGTTTTCTGAATCGCCAAGTTGATTGAGTCAATATATTAGGCGCAGACATGTTCTGCGCCATTTGGGTTTAGGATGAGTTGGAAAAAAAGGGCGTTATGATAACTTTTCCTCAAAATCAAATATGTTGTATAAAACGATTTTTTGAAAAAAACACTGAATAGCATCATTCGAGCCGTTTTCGAGATAGGGTGGCTCAAAGGTTTTCGGTAAAAACCTTCGAAAATCTATATCTCGTCAAAAAATCAACGAGTCTCGATCGAAGTTTATCACAAGTTGAAAAATAATTTTATTCAAATTTTAAAAATCTAACAACTCATTTTTGCTCACTATCGCTCAGATTAGAGAATTTTCTCTATCCATTGAGCCAAACATGGATTAGGCGAATTTTCCATCTAAGACCCGAAAAATTCAAAAAACGTGTGATTTTGAATAAGATTCCCGAATAACTTTTTTTTCTCCTGTTTTTTTGGCTCGAAATTAACAAAATCGGGGAAAATTCCAGAATCGCCCCCCACACTGTTTTTGCCCCCCGCGTTCCAACAAGCCCCCCACCAAGCCAAATTCCGATCTGCGGGGGGTAAAATCGGAGGACTTCATGTGGGGGTAAAATCAAACGCGGAGGGGTGAGTATGTATTCTAGAATGGCCCCCCGCAGTACAAAAACGGGGGGGCGATTCTGAAATGCCTAGGCAATCTTTCATATTTGCCCCCCGCACGACTTTGAAATAGTCCCCCCAGAGCTCATTCGAACAAGCCCCCCCTCCCATTTCAGAATGACCCCCTCTCATTTCAGAATGGCCCCTGCTCCATTTCAGAATGACCCCCTCCATTTCAGAATGGCCCCCTCCATTTCAGAATGCCCCTCCATGTCAAGTATTTTTATTTATTTGACGAATTGTTCACTGTGGCTCAGTTTTTTTCGAAGCGAGCCACAGTCGGCTTCGCGCTATGCGCGCTCCGCCTCCGTGTGAAGCCTTAAAACTAAGCCTATTTTCCTAAGTAATTTATTAATTAATGTGCATGAAAAAGAAAAAAAGCAAAAGAATTCTATTCCTCAGAACAATTACTTGATTGAAAAACTAATAAAGTTCATCTTAATTTTTTTCTAAGTGGTCAGCGCTCCATAATTTTTATGATATTCGTACGTATCTCGGCGAGAAGTACCCGTAAACTTCTTTGTCTGCCTTGAACTTCTCATGAAACTCGGTCAGCGACCTAATTTCTTCCATGATCTACAAATCAAATCACAAAAGTTATTAAATTCATAAAAAGAACACGAATTTACATGCGAAAATACAAAAAAAACCATTTAAAACAACCAAAAATGACGAATAATACGAAAAAATAGAAAACAAATTAAAAAATGGAAGCTCTGACACGTGTCCTGCGTGATCGTTGCGTGACCTATTCTCGGTGTGGGGGGTTATACTGGATAGTTGCGGGGGGCTACATTGGATAATTGCGGGGGGCTTGTTCGAACGGGTCGCGGGGGGCGATACCCAATACATGTGGGGGTTATACTGTAATATGCCCCAAAATCGTAATCAGCACACATTTTCACATTTATTAAGTCATTTTCAGATCGAAACAAAAGAAAAAATTTTTTCATCTAAAAAAAATTCTATGTCCAGGAACCGAAAAAATTTGTATGTCCTGGGATGGAAATTTTCGTGGTTTTTCGCTCATAACTTTTTTCAAGATCAACGTATTTAGTCAAATCAAAATTTTTTGTTGCCGTTACGGTTCCCTTAACAAGGGGGCATACACTATTCTAGATTTTTTTAGTTATTAACTAAAAAAACTTTTTCCAAAAAGCCCATTTTCAAAAACCCCAGTGAGGAAAAAGATTTCGTTTTAGGTTCGCAGTTAAAAAAACGTTTAAAATTGTTCAAACTGTATTTAGAAACTGTATTCATATCCTAATGAAGAGATGATTTCTTGAAAATAATTTATATAGGAGAGCGTACATAAATGAGAAGTTTCGAGCTGTGAAAAAAAATTGAAGGTAGTAAATCACTAGGACATGTTTTTATCGGTCCTTCAGACATTTTTTTCCGATTTCAGCGCATGAAAATATATCAAGGCATCCTACGGATGTCAACAAAACTTGGAAAACCCAGTCGCCATCGTGGGGTAGCCACGAAACAAAAGGATTTGGGTTTCCCTCGCAGTTTTTCAAAATTTAATCTGCCCGAATTCAACAAAAGTATGAAAATTCAAACCATCGAACAATTTTTAACTGAAAAAATTTTAAATGAGTGCCTTTCTAAAAAATAACTCGTTATCATCACGTAAAGATGCTTCAGAAATCATATTCTGATTAAATCAAGTTTCTAACCTTTTGAGGTCCTGATATCGTTAGACTAACGATATCAGGAACAAGCGCTTCTAGATGTTAGGGCGATTACGCCTTACAAATGACCGTCGCGCCACGTTGACTTTTGAAAAAGTCATTTCTGCCTTTTGGGCGTTTATGGCTTGGCAGGCAGGGCGGCCAGAGGGCAGCCATCCTCCACCTCTGGACGTTAGTGAAGCTTTTTCTGACAATAAAACTGCCGTGTTTTGACACATAATTTGGGAATATTTTTTTCAGTTAAAAATTGTTCGATCGTTTGAATTTTCATACTTTTGTTGAATTCGGGCTGATTAAATTTTGAAAAACTGCGGGGGAAACCCAAATCCTTTTGTTACGTGGCTACTTCACGATGGGGACTGGGTTCGTACTTATTTCGCCTTTTTTCTCTTCCTTTACAAAAGAAAAAGTTTAACGCACCGCATTTCGAATCTCCACCGCGTCCCTAACAATCTGCAGAACAGTTTCCTTGGCGACAAAAGCCAAGACGAATTCGACATTTTCTCCGATTGGCGGATTTCCCAGCCAAGCCAAAAAGTTGGGAGCTCTGAGACAAATAAATTTTGCAAGCAATTTTTGTTTCTCACTTCGAACTTTTAAGAAATTTTTGGCGTTGGAAAGTGGCTTGTCGAGCTGCAGAAAAGGCCTGATAATCTTCATTGGAAAGGTCTCGGATGACTTCGAGCAGGTTTTTGGTGTGTAGTTGATGCTTCTCGTCCACATAATCCTTTGAAAAAGGGAGTTTTTTTTTGAAAAGAGAGAAACTGCTCTACCCTGACTTTCTCGAAGTCCAAGGAAACATACTTCACGGCGCTTTTCAAAGCAGACAACAACTGATCATCGGCGATTTCTCGTTTTCTTGAATGGTTTAATTAAATAAAAAAGTAACTTTAAACAACTCTATTTGAAAGTTTTGGGCTTCTTATCAAGAATACATGATTCCAATTTGAATGAACAAGCCAGCAAATAAAAATTTATTTGATATAAAAACGTTTTTTTCATGGATCTTCAGAATACTGAAATCATTTCGAAAGCGGCAGTAGTACTAAGCGCCAATTTTTGCAAACAAAAAAAAATTGAATAGCGAAGAGTTTCGACATTGAAAAAATGATACGAATTACTTCCATCGATGTGTTAATCTTCGTTAGCGACCAAGAGCAAAAATTATTGAGTTAAACTAGGCTTTCAGATGAAAGTTTTAGGATAGGCTGAAAATGTTCCTAAAGAAGAATATATATGTTTACTATTGCAGGAAATGAGAACATATCCTATCGACTTTATGCTTGTAGAGATTAGGAATTTGAAAGGAAATCTTATAAGATTAAGACACGTTAAGCTTAACGAGACTCCTTTCTACATAAATTAAAAACAGTTTTTTTTTTCTTTTCATAAAACCTTTTGTCATTTTGGCCGGAATCTTTTTCTTCAGGCTCGGAGTATTCTTCGTCGCTGTTCTCTTCACTTGATTCTCCGCTTTCCTCGTCCTTCAGACATCCACTTCGCTTGCAAGCCACGTTGGCACTTCTCGCAAATCTGGCCAGCTCAACGCGAGCCTGATTTGGTTTTTTTTTCCAAATGTATGCCAATTTAAGTCATTTCTACCTCAGCGTAAGCGATCAACCTCGACAGAAGACCTGTATGCTCAGAAAGAGCAACAAAAACGTCTTCTAGCTTTATCTTCTGCTTTTTATCGGCTGAAAGGCTGGAAACAGAAATAATAATTGACAACTTACGTGCGACAACCTTGCTGAACTCGAGACGCAGCTAGCTTTTTGAAGCAAAGAAATAACTTCATTTTTAACCAAGTCCGTCACGAGCTTGACGTTCCTATCGAACGGCCGCTGAAAAAAACGATACTGCTTCTATATCAAACAAAAAAAAACCTTCCCGTCGCCGTTCGCGAACATTAACGAGGACACGACATTTGTGAAAAACGGAGTTTCAGCTTTTGAAAGTTCCACTAGATCATAAATACTCAACACGCGAGTTTGTACAAAAACAAAACCACGTACATTTTGAGTTTTCTAGCAGCTTCGTAACTTTCCTCTTAAAATGAAACTTTTTATAGTCACCAAATTCCTTGAAACAAACTTCAGGCGTTAGATATCCTTCGTTAGCCTTTTTATCATCAATATTATATTCACTCCAATCGTTTTCTGTTAACTTCGCCGTTTAAAATTTATAATTATCTATTTTTGAACTGAAGACTCACCACCTGGCGTCAAGCGTTGTTCTTTGTATTCGTTCAGTAATTTTTTATCAACCTTGGACTGGAAAATATCTGTTCTGTTGAATAAAAAAAATTCAACAAACTTTGAAATCCATCGTTTTCAGCAGAACTTCCGATCCATTTTTCGAACACTTTTTTTCAACGCCTCTTTTTCCAAACCTTCCGTGACTTATTATTGAATCGACAGAAGCTTCTGAGCGCAACTTCAAGAAGAAGAAATATAATAAAAATTTACCATTAGCATCCTTCGCTGCTCGACCCATTTTTCTAGCTGAAAATGAACACACATGTATTTGTACTCAAATATCGCAATATATTTTTTTTTTAAACGCTGTGATTCTTATCATCAGGATGAATGTATTGTCTGTTCAGATTTTTAAATGTCAAGTCGTCGCTCAAGCTCCGCCCATAATGGTGCGATAAACCAATCAGAGAGCGAGCCATCCACAGAGCGTTTTCGAATGACGTCATTTTACTTGACATTCAAAATCTGAACAGACTATACTTCAATAAAAATTCTAGAAAGTTTTCTTAAAAACTGTGAAACGAAAAAGGACACACATATATTTATAAATAACTATGAACCTATATGCCGCGTTCAAAGCTAATTTGACGCGCGCAGCGAAAGTTTTTCTGGTTCAAAAGCACGAGCCAAAACGCGGCGAAAAGCAGCAGGTTCCCACGACATGATTGGTTGGCTTCGCCTTTTTGGCAAATGTTCAATATAAATCTATTTTCAAAATATTTTTCTTACCAGCTAGCTGGGCGGAGTCAACCAATCATGTCGTGGGAACCTGCTGCGCAGCAGCACGCTGCGTTTCGCCGCGTTTAGGTTCGTGCTTTTGAACCAGAAAAACTTTTTCGCTGAGCACGTCAAATCAGCTTTGAACGCGGCAATATATATAAATATATTTATTCAGAGAGTGAATAAGTTAGTTAGAGAGAACATAGTCGTAATCTCCTTTCTACACACTATATAAGAACCTGCGCGCACTTAAACAATTTAGAACTGAAAAACTTTAAGGCGTGTTTATCGGAGAAACGGAAAATCGTGTTCATCAGCGCGCCACAATTGCTCCAAAAAAGTACTAATTTTTGAGTTGGGGCAATTTTTTTGCGTTTCGAAGCAATTTTTGATTTGTCGGATGAAGACACCGGTGAAAATTTCAAAAAATTTCAGACTTGAAAAAGTGACCGAACCGACCGACATTTCCAGCATGCCGTTTTGCCTGTCGTTTTCAGTTGATTGAAACCTCTGAAGTGGAGCGCCAAGAGGGCGCCGAAACTCTTTATCTGACATACACTATTTCGTCGTCTTCTCGCAGCTATATATATATAACCACGAAACAGTGTGTGTTAGAGAAAGAGTTCTGGCTCCATATCATGTCAGAGGCGCCATTCGCGCCTCAGTTCAATGAAAACGAGTTTTGAAACGCGGAGCCGTTTAGAGTTTCAAGGCGCAGGCCGCTATGGCACTGAGCGCGCAGGGGCAAGGGGCGCTCACCCAATACTCTGAACTATATCGCAGCGAGTATAATGCTACTCGGGCAAAACTGACTGAAAAGCTCCCCGAAAGCTTTTCTCAAAAAAAGACCTTGAAAGGGTCCCCAGCAGATCTTTTTTATATCGTTTCACTTCTTTTTTGCATCTTTTTCACATCCTCTAACAAAAAGGATGCTGGAAAGCAACTAAAAAGATTTGAGATGATTCAAAAAGGATTCCCTGAGGCTATGAAAAAGGTACTCAAAAGCTTTTTTACATCATCATTTTAGGAGCTTTTAGAGGAAGCTTTTTATCTCCCTCTCAGGATCCTTTAGGGATCCTCAGAGCAACTTTTCCGTTTTACCTATGATTGCTCGCGGCTCCCCTGCGGTATACGATGGTACGACAAAATCTCAAGTCCGCAAATCTCGAGGACCGTAATCTTGTGTAAGCAGATCTAATGCCGTGTTCAAAGTGATTCCACGGTGTTTTTTTCATTACGCAAGGTCAAGACTTTCCGTAAATTATGATGCTTAGGGTGTAAGCACACCGAGACGCACTATCGCATACTCAAAAATGTTTTTTTCAATTTTTAGAATTTGCGATTTCAGGATAATAGCTCCTGAAATATTCGAAATTTGTCAGTTTGAAGAATATGATGTGAAAAAAACATTCACTTACATTAAAAAAAACATTTAGGATTGATTTCGAAAGGGGAAAACTCTAAATTACTGATTACAAAATAAAAACAAAAAATATTATGTAAATGAATCAGCTCCCATTGAATAAGCATTTATAAATACGAAAAATATTGAAATGAGGAAAATTCGAGGAGCAAATGAAAAAAAAACATTTTATATACCTCGAAAACCTAGCTTCAGAAAAACAAGTAATGGATAGAAAGCAGAAATTTTAGAAAAAAACCTCGTATGGCGAAATTTTTGTTTAAATCCGAAAACCATCAAAAAACTAGAAAAAAATATATAATTTAGATGATGCATATATCAAAATCATTAAACTGCATCAGCAAATTCAATTTGGCTCTAATTTACACGAAACCGGTTTCAAACTACGTCAAAGGAACTAGATAATAACTTTTTTATTATTAACTGATTAAATTAAAAAAACTATAGTTTCCGAAATAGAGTTACTCTTTTTCATGTCGCGCAAACAGATTTCAAAAATTTTGAAAAAAATTAGGACTTTTTAGAAAAAAATCTTCAACTATTTTTGAGAAAAAAAGTTAAAGATCTGAAACCGGTTTAGAAAAAGTGCGCAATTTAAAACTCCACAAAAATGTACCCATAGAGAGGCGGATCACATAAATGCAAGAAATAGAAAAAAAGTAAAAAAACCAATGAAAAAAAAGTGAAGAAATTCAATTTTTTTGCATCAGAAACGATGAGAAGGGCGCAATGATGCGCCACGGATAATATGCCGCTGGGACCCAAAATTTCGCATTTTTTTTTCATTGCGCGGAACACCGTGATTCCGCGAAATTTAAAATAGCCGTCAGAGAAAGAGAAAGATAACTAAATTTTGGAGGGTCAGAGACCATTTTGCATTTCGCGGAAATTACTTTGAACACGGCATAAAGTCCCATAATCTTGGAAACCAAAATCTTGGAAACCACAATCTTGGAAAGTAAAAATCAACGCTTTTGCGAAAAGATTTTATCAGAAATTGTATTCGGTGATCCAAACAAGAGAATATAAGTAGATAAAGTGCAATAAAGAAGACTAAAAAGGAAGATTTTTGCTTTCCAAAATTGTGGTTTCCAAGATTTTGGTCTCCAAGATTTTGGTTTCCAAGATTATGGGACTTTAGATCTGCGTACACAAGATTACGGTCCTCGAGATTTGCGGACTTGAGATTTTGTCGTACCATCCGGTATACATAGGTAAAACGGAAAAGTTCCTTCGAGGATCCTTAAGGGATCCTGAATGGGAAATAAAAAGCTTCCTCTAAAAGCTCCTAAAAGCTTTTGAGCACCTTTTTCATAGTCTCAGAGGATCCTTTTTGAATCCGCTCGAATATTTTTAGTTGCTTTCCAGCATCCTTTTTGTTAGAGGATGTGAAAAAGATGCAAAAAAGAAGTGAAACGATATAAAAAAGATCTGCTGGGGACCCTTTCAAGGTCTTTTTTTGATAAAAGCTTTTGGGGAGCTTTTCAGTTTTGGCCGAGATACTGCTCGCCTCTCGCTGCGACCTCGCAAACGTCTCGCGCTATATCGTTCTCTAAGAAATTTTTCCTTCAAAAAAATGTTTTTTTCTTGAATTTAATTCATTTAATCACAAAAGTCAGAAATAAAGCAAGAAAAAATTTTTTTTATATATTTCAAATTTTTTTATTTATAAATTTGAGTTTTTTTGTGATGGAGCGATATGGCATGCCATGCCGGCAGCGAGAGTTTGACGAGGTCGCAGCGACATTTTGACGATATAGGCAACTACGTTTTGTGTAGGTTTTTATTTTTTCAGAGACTCTAATTTTTGCTCAATGATTCTTGAATTTTAGCTTCATGGGTCGAAAGCCCAATGTCCAACCATGGGCACCATATAGCCGACGTCCCAACCCTTGGGCTAACCGAGTTTCTGCAGGTGGAGCTAACCGTACAGGGGCGAAGTCAATTATAAGGAATATTTCTCGCGACTCAGACATTTGCGCCAAAGGTTTTTCTACCGGAGTATTCGTCATCATTTTCACTCAGGAAATCCACGTTTTCGACCAAGCTTGCCAATAGATCGGTATCAGTATTCAAGAAAGAAACGCAGTCGGAGGGAGGAATATGATTTTTCTGAGGTTAATCAAAATCTCTAGAACATTTTATTTCTTGATCTATGTGACTTTTCAGGATAACCGATCTCCGGTTTTTCGCGACAAAAAAGGCCGTGAGTTGGATCAAGTTGGAATTTTTCAGAAACGCAAGGCGTTCTGATATCATTTTCAGTGAACTAACAGAAGCTGGCCGCAAAAGAGTTTTATTTTATTTTTTTTTTTTCGTTTTGATAATTCCTTGAAACTTCAACTAAGGTGAAAGCACAGTTGCGAAAGCTGGCTGAACCGGAACACGATGTCGAATGGACCCACAATTATCCTTCTCAAGGTTGGGTTCGAAAGAAGAGAACTCTATCGAAATTAACCGAAGCTTTCAGCTTTAGCCGGAAGAAATCGAAAAATTCTGTCTCGTAAAGCGCCGAATTCGAAAAGAAGACGCGAAGAACTCGAAGGAGAAAATAAGGAAGAGTACAGACGGCGCCGAAACCAGCGACAAAAGACTTACGACTAGTTCGTTTTTGGTCCCTATTAGAGTTCTCAAAACCAAACGTTTGAAAAAATGAAAGTTTGAAAACATGAAAAAGTTTGTTTTCAACATTTCGAACAAATTTCATTTTCAAACATTGATCTAAAACGGCCACAATCAAATCGTTCAAGTGATGATCATGATCAAACGATTTCTGGCCGGAAAACAAACGTTTGTTATTTTGACCAAACTTTTTTCAAACGAAAACGAACGTTTGGTTTTTCGATCAAAATTTTTCCGACCAATAAACGAACGTTTGGTTTTTCGATCGAACTTTTTTTCGGGAGTTACATTCACAAGAGGCCAATTATCTTTCGAAGCGTGATCTTTGCGAACCGAATGATCTTTGTGAAGCGAAGGAGTATCAATTGAACCCAAAAAATGATATTTTGTCAACCTTTTTTTCTCAACCTCAAACAACTTACACGACAAAAATATTATTATGGCGTGTTCATCGGAGAAACGGAACATGCTTCAAAACGAAAAATCGTGTTCATCGGCGCGCCAAAGTTGCTCCAAAACAGTACTAATTTTTGTTTTGGAGGGTTTTTTTTTCGCGTTTCGAAGCGATTTTCGTTTTGTCCGATGAACACGCCATTAGGTTTAAAAGATCACTTTTTGGGTTCATTTGGTATAGCTGATTCACGGCTGGCTTGAGCCATCGAGAAAAGGGTCCTGCCACGAAAAGAGAGGAGACAGTGCCTTGGTTGGTGGAGAGTGCAGCAGGCCACGCCTTTTTGCGTCCCAAGCCAGCCGTAAATCGTCTATACTCCTTCGGTTCACAAAGTTCACTGTTCAAAAGATAGTAGGCTATTATTCATTCAGAACCAGCTTCTGCTTCTCGGGAAAAATTCAAAATCACGCTATTTCCTTTTACGTCCGCTCTGTCAAAATTGTTGGCTTGTTTATGAAAAAGTGCCCGTAAAGCTAGCGGTAGACACAGCAGGGTATATCCACAAGAAACTTCAAAATGAACAAACTTAATTTCTGATGACGATGATTAGAAGTTTTTTTGTCCTCGTAGTCTCGTAAGGTCTCGTCCACTGATTTTTCGACCGAAAAAACGAACGGTTGATTTTTTGATCAAACTTTTTCCGACCGAAAAACGAACGTTTGGTTTTTCGATCAAACTTTTTCCGACCGAAAAACGAACGTATGGTTTTTCAACCAAACTTTTTTCAAACATTGAATGAATGTTCGTTCCGATCAAACGTTCGATTTCGAAATTTCAATTAAAGGTCGGTTTCAATAAGTTTGAAAAATGTTTGGTTGAACGTTCGTTCAAACGTTTGGTTTTGAGAACTCTAGTCCCTATATTGTGCATGAAGAAAACTTTTCATTTAAAAAAAAACTTTATTTTTTTCATTTCAGTTCAGACAGCGAATCTGAAAGCCCTCCAGTTTTTCAAGTTTGTCGCAGATACCCTAACGTTCATTCTAACGTTTTGCTCGACAGTGGTATTTTGCATTTTCTTTTAGTCCACTATTGACCGAGAATCTTGCACATCAAGGTTATGAACCAGCACCATTAGAAGAAGAAGAAGTCGAAGAAGAAGTCTCCAGTGTTTCAGACATTTTCGGTGAACCTTCGCCGAAAATCATCAGAAACACGCGAAAATCTGTGAGCTTTTTTTCCATCAAGGTGATTTGTGAAATTGGGCAAGGATTTTGATGTTATCACTAAATTTTTGTTTTTACCTAAAAAATAGATTCAAAAAAAAATACAGGAAAAAAGTTGCTCACTTACTAAAGACAGAATTCTGAAAAGGCCAATTTTTTTAAGGCTTGCTGGCTTTTGCAAAAAATTCATTTTTAATACTAAATTTGCATCATTGAATGTTCTAATTGTGTTTTTTTCTTCAAATTTGCGTACATTTTTCGTACAAAACTCATTTTTTTAATGAGAATATCGCCCAATAAATGCGATCGCTGATGCCCAATTTAAACCTAAGGTGTTCCAAGCCGGGCGGGCTGAGCAGTTTTGAAGAAAAAAGATATGAGTGTAGCAGATAATAAAGACTACTATGGAAAACAGGTTCGAGGCGTTTCAATAATGAAAAAAACTAGGTTGAATGATACTTCGGAAAATTAAAAAAATTTAAAAGATTTTTTTTGGAAAACTTGAAATTATACGCAAAATCTGAAAAAAAGGGCATCCGGATCACATCTTACGCCAAACTTTAGTCTTCTCTGCTCTCTTTTCCATCTGGGAATTTTTCGGAAACTTCTCGAAAAATTTCTCGAATTTTCGAAACGAGATGTTCGTCTCGAGAAATCGAGAAGTACGAATTTCATCTCGAGACGAGATCGAGTCTCGTGACACCCTGATACCCTGGAGCGAAAACCGCGTTAGGTCGGTTGCTGGGTGCAGAGGGTCTATGTAACACCTTCGCACCTCAAAATTTTCGTTCTTCCGAGAACATATACTAAAATTGGAACAATACAGAGAAGATTAGCATGGCCCCTGCGCAAGGATGACACGCAAATTCGTGAAGCGTTCCAAATTTTTTGTCGAATTTACAATCTTCCATAATGCGATTCATTCTGGAAAGAAAAAAGTAGAGATGTAGTTGAACTGTTTGTAGGAAAAGGATGTTCTCGGACAGGATCAATCACGACGTCATCAGGGACTGGAAGAGCCTGGAAGCCGTCGTCGGAAAGAAGACGCCTCAGTGTTTTTATTAATTATTTCGGCAAATAAACTCGAGCTAAGTCATTTTCGCGATCCTGCGACATCGTCTCCAGAACTGAATGAGGATCGTCATGTTAGAAAGGAGGCTTGCCATGGAGTCGCAGGAAAATCGGTTAAGAGAGAACCTTCGAAGTCGTTGAACGATTGGACTTGTTCGAATATTGATTTTTCAGAGTGCAGCGAAAAATGTGCGACCTCCGGTCATCTACAACCAATAGAGTAATTTCTTTTAAAAAGGTGACTTCACCGGGTGGAGAATGTCTCTAGAATTTTTACTTATTAATCATTTGAATGTTATCTACACCGTAGCAAAAGTTTCAATTATGTTCAGACTGTTTCTGTAATAGAGAAGGCTCTTCAAGCTCTAAAAATTTTCGATAGCTCACTCAGATCTTCAAAAAAAAATTTTTTTTTTTGATTTATAGTCTTATTTCTCAATATATAGTTTTTCTGTCAGAGGAAAAAAAAAAACGTTTCAACTTATATTTTTGAAGAGAAAAAAATATGGAGGTTTTGTTTTTTTGAATTTTTCTTCGAAAGGCGTATAATTTAGATTGATGTTTTTCTTTCCGTCCAATAAATTCAATTTTTTTTAGTATTTGGTTTTGTATAGAATGAATGCCTTTTGATTTCATAACATTGAATTCTATCAGGGCTCCCCACCACGACCACGAAGGCTTGCATTTCCCAAACCAGTGGAACCAGCAAAACAAAAAAGTCCAAAATTTTCAAAGTCGCGGGCAAGCGCCTCTTTCAATAAGTTTTGCACTCCGAAAAACGGAGAATCTCCTTTGAAAACTAAAGGTACGAGCTCATTTTTCAAAAAAACCTGCAAATAGCAAAAACTTTTTTAGAATCTTTTGAAAATCTGCCAAAAGTTCCATCTGTGAAGAGAAAAGTTTCTTCGGGATACCTTAAAGATGATGAAGATGAAGATTGGAAGAAGGCGGTAGAGTGGTCGGATTCCAGGTTATATCGAACCCAGCAATCATAATTTTTCCAACTTCAAGTCGGAGGAGAAGTCTGAAAACAGATAAGAATTAACTTTGTTTGAAGAGAAATTTTAAAATTAGGTTTGACCTTGGTAATTTTCTTTTATAGCGAATTTTTGTCTGTTCCATAAAACGTAAAACCTTGTTGATAAAATATCACTTCATTCTTTTTCAGATCTACTTTTACTAACTGGTCACTCCTTCAGTGCTTTCAGACCTCCGACCTACCTTTCCATGATCCGGAGAATGAACACTTCAATGCCGGCGCTCTACTTGCAGGAACACTCGGATTTGTCTTACCAAACTGTGGCTGTGCAACTTCTGGTTAAGAGCATGAATGGCGTTAGGGTTTGCCACTCGAATTCACTCCAACTAACGGAATTTTGTTGAAGATTTTCGAACCGCAAAAGACTCTCGAAGATGAAGACCATAAAAGAGCCAATGCTCAGACTGCAAACAATAAGATGGAATCTCGTCCTCCTCCGGTGAGTTTTTCTCAATATATTTTTCAAAAATCCTCTTCTAATTATAGGTAATGTCTCGTTTGCTGGATCAAACTACCAATTTTTCGAACGAAGTTCTGTCGTGCACGGTGATTGCTGGCGGGGGAGGCGATCAGACTGCCTCCAGGAAGGGTAAAAATACTCCAGAAGGTTTTCTGAAAGTTATCTCTGGCTTGGTATGTTTTCCAGAGTATCCTGTTTTTTTTTTTTCATTCGAGAAACCATTTTTGTATTGTTAGTTTCGAAGTTGAAGCTCGAAATTTTTTTTTTTATATTTTTCCGGTTCAAGATCACTGACCGAAAACTTTAACGCATAGCTATGATTTATCGAAAGAACTTGGCAAGTTTGAAATTAGTTGATGACGGTGTTGGGAAAGAAAACTAAATAAAATCAGACAGGAGTTCGAATTTCTTTGGTTATTCTTCCTGAACTATTTGATTTTTCTTTGGAATGAATACAAAGCAATGTTTTCTCTATTATCTCGAAGGGTTTTTTTTTCACCTGCCGATAACTCTATTCTTAGTTTTTCTTTTTTTCCCATTGTTTGCATTTTGAAGACTCTCATAACAACGTACTGAACTGCTCGGCGGCGCTGGACAATCAACGATATTTGGAACCAAGTATATTTGAGCTTAGAAACGACCACGTTTTTGGCGCCATCAAGTAACTATTGCGTAGAAACTCTTCAAAATGTTTTTTTTTTCTCAGTCTGGAAGACGTTGAGGAAAACGCGCAGGGATCGATGCCTACACCAGACTTGGAAAAGTCAGATTTTTTCCCTAAGCTTAATTGTTGCTTTTTTGTTTAAGAGCATTCAACCAAACAATTAATGATGCCGTCAATCGACATCTTGGAGATACCTTGCGTTACTTATCGAAAGCCACTAAGACATCGAGAGCCAAAAAGAAGAATCTTTTGCAAGGGTCTTCCATCAGCGAACCTGCTCCGTTGCTACAGTCGACGCCTGTAGGAAATCGTGCAAGGCAAAAGAAAAAATCAAATTTTATTTTTGAAGGTGACGAAGACAATAGGTTTTCTAGTCCGCGGTACTGTAAATGGTATCGATGAGAAGACGGCAGCTAAGGTGGCTTTGAGAACCGAAGTTTTCGATAGGAAAAGTTAGCGAGAACGAGACTTCTTTTGAATTCTCATGTTGAATTAATTAATTAATTCCAAGACGAAAGGTTTTCCGATTTGAACGCCTGTAAAGCTTGATAAGATTGAATGGACTTCAAAATTAGTTGAATAAACGAATACGAACACTTCATATTTTAGATTAGCGCTTAGCCATTTAAAAGAGAGGAAAAATCACATTTATAACAAAGAAAGGATGCGAGTAAAAACAAGACAAATATACTATTGACCCCAAGATGTAATGTATTCTTTTTCATTTCAATCTATCACACCCGCAACAATAGTCACTTATTCTTCATACTAAACATTTGTAAACATAAAACATCAAATGACCTTGAAGCGAAAGTTTTTTTTTCAATGGAATGGAATCTCAATCAAAAGGATTAGGTGGTGATCGACGATCCTACGTTGGAAGAGGAGAGTCCGTCAGCGAAAGTCGAAGACGTTGGATGGATGGGCGGAGGCGGCGTTTCCCGCCTCGGTAGCTATATTTATTCTCCTGGTTGGCCCTGTAGAAACCTAGCAAAGAAAGATTTTTCTCAGAGCCGATCAGCAGTTCGACGGTCCGTAGGTCTGGAGGCTGGGACGTCAGTCAACAACGAGAAATAGTCAGAAATGTCGAGCCGACTTCAAGTTTTCCCCATCAATTGCCTTCTGAAAAACTTTCGTATCCTTCTGGAATCGGAGACGGTTTGAAAAAGACATGATAATTCGATGAAATTAATTGGTTCATATGAAATACAAGATTGAACTTGACTCTTGATAAGAGAGTGTACCATAAAATTGAAAGAAGGCGTTTCTAAAATGATGAACTGTCCTTTTTTCTTTTCTTTTTTTTTCGTGGTTAGACGCCTCAGAGTTGTAGACTAGACAACCATCAAAAATAAGTTTGCAAATTCTAAATTCTAACAGAAAAAGAAGGATGAAAAAGTTGAAACGCCTTTCCTTATAAGGAAGCTCCTATGCAACTTTATCAAAATAAGTCGGCTTATTGAATTATTTAGTTGGGCATGTTGACGGGAACGTCGATATGTCGATGGACGATGAAGTGAATCGGGTGCAAATAGAACCGAATTCCCGCGATTTGGCTCCAGTGACTACTGCCTCACGCGAGCCTTTCTCTCATCGAACCATCGTCCATGACAATTTTTGTTTTAATAGAGGTCGCCCATTTCAATCAACATTCTTTTGCACGACTAGCGAAGAATATTGTATTTATTTAACGCAATTTTTTTCCCGATATCTCCTCACTAGAGCTGCTAGTGAATCGGCTCCCGTAGCGAACCCGATTTTTCTCAATTAGTCTACTAGCTTTTTTTTCACTTTTATGAATTAGTAGACCGTTACTGAAACATTTTAGGGTCTTTCATCGAGAGGCGAGCGCCTTTGTCGAGCTGGCTGCAGACAGAGTATCCTGACGCGGAGATTCCACGGCCCCAGTCGACGCAGAGCTGTCTTCGTAAGTATTTCTATTAATTTTAACCAAGATGTTATGAATTAATTGCTTTCAGAAGGATAAATTACGCTTTTTCAAACTTCTGGAAAGTTTTCCATTAAAAAAAGACGTGTATTGTAGTTATCTCTAACATTATTCAATTTTTTCTCTGGTTGGGATTAATTTTAAACTCATTCATTAACATTTTCGCTTACCGTGAAGAGAAATAGAGCACAGGGAACTTTTCAAGAGAACGAATGAGTCGTACCTTTTTTAAGGAATTAAACGAGGTTTTCGTTATTCAGTTTTGTTTTTTTCTAGCTGGCGCTATATTTCTGGACGATCTATATTCAAGCCAACGGATCCAAGAACATTCGAGGAAGCGCGCAATCGCCGAGATCCTGCAAGAACGAGCGGCGGTCCCGTCTCCAGACACGAGCGATTTGTTGAGGCTCCGCAATGATCCGGAAATCAAGAGGTACGTCATTCAGAGGTTTTCCTAGTGAAATTGGATTTTTGTGTGAAAAATACATATAATTGGGAACAGGTGTCAAAACTTGAAAAAAAAAGGTTAGTGTTAGGAAGACTGAGTTTTTTTCACCCTGATGGTTGAAAGCAAAAAAAAAATGTTCTGTAAATTATATTCCAATACTACGAAACGATCACATAGCTTATAGCTGTTTGCCCTTATGGTCTGAACTTTAAATTCGGCGTATACCTGATCTATCAGATCGCGTGAGCCGATCTCACGAGCTTTGCGTAGTGAGACTCATTCCCAGCTGTTCAAAGCTCTTCGGTCGACGCGACTGATCATCAGATCGGTCGGGGTCCTGTCGGAGTCAGACAGGATCCTGCTGAGAACCAGGAGATCTCGTTCACCTTGTTCGAAGCAAAAATCGGATCCAACATGGAACCGAGGTCTGAGGCCCTGTGCTACACAACCCACAGGGACCGCGCTTGAACCAACGGAGACAGATATCCGTAAATTAAGCGAAAGTGGATCCGTGAAGGAACCAAGGTCCGGGGTCTCACTGACAGTCAAAGTCACTACCCGGACCAGAGCAACAAGAACTTGTTGATCCCAAATAGGACCAATTCTGGAACTCCGAAGTAAATTTCGTCGAGATCCGGGTCCTCGGGAACGAATCAGGCAAGAACAAAGAAATTTGTCAACCTGAGAAAGACCAGTTAAGGTTTCCAGTAAGCCGTTGGTTATGCCTATATCAGACACGAGGCGATTGGCGAACAGGAAGTGCAATCCTGAACTAGCCAGATGCATGTCACCTTGAGAAACCAGGGTTCGACTAGAATCTTATGAAAGAATGCAGATTATTCATTTCATAAATCCGCAAAGATTCTACGCACTTCGATCATAGTGCCCCAGAAGCAGAAATTTCTGGAAACATGATTCTGTCTGACAGTGTAGTACTTCTCGGAGAAGAGAGGGCGTCAGAGGAGTTCCATTGCGATCCTCGCTGGGTGAGAAGTGGTCATCAGAACCCACATCCCAGAAGGAAAGAGGATAGCATACAAGGCTTAATCATCCGCAATGAAGCACAGAGGTATGCTGAAAAGCAGAAAGATATGCTGATGATAAGCCAAGTCCATAACTGGGCTGCCAACTCTAAGAGATACATACGCGCTCGCAACAAAGAGAGCGGTATCTCCAGTTCCTGAACAGAAGGATGATGCCGACTGTTTTTAGTCGATTTGGAGATAATCCAAAATGAAGCATAAAGGAGAGTATGGCATGAGCTCTATAACCGAGAGAATCACGACGCGGATCGTCGTCAAAGACGAAAGATTCCTTGAACCTGGCGAACACAGTAGCGGAAAGTGAAGCTACTTTGCCAGTTCCTAGAGCAGGAAGAAAAGACGATATCTATCGAATTTCTGAAAGCTCCGTTTGTTTTCTAAACGTTCTTCAACAGAAGATAGGAGCGCAATACCTCAGAGAAGTCAATCAATTCTATACGATCCATAAGAAAGGACTTTTCCTCGAACAAGAGTAACGGAGCGTGTTGACAGGAAATCGCACTGAAGCAAAGTCGCGACGCACGAGAAAGCTTCGAGCACTCGACCTCACCAAGAGGAATAAAGTTTCCTAATTGTGGAATTAAAGCCAACATAGAATAGATTGGATCGAACTATTCAGAGATATTGAAGTTCTGGACGGAGGGAAAGACCTTTTCCCTAAACGTCAGTCGGTACATCACCACTGACAGATCTCAAACGACTCGATAGGGAACAAGGTAGTTCCGATTGAATAGTCAACGACATCGCTGTCGATTCCCGTCTTCTATCGATTAAATTGGCAATACAATGAACCTCTGGCCAGAAAGAGATTCATTATCCTTTCTGGGACAGATGAAATGTCCCAAAGCAAAGGACTTCCAAAGTTCAGCATCGTGTACGCCTATTCACGAGGCAAGGCAAACGCAGAGACTAAAGCTCCCGGGCCATTAGAGGAAGAATGAGTTCCCCTACGTCCTGGTCAACTATTTGATCCGAGCACGAACCCTGATGGTTTCTAGATTATCATGAGTGTTCACAACCTCATGCTGGGCGATCATCGGGAGAAAGAACCTGTTTCACCAAACGAGTGAGGGTTCAAACATAGAAGAGTCGAGTTGCTTTCGACCTCCTCCATGAGCTCATGTCGACGAACTGTAAAGGAATCCGAGCTATAAGGGTTCTGGATCACAGAACGGTGGATTTCATAGACAATCATTGAGATCAATGATTAAAGGCCTCGAAAACCGATCGCCAGTAGAGAAGTGATTCTCGTCCATGGCTAGTCAACAGTTCGACATCTTGCCAGTTTCGCAAGCTCCGAAAGCTAGAAAAATGCGACAGGAGAAAATCCAAGGCGAGATAGCTCAGAAATAGCTGAGAAGACATCAGAAGGACCAGAAACAGCGAATACCTGTTCGAGAAAATTCCAATACAGAAAGCTGGAAAGCCTCGAATATCTGGCGGATGTACACCTTCCCGGCGATGGCATCAGATCGATAGTGATACCTCAGATCACCGTCATTCAAGCCTGATTCGATGCTTGGCATCGGAGAGGTAGACGGAAAACCGATTCGAGAGGCCGCTACACAGCGAAGAAAATTATCACTTTCATATGAAGGATCTGAGCCGCAGTCCTGACATTCCAGTTCCTACAAAGCGAATTCACCCGGTTCACGAGGAGGCTCAATCTGTCAATGATAGACAATCGCCCTCAGGAACGAAAGGTGTTTGACTTTCAGGTCCAAAAATCTGGAAACCAGGCTATGAGAAAGGAACTGTGGCTCAACTCTGTATGCAAGCAAGCAATAACCCAAAACTCAAGGAAAGAAAATGAGAGGGAAAAAGAGTTGTACACAGAGCTGTTCCACTCAGCCGACTAAAAATGGAGGCTTCGTGGAACTGAATCAAAGAACAACTAGCAAAGTTGGAACTTGATCCTTCGGCAAGATTCAAAGACGTCAAGTCGGAATAGATCTAGCATGCCAAAGTTACCTCATCACTGATGAGGTGACACAGACGCTCATAGAGACGTCCAGGGATAAAGCCAGGAGATCGATCTCAATCACTCATAGATGGCTGGACCAACCGGTTACTGCATTACAAGAGTAAATGAAGGTTCGGTATGTCCCTTTTCTCCGCAAATGTTGAAGTTTAGTCAACGGAAGGAGACAGCCTCAGCCTCATCTACATGAGCCAGGAAAGCTTGAGCTCACAAGTATAGCTGACGTATCAGCGATCTGAACAAGAAGAGGTTAGCAGAGAACAATCAGAGTTCCGAGAGTGCACAGGCTAGATCACTGACAGACAGTATTAAGATGCCTTGAGAAACAAGTTTGCCTACCTAAAATAATGAGGATCTACTCATTAGGTAGAAAGAGTCAAAATGCGCAAACTTACGCTCGGATCTGATTCGGATCACTAGCTCTCCACGATGAATAAGTAATGATCATCGCGACGTGGCATAATACATGCGGAGAGAGCGGGTCGTAGTCCACTCTGGCAGAGAGACAGTGTTAAAAGTTCCAAAGATCTTTCGAAACCCAACAATTTGCATCAAATTTTATATTCCCCGGAAGCCGAACCATTGTGTGGTTCATGGGTTGAATGAGGTATCGAAATCAGCAGTTTCCAGGAAAAGGAGCGATGATGCTGTATACGCTAGAAAGGCGTGAAGGATCGTGGGAGCCATTCCAAGGAAGCTAGACCACCTCATGACCAAAGAAGAGGGTTGAGTCGCTGCCAGCTCCAGAAATGGAAATTAGGTGAAAGTTGGAAGAATACAACTGAAGGCGATCTCTGAACGAAAATGTTCAAAGAAGAGAAAAAGCCTTACCTAAAATCACTGGTTTCGAAAACGTACAATTTCTGCTTAACCAGGAGCAGTTCTCATGGAGAAGGAACATTTCCGCAGTACATACCCAACGAGTCCGAAGACAGGACTCATCAACAAATACACATGTACGTTGCTCGAGGCAGAGGGTATAAGCGGATAAGCCAGAAAAAGGCTGTATAAGCACGTCGATAGCTAGTACTGACGGATGATCTCCGAACCATGGAGATGAGAATCGCGACAAGGAAGGGTTTTCTAAACAAGATCTTCAATGGTGGATAAATCCTCGGTCCGATCGATGCTCGCGAGCACATCTGTCGAAGCTTTAAGAGCCACAGCCTCAATGTTGCTTTAAACTAGCTATGTGATCGTTTCGTAGTATTGGAATATAATGTTATATTTTGCTAGACAACGTAGTTGTTGAAGTAAAATATTTATTATATCCTAATACGTAGAAACGATCAGATATCCCACCCAGTGACCTTCGAAAGTTACAGCTTAAAAGGTTCACTTGAACCCGCCCAGACATTGAGGCTCAGAAGTGGGTCAGCTCGAGCGATCCTCGGCCATACATCGGCTTGGAGCAGGCATTAAATTGCCATTAAAATCGTTCAAAATGGGTCCCAAGAGTTGAACGCCAGGAACAAAGGCTCAAGGCTCAAGGAAAGGGGATACAGTACCGGTCACACCACGAGAGAAAAAGTGGGCAGGCGCACTTTCAAAAATTCTCATAACTGAGAAAAGTTTGAAAACATCTCCTTTGCGCGACAGGCAGACAGGCAAACCACAATGGTTTACCAAGGTGACGGGAACCCGGCTAGCTCATTAAGTATATCTGGTAAAGAGTACGCGTAAGGAACGAAAAGCTTTGAACAGCTGGGAATGAGTCTCACTACGCAAAGCTCGTGTAGATCGGCTCACGCGATCTGATAGATCACGTATACGCCGAATTTAAAGTTCAGACCATAAGGGCAAACAGCTATAAGCTATGTGATCGTATTAGGATATAATAAATATTTTACTTCAACAACTACGTTGTCTAGCAAAATATAACAATATGCTGCAAAAAATATGAAAGTCGAGATCGAGATTTCATCCAGATCGCTCTGCCGAAAAAATCTTATATGATGAACCGCTTTCAAATTTTCATCCCTTTCTTGTCTCTGTTCAAATTGGTAGTTAGCTTAGCTTGTATTTTGTATCCTTTTTCTTTTTTTCATTCAAAGCTTTATTACACGCTTGCTTTCAGCTTCTTTCAACATAACATGGATTGAGTCCGAAAGACCCGGAAGCAATCTTTTATCTGTCTCTAAATAAGGCGCGGAAAAAGCCTGCGTCTAGTAGTTTTTAATGTCTGGGAATACTGTTTTGTGCAAAATCTCTGTGGCAACTGATAAAAATAATGAGAGCTTTCTCAGAATGATGGAAGACGCTTGTCAAGATTCCCCGCATCTACAATACGATCATTTCCGAGAGCCTTCTAGGTTTCGAGGATCATTTTGAGAAAAAAAAAACATCACTTTCATTCAGAGAAACGGAAGGTTGTCAAGTTGCTGGTCGAAATCAGTTTACTACGAGGTTTAGAGAAAAATGAACATTTAAATATTTTTTACAGGGAGATGACGAATGTTTCGCCGTTCATTCGCAGGAATCACGCCTCAGAAAGGTTAGAACACAAAAGGTCAGACCGTTTCCTCCTACTCTTCTCGTCAAAAAACGATTGAAAATCAGAATTTCCTACTCATATTCAGAGGCTCACGCCAGACCGAATTGCAGTCCTTTCGAAAGCGTCAAATAGATCATTTTGCGTTTCCAGCAGTCGGTCTCTCTGAAACTCCACAATCTCCCGATCACAATCGCCACGCATACGGTTTCTGATTATATATTCTCTACTCTAGAAGTATTTTAGCAATTTCTTTATTTTTCTGTTCATCTTGTTTCTTTTTCAATTTAGAGAAATTATATTGGACTGTTTCCTTTTGATCAAATTTCTAATCGAAGAGAGATATAAAAATATTAAATATTAAATTTTTTTTATAATTGTTCGATGATAAAACAACAAATAACTTCAGAAATTCTTGCGAGAAAAGAAAGGATTTTTCGCCTTTTCAATGAATAACTATCGATTTTCTTTTTTCATTACGTATGAAAAAGGCAAAAGAATTGCGACTGTTAAAAAAAGAACTAAAGGTTTTTCGATTCTTTTCCAAACACTAACTTCTTAGCTCATATTTTTGAAAGAGTTTTCCCTTTTTTCAATAATCAGTCTCACAGAGAACAAGTTTTGAGAGCGCCGATAGAAATATTTAAAATTGATTGAAAAACGAAGAAACTCCAAGTTTTGATAGATAGTAGGTTTTAAATTAATAAAAACGAAACCTTCATTGGTTTTCTTCAATTTCTTATCACATCGCATTTCTAATGTTTGGAATGACATTGAACATGAATTATTGGCAGAGGAAACCAAGAAAAAAAAAACATTCAAGGAGATGTTTTTAGTGTATGCAGAAAATGTTGGCGTCGAGCATATTCTTTCAAGAGTTCACAGATTTGTGCCATGATCAACTTGGTTTAAATATCTACTTATTATGGTTCTATGTTTCTTCTCTCACACACAAATTTTTTTTCTTTACAGGTGGGGTTAATCCACCTCGAGGTCTCTTTCTTTCCCTGCAACATCACATTACCATCCCGATGTTGCGAAAATAAAATGATTGATTGATAGTAAACTGATTATTTGTAAAATGCCTCAAATTCTTAAACTCCGTTCCTTTTTTCGCAAAGGCTTGGCGGTTTTCAACGTTCTCAGTGAAATTCGTTGTAACCGTCTATTTTTTTTTTTCAAAAATCACTCTTTCTTACTCGAAGCTTCATTTTGGTACCAATTCAATAAGCGATGTTCATCGGAGGTATGGAGTGAAAATCAAAACTTCGTGCTTCGCGGTCCCGGCGAAAGTGATTGATTTTGTTGAAGCGGTTGCAGAGGTTGTAAATTTGATTTGACAGGCTCGAATGGCTGAAGGGGCTGGAACTGTTGCAAAGGTTGGATTTGGATAGGCGCCAAAGGCTGCAAGGGTTCAATCGTCAACGGCTTCAAGGGCTGAAAGGGTTCAATCGTCAGAGGCTTCAAGGGCTCCAGCTGAGGCGCTGTCGGTAGGAACGAAGGCTGGTAAGGCTCCATCGGCTGCATTGTGCGCATCGACATAGCCGGCATTGGTTGCGCTGTCTGCATCGGCTGTTGCGGAAATCTCGTCGGCATCGGCGTCGTCGGTTGGAACGATTGCGCTGACATTGTAGGCGGTAACTGTTGGACTGTCTGTTGGACTGTCTGTTGGGGCAATCTCGTCGGCAGCGGTGACGTCGGTTGGATCTGTTGTACCGGCATCGAAGGCGGTAACTGCTGCACAGGCGGCGCTGTTCGCGACTGTGGCGGTCGCGCTCCGGGCGATTGCACCAACGGCGTTTTCGACGTTTTTGTGTTGCTGTTTCCTTTTTTGAAAACTTTTTGTATTAACTGAAACTTCCGATTGTTTTAGTTGGATTTTCACGACCCACCGTCCCTTTTTTCTTTTTGTCTTTCTGATTCACACTAACGGCTTCTCTACTAGCACTAGCCTTGACCACTCTTTCCGCTGACTTCTCTGCCGACAAGCTTTTTTTATTCTACAACAAAGTTTTTTTGCAGGTTTTTAAAAAATGTCACCTTGACCATCTTATCGCGAGATATTTGTTCTTTACTTTTTTCTTCTGCACCATCCTAAAAACTCATCATTCAACAATAGAAAAAATTCAATCTTACTTTCGTTTTCAAATGGTTTCTCATGAAAGTGATAACTTCCCACATCGCAGCCCGTTCTTTGGGATCCTCCGACCAACACTTTTTCTGTAACTTTTGTCTCCAAGAGCATCGTTCTGGGAACAAACTAAGATGAAACCGGAGAAATCGGAGTGAATTTCAGAACTGAAAGACATTCGGTAGCCTTGGTTCACCTGAAATCTTTTTCCCCGTTTTCTGTGAAAACCGGTTTACAAACCTTCGCGACTACCTCTGCGATCATCATTCCGGGGTATGGCTCTTTTCCGTTTTCAAAGATTTCCCAAGACATAATTCCTAGATATAATTCTCAGATATTTTGTTTCGAAGGTCCAAAAATGTTACCGAAAGCGTAGACGTCCGACTTGTCTGAATAGAGACCGGTGCGAAGCGTTTCTGGCGCCAGCCACCTAATCGGAACTTTTTTTGTCAGGTCCATTTTGTACTCCGATCCTTCTCGCGACAGTCCAAAGTCCGCAATTTTTACCTGATGTAGCTACTTAATTTCAAACATAATTCGAAGTTTTTTGTTTCGAATAACTGCTTTGGACTCACCTGTCCATCGCCGTACAGACAATTCCTAGCAGCGATATCACGATGAAGAATGTTTTTTTGATGAATATAACATAGTCCACAAGCAGCTTGGTAAATCATTTCCGTCTTCTTAACCAAGGTAAACGTGTTCTTCTGCAAGTAAGAGTCGAGTGCGCCGCAGTTTGCCTGAAGGTCCGAGTTGAAAACTAATATTTCGAGTAACCAACAAGCTCCATGATAACGTAAAGAGGTTCATTTCCAGCCGCGACGCCGTAAAGTTTGACGATGTTCGGATGCTGGAATAATTTCGATTTGCGAATTAGAAAATGTAAAGAGGTCTTTTATTGCTGATAGAAAAGCCGGATTATTTGCTCAGTTTTTTTTTTCGAAGATGAAAACCTCCAAATTCCTCATCAGACGAGCTTCATGCATTATTTCCTCGATTTGAGCTTTGTTCATTGTTTCGAGCTTGGCCTGGACAGAGTTGAAATCTCGTCGATTTTCCAGTCACTCACCGTCTTCACCGCCACATCCACAACTTTGTCCGTCGTTTTCAACTTCAACTTGCCTTTCCAAACCTCTCCAAACGCACCTTCTCCTAGCTTTTTCGTCAATGTCACGTCTTCATGGGAGATTTCCCAACTTTGTCTAGAGATCGGTGTCAACAGCATTGTGACCTGGAAGTCTCGTGTCCAATATAGTTGTGCAGTTTGTGACTTCGAAAAGAAAACCCAAAATGTGTTAGAAGATTAATTCGTTTTTCAAGCGCGAGATAAAAAAAATTCCCAGACAAATACTGTGACTTTCGTTTCGAGAAGGTTTTTAGGCCGATTTCTAGTTTTAGAAGGAAGGTCTTCTGCACTATGGACTTCCAGAGAATTCACTCAAAAATTCTAGTCCAAAATCTGACAATTCGATTATTTTTAAGAACAGTGTTTCAATTTTCTAATTCGACGCACTTTGTAAAGTCAATATACAGTAGAGAACAACAAATTTCGAGGCAGTTCTTCTCCAAACAAAAGTTATTTCATGTTGCGGCTTTTATGTTTTTTGATTTTTTCCAAGTTTTCATTCAAATTAGAGTCCAAAAACTTACCTTCCCTTTTGGGCTGCGATTTCTTATTATTTTGAAGGTTAACACTCCGCAGGTTGGACAGATACCCAACTAAAAAAAACCTTCGAAATGGGCTCCTTTTTGACGTAATGATACTCAATGAGCTGAGATATTGTATCGAAACCATTCTTTTCAATGTAAATTTTTTTATTGTGCTCTTGTAGCACGAAGTGTTTCACCTGAAAAAAGATTAGGCCTTGAAAACCAGTTTGAATTGATAACCTCTTCAATCTTTTCTTTAACACAAACTGAGACGACGTAATGCCGAGGACTGCCTTTTGCAGGTTCCGTCGACCGAACAAGGAAATCTCCATGGTTGCGTAACATTGTCTAAACGCCGTGATCATTTCTTATCACTCTGGATCCATTCGATGTTTCGAAAAGAAAAGGATGTGCGCAAGTAAAAATTTCTACATGTTATGGCCATCGGACGTTCCTTTTTTATGGAATTCCGCGTCTCTTTGATCTTTTATGCTTAACTTCGTAATATGATGAGTTTTTTGATTCGATTCGGCAAATACCGGAAAGATTAATGATGCCTGAAACCTTCAACACCGTTTTATTGAATTTTATTCATTCATGTTAAAGGATTCTCAAGTTTTACCCTCACTTTTATGTCTTCGCGAGGTAGCAGCCCATGGTACCATGGTTCAACGGAGATATTTTTGTCGACCATTCCGCTGCCGTCCGCGATAAGCAAATAAAATGTTTTATTTTTCTTCTGACTTCACGCACTGCTTCACGTACAGAGAAATAATTAAGTATTTACGAAAACTGGGAAGAGCGTTTGAAGCCATGATAGGAATAAGGATTCAAGCAAAAGTGGCCGGCCTCCAGCAAAAATGGCCGGCCCGCCCCAAAAATCTCAAATTTTCTTCATTTCGAATTTTTCGCTTTTATAACTAGAAATGCGGGGTTTTTGCTTTTTTTTTTTCTCATTGAGCTATTAAAAACTATGACTCAACATGTAAATATAATTTTTCTGTGAAAATTTTTTTAATGAACATTTAAACTTTTTTTGAAGCCCCGCCCGAGCCCACGCGGGCTTTTTCTCAAAAATTAGACTCAAAGCCCGGCCGGGCCGCCCAGCCTGCCGGCCTTACGCACGCCCCATGCCAGAGTAAGTGCGCCCTTGTTTTTGTGTCAGAGTGCGATAGAGCACTATTTCACTATTCAACGATATATAATTTTTTCCATCACTTCCGCAGTTCTTTCATATAATTCTTCTCCAAAATCATGTCCGCGAATTTGATACGTTTTGTTGGAAACTTTGACCCGAACGCAGAAGGAAAATTTCTTTGGGAAATTTTGACACAGTTACGAAAGGTATTTTCTAATTTTCGGACGTTCTTACTTTTTTTTTTCGCAGTTCGGTGTTGGACGTATGGTAACGAAAAATGAATGGTCGCGTAAATGGCCGACACAACCGTCATATTTAAAAATCGTGAAGGTTTTTTTTCAATAAGCCATTTTGAAGCAGGCTGGTTCGAGATGTGCTTTTTGCCTTTCTTGAAATCGAGACGAGATCTCGAACAACTCTGTTATGAAGTTCTCTCGGCTTCAGGCGCAACCTGAAATGGATCGGTGGCTTTTTGGAGGAAAATTGTACGCTGAATGGGTTTTCCGAGGTAAGAACCTTGGCGTGTACGAGTTCTCGAAAGATTTGAATCGTAGCGACTGGAAGTTGATTCATAAGTATGTTCCTGCTCAGTTCTAACCAAATGAAAACATTTTTGGACATGAGGAAAACAAATGGACAAAGTGTGGTGAACCCATGGGCGAAATCGTTCTTCCCAACTCTTTTCCATTGCCGCCACTTCAGGTTAATTACCTCTCAAGCGATTAAGATATACTCCATTATGTGAGAAATTATAAATTACTGATGCTCAGATAATGTTGGCGAAAAATGCAGCGAAAAAGAACGGTCTTGATGTGGATTCTGTAGCGACACGAGCTCCTCTGAAGCCCTGCATAGATCCGGAGTTCGAGCACCTGGCTCCTTTCATGCGAAGTGCGGAGCCAGAGACGAAAAGCTCATCTATTTACGACGAGGTTGACCCACGGACCATCCTCGACTTTTACGGAGACGAACTTCCCACCAAGGTCGTTTTTTAAACGTCTTTTTTTCATGTTTTCTTTTTATTTTTTCAAAAAAAAAGTGTTTTATTTCATATTTTGGCGGGAAATTTCTCATATAAGAAAAACATACAAACGCGTTCAAAGTTTGAACTTTTAAACTTTTTTTTTCAATTTTTTTTTGAGGTTTTTATCTAATTTTTTCAAGTATTGTGACTACCGAGATCATATAGCTAATAATAGGTTTCCAATCCTCAATCTTCGTTGAAAGATACAACAAGCCTTTCCACTGTAAATTACTTTTAGTTGAAAACCTTCAAGAAAGATGTTTTGAAGTATAAAAAATATTTTGAAAATTTTTGAATGATATCCAACTTTGTTTTTTCTTTCCACAAGTACTTCTGAATTTCTCGATATCCATCTGAGTTTTTGAATATTTCGAAGCTAGTTTTTCTTTCAGAAGTTTAGTGAGTTTCTTTTTCAAATTCATTAGATTAAACATTCACGCACTTCTGATTTTTCCTAGCCGCTCTTGAAAAAAATTAAAGTACAGGGTTCAAAACAATTTTCAGGTAAAGGTTTTTCGTTCTGAGTTTCTTGAGAAGAATAAAGGATTTTTTAATTTTTTTATCTATCTGTAATTTTCAGGTGGAAGCTTGGAACGTGGGACCGGCGACCTTCACACCGCGTTTCAATTCGACGGAAATGAGGACGAGGGTTCAATCTTCGGAATAACTTTAGTCAGTCTCAATTCTTTGTACAGAACAGTTAGATTTTTCAAGTTTGTTTTGGTCTCGTTATCTTGTTGAATTTTGCTTTTTTCTTCATATAAAAGTGAAAAATAACTTTAGACAATGTGATATTGAAAAAAAGACTGGAGCGGTTTTTTAGGTACATTTGTAATTATCTTGCACCAAGAAGGTATTTCACTTCATAAAAATGTTGATCTTAAAAAAGGTTTATATTAACCCAAAGCGGTTAGCGCGTGTTTTAGGTTCTTTTTGGAGCAATACAAAGAGAGGATAATCTGAAATATTAAGTTTGTTGGTGTTTAATGCACTTCTACTGTAGAAACAGTTCTAACAGGAAAATATTTTGGATGTCCCTGACAGAAGGTTCAACTTAGGTCCCCGTTCCCGATGTGCAACATCAATTTCTGGTTTTCAGTTTGAAAATGTTGCTCACGACGGCGACTTTCTTATACGACTTTAATGTAACTGTAAAGTTAGAATCTTCCGGAAAGAAAAACCGTTTCAAAAAAAAAAGTTTTCAAATAGTCAGAAGATCGTTGGTATGATGAAGGTGAAATGTTTATGAGATGAAAGCGACGTCCTAATTTCCAGCTGGAGAGTCAGGCTCAGTCGGCGTCTGCGCCTTCGCCTTCTTGGATCTTCTCTTCGTCGTTGTTGTAATAGTGTTGTCTTTGTTGTTCTGCTTTTTGAAAAAAGCTTTGTGGAACATCTGAAAGCGATCCTCCGCTTGATAATCTCCGGCGGTTGTCTCACCGTGGCTAGTTTCGGTCGATTGCTGCTGCCCCCTCCGTGATGCACCTTTTCCGCCGATCTGCCCCTCGAGTTTTGCTGTGATAGATCATTCTATTGTCATCGCAGTTGCGAAGTGCCTACCTCCCGAGCACTCAGCAGTTTACTCGTACTTTTTTCATCTCCATCCTGAAAATCTCACCATTTTTGTGCATCCAGAGAAATAGCAAAAAAAAAAGTATATTTTGAGAACTTACACTGATCTTTTTTGTAAAGTTCAAAAAAAGTTCTCACTGATTTCACCTGCGTCTTCATGGAGAAAAAAAGACAATTCAGCATTAGCAGACATTTTAGAATTCGATGAAAATCCGCACAAAGTTTTTTTCCGGAAAGTTTATTATCTTTAATAAATTGAGTTGCATCTTTTTAAACATTGGAAAACTGAGAAAGTAGACAAAAATATGTTGCTTCGTTTTTTTTTAACAGAATTCCGATTTCTCATGGAAAACTGTGGAAGAGGTTTTCGGGTCGCCTATACGCGATAAGTTTGCGGCAGTATATGAAACAACAGTTTGAAGAGGAACCTTGAACTTTAAACTGTTTTTCATGTAGGCTGTCACATCCTTCATCGGACAACGATTGCTGGGCTCCTCTGCCCAGCATTTTTTCTGCAATCGAAGGTGCAACGAGGAATTTTTTCCCCAGTTGAGTTCAAATTTGGAACAAACCGTGATAAATGAAGCCAAATCGGAGTTCACTTCTGCCGCAAATGGCATACGGTAGCCTTTGTTCAACTGTGCCACGACTTCTGCGACCATCATTCCAGGGTAAGGCTCTTTTCCGTTTTCGAAGATTTCCCAAGACATGACTCCTAGATATGGATATAATTATAAGGATAGAAAAATAATTAGATTTTTTTCCAATTTTCACGATTTCAATCGATCGAGCATCGAAAAGTTCGAAAACAGCACCATAAGCGAAGACGTCTGACTTTTGCGTGTAGATCCCGTGTTTGAGAGTTTCAGGGGCTAGCCAACGTATCGGAACCTTCTTGGTCATGTCCATCTTGTAATCGACGCCTTCTCGAGACAGTCCAAAGTCTGCGATTTTCACCTGAAGTGAATAATTGATTTATTACAAACAATTATTGTTTCGGACTCACCTGTCCGTCGCCGTACAAACAATTTCTGGCGGCGATGTCCCGATGAAGAATGTTCTTTTTGTGAATATAGGCGATTCCACAAGCCGCTTGGTAGATCATCTCCGTCTTCTTCTCTATCGACAGTTTGTTCTTGCGCAGGTACGAATCAAGAGCGCCACAGTCCGCCTGGAAGGGTTTCAAGCTTCTTCGATTCGAAACGAGACCCATTTTCATGCATTTTTACACAATAATTTCCTTCAAAGCCGAGACTTTGAATTCTTCCTCTAAACTTTCTCATAAGTTTCGTGAACCCTTGATTTTAGTAGCTTTTGCTTCAGCTTAGCTTCCGATCAAGAGACTCACCAGCTCCATAATCACGTACAACGGTTCGTTGCCAGCAGCGACTCCGTAAAACTTGACAACGTTTGGATGCTGGAAATGATCGTTGAAACAAACCAAAAAAAAAAGAGTCAACTGACTTCCAAATGTCTCATAAGACGAGCTTCGTGCATGAGTTCTTTGATTTGCTCTTTGTTCATAGTTTCCAGTTTAGCCTAGACGACCTGTATCGAAAACTGATTTGAGTTGGGAACCGACCGCTTTCACTGCTACGTCCACCAGCTTTGCACTTTTTTTGTGTAGAAGTTTACCTTTCCAAACCTGCAACACAGAAGAAATCGTGAAGAGTTGGTTGAAAGCAGTCTCACCTCTCCAAAGGCCCCTTCCCCAAGCTTCTTCGTCAGCGTTACTTCTTCATGGGCTAACTCCCAGCTTTGTCTGGGGATTGGAGTCAGCAACATTGTGACCTCAAGTTCAGCGGATGCTGTTCATTTGAGTAATTTATGGAATATAGGATAAGGTTAGAGGGTTTTTGTAAATGGATAGATGGAGAAAAATCTTAAGTTTTTTCGGCCTAGTGAGATGACCTTCTCTTGAACAAAAAACTGGGAGCGATTTTCAAAAAAAAGAGCTGCTTTGAAATTCAATAGAGAGGCACACCTTAGATATGGGCTCTTTGTTGACGTAATGATGCTCGATGAGCTTGGTTATCGATTCGAAACCTTCCTTCTCGATGAAAACTTTGTCTTCGTGCTCGCGCAACACGTAATGTTTCACCTGCAAGTCGAAAAAGTTCCAGTTTGTATTAGAGCGCGCTTTTTCTTTTGAAAATATAGTTTTTTCATTCATTTCGTACCACGTATAGAACCCTCGAAACCATTTTTGGTCGCTTTTCCGAGAACTTTAGCTTTTAACAAGTATTGCTTTTTTTTTCTCACAATTACCTCTTCGCTTTCTTCTTTAACACAGACTGAAACGACATACTGCCGTGGACTGCCCTTGACAGGCTCCGTCGACCGGACGAGGAAGTCGCCGGGCTTTCGCAACATCGCCTTCAAGTTCTTGGTAATCGGTTCACTTTGGAGTTCAGACTCACTTTTATATCCTCACGAGGAAGAAGTCCGTGGTACCACATTTCTGAAGAGATATTCTTGTCGACCATCTTACTGGCTTCCTCGATACGCAAATAAGAAAGTAGACTCTCTAATCTGACGTTTGAATCATGTTTTTAATTTTTTTGTGTTTTTATCTTTTGTTTTTTGTCATCTTTTGAAAAGATAATTTTCTCGGAGCTCAAAAGTTCTGTTCCAATTCAGCGCCAGAGAGTGCTTCAAGGCGCAGAATAATGAATTTCCTAAAACAAAACAAAAACAGCAAAAAACACTCCAGAGATCTGTCGGGGTGCTCAATTTCAGATGCTGGTAAGCGAGAGATGAGTGGACTAAAAAAATAATATGGGGGTTTGAACTATAACTCTATGTAAAAAGGAGTAAGCATTCTATTTGAAGAATTCGACCTTCGAAAGGATTCTGCAAGTTTGTTCAATTTTACTAACTAGTGGTCACATCCGAAGCGTTCTTGAATTCAATTATGGATTTTTCTATAGGTTTAAAAAAAATCACACGTTTAAAAACTACTTATTCACACGTATAGCACAAAGTTTTGAACGTTTCAAATCCGGTATTAGTATTTTTGCGGCTGAATTTTCCAAACTTGTGATTTTTTTTAACAGTTTTTTGGAGGTATAGATGGCTCAGCTCTTTCCGCGTAACGGTCCAAAATTTCTGTTCCGACCGTTTTATCGGCGCCGGATCTTCGAGAGGAACAGAGACGATTTAGGTCGTCCACACGTCTTCAGATCCCGTCGTCGCTTTTCGAGAGGTCTTCTTTCATCTTTCTTGATTTTTAATCTTTTTTTCGGGTGTTTCTCTCGTTTCCTCAGTAAAGTAGTTCTTGAGGGCGAAAAATTACCAGCTTGACGAATTCATAGACAAAAAAAGTAAACCACGCGGGGCAAAAATAGGGAGATAACGAAATTTTGATGTGACTTTGGATGAAATGCATCATTTCGCATCAAACTTCGCTAAAGGGTTTTTCATATTTGAAAAAAGTTTTTTTAAAATTATAACTTTCTTTGTTGATCATTTCATTTTTTTAAGAATGGTTTATTTTTTTACGCCTAATTTGTATCAGCTTGTATAGCTGATTAACGGCCAGCTTGGGACGCTACAGGGGCGTGTCCTGTCTGCGCTCTCCACGATCAAGGCGCTATCTCGTGCTTTATCGTGTCAAGATCCTTTTTTCGATGGCTCAAGCCAGCCGTGAATCAGCTATATAATAGCTCAGACCAATATTCAATTTCTTTTTTTGGTTATTTTCTTTCTGAAAAAAGCGTACTATTTTGGGGGGCGAGTGATTTTCGCTTCTTTTTTCTGTTCAAAAATTAATTGGGTCTGAGCAATATCTAGGCAGTCCGAAGACAGCAATTGCTGTGCTCACAGAATAGAAAATAAATTGGCTCTCCGTTGGGCCTTTTCAAAAGAAAGAGTAACGAATAGCGGAGATCAGTTGTTGCGCGAAAATATTATGAACCAAGGGGCGACCGGTTCCGCCACCCATTTAGAAGTTGGTCTCCTTTGTACTTTTCGGCTGTTTGCCAACGCCTTTCTCAATCCACGAAAGACAGTTTTTAACATGCCTTCTGTCGCTTTACGTGAAAAAAAAAGTAATTTTCCAGATAAAAATACATTAAGAAATTTCGAAAAAGGCAAAAGGCTTCCCAGCTTTTTTGTTTGACAAAAATATCTTCAGCTTGGTCAGCCTGATTGGATGAATCAAAAAAAAGTTAGTTTTCGGTTTTTTTCTTTCTCCCGAATTATCAGCTTTGTACAAATTCGATTTGAAATAATATGTCTTTAATATTTCGAACCTCGTTATTATTACTCATAGCCTCTTGAAGTTTTGAGCAAAATATGTATCTTTTGTTCAAGGAAACGACACAGATGTTTCTAAACTATAAACGATTGTAAGTTCAAAATTCTTAAATTTTTTCCGGTTCCTGTCATGGTAAAGGATCTTCGCCGAAAAGCCAGCCGATTTATTGACGAATTGTGGTTTCACGCGAATCAACGGGTCAAAAACCTGTCCCTGTTGTCCAAGCAGGAACATTCGCCTACAAAATTTCCATCTCCATTCATTACTTTTTTTTTCTTGAGTCCTGGAATAGTTTCATGTTTTTTTTGTTTGCTTCTCTTCTCTATTCGAATTAATAGGTCGATGAAAGTTTTGTATGTTCAAGTTCGCGAATTGTTATGATAGAGCCCTTTCCAACCTTCCTCAATTGTTTTCTCCGAAGGTTTTAAGAGTTGAAAAAAGGTATTCAAATGGAGTTAGACCATGTTGATTTTTTTTTTCCTTAATTTTTCTACGATATTTAGGTTCATTTAGTTTCATCGCTAATATTTAAGGTCATGAGTCCGATTGGGAATCTGAAGAGTTCAAAAAAAAAAATCAAAGAAACGTCACCGACACTGCAAGTGGCTTTTTTTTCTTTATTCATTGCAATTATGCGGCACGTCGAAGAAATTTCAAAGGGAAAAAGGCGAACGCAAATTGAAACGGCGGCGATTTGGCCGTCAAAAGACGCGGCCTTCGCGGATCCGAAGCCGCCAGTCGAGCCATGCGTCTTTTCCAGATGGCCGTCCAGCCGGAAACCTCCTCCAGCGCAGTCGAGTCGCCCAATGAGCACGAGAAACTCCAGATCGACGAGCTCCGCCGCAGGTAAGTTCTTTGAGAAAAAGAAAGAAGGGCCATATGGCGTCAATTAAAGCATCTAAACATAAAAGTCCTACTTTGACTCTCTTACAGAAAAATTAGAGAAAATAAAGAATCAGTATTAAAATATTTTCAGAAATTTGTATCGCTCATTGGCGGATAGCTTGAAACATAAACAAAAACTACGGAGACGTCTGAACCTCTTTTTTGCGAATTGTTCTTCTATTCTAAAAAATTAACTAGTTCACACAGCGGCGGATCGATATCTAACGGCAATTGATAAAATAGACTTGAAATGTATTTTCTCTGAAGTGAGATCAGTTCAGTTTTCATTTTATTTTTTTCCGAGTCAATCTGTGTTTTTATTTCGTAGAAACATGAGACTGCACAGAAACTGAAGCTGGATCTTTTTTTAAAAGTCAAAATCAATAATCGATTTTTTTCAGATTGAGCCAGGCGTTGCCTCGAGGAATCCCAAACGATTTAGACACGGATTTGAACTTATCCCGATGGATCCGCGGATATCATGCGGATTTCGATAAAATCGAAAAGGTTTTTATTTACTTCAGGGAATCCTGAACCTGCTAATTCCCTTTGAAACTGTTACTTGCAGAACTTTCGATCATATGTTTCCTCTCGAGAAGCTGCTGGATTCGTTGGAGACGACTTTCCGGAGAAGTGATCCCTTTTTCAGCTTTTCCAGAAAAATCTCTTAGTTTGAAGGTTTTTCGAACGGAATGATATCGCCCCTTTTCTCAAGTTCATCGCCTCTTCCCGTTTGCAGGATCGTCAGTGGAGTGAGGCTCACAATTCTTTTCTCTTTGTGGAAAAAGCCTGGTCCCAGCCCAGAGATGTTAGTTATCAACCTCTTCAAGATACAAAACTACTTCCAGTTCATAAAAACTTTCAAAACCAGCGATTATTTGCTTCACTGTTTCGGCTACTCGGAGATGTTGCTCCAGTTGATTCTCAGGTTTACTGAAGTCTTGGAAAAAAATACATCAGTGGAAAGACCAGAAAAATCGGAAGGAAACTTTGTAAATATTTTTCTACTTTCTCTAAACTTGACCATTTTTGAAATTAGTGTGAAAAACACTGCTTTAAAACTATAGATAACTTGCCGCAACTTGAAACTGTATGCCTTGTCTGTCCTCTCTTTCCCCCAAGCTTCTTCAATTTGTCTATATGGCTTTCTTTTCATTTTCCATGGCCGAGGAGAAACAGTGCTGGCGATTCAGAAAGTTTCAAGTTGTGGAGAATAAAATAAAATGATTTTGAGAAGAGAAAAGAAGCAGCCGTTGGAGAAAGGTCCAGTCCAGTTCATCGTTCTTTTCGACTTGGCTTGCATCAACATAACGGATTATGTGAACCCAATGTCTGGCTATATGAAGCTGTGGCAGTTGAGAAGTGAATTGTGGCAGGATTGGTGAGGATTTTGCGAGCTTTCTTCGTAAAGAAAACACCGCAGACCCCTTAAAAACTGAAAATTTGCAGGTACCCAGAAATGGTGCACCGGATTTATCTGGTTAATCCACCACGACTGGTCAGCCTTCTGTGGAAGTGCGCGAGACTGTTTCTTTCGGAGCAAAACCTCAAAAGAATGGAAATCGTAGGAAATATGGCCGATCTGTCCACCAAGCACCTTCCAAAGTGGTTTGTCCCCAAGGCCTATGGAGGTAGGCAGGTTCAACGTTCCGATAGCCTCAAACCGTCCTTCAGGCGACTTTGTCAACACGGTGCCCCCAGGGGATGAAGCTGGAGTCAGCATTCGCGAGAAAATCACAGCCGTCGACCACTACCGTCCTTACCAGCATTACAAAAAGCGCGGGGTCGAGAGGCCCAAATCTAGTCATAAGGTTCCGTGTTTTTCTTTTTAAAATAGTCAAAGGAATTGATTTCGGACCCTTTTGAGTTTTTTATTGATGTTCAAAAAATGGTTGTTAAAAAATAGATCTATTGGGACTGGCGAGTGAATTTTCAGAAAATAGATAAGCTTTTTTTTAAAATATTTTCCGTCAAAATCAAGCTTAAATTTTGTTCGTTTTGGAGTATTTTTGAACTTCATCCGTCGACCCAAAGAAGGCTCGATCCATAAATTGAGGAACTCCCGATTTTAGGACATCTCTCCCGGCGAAACTTTCATAGTTCCAATCCAAGTTCCCGAAGGAAAAAGTCTCCTGTGGGACTTCACAGTAAGCGGCGAGGTCCACTTCCACATCCAACGTGGAAAGGTTTCCTACTCAGTGTTTTGAGAGAATCTGAACTCAATTTTTCAGCAGGAGGATGACATGGTCTATCCGCAGCTGCACCTCGTCACCAACAAGCTCAACGAGGAGGGCGAGCTGGAAAAGCTCAAAGAGGACGAGTACTCCTTCTGCTTCACCAACCATTCCAGCTACTTCACCCTCAAGCTGGAATATTCAATTGCTATTGTTTAATGGTTTTTCTCTTTCTTTCTTTCTTTTTTTCTCGGTTTCGAAGAACTTTTTCATAATTCTCCGATTTCACTTTTTTTGTTCACAAGCGGATAGGTCGAAATAAAAGCTCCTTTTTACTTTGAATACAACTTCTGCACTCTCTTTTCCTTTCAGAGATGGTTATTGGAAATAAAATGAGAAAGAGCGAGGGAAAAGAGAGTGCAGGCAAGTCATACATGTAAGTCGGGAATGAGGTATCCCACACTTTCAAAGTTTTTTTTTGCATCAATTTCCTTTGTTATTTTTTTTTAGGAAAAATTGTTCTTCTTTCTTACATATTTCTTAACCTTCGATTGACTAAATCGAACTTCAATGTACCACTTTTTTTGTACTGTTTAATAGAAGTTTATGAATTAAAAAAATGTAAATATCTTCCTAGTTTGATGGTATTGAACATTTTTTTAACTGTTTGAGAGTTCCGAAAACATGAAAACTTTCATTTTTTTGAAAAAAATCTGAGAAAGATGGAAAAACAGTTCGAATTTTTTAATTCAATAAATTTTATTTTGGAAGTCAGTCCGTACAATAAATGGAAACCGCAACACAAATTTCAATGAACGTTAAACGTGAAAGACTAAATTAATTTGATGAACTCGTAAATTCCTATTCATTTCACTTCGCAGCTGCTCCGGCTTGCAGAGAAATGGTCCGAATCCTCCTGAATTTGCCAGAAAAAAAAAAGCTTTCTTTTTTTTTTACAGAAAGTTGCGATTTTAGCCGTTTTTCTGGTCGTTTTCAACTTCTACGGCGCCAATGCCAAAGGTTTTCATCAAATGTATTTTGCAGAAGAGGAGACTAAACAAGTAGAAAATCTTTCTAAAAGAACAACAATTGTTTTCCTCTTCTTCAAACTTCCCGATTATCTCGAAAAACGGCAAGGAAAGTGGCACTCATGTTTTTCGGAGGTCCTGAGATTCCAACAATTAATTGTCGCGCATTCGTGGTTCGAACGAAAAATATACACGAAACCTAATCAAAACACCCTTGAAGTATGAAAATAGCACAAATTTAAGATTGTACGATGGAAGACATGAAGTTTCTGGCCGCCGACTTGTACGTGTGGAACTCAGCTTGCGAGTCTTTCGACGGCGAGCTCCACCTCACGGACTTCATTACGCCGATCGACTTCCGCAACCTCACGATCATCCATGGCAGCCTCGTCATTTCCAGTACCAATCTCTACAAGTTGCCGACATTCCGCAATCTTCAACGTATCAACACCAAAGGAGGTCGATTGGGTTGGTTTTCTACAATAAAATAGGAAAAATTGGGCAAACTAAATGCTTAGATTAAAAAGATCATTTTTTTCTCATTTTTTTCAATATTTGCACCGATCACACGTTGACTTTTCGTACTTCATTCATATTGAGAACTTCAGCAGAAAACCATTCTCGGTTAAAAGTCATCAAAAAAAAAACTCATACATACTTTTGAATTTTCAGTGAAGGTTTTACAAGTTAAAATTGATTATTACTTCCAGGCCTTGTTATAACGAACAATCCACTTCTGATGGACATCTCGGGAATCGCCAACTTGAGCTACGTCGTTTCCAGTGAGAGTCGAATTTTCCTGCTCCAGAACAACCCAAGTCTTGATCCTACTCTCCAACCTGTATTTTATCCCAACCTATGGAATAATATTCACCTCTGGTTCAGGAATGGACCTTTCAGAAGGATTACTTCATTTCAATGGTGACCAGATCCCCCTCAATCAGCGAAGACGAAATCCAGCGTAGCCATCCTCCTATCAGCTTTTTCACAATCCTACTTCAGACATGACCCTGTCGATTGGACTTGTAACTTTGTCCGTTCTTCTTTTGACCTTTGCCACCGTGTACAGCAGTGGAATGGACGTAGGCCTATCTCGTTTTCTGACTAGAAAAAAAAATATATTTTCAGCTTCTCTACACTATTCGCAAGGCCACCAGCAAAAAGCGCAAATGAACTTTTACGGCCCAAGCCGCCTTTGTTCGAAACAGCCGCCTCATGAAACTTTCGTTCAAGATCAATAAAAATGCATCGAAACTCTTCTTTTTGCAGTTCTGTTCAGAGTCTGTTCAGATTTTGAAATGCTAAAGCCGATAGAGAACTGAGAAAAAATTAGTAGAAAATGTGAAAATTAGGCCTGAGATTTTTCAGAATAATGCTTTTCACCTTATTTTATATTTTAATACAATCGCCTTGAATGATCCGACTATGATACACTCTAAAAAACTTTTTTCCAGCCAAAAGAAGGAGAAAAGCAGAAATTTGATATTTTCAAGCCTAAACTGTTCATTTTCAAAAAGATTTTTCTTAGAAGCCTATGGGGTTTAGCAGATAATCTCTCTTGTTTCCAAGTACGCTTACCCGGGTCTATAGTCCGTTCAGATCTTTAATGTCAAGAAGAATGACGTCATTTGAATACGCTCTGTGGATGGCTCGCTCTCTGATTGGTTTATCGCGCCATTAGGGGAGGAGCTTGAGCGGCGACTTGACATTCAAAATCTGAACAGACTATATAAGCCACCCAAGTTTCAACTCGAAACGCGTACCCGAGTCCAAGTAGTTCCCTAGTGAGAGGGCAGGAAAAACCAAGATTTTCACATTTTCTGCGTGATATACCGTGTCGTCGGTTATAGTTTTTTTTTCAAAATTATATCATTAGTTCTGTATATACATTTAAATATCCAAAATATGCCAAAATATAATCTTGTTGACACCATGACGTGACTGAAGAGCGGTTTGAGATTGAGTTGGAATTCATTATTTTTCTCATTATATTTTTTTTATGTAGTTAGTTAAATTTTTCACAATTGGCTACGAGGTCTTCTTACATAACATAGCTATAGAGCAAAATTTTCGCGCTCACGTTACAATAAATGCAAGGAAGGCAACTACCGCACGGTTTTACAAGCTTGAAAAGGTGCTTCCATGCGTTTTAGCATCAAATCAGTTTTTTGCGTCGATTCCTGTTACTTATTGATTTTTCGACGTATTTAATTTTTGAAATTGGTTTCTTATTGTATAAGTTCCTAATTTTTCAGGAAATGGACCTTTCTCTGAGGGGTAACAGAAAGAAAAAAGATGTGAAGATGAAAGACATGATTATTACGATTAACATCCGTAAACCGGGAAAGAAGAAGTATGCTGAATATGATTTTGTGGATATTCGAAGAGAACACTTGGTAAATCGTTTCAGGATTTTAAAAATAATAAAATAGGAATTTAACTTGTTTCTTTTCAATTTTTAGTAACGCTCTTATTGAAGAGCTCATCTTTATACACTCTGAAAACTTTTTCACTAATTCATGATTTATGGTTGGCTCTTTCCAAACGTTTTGAAAGTCGATTTTTTTTTTTAAAGAATGAAGAAGAATCAAGCGGGGATGACGAACGCTTCCACGATCGTGAGGCATTGGAAATGGTCCGACGAATGGAGGAAAAATACGGGGTTCGACTTTTGAGGGAAATTGGCTGTTATTTATTGATTTGAAGGGGAAAGGAAAAAAAGAAGAAGAAAGGTAGATTTGGCGTAGAAGACGACTTTATCGACAAATCCGCTGGCTACGATTTGGAAGACGCCTTCATCGACGACAGCGAAGCAGTCAGCTTTTTTGTTGATTTCAAACTAGAAATGAAATAAGAATAATATAGACATTCAAAAAGGACATTCAGTACGACGAGCTCGTTCCGTCGACGATGGACACTGCAAAAGGAGGATTCTACGTGAACCGAGGGAAGCTGGAGTTCAAGCAGAAGCATGTGGACGAAGATGAAGACGAGGACGACGAGGAGGACGGCTCTGATTCCGACGAAGACGTCCCGAAAGCCAGGCAGAAAGAAAAGAAGAAGGTTGCTGTGGCAAGCGAATCCGACGACGACATGGAAGACGATGAGGTGGGAATAGTTTTAGATCTGAACTATTCTGAAATAGTTCTGTTTTTTCTTTCCTTCTTGTTTTAATAATCTGCATAGTTGTTCGAAAACGAGTAATTTTGCTGAAATCAAACTCTATTTATTATTCCCTTTGTTTCTGTTATTTTTTTAAATGAGTATTTCTTCTTGCAGCCTACTTCTTCAACGGCAGCCGCAAAGAAAGAGAAAGAAAAGTTGGCGAAAAACGAAAAATCTCCTTCCGAGGTCGTGACGAGACCTCGAATGACAGGGGCGCCACCGATGAAGGTAAAAAAAGAAGAATTTTCACTTTTTTTGTTAATTCGATCGAAGCTGGGTGTTTTTTCCCGAGTTTGGTTTAACGCAAGCAAGTCGCCCATTTTTTCCTATTGTTTTGATGAAGTTTAAATTTTTTTAAAAGTTTTTCCAAAAGCTTGTATTTGAGTTATTTCATACTGATGTAACCGCAAATCATTGAATAAGAGAACTCGATAAAAATTTCATGTCAAAACCGTTAGTTTTTGAGTTAAATTGTACTGTTTGCAGAGGGTTAATAGCGAGACGCCAAAAATGAGTCAGGAAGCGAATCCGAAAAAGCGAAGGCTTGCTGGAATGCCGCCAACGTTGAACCCGAAAAGATCTGCTAGGGGGCCGAGGTTCTTTTCAAAATATATCTTTTTTTCTATTTCAATGTTGTTTCAGTCCTCTTACAACCCAAGAAAACAACATTTCCACGGCCGGATCGTCGAAGGCCGATGCTCAAAAAGTGAAAAAAATCCTTTTTCCAATGGTTAATGTTATCTGGGAATTCCTTTTCTGTGAAAGAAATGGACTTTTGGACTGTCATTCACTAGGCCCATGAATCTTTCACATATGTTTTTTTAAAATTACACTTACGATTATTTTGAGAAATGTTGAAAAAAACGATTTTCAAAAACCGAGTTATTTCATATAGAATATGAATGTGCAAAAAAAGCAAGATGTAAATATTTTGATTACTGTATAGAGAAGAGACAGAAAGAGAAAAATTGAGAAAAGCTGGAAGTTCACTTTTTGATCAATAATACTGGTAAGACGTAAATCAATTAAATTTTGAATCAACTAGCTTTGGAATGAGACTTTTCATGCTAAGCAGATAATTATGAAATGATTGAGACAATGAAACAACATTCACAGGCCTTGTCGGATAGTTCGACGTCTTCTGAAGTCGCTCCGAAGACGATTCCTCCCGCGGCTGTTCTGCCTTCCTCTTCTTCCGCTCATTCTCTTTCCAAGACGGCGTCGTCGGATTCTGCAAAGTCGACGACTCCGGCGAATCCGTCGATGACGTCCAACGTCTTTTCAAGTATCCAGGAGTCTCCGGTTATTTTTTCCCTTTTCTTTTTAGTTTTTTTTTTCAAGCTTCTCGAACTAATTCGAGCGCAGTCTTTCCACTTTTTCGAACGACAAAAACATGACATTTAGGCATGAGAAATTATCGAAAATCTACGAAAAAAATTTTTTTGGGATACTCATTTTTTGAAGAATATCTTGAAAAAATTTCTGTAAAAAAATTTTTATCAATAATAATAACCTTTTTGTGAAAAGTTGTTATATTTTTTTAATCTATGGGATATTTTTTTGAGTATAATAAATTAACATCGGCTGAATACTTCATCTTGAAAGCTATGATTTTTTTATACTTTAGTTCGCTTATAATCTTCAGGCGGTGATAATAGAGAATAGCTCAAAAAAAAGAACTGAAGAAATGTTTCAAAAGTGTTTTCAATGCCATTTGTTATTGAATGAACAAAAATATCTAGAAAAACTTCTCAAACGCAAATTTTTGTTTTGCAGACGAAAAGAGGTCTTCCGCCATTGAGCACGGCACTGGCACAGAAAATCGAATTTTTCAAATTATCGTGCGAAGAAATGGTGAAGATGGGCCGGAAAAGGCTTCAGGACGCCCAAATCGATCTGCTCATCGAGATCCAGGACGAAAGCCTCCGAGAGACTCTCAGCGCGCACGAACGCTCACGGCTTCTCCAGAATCTGGCCGACTTCTGCGGAACCCACAAAAACACCGTCAAACACAAGATGGACACCCGTCGAGCGGTCCGCAATTTTGAATAGAACTCGGAAATCGCTTTTGACATTCACAGGAAACGGAAAATGATTTTATTCAGCATGATTGCGGAGATTTGTTTCGCATATTTATGGGAGCATAATTAACAAGTATGGTTTTCAAAACAGAAGTTTCATTCGTCAAAATAGCATAGTCTTACATTCAAGTATAATATATTATAGTCTGTGCGCAACAACTTGAAATTTCACCGAACGACATTCCGCTGTTCCGCTGCGCGCCTTTGCGAGCCTTGGTCGCGCTTTTAATTTTTTTTTTCTTTCATCAAGGTACTCTACTTTCATGTGCTCCCACAGCAATAACAATCATTTGAAAGTATGACCTAGATTCGAAAGACGCTTCGCGAACGCATGCAGCGGAATGTCGTTCCGTGAAATTTCAATTCGTGGCACACAGACTATACAAACGTTATTTTTTCAGGAGAAAACGGCCAAAGGAACGCCGGACGACGACGTTCAAATTGTATTCAGAGAGTGTTGTTATTCGAAAGATGATCCGTTGATTCAGCTTGCGGGACCTTCGAGGACGGCAGGCGGAGCAGTGGCTAAGCCGACGACGTCTTCAGCTTCCTTCGTCGCTCCGAAAACTCCGGTTTCGACCCCTCAGAAGACGGCTGGCGTTGAGGGACAGGGCACGAAAGTCTTCGAGAGAATCCCGCTTTGGACGCCGCAAGACAAACATGTTAGTCATCGGGAAAATAAGTAATTTGACTTACTTTCAATAAAAAGAGAAAAAAATAAATGAATGACAGATTGTATTTTTCATCGGGTTGACCCAAAAATATGGGCGTAGCATATTTGGTCAAAAAAACAACAGCGAATCGAAAGCAGGCTTTTTGCAACCAAATTTTTTGAAATTGTGCACCTAAAGTGCGCAGTTTGTTCATTAACAGCTTCTCGCCCTTTAGAAAGTTCGAAACAACAATTTTTTTGGCTACTTATTGTATAAAATCATTATTTCAAACAATCAATTATGAACGTTAATAAGAATTTTCATGGCAGATTATATTTTTTCAGCTCGCAAACACTTTGATCTTGCAACTGAGGCGAACGGGTACGAAAATCACAGATTCGCAGATTGTTTTGCTCCAGTCGCAAATCACCGCTCAAAACTGGTCGATGCAGACTTTCATTCAACAGTTGTTAGTTGGATATCATTTTGAACGGGTTTTCCGATAGAAGAAGTTTCTTTTGTTGGATGATGATGTTATATCACGCTTCATTGAACTCAACATATAACTTCCTTTTGAATTCAGACACAATCTGTTGCCCCTAGCAGAAGCTTCGAATATCCGGACGGCGGCGCCGGTGACGCCGAAAATAACTCTGTCGGACGCAGCGAAGACCCCTCTTCTCTCCAGTTCTACTGCTGGCTCTGCGGTTTGTTTATCCCTTAGAATCAAAAACCTTTCTCCTCATGCATTCGAAGGAAACAAACTTGAAGACATTCTGGAGGCTGCATTAAATATATCTCGCTTTTTGTAACTTTTTTTTTGCTGATTCCTACCGTCGATATGTTCTTTTCATATGGCTTTCAAAATTATTTTGAATTGAACGCTGATTTTTTTTTAATCAAAAAGGAAAGGGGTCGAATTACCGATCTGAATTCAACTAGCTCGAACAAAAATAATAAGCCTGGTTCTCTTTTTCGGATGCTGCCTAACTGATCAAGTGGTTCCTCCGGCTATCGGTGAATGAACTCACTTATGAGATAAATTTTATCATTTTCCCTTTTTCAAGTTGAATGTCTTGATTTTCCTGACGGAAATTGTTCCAATAACAATAACGTGTTGATTTTGCCTCTTGCAAAATGGGTTTCTTCAGGGCACTAGGAAGCCAAGAATCTCGTTGGCGAGTGCGATGGAAGAATCTCAGCATCTTTACAAGTTTTTGAGCAGCAACCCGCCAGACGTTCTCCTCTCCGACGAGGCCATGAAGAACAAATGTCTCGAATTCTCGCAACGATCTCTCAGAGGTTGCTCGAAACCGAGTTCCTTGAAGGAAATATTATCGCCGACTTGTGATGCAAAAAACATAATACTCATCAATTTGATCCTTTTTGAAAAAGTTTGTATATGCTCATACTGCAATGAAAGGGCTTTTTTGGAAGTACTGCTTTTGAACGGACTTTTTCAAACCAAAACTCGTTGCTCATCCGAAAGTTCAGTACATTTGAAATCAATTTTTCAGCAGCTGAAAATTCGGTGAAGTTAACAGAAGAGAACTACGCCAAGCTCAAAGAAAAGTAAGACAAACTTTTCGGAATATCGGAAAAAAGGAACGTCTTTCAGCGCTCTTCGTGTTGGCCAACCGATACCAACAAAAACACTTCTCTATCCAGATACATTTATGTAAGTCAGAAGATAATGCATATAATTAATTTGGTCAAAAGCGATAGCCTCTTTAATCAGTATTATGAGATAATATCGATTATAGCACGCCTGTTAAATGCGGCCGGTCGTACTACGGTAGTTGAGATAGGTTTTTTGGTAATAAAATGAAAGCTCGTGTACTTTAAATTATCTTATAACCTCGAGAAATAGGTCAAAATTCAAAAAAAAAAAAATGAAAAAAACTTCCTGACTCCGAAACTGACGGCGCAATATTGACCGGCCGTGGTAGGACTGTCTTAAAAATGCGTGAGAGACAGCCCGCGATCAGGTTTATTTTTACAGAAGCGAAGTATTCAATTATTTGGATTTTGTTTACAACTACTCGCTTGTTTATGATGACCCGAAGAACGCGTCTTCAAACATCTACGTGGTAGGGACCTCTTTCGAAGCCTTTTACTTAATTTTTTGGAACTTAGGCGTTGCAAAAAATCCACGTGGCAACGACGTTGAAGAACGTAGTGCACGAGGGCGAAATGTACGTCGAGATACTGAGAAGACTCCCGAAGTTCTCCTTCGTCCTGTCGATGGATCCTTTCAAGGACGTCCTCACCAGGGACAAAATCACCATTAATCGGTTCGTTCGAGAGCATTTATTCACAGAAAGGTCTCTGAAAATATCTGCAATTACATCAAAAAACAAGTCAAATTTTCAAATTTTTTTTATAACTCGGCTAAATTTCAAGTACTAGCCCCGCCCCTAATTCCGCGATGCGCTAATCAAAAAATGAGAACTTCAGAGAGATTTTTCAGAAATATTAAAAAAAATTTTTTTTTTGCTGGAAGATCGCACGAAAGCGAAATGTAAGAAAAACTGTGTTCCCGACAAAAAGGTGTTGTTTGCCCATTATTTTAATCTAACCAATTTACAAAAGCATCAAAGATTAGAAAAAAAGCATCTGAATGTTTCAGGTACTACATGAAGTTCAACGAAAAGTTCGCGATGCCGACAACGAAACGTGCTACAAACGCGACGCCGGTTTCGTCTGTCAACGCGAATGCTGCTGCGATGACGGCGCTGATCGCGAAGCCCGCAGTGGCGACGTCAGCGATGAAGGCGCAGACAGTCGCCAAGCCGGCTGTGGCGAACATGACGCCGACGATGAAGATGGCGACGGCCGCGAAGTCTCGGCTGGCGACACCGTCGACTGCCGACGACGACGTGCAGGTAATCAAGGCGGTTTTGAACGTTAAATCCGCGACTTCGCGAAATCGCAAAGTCGTCAGCGACGCGACGGTTTTTCAACGACATCCGCTTCTTCCGGCCACCATGCATGAACACTTGAATTTTGGCAATTTGCCACTCTCCAAGTAGCTCTCACGAACTAGTTTGCTTTCTTTTGACCCGATAATGCACTTTTCAGTTTTCTGTTTTTTTTTTTTCACTTAACTGACTTCGGTGGTTTTTCAAGGTTTTTCATATATTGAATCGATAGCTTTTTTATTTCATTACTATGGCTTCTTCTGGTTTTTTGTTTTATCATCAATTGTGAGTTGATCTTTATAGAAAAGTCTCGTTTTCGCTTGAATATTTTTATTATCTCTGTTTTGTTTTGTAGATTTTGCATAACTCAGACCTCTTCTTCCCGATTTTTCAGTTTTCTGTTCTTATTTCTGGATAAAGCGCTGTGGTGTGGGTTATCGTTCTTTCGCTGTGTTCTATGGACCGTTTTGTTTGGTTTTTGGTACTGCAATGGAAAGTAGTTTTGCATTTCGTCCACATCGACCGCGTTTTACAGGTCTTGCCCTCGACCCCGACTCCGGCAAAAGCGACTTCTTCACAGGCCAACAATGCAGCTTTACTCAATTTGGCGAAGCAAGGCCTTAACGCGCAGCAGTCGCTCTATCTTCAGATGCTCATCAACCAGCAAAATATGTCGTTGGATCAGGCCACCAAATTGCTCTCCGTGAGATTTCGAAAAGCTTTTCTAATCGCGCCGATCCTTCAGGCCCTCTCTGCACCAGGAGCCGCAGCTCAAAAAGAAGCTCAGATAAAAAAGGCGGCGGAGGAAACGGCCTTGAAGAAAAGAATTGAGGAAGCGGCCAGATTGGTTCGTTTTGGTAGTATCGAAGATAAATCGGAAACTTTATCCAGGTAGGGTTATCTTCTTAAACGTTGAACCCAATGGAGGAGAGTTTAGAACGAAAAATCGTCGTCTGTAGAAAAAAAAGCGCAGAAAAAGCTGCCTGGAAAATTTTGCCTTTTCATTCTCAAATTTTCTGTAACCCGGAAAGTTCCGAAGAATAACAATATTATTCAAGCACATGCGCAGTGAATTTTTCAAATAGTGTTCTCCCAAGCGGAAAAATTTTAAAATATAACATTCTTTGGTGATTCCAAGTATCTACTGTATTTGAAATCTCACAAAATGTTCATTGTTCGAGAAGTATATTTTCTTTTACAGAAAAAAAATATGTCACTAGTAGCCCTTTCTAACACAATGTACATATATTATTAAGGGGTTTCAATCACTTTCTTTAATTCAGTCATTTATTTTGTTGTTTTATTCATAGATGTAATCGATTAGGCGGTGAACAAGAACTTTTGAAGTTATAACAAACAACCGCCTTTGGCGAACTTGAAGTACAAACGTCTAGATGATCAAGTTGAAGCGTGGTCTCACGATCCTTCTCCTCGTTCTTCTGCGCGTAATTTGTTCATTCGGGCCTTGTCGAGCTCACAATGTAGCGGCTGTTGATCTGGAGCCCGGAGACTTTAGATAGCCACAATATTTTGAAGCTTTTATTGAAAGAACTTTTCGCAAGTTGTTTCTCGGCGTTTAGGAGGCGCTGAAAAAAGAAGAGGAGAAGAAGCGTTACATGGAGGAGATGAGGAAGCGACAGGTGGAGGAGAAGCAGCGAATATTGGAGTTGAAGCTGAAGCAAGCGGAGGAGAAGAAGCGCAAGGCCGACGAGGAACGGAAGGAGAAGGAGCGGCTCAAGGCAAAACAGAAAGAAGTGAATTTTTTTTCGGAGAGTTTCTCATTCACCAAAAAGCCAAAAATTTTTCTTTCATTCTGAAAATAATAAGATACCTCCCGTTTTAATTTTTGAGGTTTCTTTTTTTTTAAATTTCATCAGATGATTGGATGGAATTTCATTCATTTATTTATTTTTTTCAATAGGAAGAAAGGCTCAAAAAGCAACAAGAGCAAGAGAGAAAAGAGCGAGAAGCTAGAGAGATCAGAGAAAGAAAGGAACGAGAGGTTTTTTTATACTTTCATTTGAAATTTCTATCTAATTCATCAGGAAGCTGAAAAAATTCGGTTGGAACAAGAACGAATTCAACAAGAAATGAGATTGAAAGTCAAACAGGTGAGGGTTTTGATAATAAATCTTACAATACGGAATCCTTTTATGTGTTGTTAAATAGAAAACCTCAGCTTCTTCAATCAGATTCAGTCTTATCAATATTTGAAACGTAGGAATTATTAGGAAAAAAAGCTTTTCGGCATGTTTTCTTTCAATGATTTCTCTGTGCTTTTTTGTGAATTTATCTTCTTAGACCAAAACATCCCGTGATACAAGGATTTTATTTTTGATGAGTGTGAGGAAAACTTATGCGTGTAATTTCCTCTCTAATATTTAAAAATACTCTTGGCTTAGTTTCTACTTTCCACTGTAACTATTCGTTTTTTTTTTTCTGGAGTCAAATTTTGCTTATTTTCTCACTATTTGCATCGTAAACTTTGCATGATTCGAACGTGAATAGTCGGAAAGTGGTTCTTAATAGTATTTTCACCGTTTATTGGAGAGATCCCCAAAAGCACACGACTTTCCGCGGGTGTACTCTCCAGCGTTCGATCGATTCATAGCGTTTCTTTCAAAAAGTTGCTGCCTAAAACCATCGGTGAAGGCACTATTCCAAAAAAGTTCTGGTCGTTTGTGAAAATAAAATTGTGGTTTACCATGAGTAGCGCTACGATTCGAGTGGCGGATTTGCAGGAGGAGGAGGCGGCGGCACGGCTCGAGGAGCAGCGGATGGCGCGACTGAAGCAGGTGTCGTAGAGTTGTAGAAATAGTAGCGCTAGTTGTCGTGGTGTTGGTTGTGAAGGCGAATTCCGATGCTGCAGGAGGCGGAACTCGCCGCCCAGCTGCTCGAGCAGGAGGTGTCCAACGACGGCCTCGAGTCCGCGGATGACAGTCGGCGTCGCGAGGAGCAGGTATTCGTGGGCTGTCGGCGGGCTTCTGTTTTGCTTCTGTCTTGCTTCTGGGATGTCTTCGGGTTCTTGTTGTCCTTTAACCAACATTCTGAGAGTATCTGAAATCATTGATCAGTTGATGTAATTTCAGCTTTTACAGTTTTTTTTGTGTTAATAGGGAAAATGTTTCTACTCAAATTCAAAGTACAGTGTGCAGTGTGCAGAAAAAAAAAGTTGGAATTACAACCAATAATTTTTTCCACTTTTGCTAAAATGCTATTCCGTTGCTGGGAAAGCTGAAATAATTCGGTTAAATTTTTCTTGAAGTCTCAACGAAATATAAACAATATTTTGAAATAGGAATTAGAACTACGTCTTTAATTTATAAAACCCATAAAACGGTTGAAGTTTTTGGACATCAATGTAGTGCTTCGGAACTTTTTCGACCGGCTCAGCTTAACGTTGATACAAATATTTTGGGAAACTCTGAAGTTTTGGGAAACGACTGTTTCTTTCCATTAACTGTGTCTTGTGCATGTCTTGCTGTCAATTTTTTGAGCCCATTATTAGCCTGCCGTTTTTGTTTGTAAAACCAGGCAAGAGAGACGACCTTTTTCAGTTCAGAAAACCAGTAACTTTTTTTGCATTTTCATTTGGTTTCTCTTGGGGTTGCGAGATTAGATTCACTTAACATTTGAGCATTTTCTAATCAAAAACCTGTACTTCCGGTGGTTCTCACGGCGAGTTTTTTGTTTGTGCAATTCTCCCTTTTTTCTTTCCCCTTGTTCATAATTCTCTTAACTTTCTTGCTTGATTTATTTTCTGCTGGACTTCATCCTGAGTTTTTGTTGGCTTAGATATTTTTCAAGTAAAAAAAGGGTTTTCTTTCACGATTTCCGATAATTTAGGAGCAGCTGAATGCGGAAACTATGAGGAGGTCCAACGAACGGGCAAAGGAGGTTGGTTTTTTTGAGAAAAAAATAATAAAAAAATAAAATAGTTCAAAGTTAAGCTTACATAGTGGGAAGGAAGTTAAAACGCACAGTTTAGTGAAATCTTTGTTAAATAAGAAATTCTTGATTTGAATTGATTTATTTTTATTAGAGAGGAGCTGAAATTTCCAAAATTTAAAATATCTACGCAAATGAAAAAAAGTATCGCACTTAATTTTTTTTTTCTTTGGAGTCAAGCTAACAGTAAGCGTTATCTTAAGATCGCTGCGATCAAAGAACGACAGCGGAAAAAAGACGAAAGTCATGCGGAGCCTGTTTTTGTGACTCCTGTGAACGTCAAGAAAGAGCCTCAAGAGAGCAATCGTGAGTTGCTTCCTTAGGGAAAAAAAAATCGCAGATGAAAGAAAATTCTAATTTGCAGAGCCATTCACTCCGGATGAAGAGCCTTCGTTTGAATCGCAAACTCAGGAAATGAAACGTAGGAAATAAAACTCCTCCTTGATTCCTCTTGAATCTTATTCAGCAGGAATCCGTTCTGCCGCAGAAATATTCGACGCTCCTCCGCCAGCGTTTCCGCAGCCTCATGCTGCTTACATTGTGGTAAGTGAGGGCTTTTCGAAATTCCGATTTCGGTTCGGTTGACTAATTTCATCGATTTTCCAAAGTTTTTAGAGCGGTCCGCGTCAAATGGACAGGTGAAGATTCAGAAAATGACATTTTTAATTTTTTTTTTTAATCTGTAGTTTCAGCCAAAAACAAAATATGAAAGAAGTTACGGAGAAACAAGTGTGGTCAATTTTGTGAAAAAAAAAAGTTTTGCTCACTCGTTAACCATACCTTTGTGTCCTCACTGCAGAATCCACGTCAAACGCCGCAACAGCCTCTCTCCTCGCCGATGCAACCGACCATGCACGGCTCGCCGGCCAACGCCAGCATCCGCAGTCCGCTCACCGGGTTCAGTCCCCAGTACCATCATCAGGCGTGTTTTCGTCTCCGAGAATTATGAGAAAAGAAAGCTGTTTAGTGGAAGAGTATGACCACTTAGGGTACACTTAGTTTTTTGAGGCGCCTATGGACCTTAATCTCACTAAATAGACGCCAAATACAATGTTTGTATTGTTTTTTATTTATTGAATCGTTTTTTGCTTCGAATGTTGTTCAGAAGCACTATTGGTGAAACGAAAAGAGCGTGTTTTCGGAAAACAAAAAGCGTTTTCCCATTCTGCAATTTTTTCATTTTGATTTCGAACTCTATCAGAATGGATTAAAACGGCAGGAAGTAGTCTAAAAAAAACTTTTTGTTGCATCTTCAATGGAAGAATGCATGTGCAATCGACTTTCATTTATTTAACTGTGTTTAAACAGCGGCAGGAGCTGTGGATTAAGCAGAGAAGTTGTGAATTTCGCTCGTAGAACATTAGGTACAAGAGTTTAGGAAGTAGTTAACATGCATAATTTATTTATTCTAAGTTATTAAAAAAATTAAATCAAGACGCAGACGAGCTATTTGAAAAAAACGTGCTCTTGTCGTAGCACCGCATCATCGTGTTCTATAATCCATTCTCATCTCTGAAAGCCGTTTTCCAGTCGCCCGCTTCGCTGCAACATCCACACAACACTCCGCCGTCCGCCGGCTTCAGTTCTCATCAGCAGAGTCCGTCCAACTTTCCTGGATTCTCGCCACAAAACAATGTAACTTCTCGTTCCGTTTCCTGACGGACAATGTCGTTTCAGCTCCATCAGCCGGTCTTTGCCCAGCCAATTCAACAGCCCCAGGGACGGATGCAGCAACAGTTCCAGCAGAATGTCAAGTGCTTTTTTCGTTTTTGAACAAAGAAATAGTGGAAATAAGAAATTGTTCAATGGCAACGCACGCTCTAGGGATAAGCCGAAGAAAAAACACACCGACGTTAAGAATATGTTCAATATCCTTTCGAGTTTATCACGCAAAAACGAATCTTTCTTGCAGTGCTCGGACCCAACAAATGAATGCAGTTCATAACGGAATACTTCCTTCTCAGCAGCAACAGCAGCAACTCGCGCATCAGCGGATGCTCGAACAACAAAAAATGGCGGAGCAAAAACGGCTCGCCGAACAGCAACTCGCCCACCAGCAGCAGCAGCACTTCCATCAGCAACAGCTCCATCATCAAGCGCAGATGCAACAGCCCGTCAGCACTTCCACTTATTTCAGTGTCCTCAGCTGTAAAGACAGAAACTAACGCTATAACGGATCATTATGGTCTATTTTCCCTGACTTGAAAGGCAACGGGCCCAAGATACTGGTGTGCTTTTTGCGGTCGAGACGCGGCTTCTGGCGGGAAGTTCGAAATCAAACTCGCCTTATTTCTTTCTTTTTCCTTTACAGAAGAGTTTTTCTGTCGTTTTTATTTATTCTTGACTTTTTTCAATCATATACACAATAAAATTAAAACTGCTTCTCTACCTTTTTCTCAAGCTTGCTTTTGAAATTGCCGAAAGCCATTTCACGACTGCAATAAGGAATCATTTTAAGCATACCTTCATTGCCTTTGAAGACGGGTAAAATCGGATTTAAAATCAATATGAGAAAAAACTCAATGCTGTTTCTGAAGTTTTCGTAGTTAAACCGGGGTTATTTAACGTCTCTGTAGTGGAAAACGATAGTTTGATAACTTGAAGCCTTGGAAAGACTTTTCCCTTGTTTGGAAATCATTCAATTTTTTTGAAATTTCGCTCTGTTGCTGATTATTTTGTCTTTAATTTAGACTTTCGCGGGTCATACGCAAACACAACAAGGGAATATCGCGCAGCAGCAACATCTGATGATTCAACAGCAGCAAATGATGGTCCGTTTAGTTATAAATATTCTTCTTTTTCCAGTCTTTCATATATTTGAATTGAATGAACTTTTAAAAAATAATTTTTTCAGAGGCAGCAACAACTGAACCAACAACAGCATCCGATGATGGTAAGTTTTGCTGTTTCATGAGAGCGGAATTGATGATAGGAAGGAATTTTGGGTTCCCGAATATAGTCTGTTCAGATTTTGAATGTCAACCCACTAACTCCGCCCCTGCTGAGACGGTGCCTTTTCGCGTCGATGTTTTATCCCGCGGGAATAATTTTGATCTTTTTTGATCTAAAAGATAGAAAAAGAAGTCAAAAATGCAGCCTTATTAAAGGTTCATCGTCATCTGGATATAAAACATTGACGCGAAGGATATTGTAGCCTTGGGGGTGGAGTTAGCTGCTTGACATTCAAAATCTGAACAGACTATATTCGTGATCGTTAATTGTGCATACACCAATCTTGGAGGCTGGAATCTTTGAAAATTTGAAACTTTGCAAACGATTCTTGGGAATATTCACCTCTTTTTTTTTTACAATTTATTCAGTTTTCAGAGTGAGATGTAGAAAAAATCTCTGCTGAATCATGGTATAATCGAAGAGTTAGTCGTCGGTGCGGGTTACGGTCCACAACCATTGTCCATTAAGTCCCGGCGTGACAGCTGGAGTTGGGAAATAATGTGATCCCGTGGGTAGTACCAGCGAATAAACTGCTTCACCATGTTTGAACAGTACAGTGCCCAGCTTGTCCACCTCTTTTCTGATTTTTTTATATTTTTCCAATGTTTTTGTCTACAGAAGTTGATGGAGAATATATAGAGTGAATGAAAATGTGGTAGCCGTTCTGCAGCGAATATTTGACTACGTGTATGCGAGAAAGACGCATTATTTGATAAAAAGTTAATTGAAAAAAATCATACAGTGTTAATTTGTGGTCGAAACACGGCATCTTCACAATAAAACGTCAAAGGGAAAAAAATGTAGGAAAAAAGAGAAGGAAATTCAAAAAAGAAGGGAATATTCCCAAGAATCGTTTGCAATGATTCAAATTTGCAAAGATTCGAGCCTCCAAGATTGGTGTATGCACAATTAACGCTCAATATTCGGGGACCCAAAATTCCTTCCTACCATCGCGGAATTGTGTAGCAAAAAAAAAATGTTCTGCGCCTTTAAATTCAAAAAAAAAAACAACGGCGCCTCAATGTCTATTTCAAATATATGAGAGAAAACTTTCTTTTTTAATTGAAGATTTTTACAAAAATGAAAATAGGGGCACGCTCGAATAGTTCTTGGAATACGTGAATTCGAAGAGAACAGCGAGAAGCTTTGAAAGTTCATATCTTCACAACCCCAATCAAACAAGAAATAAAATAATATAGTCTGTTCAGATTTTGAATGTCAACCAGCTAACTCCGCCCTCGCTGAGAAGGTACCTTTTCGCGTCGATGTTTTATCGCGCGGGACTAATTTTGATCTTTTTTGTTCTAAAAGATAGAAAGAGAAATCAAAAATGCAGTCGTCATCTGGATATAAAACATTGACGCGAAAGATATTGTAGCCTTGGGGGTGGAGTTAGCTGCTTGACATTCAAAATCTGAACAGACTATAATCATCTTTTATTTTTATTCTTCTAAATTTGAAAACAAGGGTGTAGTTATTATGTATTGAATAGAAAAATCCCAAAAATTCAAGGATTATGCTATATTTGGTTCTATCTGAATTGATTTATTATTTTTGATTCAAACCCTATAAAGACTGTAGTTGCTGAGTATTAGTAATAACAACCATTGTTTTGAATTTCAGCAGTTCAACCAAGGGCAACAACAGGCTCAACAACAACCGCCGCCACATTTCAGTCAGTCTGGCCAGTTCCAACAAAACTCGACCGGATTCCATCGTTTTGGAATGTAACACCTGCATCTGAGTTGTATGTCACTTTCTATGTCTGTATTTTTTCTCTTTAAAAGTCATTTGCTGACGGCTACTATTTCCATGCCACAATTCTACACTTTATACATTGCCAATAGGATTATTCGACTTATTTTTCTTAGGTCTGAAATATCTGATTTTTTTTTTCATAACGCTGTTTATCGCATATTTCGCTGATGCTTTATGTGTTACTCACGCCTTTTGCAATAATCGAAATTGAGTATTTTTTAAAAATATTTCCTGTCGTTCCTTTTGAACAACTTAAAAAAATAACTCAGGTTCATTCTTAATTTTTAATGTTGACATTGTATTTATAATTTTTAGCCGCTTCAACACCAGAGGCCGTATGCAATAATATGGAAAATTATTTTCCGCGATTTACCTGAAAATAGAAAAGACCTGAAACCCGCTATGATATTTTTATTTCGACTTTATCTGATGTAATAAGGTTTTATCAGGAGATTCAGATAGAGGAGAAACAATTACAGTCGAAAAAAGACTAATTCTAGTCATTTTCGAGTCCCATGAAAATGGCAGAAAATCATTTTCCACTTTATTGTATACGGCCTCAGAAACACTTTAGAAGTCATGGAAAATGATTCACAAAGATTCAGGGACTTGAAAAATCTTTGTTAATCCTTGAAGTTTCGAATACAATATAGTTATGATTTTTTGCAGCGGCTATTAAGTTTTATATAATCAAAAGAGAAATCATATCTCAATTGTCAGTTCATCAAAATTAACCTATTGTGCCACCTTTTTAAGTTTTGAAGTTTTTTGATAAGACGTTTTTCGGGCGTCCCTATTTGCACTTTATGGGTATGCCGGTGATTTTCGCAACATGTTCTTGTGTTTTTTGTCTCTATTCTCCTGGCAAATAAACTATTTTATTTCCGACGTGAACGCCACTTTGCCGTATGATGATGATATATAGGAGATATTTCTTTTTGGAAATCTCCAGGAAGTGGCTTCATTCTCCTAACTAAAGGTGAGCTCATTGGTTTTGGAAAGGTCCTTTCCTATTTCTTTCGCGAAATCTGCTTGAAAATGAGGGATTAAAGACGCAGAAGTGTCAGGGAAAAACTATTTCTTTTCTCTCCAGGAAGTGGCTTCATTCTCTTTTGCCTTGAGCCTTTTTTGAAAGTTTTTGTGCTCCAAAAACACGGCGAGGAATTCCGAAAGGAGCTGTGATTATCATAGCGCCTTTTTTTTCGACTCAGTTCGAACCTAAATGGCGCAGAACAAGTCTGCCCCTAATTATAGCGGTTTGCTGCCAATCTCAGAAAAGTAATACAACCTTATTTTTTTGAAGTTCGCCATGCTAATTTACCAAACGAAATGAGCTACTAAATTGAAATTTTCGTTCAATTTCCCAGATGGCCAACAGATCTCGCTACATCGGGGAGGCTGGCGGCTGCGGCGCCACTCAGTCTAATTACTTGCCACAATCAGGTGAGCCCGTTCCAAAGTTTATCGAGGTCATATTGAAGCAGGAGGACCTGGCGCAGGTCCCGGAGCTGCCGGAGCTGGGGGAGCTGGTGGATATGACGGCGGCGCAGGGCCTGGCGGAGCTAGTGGATATGGCGGAGGCGCGGGACCTGGCGGGGGCGTAGGACCTGGTGGAGCTAGTGGATATGGCGGTGGAAACAATGCCGATCTTGGCGGTAGCCTCGATGTACCAAGCGCCGGTGGAGGGATGGGCAGGGGCCGTGGAATGATGAGAGGACGCGGAATGGCTAGAGGTGGAATGGGCAGAGGCGGATTTGGTCGTGGTGGCGGTGGCGTTGGCGGTGGCGTTGGCGGTGGCGGTGGCAGCGCGGAAGGCTTCGAGCCCGACGCCGCAGGTAGAGCTCCCTGAAAACTTTCCCAAGAAATCTATTTCAGGCGGCGCTCCTGGTGGTGCACAGGTCATTGTGCATCAGTGAGTGATATTTTTCACTTGTCATTGTTTAAAAAAAAATTCCAGTCATATGATGATAACGCCACAGATGCGGCAGCAACAGATTCTCCGTCAGCGGAAAGAGCAGGCTTTGGAGCTCCAGAACCTGCAATTGCAGCAGCGTCAGCAGCAGGAACTCGCTCAACTTGCTATACAACAGCAACAAGTCCAGCAGCGTCAGAAGCTCCAACAGCTCCAGCTCCAGCAACGCAGCAATACTCTACAAATGGTAGAGAAGCAAAGAAGCCAGAATGCTCACTTTGGAGGTCCTTGTACCTGCCCTGGCGGCGTATGCATTCTGTAAGTGCGGAAATGTTCTTGAAAAGTAATTGTTTTCCTCTACATGTTTTTATTATCGCAACCAGTCCTTTTCATAAAAAAAAATTTTTCCACTCGTCAATCGACGTAGTCACGAAGTTAGCTAAAAAAAAAGTGTACTCTCAAATTCAATCTCGGTACGTAATACGTATATTTATATAGTCCGTTCGGATTTTGAATGTCAAGTAGAATGACGTCATTCGAAAAAAAAAATCTGAACAAACTATATATCCTGTTCGTTTACTCACAGTGTGTAGAACTCGATTTACCTTTGTCAGAAAAGGTTTGAAAAATCAGTTTAAAACCCGATCAAATGCAGTTTCTACAAATTTTCGTACCAAATATTTTCCAGGTGATTCCTCTCCCGATTTTAACCCCGATTCTGCGCAACCGACACTGCTCTTCTTCAGTTTTTATTGAAGAATCTAAATAAATGATTTTTTTCGAAAAATTTTTTTGTACAAATTTGAGAAGCGATAGTTTGAATCTCGACTTCTCAAAAACCTAATTTATTTCATGATCCACTTGGGGAACGAAGGATTCAATAAAAAGAAAAGAACCAGTAAATGACGTGTTCAAAGTGAGTGAGAGTGAAATTCAAAATAGCTGCCCAAAATAGCAAAATATGACTTAATTTTGGAGAGTCGGAGATGATTTCGAATTTCGCGGAAAATACTGTGAACGCGGCAAAACGCGTGGAGAAAAAAAAAATGAATTTTTGAATCATTTTAAAGGCGCACGGATATGCTCACAAACTGTCTTCCACGCGACTGTTTTACGCTGAATGGAAAAAAATTTGACGCGCCGATGCCGTGTTCAATTTGATTCCGCGAAATGCAAAATACCAGTTAGAGAAAGGAAAAGATCACTAAATTTTGGAGAGTCAGAGATCATTTTGCATTTCGCGTAAATTACTTTGAACACGGCACGATGAACGCGCCTTTGCGTTGGAAAACGTTCCGTTTCTTCAATTCATATGAACAGGCCGTGAAATTTTTTTCATTTTTGCTCTTTTTTTCTGTTTATTCTTTTAAAAAAATCTTAATAACATGAGTAATCATTATTTTTAATTCTTACTTTTTTTCGCAGCTATTTGCGCGCAAACGCCTTGCAAATGTAAATTTCGTTCACAATAATGGATAAAAAAACCCTTTTTATATATATATATATTTTTTTGAATAGCTTTCAGCTTTCTTGGGCCTTAAGACGCGTCCACAGGAAAAAAGAAACCTTTCTCGAAAAAAAATATATATAAATTTGGTTCAACAAAAAGTGGACTGTTTTGGAGGGACCTCGATGCCGAGGTGCGCGATTTAACACTTTCTTTGCGTTTTGAAGGTTCCGAATCTCCATAACGAAAACGAAAATCGGTCGTTTCTGAGCATTTTTAGGAATCACTTAATAACGCTGACTCAACTAAAAAGTGGTCACTAGATATAGTCCGTTCAGATTTTGAATGTCAAGTCACTTCTAAAGCTCCACCCCTAATGGCCCGAAAAGCCAATCAGAGAGCGAGCCATCCACAGAGCGCTTTCGAATTACGTCATTATACTTAACATTTAAAATATGAACAAACTATATGCCCTGACACGTCCGATTCGCGCCCGGTTCGCGTTACCGATCAGGGTTGCACGGAATCCCAATTTCCGCAAAAATAATTTAACTTCCGTCTCCCACATTTCGTGTTCCGTGAAAATCAAGAAAACTTGTTAAAAAGTGCGCTATCTATTTTAAAGAATTGGTTTGGCATGTTTTTTTCAAAATTTTCAAACGAAGTTAGAGAGAAAAATAGTTATTAATTTGGCCGAGCTGACTCATCTGAATAAGTATTAGAAAAAAAAGTCGGAATACGTTCAGAAAATTAGTTGCTTGTCCTGAGCTCCGTCTTTTTTTTTCCTGTTTACCGCGTTCCGCGCAAATAAAGTTAATTCCGTATTTCCGTCTTGCGCCTTCCGTTTGAAAAAATTAACTTCCGTGCAACCCTGTTACCAATGTCCGAGCTGTTCTGTTTCTCGGTTGAACCATTATTGAGTACTTTGAACTATTTTTTCGGTATTCGTTTCTATTTTTTGTACATCATGTTATATCTCTACAGGGTTGATTATGGCCACGCACAAGTTGAGCTTTTTTGAAAAAATTGCCAACACTCTCGGTGTTCTTTATCGACACCAAGCAAGGCAGTATCCTCGTCGCTTGGAAATATTGAAGGCGGTCTACAAACATGAACTTGCGCCACCAAAATCAAGTGATCTGCCAATAGTGAAAGCGCATTCTGCTCAGATCCAGAAATACGTTCAGGCCAAGCAGTACCAGTCACTCACAGTGAAGGTAGGATTATCATCCCTGTTTCTTTTTATTGTGCCTTTTCAGGTCGTTAATTATATCGGGAGCTTTGTTTTAAAAACATACTCAGATTTGCGTAAATAGACTGTACTTTTAATTTTTGACTAAATTGAAACTCTTTCCGATGTGGAAAAAAATCTTTTTCAAATTCATAGTGATTACCTAACTCGAATCACAGCCGATCTGTTTATTTACCAAATATGAAAAGTTCTTTTTCAGGAAGCTTTGGTGTATGGCGCCGTTGCGTTGGAAGTCGTTTTTTGGTTTTTTGTTGGCGAAATGATCGGTCGCCGCTACATATTCGGCTACCTTGTCCCCGCCGATTTTGTTTCTAAAGAAACTAAGAAGGAAGCCAAAAAGGCTGCATGCTCTATAATTTATAATCTTTAAATAAAGTTTTTTTAATTTACTGTTTTTTTATTCGTTTCTATTTTTCGTATTCGCGATAGATTATTTCATAAAACTTAAAAATCATTTGTGGGAAAAATTTAGTTTCAAACAGCTGGAATGGTGCGCGACACATACATCCAAGTTAACATTTACGGCAAGTCTCTTCGCGCTCTCAATGATAGCGGTATCGTAATAGAATCGGTGCTAGTGAGTTTAATAGTGTTTATTTGACCATCCAAGGATAAAATATATAAATCATAGTTTGAATTCACTTGGCCTTTCGCGGTCAATTAAAGTATTTCAAGCAATCAATTTAAAAAAACACGTAGAACTTGGAAACCGGTTACATCTTTCCGCGGGCACTTTTATAGTCTGTTCAGATTTTGAATGTCAAGCCATCGCTCAAACTCCGCCCTCTATGCGTAGATCAAACCAATCAGAGAGCGAGCCATCCACAGAGTGTTTTTGAATGACGTCATTGCACTTGACATTCAAAATGTGAACAGACTATAGATGAGAAAACGAAAGTAAAATTAAAAATTAGAAGGCGGAAAGCCGACTAGAAGTGAGCGGTAAGTTCACTGAGAGAAGACTGGCGCTGAACTGTGAAAAACGTGAACATAGAGAACCTTTGCCAGTGTATTAGATAGCAAATTCTGATTAAAGGACAGTATAGTCCGGGCAAAATAACCGCTGCTTGTACACTGCCAAAGACTCCGCGGGTGTACATTTCGAACGCCTGTTTTCTCACCAATTTTTTCTATCGGTTTTCCTCGAAATTATGAATTTCGCGCTCTCTCACAGATCTTTCACCGATTTCCTCGCGGCGGTTCTCCGCGAAACCTTTTCGTGAATTTTTCGCTCACTTTCGTTTACTCTTACAAGGGAAGTGTTTTTGGTGGCCGGTTGAACTTTTGTTGAAACTTTGCTGAAAGGTAGTATAAGACCCCCTCTTTCCAAAACACGAATAAAATTTCTCGCAATAGATCTCGTTTTCGAGTTATGAAACTTCAAAGTTTACACGCGGAATAAGTGCTGCAAGGCAAGAGGGAATGTGGGTCGCGTACGATCCCTCTACCCCAGTTGGCTACTTGGTGTAGTGGCTAGCGTCCCTGCACTGCGGTGTCTATGACCGGGGTTCGAAACCTTTTGAAGAAAATTTTATTTTTTTGCCAAAACTTACCTAGGAGGAATTTATCGACATTGGGGAAATGGACCAAAAATTTTCTTCCAAAATAACATAGTTTCTCATTTTACTCGATTTTCCAAGACTTTCGACAGACATTTTCCTTTGGCTCATAGGCATGATCAATAGATCGCTTTCTTTTTTTTTCAAGAATTTAAGGGAGATTACTCATCTTACTGTGGTGTAAGCTTTTATTTGATTCTTTTTAAATTATCAACTGGACTGAAACGCTGATGAAAAGGCCCGTAGAAATTTTTCCCAAAAAGAGGGACTATTAATCATGTTTATAAGCGAAAGAAATCTTTTTAATCAGTATACCGAATCAAAATGAAAAAAAAGATAATAATAGGGAAAAAAAGTTTATGGGTTTTATTAATGTCGATAAATTCTTCCTAGGAATGTTTTGGCAAAAACGAAATTCTTCAAAAAGTTTCGAACCTAGGTCATAGACTCCGCAGTGCAAGGACGCTAGCCACTACACCACGCTGCCAACTGTAGTAGAGGGATTGTACGCGAGCCAGATACCCTCTTGCCTTGCAGCACTTATTCAGCGTGCAAACTTTGAAGCTTCATAACTCGAAAACGAGATCTATTGCGAGAAATTTTATTTGTGTTCTGGAAAGAGGAGGTCTTATAGTACCTTTCAGCAAAGTTTCATCAAAAGTTCAACCGGCCACCAAAAACACTTCCCTTGTTAGTCGGTTCTCCTTGAAATTAATGATTTTTTGCTTTTTTTTCCGTTTTCCCTTCAAAAAGCACCCATGGAAAGATATCACCAATTTCTAATTATTGTATGAATCATAAAATAGCCACGGACGAATCAGCCGTCGACAAAATGACTCGGAAAAAAACGACCGGAGACCAAAAGATTGCATATATATATAATTTTTTTAAATTTTTAAATGTCAACTAGCTACCCCCTCCGCCTCTACAGTCTCTTTTCGCGTCGATGTTTTATCGCTTGGGATGTTTTTTGATCGTTTTTTTTTGTCATCTAGAGATAACAAAATTAACGTGAAAGATATTCATAGGCAAAGTCGGAAGGACCCTCCGAGGGTCCATAAAGGACCATAGAAATGTTCCTTTTAGGGTGATGAAGGCTCTCTTTTTGCTGCCTTTTTGCTCCATTTTCTCAGCCCTTATGCACCATTTTTGCTGCCTCTCTCTTTTTCCACCATTTCTCGAACCTTTAAAATCCCAGAAAAATGGAAGGCTCGTTAAAGGGAGTCTCTTTGCTGCCGTTCGCTGCCTTTTTGCTGCCTTTCTGCGGCCTTTTTTGAGCCTCTCCCTTTTAGCAGCCATTATCCACCATTCCGGCTTTGCCCGAGTTGTAGCTTTGAGGGCGGAGTTAGCTACTTGACATTTAGGTGGTATGAAAAAAAGACCAGCGAAACTTCAAACGGCGACTTTTCCGATTTTTTCATTACGCTAGAGAACTTTCCGACGGCCATCTTTCCGCCGAATTTTTTTTCTGACTTTTTTTCTCGATAAACTCTTCTTTTTCAATCTTCCTATATAAAGTAGAAAAGTTATTCATGATTAAAACACAACTAAATAGGGAAAAAAAAAATGTTAATAGATGTTGTATAAACCGAAAAATATATGGTAAAAAAGTCGGAAAGGGATTCGGCGGAAAGGTGGCCGTCGAAAAGTTCCCTAGCGATACGAAAAACTCGGAAAAGTGGTCTTCTGAAATTTCGCTGGCTTTTTTTCATACCATCGACATTTAAAATCTGAAAAGACTATAAGTACACTGCATGGGTGCTCGAGTGAAGAATCAAAATTTTTAGATTATCCATCAGTTTTTTTTTCGGCTCCCTTTCCATTATATCTCGGAATACTTTTTAAGCTCGAAATTAGCACTTAGAAATCTGAAATTCCAATTAATTACGTTGAAAGTTTTTAATGGAATTATATGTCCAAATTGAATTATTTTTTTCAAATTATGTGTTAAGTTTTGCCATTCACATGAAAAAAATTCAATTTGTTACATCAGTTCGGAAAGAAAAAAATTGATTATTTTCCGAATTGCCTTACGAGTTTTGGCTTCGCAAAAATTCGGATCGTATTTCTCGTCTACCCAACCTTCCCTCATTGTTTCATCAAAAGTTTAACCCTTTACTTACACTCAGATGGTAAGAAGAAATGAAAAAAAAACATGTAATAGAAAGTATATTTTCAACTGCTCCAAAGTTCGCGGGCTATTATGTCATTTATTCCGAATCTTTGCCCCTGTTTCTCCGTGTCGCTCAAAAACCTTGAGAGCGCAAAATAATCTACGTTTTAATTCTTTTTGCATAGTTCAAAAATGAGTATCATTGAGAGCGATGTTGGTTGTGATCAAACGTTTGTCATGGAGGTTCCATATGTGTCGTGTTCCGATGATGATGAGCTGTGCGTCTCTTTGGACTTGCGACCGCAGAAAGTTTTATTTTTCATCCAGTTGATTGATTTTAATTGCTGATATTAAGATTCCCAGATGTTCAACTCCAAAATCTCTTCCGAAAATGACATCGGTTTGCTGTGATGCAACGCCGTCAAGCATTCATTCTTACGATGATGATCATTCATTGCATCTCGAGGTTTTTTGTCCTTTCAGATTTTTTGCGTTGAAAAAATGCGGTCAGGTTAATGGGGAACTGTTCGGAGAAGAAAAAAAATATAGGAATTTTCACAATCAAAAGGCGCTCGGTTCGAGTATTCAGAAAACAAAAAAAAAGTCAATTTATAATACATTTTATTGTTGGCCGTTTTCATAGGACAACTCATCATTGGATCGCGTCTGGGTAGAAGATGAAAAGCAAGAAGAGAATTGCTTCGAAGATGAGAGGTTTTTTTTGTTCTGCTTAAAGTTGGAAAATGAGTTTTTGAGATTCGAATCCATTGAAGACATCACAGGAAGTATTATTGCTAACGAAACGTTTCTACATGTTTTTCCCAAGTTAGCTTTTTTCGAAAAGTTTTTTGTGAAAAAAAAATTTAGGCGCAAAGTGACGCGCAGAAAATCCTTCTCGGCAAAAAATTCTCTAATAAAAAATCAAGTCATTGCAATTACGAGAGGAAAAAGCGCTCTGGTGAGTTGGTCGCTTTGAAAAAAAACAGGAAAGTAAGAGAAAAGGACCAATTTTAGATTTTTCAGAAAATAGTTGTTTTGTTACCAATCAGGGTTGCACGAGACTCGTCTCGAAATAAAAGTTGTACTTCGCGACAAATTTCATCTCGTCTAGGAAATTCGAGAAATTTTTCGGATACAAAATAGGAGCAGAAAGATCAAAGCTCGACGTGAAATTTGGTGGTCCCGATGCAACAAAAGCAAATTGATAGGAGATTTGACGAATAAAATGACCAAATAATCGAAAAAAACTCGAAAATTTTTTTTTCTAAAACAAGTCAGGAATTTGAAATTTCACTTTTGTGGAAATTTTTACTGTTGATTTTTTTCAATTTTTATCGTTTTATGTTTCTTTTCAACCTACTCAATAATTTTACTGAGAATTTTTGCTTTTTTGATCGTTTTTAAGTTCTTTTTTAATCATAGAGTTATTGATTTTGTTTCTCGATCTCGTCTCCAAATTTTTTTCGAAAAAAGTTATCGCCTCGGTCTCCAAAAAAACTATTTCACGTGCAGCCCTGTTATCAATGAAATTTGACGAACAAGATTTTTTTTTTCTCTGAATATTTCACAGAAAAAAAAATGGAACGAATCCTCATTAAACTAAAGCTAGCATCCCACTTTCTTACTTCATTTCACTTAAGGAAATGGACACAAGTTCTTTCTTGCTCTCCAATTCATTTTTCAGCCTTCAATTTCAACTTTCTCGCCTCCAAAAAATCTGGTCGATGTTGTTCAAATCAGAGAAGAACTTATTCAGCCTCGCTTTCCGCCTTTGAAGTTTGAAACTTAACTTGGCATTCCTTTTTATTTTTTTCAGGAAAATTCGCTCGCTTGTATCAAATTTTGGATCCCGTCCTATTACCTATCCGAAGTCTCATGAAAGCTCTCCTTTGATTGAACTTTTCGAAGAGAATTTGGAATCTTCTGACCGATCAAGTCATCTTTGTTTCGGTCAGATCAATTAAATTAATCAGTTTCAGAAGAGCTGGAGCAACCTTCTTCAATAAATGCAAATCAGACAGATCATGGGTAGAACTCTTCTTTTTGTTTCCCTAATCTTCAAACCATACTTCCAGCCCTTCAACTCGAATCTCTGTTTCGACATCGTCAGAGAAAAGTTTCACTGTATTCCATGAGGAGTTTTTCCAACCTCGCTTCCCGCCATTGAGGTTTTTCCTTGTTTTTTTTCCGTCAGGTGAATACAAAAGGAAGTTTTCTTCAGCGGTTCGAGTTCAGTCACTATCCAAAATGTTCAAGCGCCGGTTTTGTCTTCGAAAACGGCTGTTAGTGCCCCATTTATCGAGAGTTTCGAAGAAAAGAAATCTTCATTCTTAGAAAGACCAGGTTTTTTTAATGGGCGTGAAGTTTCAATTATTTATGCAATAGTGATGACTTAGGCTTTTTTCATCATTTATAAAAACCTCAAAAAAATAACTAAAATTAATCTTCTTTTTTTGAATTTCAGAAGGAAAAAAATGTTAAATGAGACGTTGTGTTTGTAAAACTTAATACTTTTGAAAAATTGGCTTCGTCACAACTTGGATGGGCGAAATTTCAGAACAAAAAGGTTGTGCAGAATAATACCCTGGACTTTTCGACTCCAATCGAAAAAGATAGAAAAAAGTTTTAATTTTCTTGTGGAGAGCTTTCGACAAATTGTGAGAAGAGTCTTGACGAAAAAGTTATCGAACGACCCTTAATCAACTTCAAATTTCCTCCGTTCCTACGTTCCCATTCCTCGGGTTCGGTGTATTCTCATCTTTTCACAACATGAAATACAGGAAAACCTCTACAGTTTCTTCAGCAATTGAAATACCAAAACCTCGGAAAACTCCTCTCAGTTTTTCTGTCGTCAATAATTTTGAGAAGGAACCGTTAGAAGCGTCAGGTTCATAATTTTCACATCAAAAATCCATCTAACTAGGGAACGTTTTTTAGGACGCTTCAAATACCCGAAATAGCGCTTTTTTGGCCTATTTTGCACACTTTGAGGCTCCATAACTCGGAAACAAGATCTATTGCGAGAAATTTTCTTTTTGTTCTGTAATCAGGGGGTCCTAAAGTACACTTGAGCAAAGTTTCAGCAAAAGTTCAACCGGGGGGTAAAAAACGTTCCCTGGTAAGAGTTTTATGAATCAGTTTCACGTTTTTCAGAGACTAATGGAGAAGCTGATCAACAAAAAAAAGATCAACAGAGAGAGGTTTTTTTTTGCTGTTGAATACTTCATTCATTTATTATCTTCAGATGACAACGGTATCGGACAATAATATGGACTCTTTCTCGAATTTTTACGGGATTCATCCGTTTGCGGACTTAATTGCCAAATCTGAAGCGTATTTGATGGTTTTTAAGCGTATCCAAAAAGATGTGAAGTTTTTCGAATTTTGAGAACGACGATCGCCCGTGTCAGTCTGATCAGCTTGCAAAGGAGCACGAAGAGAAACTAATTTGTAATTTGGACAGTAGAATTGGTGAATTTCGTGAAAAGTTTTTGTTTTCAACTTTTTGAACGGCCAAAATTTTTTTTCAGATATTCAATTGTTTCCAGAGTTTTTTATGAAAGTTTATCATTTTGAAGAAAGAACAGCTGATTCTGCAATTGCTGATGCGGTGTGTGGGGAAAATCTAAGTAATATCCACGAAGACGAGGAAATGGGGGATTTCGGTGTGTTTTCTCTCTGATTTTAATATAACTTTCTGAATTACAGATAGTTGGGAAAGTAGCTGCGAAGCTGACAATCGCATTGAGGAGAATGCGGATCAAGTTTTTTTTTTTTGTGAACGATATTCATTTTTTTTTTTTCATTCAGTTGTCCAATGCTGACCCGCCGTTTTGTTCTTCCATTTCTAACGAAGGATCAAGAGAAAAAAAAGTTCTTTTTCTACGAATTTCGAACAATTTTTATTCAGACTTCTCAATCAATTGATAAACGAGCTGTCAGTTATGATGTTGCATGCAAGTTTGAGGTTTCATTCTTTTCAAACTGAATTTTTTTCAATTTCAAATGAACCATCGTTTAAAAAAACGCTTTTTTTATGAATTCTTTCAAAGGGAACCAACAAATTTTGAATTAAAAAAACTTTTGGAAAGGGACAGTTCAGGGCTGCAAGTCGTTGATTAAATGGCGCCCGCGTTACGGAAAACTGCGACTGGTCGACCACGCGATGCTTCACGCCGAGTCGAAGCAGATCGAATGCCAGTTCTGCTCTCACTTTTCCAGGAACGGCCGCCAGGTCTCTATTTTCAGTCGGGCAAACATATCTAGAACCTTTCAAAAGTAGAAAAAAAGATCTTACGATGTTGTAAAATAAATTCGGATTTTATATGTTAAAAGAACATAGTCAGAGTCTCAAAAGGGATGAATGATTTTGACCAACTTCTCCTAAAAATTTGGCAATTTAGCACTCTTTTTTCTGTACCTTATGGACCGTTTTAAAATTTTCTTGCAGCAATACATTTCGAAATCTCCTTTAGTCAGGAAAAAAAAAATTTACAAGAGAGTCTTTATGAATTAAAATGAAGAAATGATTATAAAAACTTCAGATGCGATACCACTACAGAAAGATGCACCCGACAGAGAAGATCAAAGGATATACGACAAAAGAGTTTTTTGTCTTACAAGCTCCAATCTTATTTTCATTTCCAGCCTTCCAATGAATCCCAGGGATCTCAACGATATTTGGGTCAAGTGTTTTGGTGGTGAGTATCTTTGGTGTGAAAGTGAGCCGCATGTGAAGCCTGAAAGATATAATAAATTCGATTTCACTTTTCGCCGGTGGCCACCCGAGAGTAAAAAAAAGCGCAACTTGCTAACTTTTTGTAATTTTTGTGTTTTCAGTTTATCAGTTTATCAGTTTATATATTTGGTCAATGTAAAAGAGAAGTTTCAGAAGACGTCGGCGTGATCGGTTTCGCGGGATCACATAAAAATATCAAAAGAAATGAGTACAGCACGGATAAAAAGCCTTGAAAACTTCATTAATAAAATTTAGTTTTAGTTGCTTCCAGTTTTTTTCCCACGCGCGGTGAACTTTTTTGATTTTTTTTAGTCGCTCATTAGTGATCAGTTGTCTTTTTTTCCAGAGAACAGTGTTGTTGGAAACGCCCAAAGCCTCATATGTGCTCGACAGTTGAAAGAAAGAAAAAACGCTGTATATTTTTGACTGTAAATACTTTGTTCAAATATTATTTATATTTTTGTGAATCGTTGATAAAGATTATCTTTGTGTTTCGAAGAGTGTTTTTTTCTCCCCCTGAAGTAATATATCATCGATATTTCCTGAGAAGTTGACTTGGAATCTATTCGCAATTTTATGTAATTTGGTTTACCCATATATATATATATATATATGTACGTTATTTGTTAATAGCGGAGGAGTGAGTGGCCTTCCAGTCTCTAATGTCGCAGCCGACTGTCAGCTGGGGGTATAGCTCAGTGGTAGAGCGCTCCCTTAGCATGGGAGAGGGCTGGGGTTCAATTCCCCATACCTCCATAACGTTTTTGCCTATATATTTACCGACCGATTAATCGTTCTGAACAGACCTTTTTATATTTTTATTTAAAAGTTTAAATAACTACCTTTCGCTGAGGCTTTGTAAATTTTTTTGTTCAATTCTCAGGTACCTTGATAATTTTCTCAAATACATAGTTTTTTCCAGAAAATACACTCTGCGTAGGACTTCCGGAGTTTTCACAATCAAAAAAAAAGTTAAGGATGATAAGCAGCTTAGAACACGTTTTTACTGAAGAAAGGTAATGAAGAAATCGTAAAACGCGTCCGGGAGAGGGGGTTCCTCAGCGATAAGGTTCAACGGTTCCGCATTCTGTCTGTTCATTGGTTTTCTTGTTTTAAAAAGGGAAATGCTGAAATTATGTGGTTTCCGAGCGCAGGTTGGTATCTTATGATTAAAATTCTAATTTTTATCTTTAATTGAAAGAAAATACCGTTTTTGTTGTACGAAGAATCGATATCGAAGAGGTTGAGAAGTTTTTTTGGCTTCATAGAATGTTTTAATATCAATTTTAAGAGTTGAAACTGGACCAAAATTTCGTTTCTACAAGAAAGATTGTAGAATTGAACTTTTCACAATTGGGAAAATATCAAAAACCTAATCAAGCCTTATGTTCATCATATAATCTCGTTCGTATTTCTTATAATTTTCAGATAATTCTTCGAATTTCGTCCATTTTTTATTTGGCATTGATTTTATCCAACTTCATCTTAGTGCATTTTGATGTCTACTGTGCTCCAATTTACGTCGTTGGGGTAATAAATTGAATTTTTTTAAAAATTATATTTTTTTACATTTTTTTACAGCTCTGTGACGCCGCTTGTTTGTTCATTTATTCCTTTTTGAGTTATCGCCTCTGGTTCTTTGTCGTTACCGTAATCTTTCAAGTAAGTCTTAGATACATTGGAACGGTGAAAGAAAATTAACAAAAAGAATAGTTTTTCTTCAAAAAAAGTTATTAATCATTAATTTGAACAAAAATTTTTTTATGATTTTACTGAGAAGTCCGCTAGCTTGTCATAACAAGTTCCTTCAATTCCTGTGGTCCTTCACCTTTTGCTAATATTGTCGAAGCCATTTTTCCGGAAGTTTCCTCTTTTTCTTTAAATTTTGTGAAGGCTTAAAAAGGAAGGACATTCAGAATTGATGCTTGGAATGATTTGGAAAATTCTTAATATATATAGTTCTATTTTTGGATTCTCCAATTAGACTTCAACACGAAAACTTTCAGGTGGCGTACATTTTCGGGGCAGGCTACTTTGCCGCCTTCACCATAATGATTTATCTTTGTGGGTTTTCTTTTTAACTTTTTTCCCGAAAAAGACGAAATTCCCTCCGTTTTTCTTTTCTACGTACTTCATTGCTAATGCCAACGGTGTTCAAAATGACAAAGGTTTTTCCAGCGGCTTCGCTACAAATTTTGTTCTTCGTTTCGGTCATGAACGCGTTGTCTGTGCTTCTCAACGTTCTTTTGTTCGTCCTCATCTTGAGAATACGGGCAGAAGATCTCAAAAGCCGACGGCTCACCATTCAAACGGTTCTCCGAGCGGAAGACGGTCTCCATAAAAGTTATTAATTTTCGAAGAAAACTTCAACTATAATCTGCTTATCGCGATTATTGTTGTGTTTATTTGGCTCGCAAGCGGGTATATATTTTTATTTTCTCATTTTTTAAATGAAGAGCTTACTTTTTGACCTGAAATATCATCAATTATTTTCTCTCTTCCTCTCTGAGAAACGCACTCTATAGCTAATTCCAAGCATCTTTTTAGGCAGTTTTTAAGTTGTGTTTGAAAGTTTTTGAAATGAAGAACCGTTCAATTACAAACTTCAAAGCCAAATGCTGCAATTTTTGTAACTTAACTATCACAAACTAAAGTTGTTCTCTCTTCCGCTCTTTCCACACCCTTCTTTTGGCTTGTTTCGGTCATACCATAAGCTTCATGACTCTCTCACGTAGCCCTTTCTAGACATTCCTTTTAAGCTTAAAGTTCACTCAAACGGAACATTTGCACTTTCGATGAATGCCTCTTTAATGTTCCTTTAATCTCAACTTTATTATTTGGCAACCTTCTCCTCAAAGTTTACCTTTATCACAAAGTCTATTGAGATTATCCTCGAAAAGGTTGAGATAAATCGTTCATTTCAAATATACTGTAGTCATGTATAATGTAAATTTGGTTTACGAAGAGCTTTTTCTAACTCAATTTATTAAAAAAGTTTATGAGAAGATTATAAAGAAAAGTAGATAACAATTAAATCACGAGTGTTTATGGGGATATGAAACGACAGTGACACTCTGGCTGCGAATCGGCAGACTTCCCTCAGCAGGAGGAAAGCCAGGCTTTCTTCAGCTTGTAGTCCTGAAAAACGAGAGTTGAAGTTGATCGAATTCGTATCATGATCGAGATATTTAAGTACTAACCGTCCCCAGACGCTCGAAGATGAGGTTGAACGGGTAGACGCCGTCCGCAGTGAGGTAGTTGCCCTCGATGACGAAGCCGTCTTCGTTGGTCGGCTCCGTCACGCGCATCTCTCCCCACTGCAGGTTTCTCATTATCAAAATCTCTCTCGGCATAAAACTCAATTTCAAAAAAAAAAACTGATAGCCAAGTTGTTAAAATCTAAAGCTCATGCCCGCTTAAGCGAAGCTGGCAAAAGTTTCGTTTTTTTTAGCCCAGATATGGGGTTTCACTTACGCGGAAGGTAGTGAACGCCGTGGAGCCGTAGAGGTAGCTTCTGAAAGCCACTGAAAAAAAAAGTTTGTTCAATACGGTTGGTTGTTTTGTCTTTTTTTTAATGTAGGGGTTTTCAGCTTCAGACATCCTTCAACTAGTAATTGTGCTTCGCCTAGTACTCAGAACCTTCCAAGTTTCGGTTAAATGAACTTCCTTGTTATCATGGAAGAAGGTCATTCTTTCATAGAAAAATTTCCATTTGATTTTTCTCGTAATTTATGGGTCTGACTGACGTAGCGAATTGAAAGTGCGCGGAGGGCACGTGAAGGTGACGTCAGGAGCGAGAATGATGGTGGAGCTGTCGATCATCTGAAATGCCGAGTTGGTGCGGCTCACTCGCTTTGTTTGAACCTTGAAGAGGAAGAGAGCCGGCAGCCAGAAAGAAGCCGCGTCGAGGCGGTTGGACTGAGCCTCGTTGAGTTTTTCGCGACCTTGAACGACCAGACGCGGCTTGGCATGCGTCGGCTGCTTCATCTGAACCGTCAGTACCTCTTTACCGAACCAAAGAAGGTTGTCCAAACTCGGAACGAGATGACTTTCTGCGATTGGGAGAACTACCGTTCTAACAAAACAAATTTCTTTTGTTCTCGGTACATGTATTCTTTTTTAAGGTGAAAAGAAGGCTCGAAATCACGCAAAGAGCCAAGTTTCAGCTAAAAAAGGCTTCCGCGTGATTCTTGAAGCAAGCTCTAGCCTGGTGCGCAACACGGCAGACACTTTCGAGTGGAGGCTTACCGAGCCGGCGACAAGTTCCTGGAAGAAGCCCCAGTCGTGGAACTCCTGCGTGGGCGCCGCCACCGTCGTCGTCGCCGCAGCCGCCGCAGTCAGAACCAATCCGCTTATGCAACGCATCTTGTGAGCGACTTGTCTGAGGTTCGTGATCAGAAATGGATGTCGGTGAGACGCGAAGAAACGAGCAAAAAGAACGAAGAGAAGCATGAAATATTTGTTGATTTTGAGGGAAAGTTCGAAAAAGAGATGAGGAAAACTTTGAGAATGAAGTTCTAGAGAAAGGAATTGAAATAAATATATCTGTAATTTTGATGGAAACAATCTTCTAAGTTTATGAGGCGTTCGATTTACAGCGGAAAAGTTTTTCTAGAATGGTTTGGAATTTCTCAGTTCACAAGGCTTTTTTCAGCCAGAAATCAAGTAGTGTAAGGACGACGAAAATGGTGGCGCCAAACTCTAGTCAGAAATCAACTTTCCATAAAGTTACCTGTTTCATTTCAAAAGAGTCTATAAAACTTGTTTTTAAAAAATGAAAAAAGAGAGTTAAAAATTGACCTTAAGCTCAATAATTTCATCAGAAGTCACATTTTTGTTGTTTAGTAGCTATGCTTCATTACTCATAATACTTATAGGTTGAAGTGATGACGTCATGATTTGGTATTTCGACCAGGACACCCCAGACTCGCTGATTAAATCATATTTTTGCTCATCCTAAGATGGAAGGACGCCTCAGAAATAGAATTCGCTGACGTCCGATTGGGGTTTTCAAAGGCTGAATGAATGAAAGGCCGCATTGACGACAGCAGACACTAGGAAGGCGGGGTCTAAAGGCCAAAGGGACTCTCATCAGTTGCTCATGCTACGGAGGTATTTTTCTTTATTTTTGTTTTCTGTAGTCGATTTGCAGAATCTATTTCTAGCTTTTCCAATTTTAAGTGAAGGGGGTAGCGAATCCTTCGGAGATGCACTAAAATCAAGACTTTCTGGCGCTCAAACTCAAGATAACTTGATTTTTCAAAAGCTGAAGAGAAGTGAATGTAGCTTCACCGCTCTAGCTTTCCGAAAAAAAAAGGAAAAAAAAAACGAGAAACCATCCTACAAAGAAGAGCCGACGACACGACTCTCGACGCCTTTATATTGCATCGGAAAAAGGGGCGGAGTCTAGGAAATGAGATGACGAACATTTGTTCGAAGGTTTGTCTGGCGGGTCTGTGAGGTATCGTCTGCAGGTGAGCACCGTAGGCGTGACAAATCAAAAATAGGCGGAGCCAAAAAGATATGGGTCTGTTGCTCATTCTATGAGAGTTGATCGACCGATAAAGTCTTTCCAATCGTATTTCCAGAAGTTTATCGATACCGACCCAGACATTCTCGAATATACAAGGTGAAGAAGCTTCAAGTCTCAGTCGGAACAACTTCCCACACTTGAAAATGAACGTTTCAATGTTTCGGTCGATTACACAAAGACAAGGAATCTCCGACTTTGAAACATCGATTTTCTAAAAGTGGGAGGTCGTTCAGACTGAGTCTTGCACTTCCTTCCTCTTGTGTATTTGAGAACTTCGCGGTTAATTTCCAAAATTTCCTCGCGTGATCAGTAACACGAACTATGTCATAAGTTTTGAGGGTCCAAACGACAAAGCTCTCAAAAGGCTCAAAACTATGAGATAAGTCTCAATAAACGTTTTCACCGGAATAAAAACCTAATTTTATCTCTTTTTCAATTTCAGGCTACAGTAATCCCAAATGCCAAAAAAAAAGAATTCAGATCGCGTGTCAACTTTGCAGCCTTTATGAATTTGTGAGCTTTCAAATATGTTTATGTTTGTTTTTTTTGATGAATTAAACTTTTCGTCGGAATGACAAGACTCAGTTTCTGTTAGTTCCGGTCCGAAAAAGGAGACTCAACTCTACTATAGGAAATTGGAGATTACTCAAAAAAGTACGTGACTCAGGCTTTTTTCGTCTTTTTTCAATACTTATAGAAGTTTTTGAAAACTGTTTCGTTGTTTTAATCGTTAGCTTATAGTTTTTGAACTTTTTTGAACTTCTTTTTCCCTATATGAAAAAGGTTTGGATTCAGTAACGGTAGAAACGTGAGGAAAGCGGAAAAAGAAGAATCGGCAAGAGACGTGCCTGAATAATTAGGCCACGCCTACCCAACCGACGTCGCTGAGATCCTCCATCAAATATTTATAACTGACGTTTGTTTCAAAAAACGAGCCTGTTCCAAAGAAACGAAAAAATCTCTTCTTTGGGGAAAAAAAGACAACGTTTGATGGAAAAGTTCCAGTTCTTTGTTGTTTTGCTGATTTGAGTCGGACAAATAAATATTTTTGTATTTGTACTTTTCAACGATTCGCGCTATATTTTGCGGACAGAGCAGGATTATCTGAGAATCGCGTTTGCTTCAAAGTTTCACTCATAAACATTGAAACATTTACTCTGAAAATTTCCCATTAGTTTGACCCTTGAAAAGGCTCTTCAAAAGAGTGTCATCACTCTTCTTTCAGATTTCGATCTGGCTAGGAAACGTTTTTAATCCCCCGGTTGAACTTTCGATGAAACTCCGCTGAGGTGTACTTTAAGATCGTTTAATTGCAGAACAAGAAAAGGACTTCTCGCAATTGATCTCGTTTTCAAGTTAAGACGCCTCAAGAGCTTGAAATAGCGCTTTTTTCGTCATGATTTCCGTATTTTGCGGACTTTGAAGCTCCATTACTCGGAAACAAGATCTATTGCGAGAAATTTTGTTCTTCTTCTGCAATTAGGAGATCCTAAAGTACACTTCAGCGGAGTTTCATCGAAAGTTCAACCGAGCGGTTGAAAAGGTTCCCTAGTGAGCAACTTTGAAAGTTTGCCTGACGAGAAAGCCTCGTCAAGCAACCCTTCGGTCGCAGTCGGAATGGCTCAGACGCGTTTCGTTCCGATTCGCGTCTACAGTTTTGGCGGATGGATCGCTTCGATAAGTGAAGACGACCACGCGTGTTTTTTTATTTAATGTAAACTCTGAACCTCTTTCTTCCCACAAGGTCGTTGGAGGAAAGTTACTCACTACGGTAATGGATTTCTGTTTCCATTTGCTTCACTAGTTTAACTGGAAAAGATTTTCAAGTTATTTTTAGTCTAAAAAATTTTTGGGATTCGAAAAATTATCATTTTTTGTTCTAACTTTGGATTAACCGAAAAACTTTCGAGAAGAGCTAAGAGCCGCCAAGATTTCAAGCTTTCAGAGCGAGTCCTGGGGAGCTCGTTTGAAAGGAGGCAGACTGACCTGCAGAACCTCGGGAAGCGCTGGAGGAGAGGGAAGAAGTCCTTGGAAGAGGGAGAAGAAGCCGAAGCCGGAGCCGGAATGAGAAGGTGCAGCCGGAGCTCAGGTATTTACATGGGCTCAGGCTCCGCCTATTCGGAGCACCGAACGCTTCGCCCCGCCCTGAAGTTCCCGCCTGAGGTCGAGAAAAAAAAGATTCGTATCTAGCAGACGACATACGGTAACTATAGTAATCTGGGTTTGATTTCTGAGAAACGAAACGCTTTTTTGCAGGCTGCACCCGATTGTGTTTGACCTGATTTTTTGTAGCCAAGTCACACCACCCGAAATGTACTTGCAGAGGCTACCGTAATTGCAGAATAAATCAAAAAATGCTCTCGAAACGTGTCCTACAATACGCCAGACAAGTTCCGCCAGTGACGCACTTCTGAAAGAAAAATTGTCCATCCGGTGATGACTTTCTTTTGTATGAGGTTACGGTAAGTACGTAGATCGAGGAAGTTCTGCAACTTTTTAGTTTTTCAAAGAGTGGTCGGGCTGTTAGGTAGCTAATCTAGCTGTAGCTCACGGCCGTAAAAACTTTTCTGGCATTTCCTTTTAAACATATTTTCTCTGTTGTGTGAGCAAAGCTTTTTTTTTTGCTTACCATGAAGGTCATTTCACTCTGGAAGTTTGGGAAATTTCGTTCTAATGCTGTTTGATAGACTGAGAGAAGAAACTGGAAGCCGCAACCGGCGAAACTTTTTATTCCTTTTGACTTTGATACGTCGCTCCCTTAATAAAAGTTTAACACCTCGAGATCTTGACTTGGTTTACTGAAGGATGTTTGAGCAAAGTTTCAGGGAATTTCCGAGTACCAAGTAACATGACCTTCCTTGTCAGACTCTTTTTTCAGCTTACATGCCTTCTGATAAGGAAATATCAAGCCGAGTTTTTCCCCGTCTCTCCTTTTTCCATGGCATTTAAATGTTTCCTGAAACGTTTCCTTTTAATGGGAAACAATACTAGGAAGTCAACTTATTTGAAACTCAACTGGAAAAACATTTCGAAATTATAAATCGAAAAAAATTGAATAATTTAAGTTTCATTCGGTCACCGAATCAAATTTTCAAAAAACGTTCTAGTCACAAACAAATCTTCTGACGTTCTCAGTTTTTACCTAGATTTGCAGGTGAAAAAATAACATTTTCTTGCAAGATAAAAACTTCGAACGGTTCATGTTCACTTATAGAGACTCAGAACTGGTCAGAAAGAACCGATTTCGTCACTTGGCAGATGCAAATCGAACGTTCTTATTCTGGATTATTACTAACATGGGAGGTATCCTTCCGAATTCGAATCCATCTCAGAGGTTATTTAAAAACTCTTTCGCGTACCTGATTACGATACCGATCTGCGCAACTTAATACTTTGAGAATGAGCCAGAAAAAAATTACGTTGCGCAGCGTTTACAGACCAGCGGAGTTTCATGTCCTCAAAATTTAAAAAGTCGTGCAATTTGATACTTTTACTATATTCTGAATAAATAGTTTCTCTGGTATATTCGTGGAAATATACCGTTTAGGGGGATCTTATCTCTCTATAACTGTTTTGAATATTCTTATCATGATAAAATTAAATGCAAGATATTTCGAAAGGTTTCCGGCGAATGATAACTTAAAAACTTGGCTGAGAGGTACTTGAGCATTTTGAATTCCAGTAAGCAAAGGAAAAAGCCTTCTTTTTTAGTGAAGTTATAACGCTTCAAAGTATGAACTTCCATGGAGAAAAGGATGGTTTATTAGGTTCTTTGAGGCGTCATAACTTCACAAAAGGCGGAAGGCTCTGTTTTTTTTTTCTCGGCCTATTTGGAAACAGGGTGTCCGAAAAGTAACTGAGCCAAGTTTTATGAAGTTGAAAAAATAGGCAAAAAAAAGACGGAATATATTTGGCTGAAAAACCAATATCTTCATTAAACTTTTGAGTTAAGAGAAAGCTTTCCTCATCTTTTGCAGACCTAGAAAAGCCTCCAAATAGAATCCCTCTTTGAAAAAAAAAAAAATTTCCATCCTCATGAAAATTCAAGCCGTGTGACGATTTCGAATAAATTTTTCGCGGTCTCTTGACACAGAAATCCAAGCCATTTCATGTGCGGCCGTCAACTGATTTCGTATAGTAAAAAGAAGGTTATCCAATTGTTCTTTTTGAATTACTTGATCCAGAAGACTGAAAAAAAAACGTTCTTTAGCTTCAGCCCATTCTATTGCAAGAGGTTTTCAGACTACGGTAACTCTAGAACAAAGAACCAATAAGATGGTTTCGGTGATAAAATATATTTTTAAAACCAAAAATAGGTCGATGGTTATGACATCTTAACTTGAATAAGTTCAACTAGAAAGTCAAGGGCCGCAAGTGGAATGGATCGACTCGTAAAGGTAGCGAAGCAGCAACGCGACCGCGGCGCTTCGATCCATTCGACTTCGTCCCTTTGAAGGAACGAGCGAAGTATTTCTAGCAGTTCAAGACTTTCACCTACATATAATGTTTCCTCTACAATTCCTCAAAATGTCCTCGCTTCGATGCAATCAAACTTCTAATCAAAAAAACTTCAGCTCGTCCTCTTTGAAACAGTAATGCTAGGTTAGAAGCTCTTTTTAGGCGAAATCCTTTTCTCCGTTATTAGAGGACACTTTGCAACATATAATTGCCTCGTATTATCATCTCGCGGCTGTTTTTACGATTGTAATTTGGAGGAAACCAGGAGTTTTCGTCTAGTTCAACATGTTTCAAGCTGCAAACTTGTTGGAGAATAACCTCAGGTCCAAGATTAAAAAAGAAGAAGAATTGCATTGAAGGCTTATTCATGCAATTCAAAATTGCAAAAATAAATGGTTCAAATTATTGATTATATCGCCGTGTAGTTTATTTCAAAGTCGAAAAAAGAAACGTCTTTGTTCTGCCTTTGAATTGAATTTTTTCAGACTGAATTCAGTCTTTATTAAATATTGGAATCTAACCGTTTTTCATTTTTTTTAAGGTCCACTCCAACGACGAAAAGCCTGGATTTCCTTTTTTTCTGCGCTCATTTTAGAGTGATTTTTTTTTCGAATTCAAATCCAGTAAAATGATACAGGAAAAAAGCGGTCTTACTGCCTGCCGCGGTTCAGTCTGATAGATTTCGAGCTTGGTACAAGTGTAGTTTACAGACGTTACCATCACAAGTTTGAAAAAAATCTTCAAAAAAAGAAATAATTATCCTCATACCTTAAAACTTATTTCTGCTTCAGAAAGAAAAACCTTTTTTTATTTGTTCCTCATTCTTTTTGTTTTTTTGTTCTGTCCGCCAACATAATTAAGAAAGAAACGCAAGGAAAAATTAATTCAAAGATGACGCTTTTATTGCAGTCGAAAAAGAATCTTATATTTATTGCCCAAAATGGAAGGAGAACGTCGTAATCAACGGTTGCGGTTAATAATGTGTTTCTTTGCAAAAAAGGATCGGCTTTGGTGGGAAAGTGAAACTTATCATTTTCAAGTGCAAAAAAAGCTGTGTTGGAAACTTTTTAGAAAAATGCATGAGAAGCGTCCAGAAAAAAAAAGAATCTGAGAAGCAGTCTCAGAAGACTTTGCAAGTTTTTTTGTGGAGGAGAAAGAGCTTAGCTTTGGAGCGAAAGTGTTGGGAGAGCCTTTGAAAGTTTCCAATTTTTATAGAACAAATTCAAAATTTTTGATATTTTATTCTTTCCATCCAGTTTTTAACACGTTTTGAAGCATAAAATCCTTCGAAAAAGCCATACTTGTACAATTTAAAGAATATTTCGCCGATAAATTTTTTTCTGATTTTTTATTCGAAAACTTTTTCATGAATTGAATCGATTTGGTAAAGAAGATATCGAAAAAAAGCTGTTTGTATATTAGAAAAAAATATCAGGAACCCATTTTTTTCGAATGATTGTCTCAGTTTTGAGATCCTTTTTCACAATTGCCTACAGATATTTTTTTCAAAAAGATTTTTTTGCAGAAACTTCATGATTTTTTTCACAACTAATTAGGTTCAAATTGAAACAACAGTTAAAATAAAAATTGAAAAATTGAAAAAAACATAGTATATTCAGGAGAAAATGCGGTTTATGACGGTTCAGACGGAAATGAACCCCATGGATCGAGCTTTTGCGTAGTTAGCCGTGTCGTTTCCTGATGAATTGCGTTGATTTTGCTTGTCGGAAGGAAGTTCTTGAAGAAGCATAAGTGCAGAGGTTTTGACGTAGGAAAAAAACTCGTTCTTTCTGAGCGTTTTGTTGACGGCTCTCGACTTTGTTGGCGTGTGCCTCTCAAAGTCGATACTGTAAGATATATTAAGAAACGGAAAAAAATTTAATTTTTCCTTGCAGGTATATGAGATAAGAAGTCGAAAAGTTTGTACACACGTAACACAGACACGAAAAAAGGTTACTGTAGAACCTGAAGCCGCGAAAACCCGCGGAAGTGTGAAATAGATTCGTGGGAATAATTTTCAAATCTAAAAATATTATAATTTAATAATTTCTTATCACTTTATCTCGATTATAATCACAGTACTGTTATGCCGTGTTCGAGGTAATTTCCACTAAATTCAAAGTTATCTCCGACCATAAAAAAATTCAGTTATCTTTTTCTCTCTCGGAAGGCTATTTCTAATTTCGTGGTGTCACCTTGAAAATGACTCTAGATTTAAACTTTTTTATTCAAAGAGAAGGCTGAATACCTTTTGAAAATAAGAAAAGATATTTTTACTCGTTTTAACCGTCATAAGTCCTCTTTAATTTCTTAGATTTGAGAGTACCATCTCTTTCATATTTTTCGAACGAATAGCTGAGGCAAGTTTTCCGTTTTCTTCTTAAACCGAATAAACTCGCTATTCTCGTGCGGAGGTCTGCAGATACTAGCGAGCAGATATAACTACAATTTTCACAACCGTTTGTACTTTGGGTTTGAGTATAATTGAGCTGTTTCTCGTAATCTTTTTTCTAGAAAACAATACGGTAATGTGACGCTGCACAGGATCACGATTACTTCCTTCCAAGAATAATTGCCATAGTTACAAGCTGTTTTATTCATTTTTGATCTTGCGATTTCAAAGCGCAAAAATTATATATTTTTTTAAATTTCAAATAAAAGTTTTTCCAGAATCTGGATGTCTTTGATGTGAATAATATCTAGATAGAAACAGTTCAAAATCATGATTACAAGAATCTATTAGGAGAAAAAAAAAAACTGTTTTTACAAAAATTTTTTTCATTAAAAAATGGGCTTCTTTTTACGCGAATTTCCGTTATTCTTATGTTGCTATGGGTAACCAGCAATTGCTATGGATACCTATTTTTTTCCTCGGAGTTTTTTTTTCATATCTAGAGCTCATTCATGATTTCAAAAAAATATTTTTTTGTTCTAGTTGAGTGTAAGTGCCCCTGAAAAATCGGTTTTAAACATTGAACATATCAAATCTCACACTAACAGATTTTGTTTTCAACCATCCTTTTTTGAATTGTTGTAATAATGACCTTAGATAGATTTGAGATCATCCCTGAAGAAATTGTACAAGTTGCGGTGCCTTCGATAGAGTTGTGCAAAAACAAAAACTTGCTTTTAGAATTATTTATACTATATGGGTTCTGAAAGGGACGTTACTTGCATTCTACATCTTCTTGTTATTTTTTCTTTCGTTTGAGCAACAAATGCACAGCACTGGTTTGCAGAGCGCATGAAGCCTTTTTGCAGAATACTAATGAAGGCGATGCCACCTGCTCGATTTCGTCAGAGATTTCTCACGTTTGAAAGTGCAAGAAGACTAGACAGACCCATCAAAGGGTGTATATTCTTTTGAGATTTTTAAACCTTTCCCCATTATAATTTATGAACGGATTTCTATCTCAATTTTTGAAAAAAATCGGTTTTCTTTAAAAATTATTATCGAAGTTTCAAATAGTTTTTCGAAACTCACGAGATGTTGTTGTTAATGATTTAGCGCGTTCGTCAGTTTTCAGAATTTTTCGCGCGAGAATGCAAGTTTTAAAGAATGAGTGAACTTTCGAGGGAATTGGTCTGACATCACTAGTTTAAACTATAGAAGACGCCGTCATTCACGGACCTTTTGGGAGGACGTATAAATAGTGGGTCCTCTTTTGCTCTTTGGTACATCTATTTCATATCGCTAATAATATTTCATAAATAGCCGTCTGAAGTTCCTTTACAGTAGATAGAACTAATTTATTTTTCCTTTTATAGCTTTTTTTCGTTCTGAAAGAAACAGCGGAAAAGTTTTGTATGTTCTGGATAGGGGAACAAAAGAGGAAATTGTTTTGCAAGAAAAGTCAGGAAGTCAGGCTACGGTGGCGATATCTACCGTGATAATTGAAATCCTTTTAAAGATTAAAATAGATTCGGAAAGTCTTGTCGAACGGAAATTGCGGCGGGCCTGAGCTTTCTCATTTTACCACGCAATTTTCTCTTGATTTGAAGGGGTATCAATTCAGTGAGGTTAAATGTCACCGGATATAGCCTTTTGGGGGTCTTGTTTTTACAAAGAAAAAAAAAAATTCGAAACGGCGTAGAAGCCGGTATATATATATATATATATATATATATATATTTATAAGTTTGGCTGAGCTCCGTGTTCTAGTTTTGATGACCCGTTTTTCAAGTACTTTTTATTTTTTTAAGAATAGATTTAAATAAATTGTTAAGCATAAAAAAATGCCATGACGCACGAAGCTAACTATATTTCGGTTTTGAATAATTTGTCTGCTTTTATATTCGGCTCCATAAAAAGTTCTATAGAAGGGTAAAAGATGTATTTCGTTTGTACTGACAAGAAGTATTTTAATGCTTTTTTTGAACTTTCGTTTTGCCAAAGGAACATTTTTTTCTATCACTCCCGGCTCAGCAGTGAAGAATATTTCTCGTATTTTCAGCTGAGGATTGGCTCAGCAAAAGACCTTCAAAAAACATTCCGATCGTTTTGGAAAGTTTTGGAGATAACATAAAAAACTTATTACATATTTCTTTCTGAAATATTGGTCAAGAAAGTAGAATTCAAGTTGAAAATCTAAAAAAGAAATCACAGTTCGTTCGATTGGTGTCGGTTCTAGCAGAGTTTAAGAATTACTCGTTTTCTTGTGAAGTTTGCCCTTTGATTCAAAAACTCTCCAAAAAGCGCAGTTATCAAAGCCAAAAATGGGACTACATGGTGATTAGATAGTGTTTTTCGCGTCGACACGACTTGTTTCCTTCTTTCGATGACATTCCAATTTTAGTTTGACTTCGGTTCCAGTAGAAAAACCGGAGAGAAATATTATTTGGATGTTCTTCTTGCAATTACCTCTCAGTTTCAAACGGTCTACGAAGATCGATCTCGCGAAGTTTGCCTATAGGCATCGCCTACATGTTAGCGTTAAAAAAAGCCAATAAAGTTTCAGTATGGCATTAAAATAAAAAATTACGCGAAAAAGCCAGAAATGCTTTTGTTAACGTTTTCGCGGCGCGCACTTTCGCTTTTCAGTATCCCATTTTGAAAATTTTGAAACTCGTTTTCTTATTTCTAGTTTTTTTAACTCTTCATTTCTGAGGAGTTCGCATCAGCCACAACATCTTTTAGTACCAGTTTTTTTTAGTTTTATGATTGTACTATCGAAAAAAATAATAAATATCGTGAAATTTTTCAATTTTTTTCCCATAGAATTCTTTCACATTGTTCTGATTGGTAAAAATGTGTCTTCCTAGGAAACAACTTTTTTTTTACTTCGTCTTTGATTCGCGTTTCGCAATTATTTTCCCTTTTCTGGAATTTATAACTCGACGATTTGAAGAGGCAATGTCGTCGCTGACGTCGTCTGCCATAAGGAACGTGGCGAAGCCCATCGTGCGCAACGTCTACAACGGCACCCGTCAGAACTTGCTCATCAACCGCGACACAAAAGTCATCATTCAGGTCAGATCCTTTTATTCATTTGCAATCGGAGAACGATCGAAGAAATCACATTGAAATAATTTTAAAAGTAAGAGTCTTCAAATAACTCAGTTTGAAGTTTCAAATTTAGAACGAAAAAGGATCAATTTTTCATGGTCATCAAGAAGCTCTAGTGTCCCAAAATCTAAAGGAGAAAGTTGGGAGAAGTTGTAGTGTATGAATATCGAGGATGGCTACTAACTTCAGAACATTTTTCTGCACAACTTAAACTTTAAAGAGAAAAAATTATTTTTTCATTCAGTCTTCTCTCCAAATGCAGTTTTATCTTAGTTTTATCTGTGGTTTTTCATAAGATTTTCAGAGTATTTTTTCGAAAATCTTCCGTATGAATGTACACCTCGAGAAATATATACATTTTTTTACTTTGGAGTTTTTTTGAAATTGTTTAGAGGAATTTATGTTTCGAGAGTTGACAAGGCGATCTCTTCCCATAGTTGTACGTCAGCATAGATTCTCCTTTTGAGGTTTTGGATCATCAAATAGTTTGTTCCTGTTTTCCAATTTATTTCTGGAGCAGCCAGGTACAATTTTTTGTATCCGACCTCGTGTGGGATTTACTCGAAAACATTTTTCTGAGTTTTTTTTTTCTTGTCTGCAATCGTTTTTTTTTCGCTTTTGAGCGAATATTATGTACTCATAGGGTGGTTTGTATCCACAGAGTCAATCCAAAAAAGGAAGAAAAACGGGAAACCGTGTCGGTTGCTTGGCGACGAGTTGTTGTTGTTGTACGAGTCGTGACTCGGTTCTATGTCCAATAAGAAAAAGGTGATAGCCGACGAACTTTCGTTTTTTCGAGTGTCTAGAAGTGGACGTTTTATAGTTTCCGCTGTCTGACTCGTTAGCTTTTATAAAAAAAAAAAGAAAGTAGCCGGCATTGGCGGGAAAAACAAGTGACGCCGTTTGGGAGGAAATTTGATTTTTTTTTTCTTGTGCGATGAACTTTCCGGGTAACCGTCTTGTTTCAGGGATTCACAGGAAAGCAGGGCACCTTCCATGGGAAACAAATGCTCGACTACAACACGAAAGTCGTCGGAGGCATCTCTCCCAACAAGGTGTGCATCTGTGTTAAGAAATTTAACATGATAGAAATCAACCTACAGATAAAGTATTCAACACGACTTGAAAAGTTGAAGAAGTCGAGAATAATCGAGAATAATCAAACTCTTGAAAAGTTCTTCGAGAATTTCGTTGAGTTTGCCAATCTGCCTTCACCAAAATTTGAAACGCCGTCTAGTCTTAAATTGCACTGTGACGCGTTTGCTCTTACCAGTTTTCGATTAATTTTCGATTTTTGATTTATTTCTCAAGCGTCTTTCATTTTGCTTGCATTACTGGAATTATTCAAAATAAAAATCGAAAACGTGCGCTGCTTCTAGAAAACGGTTCATTAATCTCGGAGGATTATAATCATCCAGTGTTTTTGTTCTAGGCGATTCATTGATGTATTAGATACTCAATTGAAAAAATTGGGTTGAGGCAGGCCAAACGCACCTGGGACTCCCAGTGTTCGCAACGGTGAAAGAAGCTCGGGAGAAGACTGGCGCCGACGCGACCGTGATCTACGTGCCGGCGGCCGCCGCTGCCCAGGCGATCCACGAGGCGATCGACGCAGAGGTACAGGCAAACCCGAAGGCTCTCAGGCCCGATTTCGCTGCAGATCGGACTGATTGTCGCCATCACCGAGGGCATTCCGCAACAGGACATGGTTCGCGTCAAGAACCGCCTTCTCAAGCAAAGTTCGTGGTGAAGAAAAATGGAACTACCCAAAAAAAAAAACCATTACTTCTCTTTTCAATGGACCGTGAAAAGTATCTGTTAAGGCGATAGGAGTGAATGTGTAATATGAACTTGTTTGAAGTTTCGAATTTCGATGATACTGAAATAGAAAAAAATCTTTTTCTAAAATAGACATTCCTGAAAATAAACTTTATTTCTTGCTTTATTTCAGCTGGTTCTTCAAAAAATAACTCCAGGATTGTGCATGCTTTAGATTAAGTTCTGTTCCGAACCAAACTAACTCAGAGAGTGCCGAAAATGCAACGATTGTTTCAGACAAATCAAGGCTGCTCGGACCAAACTGTCCCGGAATAATCGCCTCCGGAGAGTGCAAGATTGGAATCATGCCAGGCCACATCCACAAGAAAGGCGTCATCGGTTCGTCAGAACTTCCGATTGAGATACACCGAAAGTCCAGGAATCGTGTCGCGGTCCGGCACTCTGACCTACGAGGCGGTCCATCAGACGACGCAGGTCGGCCTGGGTCAGACCCGCTGCATCGGGATCGGCGGCGACCCTTTCAACGGCACCAATTTCATCGATTGTCTCGAGGTGTTCCTTGCTGACGATCAGACCAAAGGTCCACACTGTTTCAAAATTTCTCATTTTTCTTATTTTCCTAAATCTTCTTGAATTTCAACCTTGTGAAAGAAAAGCTTCTCGGCGAGTTTTCTGTGATTTCTGTTGTTATAAGTAAGATTATTCAGGAGAAACTAAACGTTTTTCAGATAAAATTTGACTATTGCACAGTTTTCGACAAAAATTTTTCGTGTCAGGCTCACAAGAAGTTTTTTTTTCAAATTATCTTTACCTCTTTGGCAAAGAATGATCAATACGTAAAATTAATATTATTAGAAGAAGTTTGCGCAGACTTTGATGAACTTTTTCAGACTTGAAGGAATCCAAAAAATTTATAATTCGTTCCAAAATCCCCATAAAAACAATTTCTTTTGTTAGGCAACTCCGAAAACGGAGTTCTCTCGTATGGTTAATGAAGACAAAGTGAAAACTAGAAGTTCCTTACAAAAAAAAAAATCATCTGTTGCAGGTATCATTCTGATCGGCGAAATCGGTGGGCAGGCCGAGGAGCAGGCTGCGGAATTCCTCAAGCAGCACAACTCCGGCGAGAACCACAAGCCGGTCGTTTCGTTCATCGCCGGTGTGACGGCGCCGCCCGGACGTCGCATGGGCCACGCTGGCGCCATCATCGCCGGTGGCAAAGGTGCGGAAACAGTCTCCAGAAAGAGACTGTTTTCATATGTTGAAAGCTTTGAAAAGTAGTTGTCATTTTTGAGCTCGGAAATAATGCCTTAAACGCTTGGTGAAGATTTCAAACTCGAATTTTCGCTTCTAAAATTTCGATTTTGAACCCACGGAGTTTGATTCGTAACAGATGATAAAAAACTGGTTCGGTTCGGAACTTTTTTGGAAATTAATAGCAGTCTTACCACTCGTTCTTTGATAAACTGACTATATGATTATCTGTCATTTTTCCCTCAAAATACCCAGCTGAACTTATCAAATGCTATGCTGAAGAAACGGTGAAAAAACATGAAAGAACAAGAGATCGCTTATTCTCGGTGTCTTATTTTTATAGGAAGCAGTTGGTCGACACGCGATGTTTTTGTTGGTTTCTAAATAATGGGTTGGCCGGTTAGAAATGAACGTTTGGTTTTTCGGTTCACGTTCCATTTCCAAGTTCATTTGAAGAAGAAGAAATTTTCCGCATGGAAGTTGTGAAAAGATAATGTTTGAAATCAAAACTACCTCTTGCATTTTTACATATTTATAATGCTTTCATATTGAAATAAACCCCAAAAATAACTGTCGTAACAGGGCAATCCAGTAGATAGAATATCCTTTCATCTCCAAATAAGAAGACCAAAAAAATCCGCTGCTTCACATGTTTCCATTTTCGTGACACCCATTAATCAACGAAATTGAATTTTAAAAAAGTATTTTAACTTTTTTTTTTTCATTTCTTGAAAAAACCCCCACAAGCTCCAAGAAATTAGTGAATTGGCAAGAGCAAAGAGTTTAAAAATGAGAACTTGCTAAGCGATTATGAGGGATCGTAGTATAGCCCTTCAGAGAGTTATTGGGCAGACTTCTAGAAAATTTCAAACCGCAGTCTCAATGGCCTTGTACACGAAGTAGTCGATGTTCCAGGGACAGCGACGGAGAAGATCGAGGCGCTGCGAGCAGCCGACGTCGTCGTAACGGACAGTCCGGCGAAGCTCGGAACCGAGATTCAGACGGCCATGATGAAACGCCGTCGTTGATCTTCTCCATCAATTCCTATTTCCTCTTTTCCTCGCCTAGATCTACAGGATTTCTAGCATTTAGTAGAGTATTATCACGTCGGTTTTTCTCTTTTTGAGAATTTTTTTTATCTTTGTTTCGGATTACGGTGATGCCTGAATGACTTGTAGCTGGTACGTTGCTCTTCTGACTCATCTCGCCATATTTCTCTTTCTACCATTTTTTTTTTTTGATTTTTCTCGTTTCATTTTCAGTGTAAATTTGAAAAGCTCAACTTTTTTCGAATGAAACCACTCATTTTTTTGGCTATCGTGTTGTCCTTGTGACGTACAGAGAATATTATAGTAGAACTCAATTTCCTAAACACACTTTTTTTTCGCTTCTTTTTGTTCAAGTGGCATCAGCCATATTTCCGGATACGAAGTTCCTGTCGGATGTGCGTTGTAGCAGAACATTTTTTTTTCTTTAGTTCCAGTCTGGCTGGAGTCTTCACCTTTTTGCTGCAAAAGACCAATTTCCGATTGAATGATTGGTTCTCCTGACATCTGAGAAACAATTGAACACCAAGAGACAAAATGCGCGGCGCAAAAAATTTATGAAAAAGTTGTCACGAGAATAAAAAAAAATTACCGACACGAAATGGCTACACGCGAATCGAACGAATACAATGTTCAAATTTTTTGAGCGAAAGTTTCAAAAAAACTCATAGCCGATTCACAAAGTATGACTCCTTATATCTAAAAAAGAAAATTTTCTATATTTTTCCTTATCTTTGATTTCTTCTTTGATATTTGTGAATCGATTATGTCAAATCAGATTTTTCCTAACTAACGAAACATTGTCCTTAAGAGTAGTTAGACGCGAAACCGGTTCAAGTAAAAGTGGACCACACCTGAAAAATTCCTGCGCAGCAGGCTCAGAAAATGGGGGTTATGTGTGCAAAAATTCTACGACTAGCTAATTTTTTTTTCGGTCAAACACAGTTTGCTTTTTTTGAAATCAATGACTAAGGATGATAGAATGCCCTATTGAACTGAATACAACGAGAAGTTGGGAAAAAGAAGCAGCCATTTTTCAGAGAAAATCTTATTTTGCAAACATAGAGAAAGGGTTTAAGGCAATCGGCAATTTTAAAAGCTATTTTGTACCAATAGAAAAAAATCGCTCTATTTTTGAATCTTTTTTTCGGCAAATTTGACACAAAATGAGAATAAAAAAATGATTAAAAGATCCCTGCCAATTTTGAAAAAAATGAAAGAAAGGCTTGTCGTTAAAAAAATAGTTACCGTATCATCACAGAAAATTTAAAACATTAATCGGGACGTTAGGGGTATTATTGGGCGAAGAAAATCCGGGATGAAACTGGAAAAAAACCCATATGAAGTAATAATGTAGTAAAATAAGTTTTTATACAATGTTGCGAACAACGAGTGAGAAATGTACAAATAAGAACCTTGCAAAAAGTGGTCTAGAGAGGTCAAAAGTATCAGATAGTCAAAATATAAAAGATAAGGCGAAATAGTAATGCATAAAATACCAAAATAAGGCACGAAAATATTAAATATAAAGAGCGAGCGCTAGAAAATGAAAGTGGAACTAAAAGTGAAGAGACACGACTTTAAATGTCGTCCTCGTCGTCGTCCATCGGAAAGTCGAGGTCGACGTCATCGACGGAGACTAGAGTCTTTTTGTTTTGATTCTGACGGCCGGAAACGTCCAGAAGCCGTCGATCGCCAGACGGCGAGTGCGTATCGAAGAATTCTTCATGGTTATTCGTCTGAAAACATCTAGATTCTACCTTTTTTCTTCAAAAGCGAAAATTTTAAATCAAAAATATTTTACCATTTAAATTCACGTTTTTCTTATCTTCAAGTTAAACTTATTAATTTTTGAAAATCTCACAGAACGATGATTGAGATGCACAAATTTTGAAAAAGAAAGCTTCTAAAATTAAAAAAATTCAATTTTGATAGCTTGCAGCTCGTCGCTGAAATCCCTTTTTTTATCATATTAAGAGTAAATGTCGCCCCTTGAAGACTTCTCTTCGTATAACATGTTTGATAGATTTCCATGGACTAGATTCAGATGAGCACTGACGTCTATTTGCTGCGGCGGCGACGTCGAGTGGAGGTCGCGCATCGCGTCGGCGATTTTCTGCGAAATGTCGCTGTCCGCAGTCGCCATCGTCGTCACCAGCGACGTCTGCGACGTGTACGATCCGCACTCGATTCGCGTTGCGTCGCTAGTTGCCGAAGTACCTCGCGCTGAAATTTTCTTGAATAAAATTTGAAATGGAGCTTCTTGAGTTTTCAACTATTAATGCTATCCTCTTCAACAGAAAAGGTGATTACAACTAAAATGTAGATTCCGAAAAATAAGAAAGTTAAGCTACCGGGACTTATTGCAAAGAAAAAATTAGATACTCAAATTCATCGTTTTCAAAAATTATGATTTCAGAGAGATTGTTGAGGCGTATTCAGGTCCACTACGAAAAAATGAATTGAACCATCAACTTTGCTGTATGAAACATGATCAGTCTGAAATTCACTCTAACAAAATCTCTTTTATCAAAGGATTTTTGAGTGAATTTTTTTTCCAGAAAATTGCTCTTCAAGGTTTGGGGACATCACGAAAAGCATGATTTCGCAAATGAGCCTGTTGGTGACAGAATGTAGGAATGAATTATTCAAAAAAGAAACGGACTGATTGGGATGCCGCCGCCGACGACGACTGGTATCGATTTGAAGCCGGATCCGGTGTGCCGCGAATCTGCCGAAGGACTCATCTGAATCCTTTTTTGAAACCCTTGAAATCGCTTCGATATTTCAATGTTTCAATCCAAAATCTCAATGATTATCTGAGAGTTTTTCCTCATAATAATTTGAAAAGCTTTGTAAAAAGAAAAAAAAACAGTAGATAAAAATGTAAAATGAAGTATAAGGATTTATCAGTAGAACAAAAAAAAATTTAATTCGTTAGACAGCTTTTTCAATCTTTCTTCATTTTCAAGTTTCAAAAACATTATCAGGAGTTTCGTCATCCCGCTCTTCATTCTTCGAAGTCTTTTCATAATAAAAAAAACCAACCAGAACAGCGCTGTCTTCCTCTTTGTACTCGTAGAACTCGAACTGGGGTCCCTGCCAAATGCATCTGTGAGGAGCTGAGTACGTGCGAACCTGAAATTTCATTGAGAGAGTTGAAAACCGACTGGAACTGAGAGAGAACCTCGACATGAGGTGTCCAGAGCTCTTCTCCGGGCCTCAGCTGCGGCACTTCGTTGCTCGGAGTCGCTAGAGCCATCAGCGGACTGCCCTGAGGCATCGGCGGATGCATGTCGGCGTTGTTCTTCGTCCTTAACATTTTTGTGTGGATCCAGGCTTTCGTTTTTGAGAAAGTCAATAGTTTTATAATTGCTAAGCCGCGCAGAAAATCTGAAGTGGCAGTGAAAATCAGATAAAGTACTATTTTTTCTGGTTAATGTACCTCTGTAAGGTCCACAAAGCAGTCGCAGAGGCATTCAGTTTTGGCGGCTCTTCTCCGCCGGCAGCGGCGCTCGGATCGGCGAGTCGCGGACGGAGTTCGTAGTTGCACATGACGGCGCCGAGGTTGGTGTCCGTGCGAATGATGAGCAGCGAAAGAAGAGCCGGATTCGCGGTCCCGACTGATCCAGAAGACGACAAGGAGACGTCGCCGAAGGCCGAAAAGGCGACGGCGATCCGCGGGACGTCAACTCGTCGACGGGTTCCAGAGTTACTGGCTGCAGATGCGCCCGCAGAAGTCGCGGTAGCGATTGGAAGAGCTGTCAGGTCAGTAGCCCACGCCGTCAAATTGTCCGTCGAATACTTGGGGTCCTGCGAAACAGTTTTTCTCAGCCAGATACCTCAGTTCTTGTTACCTTGATCTTCCTGACAGCGTGTAGGAAGATCGGCGGCGGGAAAGGTCCAACGCGCGAATTTCCGCTTCCTCTGAAAAATGATTTTTCTTTTGTTGCAAAGGGAATGCATAACTCAAACCAAGCACACGAAAAACAAGCTTTGAAGACCGTAATAATGAAAGTTTACGATATTTAACTCTAGCCCAAAATTCCCAGACCAGTCACCGTAAACTTTTTTTATATACAGTACTGGCCATAAAGGTATTTCAAAGTGGTTATTCGAGCATAACTTCTCTGAAAGTGGCTCAAACGACTTGAAATTTCGCTTAGATTTTAAATAGCTACGCAGTAACTCTTTCCCAGGAGAAGAACTCATTTGCTCGAGTCGGACCGGATTTGAGAGCAAAAAACCAAAAATCGCGAAAATTAAGATGTTTCTCTAGAGATTCGAAAAATCATATCTTCAAAGCAGAGCTGTGCTTTGGGTCAGCCGGGCTGGCCATAGTGTTGAAACGCGGTCGCGAAGCGGTCGAAAATTGCCAATTTTGGAACTTTTTTGTCTCGAAATTTTCTTTTTTTCAGAGTGTTCTCAAACAAAAAACTTCTTTTATTTTCATTCATCAAGGTTCTGAAAAAGTTCTTCTTTTGGGAAAGAGTTACTGCGTAGCTATTTGAAATCTGTGCGAAGTTTCAAATTATTTGAGCCACTTTCAGAGACGTTATGCTCGAATAACCACTTTGAGATACCTTTATGGCCAGTACTGTACGATGTCAAGAAACAAAAAAGGTTAGACCAAACAGATAAAGAAATAGTCGAGTGAAGGAAAACAGAGTTAGATAAGATCGTTGACAACTTTCCAGTTCATCGCGCTGCGAAAATTTGGTTTATGCCCCTTTCTTAAAATATTTCTAACAAAAAAAAAAGAAAAAAGAATTAATTTGCTGAAAGGTTAGTAAGAAGTTAAACAAGTTCACGGCTTCTATCGAGTACATCCATATTTCTGTCCACACATTTCACTACAAAAAAATCAAGAAAAGGGATAGATTATACATAAATACATATTTTTTCACATCAATTTCGACGACTCACAAATGCCGAAAAAAGCTGTTCACCACACACTTCAAATTCATAAAGTCACATTAGTCCAAACAACAAGATACTGAACATTCCCTTGATCAACCAAAGGAGGAAGAAAGGACAGGCAAACCAACACGCACTTGGCCAAAGACCTGTTCGCAGCGAGCTCGGGATGCTCGCGGAAGTTGGGCGTCGGAGTCCCGCTGAGAGCCCGAACACGGCTTGGAGCCATCGACGCCGTCGCATCCGCCGAATCCGTCAGCCCTGCTGATCGCAGGAACCGCGATTCTCTGTACGGCGATGTTCATCAACAATACTTCACAAATATTGTCTTCGCGATCATTTCCAATTAAAGTAATACTTGTGTGGATAAAAAAAGATTTTTTCTCATCGGTTTTAGTATTTTTAAATGTTTTTTTATTGTTCAAAAATCAAACATTGGTTTATATCTTCGTTCCTTGAGCCGTTTTTTTAAAATAAATAAATATATATATATAGTCTCAACGCACTTGTTGACGAACTGATCGCCATGAGTCCTCTGAGTAGGTCGGCCGCCAAACGGACAGATGGAGAAGACGTGGCAAGTTCCATGATTGGTACTGATGGCCAACCAACGGCCGTCCAGCGAGAAAGCCGTCGAGGAAACCTCAATCCTGCAGATGAAACCTTTTTTGAATCATTCATCTCACCTTCGCCGCAGTGTTTCCCCGATGAAGTTTGTACAGGTGCTGGACGGCAGCCAAAGTCGGAGATCCAGAGTGTGGCAGGAGAAGGAAAACGTTGAACACAGAAGCGGAGGCGTCGGCGGTGAGCAGAAGACGTCCGTCGGGAGAGAAGGCGAGATGCGAGACCGGAGTCGTGTGGGCCATCCAGTGGCAAACCACGCCGTCCGTCGGCTACAGTAAGCCGTCAAAAAAAGAGAGAAAGCACGGATGTCACCTGCTCCGACTGCGTTTCGAGGTCGACCACCGTCACCACTCCGACAGAGTTCAACTTAGATGGACTCGAAGATGACGTCGCTCCGACAGACTCTCCAATCGACGTCATCGTCCTCGAGAACATCTGAAACCGTCCTCATTGCGTCGTCACTCCGGATACTCGCTGAAGACCTTCATGGCGCTCATGACATGTGTGGCAGCCGAATGGTCACTGGCCGCCGTTTCGACGTCGACGGCCATTCCTCCGCAACTCTGGACATCCGAATTCAGCTGAAAACACAATTAGAGAGACTTGAGTGGCCAGAAGACCTTCAGGTCTGCGTAGGCGAGCATCTGGCCTGTGATGGCGATGGCAGGAGGGCAGCCTTCTGGAGGCGTGATGAGGCGGACGTGACGAGCCTCCGCGAAAGACACCAACTCGTAAACGAAGGCTCGGCTCGACAGCGACACCACCAGATATCTGCGCTCAGCAAATTCAATGTTTTTTTTTCAATTTCCTCAGAATCAGAATTTAGTATGTTAGACGCCATGAATATCACATTAATACACGAACATTTATGTAGCGTAAAATGAATTCCAAAATTAAACCTCTCTATGTTTACTCTTCTCTAACACATCCAACCTACTAGGTTCTCATATACGTGGAAATAGTTTTTTCGAGTTCGTCTGCATTTAAATCATTTAAAAAGCCATAGTTGCGCTGCGTAAACGTGTATACATACGGCCTCTGATTTGTTGTTCTTTTTCCCATCGGTATCAATTTTTTTTGTTTTATTTTTTTTTAAGTTAGTTGAATCCCTCAATTTAATCTCCAGTGACATTTTTCTCTTTTTTTTGATACCACATTGTTTCACTTTTGACTATTCCATATTAAAACAGGTGCACCAGCGCATTTTAATCTCAATAACTTGATTTTTTATGTGAACTGAAAAAAAAATCAAATGTATTTGCTTCAAAAAATTTCTTCTCTCCTCTCTCTTCTCCATTTTTAATTTTAAAAAGGCGAAATATCTTTTTTTTTATGCAGAAAAAATTACTGGTTTGAAGTGTTGAGGGCAGTGACAGGCTCGTCGAAAGCAATCCGATGAACTTCTTTGCCACTGTTCAGCGACACCAACGAGACCGAGCAGTACTGCCGATCAGGAACGTGAGACGACGCGTCGACCAAGGCGATCAGCGGCCGCACCGACGCAAAACTGAAATGATCTTTTTTTCATCTCCCAGGAGGAGGAAAGAACTGACGGATCACGAGTCCCTGAGGGAATCGAAATGTTGTTGGGCAGGATGCGACACGCTCGGATGGGGCCTTGTCGCTCCGACATGACCTCTTCACAGTCTCCGTTCTCCTCAAAACACTCCATCTAGGTGGGAAATGTAACCTTTTTTCACTTAAATCCTCAATTAACTAGTTCAAAAAAGCATACATTGATGGTCCAAATCTGGAACCCGCGAATCAGTCCAACAACGACGACGTCCAACCTTTCCCCAGGCTTTCCAGCTAAAAACTAAGGGAATCTTGAGGAGTGAGAAAAGCGAACCTTTTTCAACACTGGAAATCTGTACCCACTCGGCCTTTTCAAACTGCGGCAAATGAGCGGCCTGCGATTGCGAAGCCGGCATCATTTCGTTGACCAATTCCGCCATCGAACCGACTATCGTCGAGCTTCTGAACAAGGAGGACTCCAGTAAAAACAAGCTGCATCTAATTTCAGACAACTGGAAAAACCGCATTTGCCTTCAGCTGTATAAAAACAGTTTTTTCGATATGTACCATGACATGTCTGCCACAACTAACGGAAAAAAAGGTTCTGTGAGGCTAAAAAACTAATGCTCTACTCCAAAATGAAAACTCGAGAAACTGTTTTTGCAAATCATCCAATCATCCTGGAAACCCCCGTTTTGAAAACATTTCTTAGTGCAAAAAAGAAGGTAGACAAAAGTAAAAAGGCAATCAAAATAATCCTACATGTTTTTTTTTCCGTGGAAGAGAGCCTGAAACATTTTAAAAAAAATTTCAGATTTTCGCCTATATGCCGTTTGAAATTTATGTCAAAAAATTGTTTGATTTGAGCAAAAAGAAAATCAATGATATATTTCAAAAATTCGAAAGTTGTGATTTTATTTCTTTGCTCAAGGCTTCTTTTTCAATCAAAAATATAAACGAACGGCGGCTCGACGGCTTTGACGATCTGGCCCTTGATGTAGTTGTGGCTGGAAAGACGTTTCCGGTGACTCTCTCCGCGCATCGAACCCGCTGGCGAAGAAGACGCTGACGAAGAAGACGTAGCGGCCGTCGTCGCGCCGCCGTTCAGCTGCTGATGACTCTTCCGAGGCGGCGCTTTCGGAGCTGGGGACACTAAAAAGTTTCAGTCACTCTTGGCCGTGATAACAATGGCTCATGTACAAGAACTTCAAAAACAATTGCAAAAAAGTTTCTCTTTTTTCCCCAGTTGAAAATAACCTCTGGGAGGATCTCTAACGATCAAATCTTTGGCGAGAGAATCTGCAGTCGTGTCGATCAGAGTTTCCATCTGACTTTCCTCCTGAAATTGTAAATGTTTTTTCCAACTAGTTATCAAAGAATAGTTAGTTCCGAAATTTCTTCTAACTAGGGCATGGTCTCCGCTCGACAACGAGCTGAGAAATGAGACTTTGTGTGTGGATAGGCCTAGGTGAGAGTACTCAGATTCAAAAATAAAATTCTGCTAAACCCCTCAGGCAACCGAGGAAAAGCTCGTCGAAAGTTTCCCAGCGCGGATATGGCCGCGCTCGGAACCTTCGGCCAGCAACTGGCGGCGTGGTGTAGTGGGTTGTGGTCTTGTGCACTGTCAGTATTGGGACCATGGTTCGGATCCTTTTGGCGGAAATCGTTTTTGCCGGCTCATAACTTTAATGCTTTCTCATTTTTTTGAAATTTTTTTCAAAAATGTACATCAAAAATTGTAGAAAACTATTATTTTTTACTACTTCTCTCATGCCACGTTTTTCTTCTCGTATTGAGGAGCATATTCTCAAATAGTTTTGTTGGAAGACAGGCAATCAGCAGCTAAGTTATTAAAGTTAAGCTCCTTTCGCGCAAATTTTTGTTGGAATCTTCGAAAATCGCCATATCTTCTGACACCTGGAACGCGTAACCGAACGGAAAAGTTTCATTTTAGTTGTTTCATCGTGTTATTATGTTTCCGTTTAGTACACACGTGTCCAAGTAATCGCTTTTCAAAAAAGCTCAAAGTTTTATAACATATCTACTCGACGTGAATTTTCATAAAACAGACCGTTTTATTCATCGTTTGCCCATGAAGTAGAGAAAAAAAAAACAAAAAAAAATTCAAATCATTTTTTTGTTTTTTATTGTGATTTTTGTGAATTTTTATTGTAGATTTTTGAAAAAAATATTCCAAAAATGTGAAAGGAATAAAGTTATGAGCCGGCAAAAAATATTTCCGCCAAAAGGATTCGAACCATGGTCCCAATATTGACAGTGCACTAGACCACAATCCACTACACCACGCCGCCAGTTGCTGGCCGAAGGTTCCGAGCGCGGCTATTTCCGCGCTGGGAAACTTTCGACGAGCTTTTCCTCGGTTGCCTGAGGGGTTTAGCAGAATTTTATTTTTGAATCCGAGTACTCTCACCTAGACCTATCCACCCACAAATTCTCAATTCTCAGCTCGTTGGCGAGCGGAGACCATGCCCTAGTAAAACTAGTCTTTTTTGATCTTTGGTTTTTTTTAAACAATACTGATCCATTTCAACTTTTGAAATCCCTAATTTAAAACCTACAAGAATCTTTCTCACATTTTTTGCAGCACTTCTCTCTTTTTGTTCCACGATATCTTTCTCAGAATCAAATTCGACAATGTCATTTACAACGTTCTTCACGGGGTTATGGGGCTGTGGTTGTACCTGAAAAAAATTTTATTAAAAAAAACTCAATCTGAAAGCGATTAGACTGTCTTCCCAGCACTTCGTTTTCAATATATCAGAAAAATTCCTATTTATTGATCTTTAAGTTCAATTCAGGTATATATACTCCTAGCTTATGCTATTTGCTACTTTTCTTTGTTTTTGTTCGTAACGTTTACGTTTTTTCAAGCAAAAAAAAACATGAGACAAAGCTCATATATCTGTCAACCACGCGAAAATTTTTGACTGAAGTTGCAGTTATTATTTGAAGAATATCACAATTATACAATTTATTATATCGAAATATAAACTTAAAATTAGGATAAAAAAAGCTGAAAAATAACATTTTTTTCAAAAACTTGTAATTTTTTGAAACTTTGTGACTCACAGGCTGAACAGGGCTGCGAACCCCCTTTGTCTTTCTTTTTGTTCTTCTTTCCTCCCTGACACGTGGTAACATTTGGTGGCATATCCACTGGGGACATGCACGAATTCTGAGAAAAAAGAAAAAAATTTCGATCAATTACATGGAGATAATCGAGAAAACACCATCAAATCAAAACAAGGGAAGTTTTTTTAAAGAGCAAAGCGATGCCACAACAAAGGAAGACTCGGCGTAGGAAAATAGCTAGGTTGCCTCTTTGAAAACAAGCAAAAGCAGATTTTTATCAGTAATCGATATGGTTAACGTTATTCCAAAAAAAGACCAGCGTCCACCGAAAAGTCCAACAGAAAGAGTTATCAGATTCAAAAGGGAAAAAATTACCATTGTGTTATTCGGTTTTTCCAAGGAAAAAAGTTTTTTGTTTAACAGAGAGCCTGTATTCAGACTTTGAGTCAAAAAAAAAAACAGCAGAGAGATGATATACAATCATAATTGCGAAATCAGAAACAAAAAATTTCGTAACCATTGACAGCCAAATATGTTTTGTTTTTCCCGACCAATCCCGAAAAGAAAAAGAGTAGAAATATATCATCAAACGTGAAAACATTCGCGGTATCCAGACTGTTCGGAGACTCGCTATTTAAATAAAAAAATCATTTTATTTTTCAGCGCTCAGTGAAAAAAATCTACACAAATAGAACACAGTTGTTTTTTTCTGAGAATATTTGGATCTATAAGAAACAATCTATAAGAATGAAGACAAGAATAACACGGAACTTTGAGTGTGACTTTCTAACAAAGAAGTCAGGCACCGGAGGCGGAAGAACGCGCTCAATATGCGGGGAAGTCGGGGTGTCGAACTATTTTCTGGTTTTATTAAGTTTTTTTTCTCCTTTTGATTAAACTTTTAAAACATTTCCAAGTTTTCAGAGGTTTCTTCATCTTTCTATTCAAGTATTTTATAATTGGAACGCAGTGAAATTGACAATACCATAGTTTCATTAAGCAATTATAAATTATCTTTTAAAAGAGAGCAAAAAAACAGTGAAAGCAATATCAAAACGAAATAATCAAAGCATATACTTCACGAAAAAAGCGAAAAAGAAGCCGACACCGCGGTCTACCCCCGCATCTTAGGCGCGCTCTTGCGCCTCCAGTCCCTGAAAAGTGAAGATACTTAAACAGCGTAGATCAAAAGCAAAAAAAAATTCAAAGATCATCATTTGAAAAGTTTTCTGCGTAATTCAAACTGACGCGCCAAATGTTGAATGTTCTCGCTTAAAGGAAATAGTTCAACGGTATTGAACAGACTATGAAGGCATTGAACAAACCAAACTAACAAATTTTCATCAATTACAGTTTTTCGAGTATTTTCTCACTATTCAAGAAAGGATCAACTGGAAACATTTAAAAAAAAGGACGTTGAAAAGTATCAGACAACCCTTATTTACCAATATAGTAAATGCAATTTTTGCTCCGTAAAACTTTTATACAACTATTGAAGAAAAAAAAGAATAAATAACTCTAAATAGTATTCATCACTACAAAAAACTATTTGGTATCACTCACAGACCAAGAGTAGCAAAGTCACTTCTTTTCCTGAGAAATTGTGGTTTCCTTTGCTCGTTTCTGAACAAAAACTCCGTTTTTTGGAATAGCTCTGATAATATTGCTAACTTGCTCAGCCACGAACGATATCTATAATTTCTTTATAAACATATTTAATAATGAAATTGTTTTCTACGAAAAATCGAATCAAACCGATTAAAAAAAATTTGCGTCACTTCCAAGAGAACAGATCACGTGTAGTGCAAAGCGCATGATCACCCCGCAGCATCACAGGTTCCGAGCTGTCTTTCAAGTTTCAGAATTCAATGTTCTTGTAGTTTTACTCCGAAATCAAAAACTAAAGTTTTAATGAATCTAGTTGAAAAAAAAAATTTTGTGAAAGAAGGAGGTAATATTGAAAAACAAAGGTCATATATAATGAATACAACTACGAAAGTCACTTGAAACAAAGTTTTTTTTTGCGATTCAATTTCCCTTCAAAATTTTAATAGATTATCATAAGATGGGTTTCTAATGAATTCAATCAGACTGAGCGGCGCGGCAAAAACCGAAAAAAATGAGAAACTTTCTGCACAACTGACGGATGAAACGATCATTGACTCGACAGGGGTAGAAACAACATTAAAACCAGAATGGCAAAAAACCGCAAATTTTAAAAAACGTTCCGACGGCTGTTTTTTTCTAAGTAAAACTTCAGCGGAAAACAGTCTCTAGTAAACGAACACTTCATTTTATGAAACTGAAAACTAACATTTTTAATTTATTTAGCAAACAAAATTGGACTTATCAGCATAATTTGGATCAAATTGAAATTTTTGGTTAGAAAAACTTCACAGCACAAAAGATTGAGCCTTTTTAGAGATTAGGAATTTTGAAACGGCCAAAAAACTAAAAATTAATTTTCGCAAGTTGTAAATTTCAAAGGAAGATACTTTTCTATGAAAGAAGAGGCCATACTTAAAGAAATCGTGAAACAGTAAGAAAGCAAAAAATAAAGCACTTTACTTATAATGGAAAATTAGATACTCAGTCTGATACAAGGAATCATACTAGAACTTTTTGTCGAAAAATTTATCCAATAAACTGAATTTGGAAACTACAAAAAAAAATTTCGAAAAAAGGGAGAAAAATTGAGGATGAGGAGAAGAACTCAAGGCGGCAAAGGCACTCGGACACTTTCTCTTACATTTATTTGATTCTGGCGGCAATAAGACCATGTATCAGCCGAACCCAAAGAAAATAAGAAAATAGTTGGAAAGTGAGTGGCAGGCGCTATTTGAGAGGTATCAGACGTGCAGATGAGAGAAGAGAAAAGACCTAGATGTTGCTTAGATGAACTGACAGACAAAATACATTTAAAACCGAGGAGTGCTTCAGAAAGACTAACAGAAGTAAAAAAAAACATGAAAAACAACTGGTATTCCGAGAAACTACATCGATGATCGATTTATCAAAAGCTTCTAAACCTAATTTTGCGACGCTCATATATTCCCCAAATAAATATGAAAAGATGAAAATGTTTCATGAACCCTCATTATACGTTAAGAATTAAAAAAAATAATAAAAAGTTAATGCCGTGTTCAATTTGATTCCGCGAAACGCAAAATGATCTCTGACTCTCCAAAATTTAATGATCTTTTCCTTTCTCTAACGGGTATTTTGCATTTCGCGGAATCAAATCGAACACGGCATAAAGGAAAATGTGAGAAAATTGTCACGAAAGCTCGATTCAAGCGATGATGGCATCAGCTGATGGCTACCGTAACCCTGCACCGCACATTTCCACGCGAGACCTTCGGCCTAGAATGAGTATGCCGGCGTTGCGGCGACCACCATTTTTGCGTACGAAAATTTTATTTTTTTGATTTTTAACAACTTTTTTTAAATCTGATATATATCATTTTTGTGCTAAAATTTTTATCGCAAATTTTTCACGCGACTGATAGTCGTCATACGGGAAACTTCAACAAAGCCTTGCTTCTTGATCTTTAAAGTTTATAGACATTTTTCATTAAAATATTCGTCAATTTCTTTACATTAATTTTTTTACTGTAAGATTGAATTTTTAAATTCATTTGAAGTTCGAAAAGAGCCAAAGAAGTGATGTCAAAATGATGTATTATTTCATTGGATTAAAAAAATTCATAGCGAAATGATTTTTTTTTTTTTTTTTTGTATAACTGGAAACGTAATAACTTTTTTTCGATACCGTGTTCAAAGTAATTTCCGCGTAGTGCAAAATGTCTCTGACTCTTCAAAAGTTAGTTTTTTATTCACTCTCGAAAGGCTATTTCGCAGAAATCACTGAAAACGGAATAAATGATACATTTTTTGAATGTCTTTGCTTCATTTGTTATTATTCTTTTCGATCGTCTAAAAAAAAAAAGCTTTCACATAAATGTGAGGCTCCAGTTAATTATGAAAAGTGATTTCAATTTCAATTTCAATACTTCTCTCTAAGTACGCTTTTAACAAGCCATTTTAAGGTCTTCGAACAGTTTAGCTATTTGCTTTTTGTGAGAAAAAAAAGCAAGCTTTTCTATATTTTGTACATTTTGTTTTACAGATCTTACTGGGTTATTCATTCGAACTTTCAAAATGACGGAAGCAGAGAAGCTCAATCTCGACAATATCATTGCACGTCTTTTGGAAGGTCAGCAAATACTTCCAAATATTTATGTAGCTTCATTTCTGATGGTACGACAAAATCTCAAGTCCGCAAATCTCGAGGACCGTAATCTTGTGTACGCAGATCTAAAGTCCCATAATCTTGGAAACCAAAATCTTGGAGACCAAAATCTTGGAAACCACAATCTTGGAAAGTAAAAATCAACGCTTTTGCGAATAGATTTTATCAGAAATTGTATTCGGTGATCCAAACAAGAGAATATAAGTAGATAAAGTGCAATAAAGAAGACTAAAAAGGGAAGATTTTTTTGCTTTCCAAGATTATGGTTTCCAAGATTTTTGGTCTCCAAGATTTTTGGTTTTTCAAGATTATGGGACTTTAGATCTGCGTACACAAGATTACGGTCCTCGAGATTTGCGGACTTGAGATTTTGTCGTACCATCTCATTTCTATTTATAATTTCGGTTATTTCTAAAATTTTTTTATAATGAACTACAGTTTTTCAGTTCGAGGATCCAAACCTGGAAAAAATGTACAACTGACCGAAAACGAAATCAAAGGGCTTTGTCAGAAGTCGAGAGAAATTTTTCTCAGTCAGCCGATTTTGTTAGAACTTGAAGCACCGCTCAAAATTTGCGGTAGAGTTGTCTCTCATTTTTTAAAAAGAAAATGATAGTTTTTCAGGAGACGTCCATGGTCAGTACTACGACTTGCTTAGACTTTTTGAATACGGTGGATTCCCTCCGGAGTCTAATTACCTCTTCTTGGGAGACTACGTCGATCGAGGTTTCACCCAAGTTTTAATCAAGTTACAAAAGTGTTAAAATTTCAGGAAAGCAGTCCCTTGAAACAATTTGCCTGCTTCTCGCCTATAAAATAAAATATCCGGAGAATTTCTTTCTTTTAAGAGGAAATCACGAATGCGCATCTATCAATAGAATCTACGGGTTCTACGATGAATGTAAAATTTTTATTTTGACATAATCCTCCGTTAAGATTTTTGAACGTTTTTAAACCTGGTTTTCTAATGCCGCATTCAAAGCTAGTTTGACGCGCGTAGCAAAAGAGTTTTTCTCGTTCAAAAGCACGGACCGAATTGCAGGGAAAGGCAGATTCCCACAGCGCGATTAGTCGGCCCCGCCCACTTGGAAAGAAAAATATATTGGACATTTACCAAAAAACGGAGCCTTCCAATCATGCCGTGGCAACCCACTGCGTTTTGCTACGTTACGCTGCGCGCGTCAAATTAGCTTTGAAGGCGGCATAAAATTTAATTACAGGCAAACGACGATACAATATAAAGCTGTGGAAGACTTTCACCGATTGTTTCAACTGCCTACCAGTTGCCGCTATCATTGACGAAAAAATCTTCTGCTGCCACGGTGGTCTTTCTCCTGATCTCCAGTCTATGGAGCAGATCCGCCGCATTATGAGACCGACGGATGTTCCCGACCAGGGTCTTCTTTGCGATCTTTTGTGGTCGGATCCGGATAAGGTTTGTGTAGTTTTTAATTCATGTTGTTTTCTTCTGCGTAAAGTTTTCTCCTGATTTAATGATCACCTGTGATGCAATTCCTTAACAGACGAGTCAATTGAATTGCTGACGTTGCTGAGTTTTTCGGCACGTTTGCTCAAAAGAGGGTGAAAATGAGGCATTTGTCTGAGGTGATCTTATTTTCATCTTTGAATTTCATTCAAAAATGACGCTTTCTTCTTCTTTATGAAATTGTGCACACGCCGAAACTTGGATACTCAGAGCATTTCACAAACTTTTTTAAATTACTGCTCATTGATGACATTAAGGACGTAACCGGTTGGGGTGAAAACGACCGTGGAGTTTCGTTCACTTTTGGACCCGAGGTTGTCGCAAAGTTTTTGCATAAACATGATTTGGATCTCATTTGTCGCGCCCATCAGGTGAACATTTTTTTAAACTTGTTTATTGAAAATTTTGAAGGTTGTCGAGGATGGATACGAGTTCTTCGCAAAGAGGCAGCTGGTAACATTGTTCTCGGCTCCGAACTATTGTGGAGAGTTTGACAATGCCGGATCAATGATGACAGTTGATGAAACTTTGATGTGCTCATTCCAGGTACGGAAATTTTTCGAGATCTATTTTGAGCGTTTTTTACTCTAGATTTTGAAACCGGCTGACAAGAAAAAGTTTCCATACGGAAGTGTAGGATCCAACCGGCCTGTGACTCCTCCGCGTAGTGGAGCACCTGGCGCCCCTCCGAAGAAGGGAAATAAAAAATGATTTGTGGATGATGGTAATGTCTGCAAGCTGCACGGAATAACTTGTACATATGAATTAAGGAAATTGTCAAAAGCTTTTTTTTCTGTTTTGTACTACTGACAGCTCATCTTCAAGAAGTGTCGGTTGTTTTTTCTTAATATATCTTTTCGCCTTTGACCACAAAATATTTTTTCAATTTTATGTCGACGGACTTTGATTTTTTTTTTTTTTAAATGAAATTTTGTCATCAGCTAAGCTGGTTCATAGCGCTAACACTCCATTGCTCTGTTAAATTGGACCATAACCTTTGTTGTAAAATTTTTTTTTCTTCTTTTTGAAGAACGGCGTTGATCGACGTTGAGTTTTCTTTTTTTTTTTAATCTTCAAGACTCATTCGTTTCAAACATGTTTGCTTTAAAATTATCAAAACGCACATGAAGTTTTCGTTTTTAATTTTTTTTTTTTTTTGTCAATTTGATTCAGGAAATTTTTCAATGAGAGTGCAGTATGCCCCTGTAAGATTTAGTTTAGTGAGTGAAAAAGTAATAACTATTTACGGAGATGTATCTATTTGCGAAGTTATGATTGTGATCGTAACTCGGTATTTTCAGAAGAGGATATAAATATTTTCCATCGATACTTGTTCATTCAAAATTAATTTGGCGTTTTGATTGCCATTTCTTCGTTCCACTCTAATAATTTTCTTTCTTGCTCCTCTGTTCGCCTTTTTTAGTCTGTTTATTTATGATTTTGAAATGAAGAATTTGTACAGTGGTTAGATTTGTCGAAGTAGGAAGTTATTTTTTTAGCTTTCTTGAACAAACAAATTGAGTTTTTATGTGTAATGAATTCTTCAAAATTAATTTAAATCATTTCAACAAAAAATTGAATTGATTAGGCTTTCTAGAGGCTAGCAAAGTCCCCTGACTGAACAAGAAAATAAAAGCAAAAAATTGTTATGATGTACTGGTTATGATGGATTAGCTGATATTGTAAAGATAGTAGTTGTCGAGGGTGTATTCCGGTTTTCCAAAGGAAGGCGAAAGAAATGTTTTTTTCAGTCCATTGAAGCATTCATGAAAGTCTGATAGAACAGAACAAAAATTAAATGAATTATTGCGTTGGGAGAAGAATTTCATATTAAAAAGGTCGTCGGAGAAACTCAGCAAGTCTGGAAATCAACATATAGGTCATTCCGCGCCAGCTTGTCACGATTTTATGCCGTGTTCAAAGTAATTTCCGCGAAATGCAAAATGGTCTCTGACCCTCCAAAATTTAGTTATCTTTCTCTTTCTCTGGCAGCTATTTTGAACTTCGCGGAATCACTTTGAACACGGCATTAAATTTCCTCGGAGCTAGTGAATCCATTTCGGCGCTTCGCTTCGATGCTCTCGGTGTTCCCCCTTGCGTGCGCCTTTAATAAAACATTATTTTTGATTAAGATATTCCTTAGATTTTCTCTCTCTTTTATTAATTGACGAGGTTGTTTTTAATGGATTGATTTCATTTTTCGCTTCAACTATACACACTCAGATTCTGTGCTGGATTTGTAAAAAAAAAAAAGAAAATCAAAAAGATTGAATTATTACTTTTTAATTGTTATTAATGAAGACGACTGTTCGAGCTTTTTCTCGCATATAATTTTTTTGGGTTAGTTTAATATAAAGTTTGATGTTACAACTGTTTTTGTAGAGTAAGAAAATTCCAAAGTTCGGAAATAATGAGTTTTATTAAATGCGCACACCGAGAGCATCGAAGCGAAGCGCCGAAATGGGTTCTCTAGCTCCGAGGAAATTTGAAATCGTGACAAGCTGGCGCGGAATGACCTATATCTGTCGATATGTCTGCCAGGCTTGTGTTTCAGCCTGGGCGGCCCCGGCTTAGGTTAGGCCAGACTTGTGCGAGGACCGGCCCGTCATCATAAGTGCCCCAACTCTACAAGGAGCGTGCACCGTGCAGCAAAAATGTGCAAAATCAGTGCTCGCACCGTGCACGCTCCTTGTAGAGAAGCTAGGCCTTATGAAAGCCTCAAGAAACGAATAAAAATAATTTTTTGGAAAACATTTCTTAAAATGAAATTAAAAATTTTTCCAAGCCTAGTTTGGCTCAAGCCCGCGAATGCTTTCGCTTAAAGGCCCAGAGCCCGGGTCACCCGGTCTTACGCACAAACATGGGCAAGGCTTCGAACAAAATTTGAAATTCCGCTCAATAAAGTTCATGCCGTTTTCAATTTGATTCCGCGAAATGCAAAATACCCGTCAGAGAAAGGAAAAGATCCCTAAATTTTGAAGAGTCAGAGATCATTTTGCATTTCGCGGAATCAAATTGAACACGGCATCAGATTGACTCAAAATTTTCACCGAAAAATATTTTTGTAGCCTATTCCGCGCCAGATTGTCACGTTTTTCTTTTCGCTCAAAAGACCATATACCAAATTAAATCAAATTCTACCATCTTCGCTTCAAGACCTTTGTCGTTTGCACTCTGATCTGGAGTGCCTCGAGGTGCGCATTTTTCTCTGTCGCATGCTATTTCTTCAATTTCTGACTGCGAGAAAACAACGAAATAGCATGCAGCAGAGAAACATTCGGGCGCGCCTTCAGCACGGCGTTCTTTTGACGACGCCCTTCCCACAATTTCCGTAATATTTGACGTCTTTGGTGCATACACAGATCGACGCTAACTCGCATACTCATTAAATTCGAAAATAATTTTTTTCCTCGAAAAATAGCGTTTCTTCAAAACTATAGACGTGAAAAAAATCGATCCTATCGCAATTCCTTTTCTAGCTGACAAAAAAACATTTGGGTGAAAGTTTTTCTTATTTTCTGAACACTTTTATACCTTTCACTCTCAAAATTAGTTAAAGTCCTTTTTCCAATGAAAAACGTGGAATTTTGTGCCGAAAATGACTTATTGTGGTTCTATGTGTCTTTCCCCAATTATAAAAAAATTTAGAAAAAGTTTTTCTTTTACAGATTTAGTTTAGTTCATCCACCTAGCGGTATTTTTTTCTTCTCTGCAACATCGCCATACCATTCTGATGTTGCGAAAATGAAGATATTGATTTATTCGAATAAAAAATTTAATTTGACACTGAAAATGTTGCTGAAAGGCTTTTTTTTGCTTTAAAGCGGAAATTTTGTCAAAACCCAGCAGTTAATATGGAAAATTGAAAAAAAAAGTTCCTTCGCATTTTGCTGTCGCAATAAAAAATAATTACCGTGAATCAGAACAAAACAGATAAAGATACAACTGAAATAAAGATGAAAAATCACCTGAAGCACTTGAGCAACAAGAAATTCAAATGTTCACGCGCAAGCTGTCTACCGTAACTCTAGGTGGAGCAACCTTTCAAAGTTGCTCCGCATTTTCAAAAATTTTACATTTTCTTCCACTACGCAGAACGCCGTGAAAAAAAAAATCTGAACTATATTTTATTTTTGCGCGTGGAGGCTCGTCGTGGATGTGACATCGCGTCGTTCCGAAGGAATTGGTGTTTTACGACCCGCAATACACCCAACATAATTGCCGATATCGCAGCGAGCCGCAGGCGATATAGCCAAGGCTTCTCGCTGCGATCTCGTCAACATGTCGCTGCGACCTCGTCAAAGTCTCGCTTCCATATCGCTCCCTCTCAAAATTATGAAATTTGAAAAAAACATTTTTTTGTTTTTAATTTTTGACTTTTTATGATGAAATCAATCAAATTCAAGAAAAAAACCATTTTTTTGAAGAAAAAAATTTTTTTCAGAGAGCGGTATAGTCCGTTCACGGCTGGCTTGGGACAATGAACGGGCGGTTTAATTTTTCGCGGGGAAGGTAGATCATGGCGACTTTCTATGCGCCTTCCATAAAAAGCCCCATTTTATGACTTATTTATTTTTTTCTCTTATTATTCGTTGATTTAAGAAAATCTGAAAACCAATGAAATCAATCAAATCAAATCAATCAAAATGTTTTTATTTCTCACACACAAGTACTAAATTTCGGTGGTATGAAAAAAAAGACCAGCGAAAATTCGAACGGCGACTTTTTCCGATTTTTTTCATATCGCTAGGGAACTTTCCGACGGCCACCTTTCCGACGAATCTTTTTTTCCGACATTTTTTTCTCGATAAACTCTTCGCTTTGAAACAGCCTATATAAAGTAGGTAGTTGGTTCATGATTAAAAACACAAAGAAATAGGAAAAAAAGTTCATAGATGTTTTATAAACCGAAAAATATAAAGGAAAAAAGTCGGAAAGGGATTTGGCGGAAAGTCGGAAAGTTCCCTAGCGATATGAAAAAATCGGAAAAGTCGCCGTTTGAATTTTCGCTGGTCTTTTTTTCATACCACCTAAATTTCACGAAATAGATGTAGGGAGAATTTGGGAACATATGTGTCGGAACTTGTGGTGATGGAGGGAAGAGGACTCGCGGTCGTGTTAACCCCACTTGAGTAAATTGGAATAAACTTGAAGTTATTCTTTTAAATGTCGTTTATGTAGCTTTCATATTTTTGTTGGATCAAGAGTGTTTATTTCTGTAATGTTGTTTTCAAATCATTTCTCAAGTTTAGATCTGAACTTATTTTTTTCATACTCAAATACTATGTTTCTATCCATATGATTCCAATGATTGAATGTAAACATAATATAAATTCAATAGAAACAGAAATAATTCACCAAAAAAGATGCTCTTATTAAAGGCGCATGTATGACCGCAATGATCTACAATCGCCGCGCAAGTTAAACCGCCCGTTCGCTGTCCCAAGCCAGCTGTGAACGGGCTATACAACGCAAGACGTTTGCGAGGTCGCAGCAAGAGGCGAGCGATATTGCTCGCGGCTCCCCCGCGGTATAGCGTTACTCTCGCTGCGGTATAGTCCACAATGTTGGGTGTAGCCTCAGGCACTGGTGGGTAACTTGTTGTTATATTTACGATACTTGCTCTCTTTCAGAACCGGTTTCAAGCATTTTTGGGCAAGTATTTGAAGAACCAGATTTGAAAGTAAAAATGGGTTTGATCGAGTTTTATG